ATAAAGTCTCACGAGTTTTGACTACATAGTTTTTGCTTTTTAAATATTTGGACGATGGCTGTCCTGAATTAGTCCCTATAACACTCATTTAGACAAACTGTATGAGCGGCAGGCACTACCGGTTGAGCAGGACAAACCCTTCCCGCACACACCAGTCTCATCGCCCATATTGCAGTCATCGAGTATATATGTTCACAGCTGGTTCAGCTTTTAATTGGATCTGTTACAATACTAATTTAATCCTTGCGATTGACGTTTTCTATTTCATACTTTTTAAAACATCGTATAAGAGTAGTTTCAAATTAATAAGCTAAGCTCTTTGCATTGCATTGTTTGGTCCTGACTATTGTCGTTAACTTTACTTCCAAGTATAGGTTAATTTGACATCGATGGGTAGCCTAGTGGTTAAAGCCCTAGCTTTTCACGACGGGTTCGATACCCCACATGGGTACAATGTGTGAAGCCCATTGCTGGAATATTGCTAAAAGCGGCGTAAAACCATACTCACTCACTCGATCCATTAATATCACTACATTACTGAATATTATAATTGCTTATTCAAGCTCATCTCAGAAACGTCATATAGAAATTGTAGAATTTGAATAACGTCCGTGGTTGCTGAAGTATTTGACTTAAAAAGTATGCGCACCCACCAACCTCCACCAAATCTGAATATCATTGCCAGGGCACGCAAGAGGTCTGTTGTTCGATCCCCGAACGACGTTCAATCATGCTACTTGTTGTTACGCTGCCTTGCACTCATCAAAAAAGGGGGGCGGTGGGGTATCCTAATGGTTAAAGCGTTGGCTCGTCACGCCGAAGACCCGGGTTCGAATCCCCACATGGGTACAATGTGTGAAGCCCATTTCTGGTGTCCCCCGCCGTGATGTAGCTGGAATATTGCTAAAAGCGGCGTAAAACCAAACTCAGTCAGTCAGTCATCAAAAAGGACTAAAACAAGGAATGGAACGTCGACTCGGCGTATTATGTGATGTCTCAATGGGGTATCCATGATACCGCGGCAATTCATGCGGTATTCAAGATAATACCGCGGAAAAGTGTCTCAGAAGGTGGACTATTGTGAGTCTAGAACAAGCTCACATACACCTAAATTTACATGCATGTCAGCACATAAATGCAATAATCTTGAACTGCAAGTCGGCATTCCTGAAATACATGTACTCGTCTGACATGCCTCTGGGGGAACAATGATTGCAACAACCAGTAATTCTGGCCTTACTCTTCTATATTTAACCAAATTACTATTTTCCTTATATTGCCGTGGGGCAGCAATTGTGAAGAAGGATGTATCAATCAACGCCAACACAGCAAAAATAACAAGGTTTCCAGATTTCCGGAAACCTACATGAAACTGGGTAATGTCAGAATCGTGTAGGTTTCCGCTCACGGAAACTATGATTGTTTGTTTCCAGCAGTTTCCTGTGGCTGAAACTAACACGGTTAGTTTCAGCGACTGAAAACTGTCGGAAACAAACAAGGTTAGTTTCCAGAAATGGAAACTGACAGTAAAAAATCATTGTTAGTTTCCATTGCATAAAGCAACTGGAAACCATCATCGATGGTTTCTATTAGTGAGAACTTGAATGAAACGATAGTAGAAAAATAAATTTGACTCCATATGCATATATCCAGAAACCTACATTAACCTACGTTAAACTGCCTATTATATGTATTATATAGGTTTTAGTTTCGTGATGTCAGTGTTTCTGTACATCAGAATTCAAATACAAGATATTGTCACATAAAATAAAATTAATTTCAGGAAAACGGAAACCTAATTCAGAGGTACAGATAAGCTGCGTATCTGCGTAAATTACGCAAATATTTATGTGAAAACTCAATTCCCATTAAGACTATTACGTACAAGTACGCTTGAATTTTGGTAAATACTCAATAAATGTGATCTTACATGCGTACACACAAAAATGTCAAATCTTAGCTTGCGTTAAGGTGGATAGATAAAATAAGTTAGGCATACTGAGAGGTTCTATTACAGCATATGAACTTGACAACTTGCAGTCTTCTTGTCGTTTCTCATATTACAGATAAAAAATAAATAACAAAAACTAGCATTTAAACTTTTTTGATTTTCAAAATTAATGGAAGACGGCAAAATTCCCAATTGAGTTTGAGTGAGGTGAGTACAATTTATGTGGTTACTCTAAGGAAAATTAGGATACCCAATTGAGATGAACACAAGCGAGTACGTAACTCAATGACCTAAAAAGTTATCTGTAGCTCTGACTAATTGAAAGAATATGGAACCTGAAGATTATTTACGTTTTGTTTGATAAACTTACGGAAAACTTAAATTTATAAGAGATTTGATGGTACATTTAAAAGCTATTAAAGCAGTGTAAATCAAATACAGCTTGCAACGACCACAAAAGTAGCGGATGATTTGATCTATTTTCAGTGTACCATGGTTTCCCTTTCGGTTTCTGTGTGAACCATATGTTATCGATTTTATTCGTCACAGATTGTCACAAATATCTGTGGTGAGACAGACTTTGATCACGCTTTTGCAAACATCCGTTACTATAGCTATTTCACAGCAAGTCATATGTCTGCAAATTTGGTTGTTGCGAATGAGATTACATACAGTCATTGAAGACAGCGGTGTTTATCCACAGTTATCTAGAATATCTATGATAAACATTAGCCAAGTATTTTGAGATAGGTTTCTGTCATAATCTAGTTTCACATAGTATTTATATTTTTACCTCATAATCCTAGCATAATTAATTATTATTATATTTATATGCGCTTTGAAACCTCATAAAGAATTGCACGATCTGTTTTAGTGAAGTTATAAAATGACTTTAATTTCTAGATATGTTATAGAGTACCTAAAATATAAGTGAATCATATTTCACACGCATTTGTCTGTCTCGCCTAGAAGAACTTCACAGCGAAACATTTGAAGGGGAATGATTTTGTTGAATGCTACAACAAACATAAGAAGAAAATACAGATTCTGTCAATTAGCAATATCTAGTAGAATTGACATAGCATACCAAAGCTTTGGGTAGTGCATCATTTCTACTTAATCATGTTGACCATTTTAATAAAAAAACCTCTGATACCCTCTTAGTAATGCAAATACCACAAGTACTTATTACTTGGTTTGATACATGGTGTATTGTGTTGTCCTCTATAGTTAAAATGTTTTAGATTTAATTGCTAGTTTTACATTTATATCTGTGATATTTTAGTTTTTTTTACTGTCCTTCGTTGATAGGATTTTATACTCTATCTTTAATTATTGTTAATATATATGTTGTTTTAGTCACGATATGGCTGAAATATTGCCAAAGTGACTTAAAATTTTAACTCACTCACTCACATGATACATGGTGAATATGATAATAATCAAAATAAGGGTTGTCGGATTGTAATACAGTAGAACACGGATATAACGAACTCCAAGGGACCAAGAAATTTAGTTCGCTATATCCGTTGTTCGTTATTCACATTTGACCGCCATCTTGGATTATAGAAATGTAGACATTCACAGACATTACCTATATCATGTTGATAAATATGAAGTTTACTTTTATAATGAAATTGAAATAATACAACTACAACTTGAATAAATTGATTTTTTAATGAAAATACACTCTTACATTTATAATGTCCAGATAAACGACGAAACAAGCAAAAACTGTAGCGATTTTTTTTTCCATTTATGACATGTCATAACATGCCCGTGCCTTTTTCTTTTATATTTTCATTTTTATGTAATCAGTCTTTCCGTTCGTTAACATGACACAACAACGGGAAATACCTCCGTTTTCGAAGCTTCGTATGAATAACATGCGAGGCGAGGTATCGTTAGACAGCTCTGGAACATCAACAATATCACTGTACCCTTGCCGAGAGTATTTTCACAGTTGTAAAGAGCGATTTTATTGGATAAAGATTGGTTTCCAATGACGTTTTTTCGCCACAGTCTGCTATAAGGATCGTGATTGGTCAAATTTAGACACGTGACCTAAGGCAGCCAATCATACTACGGCAATGGAAATAACGTTGTGGCCGATTATTCGGCCTGCAATGTTGAATGGGTTAAACACGATATGTTTGTTTTATTAATTAATTAATGACCATCAAACAATGTTGATTCACCGCCAACAAGATTGATGTATACCGCTAAGTGGCTGAGCTGACACTGAGTGAGTTCGCTAATCACGTCGTTAATTGGGTCTTGGGGTAGTAAATCAGTTCGCTATAGCCGTATAATTTTAATGAATTCGCTACTCACGCTATAGTTCGTTATTCTGTAATATATTATTGGAAAAATATAATTTTAATGATATTAGCAAAAGGACTGTTGATCAAAATCACACAGGGACTTTTAAATTTGTTCGGTTTATATATCCGACACCAGAGTTTGAAACACCTTAGTCATTTAACTACGCTACATATTATCACACCACAACATAACTTTAATAAAATGATATCCGTGTGTCAAGAATGCATGTTGGACATAACCGTGTATTTTTCCCCAGAAGCTCAACACGATGTAGTAGTATTAACTGGACTGAGAAAAGAAAACAGAAGGTGGCTGCAGTCCTAACCCCAGAATTGACATCGCCTGTGGTGTCCGACGAAGAGGACTGTAATCTTGTCCACTCTGTTGGATTTACATGGGAAAACGAGAAGCTGCTACACTATAAGACTTTACTGGACGATTGTAGGACAAAAGAACTTGTGGACAAAAGCCCCCTAGGACAAAAAACCCTTAGGACAAAAACCCATAAGGACAAAACCTCCAAATAAGGACCTCTGGACAAAACCCCCAAATATGTTTTAACTACTGAGTGATTGAAACGAAGTTATTTTTGCTGTGCAACTGCTGTCCATATGGCGCTTAAATAAAATGTGTGGCTTGCTTACATATACTAGCCACACAAACAGCAAACAGCTTCATTTTTAAACTTCCACTGCGAACGAAATACAATTACATGGAAAGATAAATGTTTTAAAATACTTTATCGAACAAAAATCCAGAAAACACCAGAGCACCTGACATATGCAAATGAGCAACAACACAAGAGGGGTTTCGCAAGCAAGTTCTCAGGGCAGTAGCGAGTGCGTCCACTTTGTGCACTGATGTAGGCCTACACCTTTGCCTCACTGTGGTCAACGTCGTTGAAAGTCCTGGGGAAGATCATTTCATACCCAGGGGCTACTTACACGAAGCAACCTTTACAAAGGTTAACCTGAACTCCCATTCTTTAACCTTGCACTAAGGTTACCATCACCTTTGTGAAAGGAGGCCCAGGGAAGGATTTGGCGCACTTCCTGCAGTGTTGATGGAGGATTCAGATCAGGCTGTAAGCGTCTCCCCATTCCTTCCCAGACAATCAGGGGATCTTGGAGGCAGGGAACGTGCTGGGTAGGAAACGTGACTCCACGGTGAACGGAACTCTTTGCTACTCACGTGCTTCCGATAGCAAGTGTATGCTGCACTGGACACATCGACGTCGGCCTTCTGCACTTATGGATTTGGCGTTGGGCTCGTTATATCGGACTGATGCCGTAGACGCTTTGACGTCATCGAATTGCACGTCTAGTGCCAGGTACGGGCTGTTAAGGCTTTGACTGGAACCTGTGTTGTAGGTGCGTGGTCTGGATCGATCTGTCCTGACGTGGAGTCTGATGGAACGTCACTATGGGCATGGTCTATAACGGGATAGTTTTGCTGAAAGCGTCTCCATTGGTGCCAAATGATGTTTCTATGGTCGTTGAATCGACGAGGCACCAGACTGAACCATACCTATAGCTCTCCATCTGTCACTTTTCACGAAGCGTGGCATGTCGAACCTCTTCCAGAACGATGAACTGAGACGTGCTTATCGAGCCTGTTAATATGAACACTGCTGGCCATTTTTCTCGAATATTTCATGCTTCTTACAAATATCTCGCAATTCGATTGGTTATATAAATCATAACTCAAAGAGAAGAGATCCCAGTGGAACAAATGAAATTCTACCAAAGACTTTATAAAGCACCAGACAATGAAGAAAGTGATGAATATCTAAGTTCTTACAAACACCAAAATAAAACAAGCAGCTCTTTGATGAACTAGAAGAAACAATAAAAGTTGACGAAAATGTTTAAAACAGTAAAAACTATAAAAAAAAATAGCACATGTCCAGGTATTGATTGCTTCCCTATTGATTTTAAAAAAAGAAAAGACCTAGGAATCTGGGTCGACGGATAAAAGGAGCATTTCATATCAATAGATTAACGCGAGCACTGAGCAGGGGTATGGTAGCATGTATTCCTATACACAACAAAGACGCACTCTGAATCGACTGACGGCCACTTCTCTACTTAACTCTATTATTAAAGATCACATGTACTCTAGGGAGGTACAAATACATAAATAATTTATTGGCATCGTCAAAAATGAAACCCGGTCATTAAAATTACTCATTTCGACCTTTAATTAACTTAAATCGGCCTTTTTAACAACAGTGCACAATTCTCTCCCGCGAACGAAATTTAAACCAATCAGAGGGGCGCGTCTCCGTGACATAATGTGAGGTAAACATATGAGGGGCGCTTTAGAATTCATGTACATTTCCGGGGGTCAATGATCTTGTTTACAGGCTTGTCTAAACCTGAAATCGTGACAATTATTTGTGAAAAAATGAAAGCTGTATGTTTTCACAATATACTGTTATTTAATCTTGTCCCCTGCTTAGCCCAGCATCCGAGTTACAACTTATTTTCATAGACGATTCTGTCAAATCGCTTGTTGTCACTAGGCCTTATTTGTGCGAGCCAGACGCTAGTGATAGTTAAAAGGATGATCAGCCTCGCTCATCACTGTTACAGGAAGAAGATCGACTAGTATCTACATACTGGTGAGTGGACGTTAACCACGTGAATGTAGCAAGACATTTATCGCCCAGTATTGTCATTTCGATCCCCAATTCCGTGGAAGAAATCTTATGTTACAAGTTGTGATTAAGTATGTATATAGCTAAAAGAATAAACTAACTCTTAATACAATTGTTCATGGAGACTAGACATGTTTCATTCATTCATTCATTCCTTTTACGAAGTTTTATGGGTCATTACAAAAGTTGGAAGAAGGGGATAACCGGAAACGGACACACTCCGTGTTCTTGACGTCATGAAGTTTGTCGTTACTGCCAGGTTGAAATTGGAATATTATCTTTCGCTTCATAAATGTAGTCCTTCAAAGAATGAACACAAAATACTCTATTTCGCGAGGATTATGTTAAATATATCACTTTTTACAGAATTGCCTCACCAGTGTGGAGGCATAAAGTTGGCATCATTAAATGACACCTTTCCGTCCGGAGAGTAAAGATTGTCGTCTGTTCCACGTAACATGGCTGCCACCCTCCCGAAGCCGCTGTCTGACATCAGGTAGATATCGCACGTGGAAAGAATCTGCTGGTCCAGAAGAGCTTTTCCAAATCCATCACAAGCTTTTCCACCAGTGTCCATGTCAACGTGAACTAGAGGACCATCAATATCCACAATGACCTTCGGAAACATACGCCGCGATTCTTCCCGTACCTGCTCTGAATTTGTGGCCACAAACATCCGATAGGTGGCGCTGTTGTTGTACTGTCTCAAAAAATCAAAAATCTTATCTATGTAGACCTTGTGTTCTGTTATTGATTGATGAAGACGAATATGAGCACACACAAGCTTCCTACCGTTAGCTCTGACAGAAGTTTGGAAATTATCGAATTGCTCTTGATATTTGGGTTTCAATTTAAACAACCGGCGAAGTACGATGTTATATATATCCACAGCTGTTTTATTTTGGGCCCATTTCAGATCACGAAACCGAGGAAGTTTCATCAGATATTTCACAAATTCTTGGTTGACAGTAAAAAGTATTACATCTTGGGTAAACCTTTGCTCTAGTTCTATGGTATGTATATTCTCCCGGAGATTCCAAGCTACCCTGTCCAGCACCTTGTACGGGAGGACGGTCAGATCAGTCAGCGACCCTGGTGGTATCATCCACTTATCGTCGTTCTCGTCCAGAATGTTTGTGACATCACATGGTATGGTCAAGATGACCCCAAACTGTCGCCCCATTAGTTGAGAGATGAGGTACGCTGCTAAGATTCCCTCCTGGCGGTCACCGAGACCTCCACAAAGTTGCTGACTGCAGTCATAAATGAAATACTTCTTATCGTATTTAGGTTTAAGGAAGTCCTTCTCGGATGTGAATGGTACTCGCGAGGGACCATAGAAATATTTGAACTTGGGCTCCGTCGTAATGCCATGTTTACGCACTGGATGAATGTTATGCCTCTTCAGAAATACATATTCACCTGTCATGAGAGTCACCGCAGCCAACACGAGCTTGATCAGGGTCTTCTTTCTGTATAAAATGGTTCGTAACATATTTTCATTTGGGAAGCTTCAGACTGTGCCACCTGTGAAAAGAACAAAACAATTGTTTGGCTGTTAACATTACGTTTAGACTAAAGGTTTGTTCGTAAGCTTGTAAATGGAAATAGTTTTGGGGATTTTCTCTTATCTCAAAGAAGGAATGCGTGATTCAAGTCACATCATGGAGTGTCAGCGTAATGTGGGATGAGTGAGTGAGTTTAGTTTTACGCCGCTTTTAGCAATATTCCAGCAATATCACGGCGGGGGGACACCAGAAATGGGCTTCACACATTGTATCCATGGGGGGAATCAAACCCGGATCTTCGGCGGGACGAGCGAAGGCTTTAACCACTAGGATACCCCACCGCCCCCTCATGTGGGAGGAGAGCCCATTTGATGCAGGTCTCAAACGCTTACCGCTCTGGCGAAACCTTCGAGCACGAGTGTGTTGCTGTCAAAAGTACACACATACCTGAGGGGAATCGAGATTCGAACCCACTATATATGGTTTCGGGTGGCCAAGGTGAGGTGAGGTGAAATTGGGTTTAACGTCGTGCTTGAGAATATTTCGCTCATATGACGACGTGCATGCGTGTGTATGTGTATGTGCGGCTGCTTGTACTAGCCCAGACTTAAGCTGGTTTTATAGTGCTAGCCCACTGAGATACCATGCCGCAGTGAAGCATGAATACCCCACTCAGACACATTATACTGACTCCGAGCCGACCAGTCCTTGTTGTACCCATTAATGCCGAGCGCCAGGCAGGGACCAACAAGTACCATATTTTAACGTCTTTTGGTATGACGCGGTCGGGGATCGAACCGGCGACCTTCCGCTCTCCGGGCTGACGCTCTAACCACTACACCACGGAGGCGGTCAGGTGGCCCAGGGAGGACGCAACACTGCAAAGCGAACTGCGTGGCCGTTTGAAGACTGGGACCCCTGCATCCACATTTCATTAGAGATAACAGTGAGTGAATGTCGTTTAATGTTGACACATAACCTGCTCACACAGGTAACCATGAATTCATTATGCTAATCAACTCACGCGGTGTGTGTTTTATGGAATTCTTGACGGGACATTGTCGCATTGTTGCGTTGTCTGTTCGCGAAAATGGCACTTCTAGGATTCCATAGTTTATGCTATCAAAGTCCTGTTCTAAACCGTATTGAAATGAGGGCATGCAGATAACACCCGATCAGTTTGATCGGTCCTAAAATTAGTTCTATTTTCTATGCCAACTGCTGGGGAGAACCTAGCCCGGTCTAACGTGGTGATAGGTATATATTGTCCCTTGATTTTTTTAACCTAGTAATAGATATATTATGGCATTGTATTTACCTAGTTATAGATATATTATGTCCCTTGTATTTACCCAGTAATAGATAAATTATGTCCTTGTATTTACCTAGTTATAGATATATTATGTCCCTTGTATTTACCTAGTAATAGATATATTATGTCCCTTGTATTTACCCAGTAATAGATATATTATGTCCCTTGTATTACCTAGTAATAGATATATTATGTCCTTGTATTTACCTAGTTATAGATATATTATGTCCTTGTATTTACCTAGTAAAAGATACATTATGTCCTTGTATTTACCCAGTAATAGATATATTATGTCCTTGTATTTACCTAGTAATATATATATCATGTCCTTGTATTTACCTAGTAATAGATATATTATGTCCCTTGTATTTATCCAGTAATAGATATATTATGTCCCTTGTATTTACCTAGTAATAGATATATTATGTCCTTGTATTTACCTAGTTATAGATATATTATGTCCTTGTATTTACCTAGTAATAGATACATTATGTCCTTGTATTTACCCAGTAATAGATATATTATGTCCGTGTATTTACCTAGTAATATATATATCATGTCCTTGTATTTACCTAGTAATAGATATATTATGTCCCTTGTATTTACCTAGTAATAGATATATTATGTCCCTTGTATTTACCTAGTAATAGATATACTATGTCCTTGTATTTACCTAGTTATAGATATATTATGTCCTTGTATTTACCCAATTATAGATATATTATGTCCTTGTATTTACCCAGTAATAGATATATTATGTCCTTGTATTTACCTAGTAATAGATATATTATGTCCTTGTATTTACCTAGTTATAGATATATTATGTCCTTGTATTTACCTAGTAATAGATACATTATGTCCTTGTATCTACCCAGTAATAGATATATTATGTCCTTGTATTTACCTAGTAATATATATATCATGTCCTTGTATTTACCTAGTAATAGATATATTATGTCCTTGTATTTACCTAGTTATAGAAACATTTTGTGCCTTGTTGTTACCTAGTAATAAATATATTATGTCCCTTATATTGACCAATAGAGATATTGGGTCCGTTGTATATTACCAAGTAATAAGTATATTATATTGCTTGTAAGTTACCAAGTAATAAGTATAATATATTTCTTGTATTTACCTAGTAATAGATATATTATGTCCTTGTATTTACCTAGTTATAGATATATTATGTCCTTGTATTTACCTAGTAATAGATACATTATGTCCTTGTATTTACCCAGTAATAGATATATTATGTCCTTGTATTTACCTAGTAATATATATATCATGTCCTTGTATTTACCTAGTAATAGATATATTATGTCCTTGTATTTACCTAGTAATAGATATATTATGTCCCTTGTATTTACCTAGTAATAGATATATTATGTCCTTATATTTACCTAGTAATAGATATATTATGTCCTTGTATTTACCTAGTTATAGTAACATTTTGTGCCTTGTTTTTACCTAGTAATAAATATATTATGTCCCTTATATTGACCAATAGAGCTATTGGGTCCGTTGTATATTACCAAGTAATAAGTATATTATATTTCTTGTATTTACCAAGTAATAGATATATTATGCCTTTGTATATTACCAAGTAATAAGTATATAATGTTCCTCGTATTTACCTAGTAATAGATATATTATGTCCTTGTATTTACCTAGAAATAGATATATTATGTCCCTTGTAATTACCTAGTTATAGATATATTATGTCCCTTGTATTTACCTAGTAATAGATATATTATGTCCCTTGTATTTACCTAGTAATAGATATATTATGTCCCTTGTATTTACCTAGTAATAGATATATTATGTCCCTTGTATTTACCTAGTAATATATATATCATGTCCTTGTATTTACCTAGTAATAGATATATTATGTCCTTGTATTTACCTAGTAATAGATATATTATGTCCCTTGTATTTACCTAGTAATAGATATATTATGTCCTTATATTTACCTAGTAATAGATATATTATGTCCTTGTATTTACCTAGTTATAGTAACATTTTGTGCCTTGTTTTTACCTAGTAATAAATATATTATGTCCCTTATATTGACCAATAGAGCTATTGGGTCCGTTGTATATTACCAAGTAATAAGTATATTATATTTCTTGTATTTACCAAGTAATAGATATATTATGCCTTTGTATATTACCAAGTAATAAGTATATAATGTTCCTCGTATTTACCTAGTAATAGATATATTATGTCCTTGTATTTACCTAGAAATAGATATATTATGTCCCTTGTAATTACCTAGTTATAGATATATTATGTCCCTTGTATTTACCTAGTAATAGATATATTATGTCCCTTGTATTTACCTAGTAATAGATATATTATGTCCCTTGTATTTACCTAGTAATAGATATATTATGTCCCTTGTATTTACCTAGTAATAGATATATTATGTCCCTTGTATTTACCTAGTAATAGATACTAGTATATTATGTCCCTTGTATTTACCTAGTAATAGATATATTATATCCTTGTATTTACCCAGTTATAGATATATTATGTCCCTTGTATTAACCTAGTAATAGATATATTATGTCCCTTGTATTTACCTAGTAACAGATATATTATGTCCTTGTATTTACCTATTAATAGATATATTATATCCTTGTATTTACCTAGTAATAGATATATTATGTCCTTGTATTTACCTAGTAGTATTTACCTAGCAATAGATATAGTATGTCCTTGTATATATAATAATAATAATAATAATAATAATAATAATAATAATAATAATAATAATAATAATAATAGCATGCTTGTAATGCGCTGTTTTCCATGTACAACATGCTCAAAGCGCAAAATATATACCTAGTAATAGATATATTATGTCCCTTGCACTCGTGTCCCAGTGTCTTTTGAACATGGTAACCGCTAAATATATTTTAAACCTTGTTGAACAGTTATCAGTTAGCGAGACGAAAGGAGAACGTAGTGGTAATATCCTATTGCATCCGTTAAAAGTAAAGCCACTGAAAATTTAAAACATAGTCTGACCCCTTTTCTCATCACCCTTTTCTCGAAAGTAGCCAAATCTCGAACCTATTCTCGAATCCAGAATAACCATGTGAATGCATACAGAATTGACAGCTTATCTCGAATTCAAGACTAAAACTACACATCGCTATCTCGAACCTTGGACTCGGTTTCAACTACTCAATTCTGTATCTTTTCCTCAAAGTTGGCATTCATTCGCCGCATTAACAGTTTTCAGAAGCGCAAATATGCATTTCATGTAAACTCATGTGAAATCAGGCATGAAGTCAAATAAAGTTGTAACATTGTCCAACCCAGTTTCATCCACAGAAGTTATAGACATTGAATGAAAACTAACATAACTTCCGAGGTTGTGTACAGCATTGTGACGCTAGTAGGCTCGCGAAAAACGTAAATCTACATCATTCCATGATATATGGCAACAGTAATATAAGATAATCAAGTGGCTATGAACGTTTAGCAGTATACCGTATTCCCGCTAATAAGGCCGGGTGTAAAGCAGCAGCTTAAGAAATATACGTTGGGACTCTAATAAGTACTGGGTCTGGAAGTCCGTTGAAGAAAATTTAGCGCCCGGGGCGCTTATTAGAGGAAATACGGTAGTTTTACACATAGTATGTTGTATGTGGTTTCAATCTGGATCACCAAAGCGGGAAAATAACACAAAAAGATATACAGAAGCCATACTAAAAGAAAAGTAAGCATAGTTGTGACCCGTCCGGTAATTAAGGAAAGGTATGAGCAAACAAAATGTATTCTATCGGAGGTCTCATTTGTCCCTAAGTCCAAGAATATATGTGGTTAAATGTTCATTCGACCCGTGAAGATCCGGGTTAGAATTGGACCTTGCAGGCTTGATTTACAGACAGCCATCATGCAGTGATATATGGGTGATCGTGGCCTTAACAAACAACCACACATACCCGTCCCTATAGCTCACCCTACACGCATGGTATTTGTGTAGTCAAAACTGAACACCCTGCCTATGTGTTTAATGTGTGTAAATAATGTAAATCTACTTCTTTTAATTCTATATTTACTTTGTTAAAATTTCTGGAAATAACAATTTTTACACTATTTGCTAACTTCCGTCTGGGTGTTCTGACAAATGACTGTATGCACTGCCTCAATTACCGACCCCCCACCCAGTGACCTTGAGCAACCTGTATAGCTGAACTATACCCGTATCTGTACCCCGAGCAAAGGGATGTAACTCCTCCTAACTTTGAAAGTATACCTATTATTAATACAATAAATAGTAAAAATATAAAAACTATGTTTATTCATACTCGCTCTAATTTACATACATTACAACAATCTAAGACCTCTCTTCATCGGATTTAACAAGCACTGCTGATTGTAAATATTAAACTTTCCTTTTACGACCCTATAAATCAATCGACATACAGTTATTTCTAGCGGTAAAAAGGCACACTCACGACAGAGTATCGAGTATGGGCTGCCCAGTACTCTGATAACGTCATATTACCTTCCCACAGATACTGACGGAGCTCACTGTTCTCATAAGGATAGTACTTTCTCGGATAACAGAAATCTTGAATGCTAAAGAAATACAATCATGACAACACCACTTGCAAATGCGGAAACTATTTGTGTTACCTTTTTCAGTGCTGCGGACAATTCACCACCTCTTCAATACTGAGCTGTTATCGATAAGAGACAGGACATCAGTCACTCTGAAACAATGTGTGCCACCACCACACTGCAACATCTGCATTTAAGCCACAGCGGAGAGGGAACATATGTCCTTTCCGGTTGACTGTCCATTTAACCCTATATACCTGATACATGTCATTGTGAAGCTATGGGAAACAGCGTTCGTAAACTATCATTCGTTATCTGTCCGTATCGCGCATTAAACACACTGAACAGTGAGTTGAAGGTTGTTGTGTAGGGTTTCCGTGTGAACACTTACATTAACCCTCACTGTTCTAAGTATCCGGTAAACCAAGGACCCAGCCCTTATCAAACAGGTAATTCATGCACCCAACAGGGTGAGGTCGGATGATGGTGAAAGTTTTTCGTCGGAGACAGGGGTATACTACGGAAGCGTCCTAGTGCCACAGTCTGAATTTTTTTATCACCTAATTAGGACTTATTATCTCCTAATTAGGTGATACTATCTCCTAATTAGGTGATACTATCTCCTAATTAGGAGTTACTATCTCCTAATTAGGACTTAGCTATCTCCTAATTAGGACTTAGCTATCTCCTAATTAGGAGATACTATCTCCTAATTAGGAGTTACTATCTCCTAATTAGGACTTAGCTATCTCCTAATTAGGAGATAGTATCACCTAATTAGGAGATAGTATCTCCTAATTAGGACATAGTAAGTCCTAATTAGGAGATAAAAAAATTCAGACTGTGGCACTAGGACGCTTCCGTAGTATACTGCTCAACGCAAATTGCATCTTGGGTGATATAGTTTGAATATAGCTGATAGCAAAGTAAAAACACTTATGCTCACTGCGCATGACATCTGAAATCGGCGGCGCGCAACGAGTATCACCGCTTTAATAATCCTCATCGACCCAGTCTCAAGACTCCTTGGGGAGTACCTAAAACTCGCCGCCTGTTCTTGGGAGGGACCAACGTATATAAATAGCACTGTCTATCAATATTTATAGAGTGTGTGGCGCGACCTGTACGTGAACTAAACGAAGCTGAAGCTTTCTATGAACTTGAAGATTTTAACATCAGAATGAACAGGAAAAGTTTATAGTTAGACAACAGACAGACTATCACGTCATAATATGTTGCCCAGCTGGGCCCCGTTCCTCAAAGCGATCGTAGCGCTACGACTGTCGTAAGTCTATGTTAGAGTATGGGAGTTACGATCATCGTAGCGCTACGATCGCTTTGAGGAACGGGGCCCTGAAGACAAACGCAGGTCTGTTGACATCAGGTGCAAGTGTTGATGTGAATGCACACCCGTCCCAGATATTAGATCTTTCCAAGGTAGATCTCACAACGAGGGAGCTTTAACCAAACACGAAGTTTTTACTCCAGCCTTCCCAATATGTTTTGTTACAACCCTTCGAACAATGGGAAGGTTCTGAGTGAATACCCACAAGCAATGCAAGCAGGAGCCTGGCCTCCTGTACTGGAACGTCTCAGCTGAGTTACCTGTCGATGTCGGCTTATTTACACTGTAATCAGTCACGTTTGAGTAAACGTCCGATATCCAAGGGACACACTCTATATGTTCTCTGTGTAACTCTATTTAACTCATATGAATAGATATATAGTATGACCAGAAATTATTGAGAATTTTAGGAATATGTTGTTTAATTGGATTTCTAGTATAAACAACCTTGACCAGCTATCAAGTGCTTGGTTTCATTCAAGAGATACAACTCCGTTGATCCTTTTTCATTAGTTTGTGAAGAGTTATCCCCCTTTGTTTACTTGCTAGCAGACGACATTTTCAGTGATCCCCAGTATGGATGATTTAGAGAAGAAGAAGTTGATTTTAGAGTATTATAACAAATACATCAGATCAGCTAAAGTGATTTCAAGTAGAACAGGCATCCCTTTGTCCACTGTTTATCGTGTTTTGAAAAATATTGCAAATGGATATGGCATTGAGCACCAGGGAGGCGCAGGTAGGCCCAGACAATTGAATGTCGGTGACAGGAGGCGGCTTGGTATTCTTGTTTCTAAAAACAAACGAAGGAGTTTAGAAAACTTAAGGCTGGATATGATTGATAGAGGAACTGTGGCTGTCTGTAAGGAGACAATTAGAACTGAGCTGCATGCAATGGGTGTGCAGAAAAGTCGAGGAATCCCATCACCGATCATGAAACCTGAACAAAAGGAGCTAAGGTTGAACTGGTGCTTACAGCATAGAAATTTTAACTGGGACAATATGATTTTCTCAGATGAAAGTTCTGTGTGGCTGTTTCCTAATACACTGAAATTCTGGACCAAACAAACTGAAAAACCTTTGTATCAGCGCCCAAAGTACAGTCCGAAATTTAAAGTGTAGGGTGGCATATCTGTGTTAGGGACAACACCTCTCAGTGTATATGAAGGGAATATGAACAGTGAGCGGTACACAGATATTCTCGAGGGACATTTACTTCCATCTGCTCACGTGTTCTATGGAAATATTTTATTTACCAGCAGGACGTTCGACCTAAAACATCGTTCAAAGCTTTCACAGGCCTGGTTTCGGACCCAAAATATGACATTATTAGAACGGCCAAGCTATAGCCCTGACCTAAATCCAATAGAAAATGTTTGGGGACTTTGAAGGAAAGTGTCAATAAGAAAAATCTAACAAATATTGCTGAAATGAAAGAAGAGGTGGTCCGATATTGGGACAGCATGGACCACGATTTTCTAACTTCTTTGATCAGTAGTATGCCCCGCCGCATTGAAGCCTGCATTGCTGACCATGGTACGTGACTTGACAAAATAGTAACTGTTCACCTGTCTTTGAATCTGGAGTTATGTTCTGCTAATATTCACATTTAATACGTGAGTAATGAGTGAAAAAACAACAACATACAATCTTTAAATTCTCAATAATTTATTACAATTTTATTCGTTCATGAACTGATAAATAGGATTCCCAGAAATTATTGAGAAAGTTGTTTCGGCAAATATCTAATACATGTATATAAGCTATTGAAGTTTTACTTAAATGAATAGGTTGAGATATGATTCTCTTGCAGTCTAAGTGTCTTTTCAGTACTTTGTGACATATCCTTGCCCTGCAATACACGACTGAATGCGCCCAGTCTAAGTAAACTTAGGCTCAATATTATTCGTTACACTAATAGCAGTGTAACGAATAATACTGAGCTTAAGTTTACTTAGACTGGAATGCGCCATGGTACACTATCGATCAAAGTTTGTAGGAAATCGTGTGACAGCGTATCCCAATATTCGACCACTTCCTGCTTCATATCCTTAATATCTCTAAGTCCTGTTTGGTCTGTTCTGTCCTTCATTAGTCCCCACACATTCTCAACAGGGTTAAGATCTGGGTTGTAGCTGGGCAAGTCTAAAACTTGAACATTTTCGTCCAACATCCATTGTGTAGGCCGCATGTGGAAAATCCAATTCATATAGTGCCCTTGAAGGAGGTGACCAACATATCGTTCCTTCGTCAGATTTGCAGTGAAATAAACAACGGCGTCACTCCACGTGATTATATCCCACCACCCAACATGTGAAATTTCGGGCTATGTTTTGGACGTTGGTAAGTAGGTTTCACGGTATCTTTTGTCCAATTTTTGTACAGTTTGGAAAAAGCCATACATAACTTTCATCAGAAAAGAAAATATTGTTCCAATCTTGATTTTCGTGAGCCCACACCAGTTTAAACGTCTTTCTATTTGTGCATCTTTCATCAATGGTGAGGGATTTCCGCGCTTTTTCACCCAGTTAAGTCTTTGTAATTCTTGTCTAAGGGTTTCATTACATACCTGATGACTTCCTTTATTAATCATCTCATTTCTGATATTCTCAACTCTTTTCAAGTTTCCCCTACTCACAATCTGACCAAGTCGCCGTCCATTGTACAGAACTTCCTTGGCCTCCCTGCCCCTGTCTTGTGCTCAATCCCAACTCCTGAATATTCTTCACAGTTCTGTATATTGTAGACAGAGGAATGTCATGTCTACCAGCTAACCTATTTACATTAGTCACACCCCTTTCAAAATCATCTGGAACTAGCTCTCTTTTCTCTTCTGCTGTCAAATCTGCCATGTCAACATTGGAAGCCGTCTGCTACACCAGGGGAGATAACTCCGTTTAAGGTTCATTCTTAAGCCTACAAGAGGTGCCTCCCATATTAAGTACTTTACCACATAATATAATAAATAGAATATTTTGTTAATGTTGTCAAATAACATGTATATTTCAATGAGTGGTCTGACAAAGTTGATATGTTCACGTGAACATATCAACTTTGTCAGACCACTTGATGAAATATACATGTTATTTGACAACATTAACAAAATATTCTATTTATTATATTTTGATCATTGTTTATAAATGATGAAGACATCGAGACATTCTCTTTAATCAGAAAGTAGTTTTCAGGCAAAAGTGATATTCTACTCAGTGAAAACACCAATTCTATTTTCACTATTATTTACAGTATTTCACCCTTAAGAATATAATAAAAAACCTATTCTAAAATTCTATTATCAGTAATAGGAAACAAAGAATTTCTCAAAAATTTCTGGGAAAACTGTATATTTGATAATTGGATAAGGGAAGCCACATTTTCCAAAAGTGCAATGGCATTTTGTAACTCTGTAATTGTGTACAATTGAAAAAAAAGCTGAAAAGTTTTGCACTTATCTTTATTTGTTATGATATATACACATGTGCATACAGACACCACCAAAGTTTGGTACATTCAAACATATGTACAGTACATGAATTCGAACATGCACGCATGAACACACATATAGAATTTGTGGTACTTTCACACATACATTTATACATTTACGACTTTGTGGTACATTTACACATAAATACATGTACATGCATTATCAAGGATGAATTTGTGGTACATTCACACATACACAGGTGCATTAATGAGGATGAATTTGTGTTACACACACACACAAACACACATTAAGTAGGATGAATTTGTGGTACATTTACACATAAATATACGCATTAACAGGAATGAATTTGTGGTACATTCACACACACATAAATGCATGCATGCATGCATGAACACACGCACGCACGCAGACATCTGAACAAGTGTGGACAAACCTGAAACCATTGATACACATACCACTTATGCCTTGAAATGATCATGACATCACAGGTTTTGATTTTATCATTTACTAAATGTTGTTGTCATGTATTATACAATTATACAATATATTATAAATTATTACCTGGTAATGGTCACCAAAATGTCATATTCTACACGATCCTTGGTTCCTTGTTTAAGACAGGGTATATATTTTGTCTGTAGTTTATGTCTCTGAAAAGAGCATCCAATAATATTTCTTATATCCACAAAACATTTTTTCAGAGTATTCAAGAAGTCCAGTATTTTTCAGCAATTTCAGGAACAGAATATTTTATTGAAAGATCACAATGGCCAGTCCCTTAGAAAGGAAAAACAAACTCTTCTTTGTATATAAATGATTTCACTTTTATTCATACAAAATATCAGATAACTTACAAAGTCTCAAGTATTATATAATTATGGAATAATTGAAGAAACCTTTCACAATCATTTTATATAAACAGCAGTGTTGTACTGTTCCAAAGAAATTGTCCCGTAGAACTTTTTCCGAACTTAATGATGACTGGCAAATATTCATGTCCCTTGTACCTTAAAGACATACACAACACTACCTGTCAGAAAGATGGTATAACGGATTAACAAGGTCCTGACTAACATGGTGTCACTGTATTTCCATGTCATATGAGAGCATCCTGAAAAGCAACTGACAAACCGCTCAATAACGCTGTGCTATATATAATATATATCCATGAAATAGAGCAACAGAATCAACAAGGCTCCTATTCATTTCAACAATGAGTATTTATGTATGAGGTATCATACATTTTGTCTACATACATGCAACATCATCATCATCATCTATAAAGAAGGTCACAGACCATTACGACAATGAAAATATACTGAGGGAAACAAATAAGGGAACACCACTTCATGGCAGTGTTCCTTTATTTATTTTCAGATTTCCCCCCACAGCAATATTCAAAGCTGGAGATAAAAACTAGAAAATATTAAAGAACACTTGAATTTTCCTGTGTTTCTTTATTTGTTTCTCTCAGTATATCTGATGTGCAGTATTGTAAGTGATGAACCTCTGCTTGGGAAACTGCATGGTGGTGTTGTTGGTTCCGATGGTACACCACCAGGGTAACAGTAAACTCCGTGTAAGGAGTGTTAATGCAAACACTGCCGAATTTGTTTGTCCTTTGGCAGTGAAATCATGTCACTTTCTGTTCCATGTTCTTTTCAAGTTTCACAGAGGCATCGCATGATGATTGTTTGATACAGTTAGAATGGCAACAGTTGCATTCATGTGTATCAAATGATGCTAAAATCAACAACAGGCACATGTATCAGGCATCAGGAACGTATCAAAAATATGCCAGAGAAACATCAGACATCATGCAACCATCACACACACAGACATCAAATTGGCATCAGACAGATATCTATCACACATTATCAAACAGACTTGAGACAGATATCAGACATATTGCATCTTGGACTCCAGCTTCTTCTGCATGTCTTCTGCCTGTAGTTGTTCGAGGGTGAGGAGGGACAGGCCCAGCTGGTCCTCCTGGAAGTCACAGAAAGTCAAGGTCAACCATTGCAGTTTGGATAAAACGGCAGTTACAAATCACACTTATTACAAAAGCAGAATGAATAGGAAATCTACAAAGCAAGTGACTTATAGATCCCATGAAATACTTCGTATATACCCTTCACGTTCTTGTCCTTACCCTGGAAGTTCTTGCAAACATGGTGAATGGTGGAGCCACCAACTGATGGTCTATGCCAATCCTGGTGAATGGTGGAGCCACCAACTGATGGTCTATACCAATCCTGGTGAATAGTGGAGCCACCAACTCATGGTCTATACCAATCCTGGCGAGTTGTGGAGCCACCAACTGATGGTCTATACCAATCCTGGTGAGTTGTGGAGCCACCAACTGATGGTCTATACCAATCCTGGTGGGTTGTGGAGCCACCAACTGATGGTCTATACCAATCCTGGTGAATGGTGGAGCCACCAGCTGATGGTCTATACCAATCCTGATGAATGTTTGAGGCACCAACTGATGGTCTATACCAAATCGGGTGCATGTTTGAGGCACCAACTGATGGTCTATACCAATCCTGATGAATGTTTGAGGCACCAACTGATGGTCTATACCAAACCTTATGTATGTTGGAGGCACCAACTGATGGTCTATACCAATCCTGGTGAGTGGTGGAGCCACCAACTCATGGTCTACACCAATCCTGGTGAGTTGTGGAGCCACCAACTGATGGTCTACACCAATCCTGGTGAGTTGTGGAGCCACCAACTGATGGTCTATACCAATCCTGGTGAATGTTTGAGGCACCAACTGATGGTCTATACCAAACCTGATGAGTTGTGGAGCCACCAACTGATGGTCTATACCAATCCTGATGAATGTTTGAGGCACCAATTGATGGTCTATACCAATCCTGGTGGGTTGTGGAGCCACCAACTGATGGTCTATACCAAACCTGATGGGTTGTGGAGCCACCAACTGATGGTCTATACCAATCCTGGGGAGTGGTGGAGCCACCAACTGATGGTCTATATTTAATCTTCTTAAAAGGTGGGGCGGTGGGGTAGCCTAGTGGTTAAAGCGTTGGCTCGTCACGCCGAAGACCCGGTTTCGAATCCCCACATGGGTACAATGTGTGAAGCCCATTTCTGGTGTCCCCCGCCGTGATGTTGCTGGAATATTGCTAAAAGCAGCGTAAAACCAAACTCAGTCAGTCAGTCAGTCTTAAAAGGTGATGCATGTGCGTACCCTGCTGAATGGCTGAGCCATCATCCGTAGAAACTTCTTGGACACCTGGACAGCCTCATCAATGGAGAGGTTACAGAAGTGGTCATTCAGGTGTTCCTGGATCCATCGAGGTAGCTTCCCACGCTTGTCTGCTCTTGCAAATCTCTGTCAAGGAGGAGCAATAGCAGTTTATACTCAGCAACCAAATGTTTACAGTGATGAATTGTGTATAATTGTGCAAAGGGCAAATGTAAGTTGAATACATTTCGAAACAAGTTTTACGATGAATTTTATTTGACCAGGTTGAGTGCAGGAATCTATTTCTCACACACCAACACCATGTCAACAAAGATGGCACATGGATCCATTTGCTCACAATATACGATTAGTAAAGGTTTACGACCTATTCAAATCTTGAATCCCCATAAGGATGAAGGGATTGATGCTCATGCTGTTGATCACTGGATTGTCTGGTCCAGACTCGATTATTTACAGACCGCAGCCATATAGCTGGAATATTGCTGAATGCGGCGTAAAACTAAACTCACTCATAAGGATGAAGGATTTGTATCAAAGAACAATTTTTTTTAGTCATTGTCTAAAGCAGTACTTAGCAATATTTCACTTCTGTAAATAATCAAATCTGGGCCACACAATCCAGTGACAATATGATGACATGTATCAAGCAAGTCAGTGACCACCTGATCCCGTCTCTCACAACAAGTATGAGTTATTGAAGGCAACATTTCTAACTCAGATGTTCATAGGTTCCTATGAACATAGTATCAGGGTACACATGGTACACATGGTACACAATAAACACAGGTAGTACTGTGAACCTGAAGCAGGACAAACTACTAGTATATACACTACACATTAGAATTGTACAAAATACACACTTTTTTAGAAAAGAGTGAAAATGTGAAAATGTTATTTTTGGTATAAAACCTTCTTAGTCAAGTAGAGATTCTTGTATTTTGGGGTTGAGTCCCGTCTGAGATTCGAACCCACAGTCTCAGAGTCAGGCACCTAATTGCCAACATACAAAGTCAGTGATCAATCCGCACAGCCATTGTGGGTCCCACAAATCTAGAGTTGCGGTTGGGTAGCCTAGTGGCTAAAGCGTCTGCTTGTCACGCTCAAGCCCCAGGTTCGATTCCCCACAAAGGTACAATGTCACTTATGTGTGAAGCCCATTTCTGGTGTACCCATCCATGATATTGCTGGAATATTGCTAAAAGCAATATAAAACCATACTCACTCACTCCACAAAACTAGAAGCCTAACAACAATCTATATCACATATTTTCTGATATGGCCTATTGACATGGCTACAGTGCCAAAACTATGAAAACACAATGCCATTTTAACAAGTGGTTAAGTGTAACATATTATATTTATGATTACACTTTCTCGACAAAGCACCAAAATCTGTATTATATTGTGAAAGTGTAATCCAAATATAACTGTTACATTTCACCACGATCAAGAATCATCCCAATGGAAACATCCCTAAAAGACACGGGGATGCAGAATAATGTAGGATGTTGTGTTGCATACCTTGTCTGCAAGAACCATGATGCCATAGTCAGTTTTCCCTCGCAGAGCTCTCCCCATGCACTGGGCTGCATGCCGCATAGCGTCAAATGTCAGGAAGTCGTTCTCACGTATCTGGTACTGGTCTCGCAGATACTCGAGACGGGCCTGTATCAGTATCATATGTATCATCTGTCAGCTTAAAACACTTTAAATAACATGAAACAAGCATTGAAATTCAAGGAGACATTTGTCAACATTTTTAAAATTGCGAAACACTTCCTGAAACATTTGATTGTGACAGTGTGAACCGTGGTGAACTAAAGACAGTATTATAACATTTTTTACAATGACCTTCACACATTTTCAACAGGAAATCAAAATATTAATGGCCGGTCACAGTCTCCATAAAACAATACACGTCAGCTAGCTGGTTGTACATGTGGTACGTAAACTATCACATCACAAACTTTGACCTTGTATACTCTTATCCTCACAACTAAATGGAATATCATTTTGATGAATTTATTGCACTTGTTATGAGTGGAATAGTCAGGACCAATATGAGATGAACATTTGCATTTTAGTTTGTGTGCAATCAGCCTATTTACAATGTAGAGACATCAAATTTGTTTTAGTTGATAAATTAAAGTGCACTGTTTTGAATAATATTCCAGTTTTATCCCGGTAGGTCAGCTTAATGTGGGATGAATTCCTGAAGTGATGGATGTGGATGGCAGTCTGTGTGTTTCCGTCATCTCCTTAACGACAAGCTAAGGAAACTATACTTTTTCATTGATTTGATAATATGTTTGATTTTAAACTGAAAATATCTTATGCTAGCATTATTAAATATATAATGCATTCTATATTGGCACTTAGTCATCAGTGAAAGAATACTACTACATTGTTATATTTTTTAAGATACAATTTGATTTAAAACTTAAAAAAATTAAACTTACATATTTGGCCAAAAACACAAATGCTGATGGTTTTCTAGAATGATATCTTTGAAAATCAATAAATGTGCATATTTCAGCAGAAATGTACAATTCACACACGGTGGGGGATCTGTGGTTTAACTTATTTCTTCACCAATCTTTCCTGAACCAGTGTATGTTTCACATGAAAATTATCCAGCCACAGATTACTTCTTACTCTTGCTGGAATGAGTGATTGTTAAATAGATGTATTTATATTTTACAAAAACATCTTTCCATTTTCAGTCATACACGATAACAAACTTGGTATACTTTCTTCTGCCCTTCAGTTTATTTAACACGATTTACATGAATAGAATATCATGAGTTGACTGAATCTGAAAATGCAACCATTCTAACTAAACTCTAAACATAATAACTAAAATATGTCTGAAAACATGAAACCCTGTAATCTCTGAAACCAATGGCTCAGATGGAACAACACCCCAGCCAGACTATAACCCTGTTTGCCCACATTGTCCCAGAACCAAACCTATCTCAGCTGTTGTACAGCTGGCACTAAGCCTGGGGTACAGGGTGCTGTTGTACAAACCTACCTCTGCGCTAAGTCTGTCATAAATCTGTGGGAGTTACAATCACCTCGTATCCATGAAGATCCGGGTTAGAATTTTGTCTTCAGCAACCCATGCTTGTCGTAAGAGGCGACTAACAGGATCGGTGACTTGGTTGACACATGTCATCATATCCCAACTGCATAGATCGTTGCTCATGCTGTTGATCACTGGATTGTTTAGTCCAGACTCGATTATTTAAAGATCAGCACCATATAGCTGGAATATTGCTGAGTGTGGTGTAAAATTAAACTCACTCACTCACTACAATCACCTCAGCGCGCTAGATAACTTTGTACAACGGCACCCAGGGCAATAACTCTGTATTTCAGTTGTTGGTAGGTTTAAAGACATATTTGATGATACAGATGAGGACATTTGTATACATCACACTCCGGCACAGAGATGACTAACATAACATCACTGCAACAGGCTAATTTGCATATCACGTGACCAGACTTTTCTCTTGTTTGTAAACAAACGCGCATATTCATAATAAGAAGAGACTGGACTCACAAAAGCTTTTCGGTGCTCTCTTCATATTGTTTTACATTGTTACATATATATTCTTCCACAACTGCGACAGTAAGGTCTATGACAGTACATATTTAGATATCAAACTGGCTGCATCGTTTGCTCTCCATCAGCTTCGATGATAGCACGTGGAGCCGTACAACCTATGTAAACAAAGAATTGCTACGCAAATAGAAATAGTGTTACATGTTTTTGGATATTTTCTCAGTGAAACTAAACCATTCTATTAAAGATGTTTAGTTAGATGTGTAGACTCGTCAAAAATAAAAGAGTAAAAGAAATCTGTACATGATATTGAATGGACATTGCAAGATGTGACGAATCTTCATATTTTTCTGGCCTGTGGCAGAGGTACTATGCTGGCTTGCCGCATGGAACTCTGGGTAAGAGAGTGTTGTATACATCTGTCAACTCATCCTTGTTGAACTGCACTAAATAACATCAGCATCTCTTTGCTCCTACCTTGAGGATTCTGCTCTGAGTGTAGACATAGGGAACGCCAAACATGATGACAGCTCGGCCAAAATGGTGGTCTGGAAAAAATACATAAAGATGAAAAGAGATTTGAGGGTGGTAGATCTGACTGGATAGGGATAGAAGGAGAGACAGCTATGAATTTTAGTTTTGAAAAAGATTTATTAAATTAAACAGAGATTTGAGAGTTCAATTTAAAGGGGGATGGAGGGAGATACAGCTTTGAATTTTAGGTATGAACATAATATGTTCCATACATATATTTATATATACTCTGAAAAAATAATAGGAGACACTTGGAAATATTTTACAAACTGTAAGAGATATTAGTTCCTAGTAAAAGATGTATGATAATGAATGAATAGGGAATTCATTACAGCCAGTTGTGAAGTATGACAGTAGATCTTATGATTGCCAATATTCTTGAAGGATGATAGGGGTAAGATTGAAATTTCAAAGATTTTGATCAGTAACATGTAATTCTACTTAAAAGTGTCAAATATTTATTCATATGAACTTATGACAATTTAAGGGAGTCTGTCCCAATCCTCCTGCAGTGTGTGTCCAACTTCGGACAACTGGTCCGTGGCCTACGATGCACACGGCTTCCAATTACCCAGTATATTCCAGACAGAAATATATGCAAACATCTCAGCCACTAGACAACCCCCACCACCTTGAAATATTTCTGGGAGCACCTTATAACAAATTAATAAATAATAATAATATAATGGCTATTCATAAAGCACCCGTTTCCACGCAACTGTGCATGCTGAAAGCGCTAACTCATTATTACCCCAGATTATCCAAGCTGCCTGTGAGGTGCTTGAAGGTTAACAGTCATATGACTTATTCCACCGGGTACCCATTCACTGCTGGTTGAACAGAGGCAATTCATGAACAAACTCACTTTCCTAAGGTGAAACCACATGTGTGCTAGGACTGAAGTCCCAGGAACTTTCAGGAGTCAAGCTGCCAGACACGGTCACCCATCCAAGGACTCTCCGTGACCAACGGCTCTATGCACAGGACCACACACCACCACATTGTATGGCATTTAGGCATCTATGAATCTTGAGAAACATACTCACCAAAGTCTATTCCCTCTGAAACCTTTCCTCTGGCTACTGACAACAGCACAGCTCCTCGACCATTCTCACAGGCCTGATACGTAAAAACACTCTGTCAAATCTTCACAGAAAATCTGTGTTTTATTTCCTACTGGAGAGCATAATAAACATAAAAAAGCGATCTTATAATCTGTGAGGTCAAGGTCACATCTATTTGCAATCATTTTTATTGTAATGGACATATCATAGACTTAACATGTAAATACAATTGAAATTAAAAACATCTTATCTTAAAAACATGTTATCTCTAATTCATTTATGAGTGAGTGAGTGAGTGAGTGGGTGGCTGGGTCTGGGTGAGTGAGTTGGGTTTTACGCCATTTTTAGCAATATTCCAGCAAATATCACGGTGGGAGACACAAGAAATGGGCTTCACACATTATATCCATGTGGGGAATCGAACCCAAGTCTTCAGCTTGACGAGCAAACGCCTAAAGCACTAGGCTATCCCACTGTCCAAATTCATTTATGAAATATTGCTATAAATTAATATTGGTGATGACAAGTGCTACAAAACAACATTTCAAACAAATATTTCTTTCAGGAATGAGACTGCTGAAATCAGCAGAAATCATATCATTATTGCTACTTTGGGATGGTTAACTTTCAGCACTACGACATTCATAAGCCTAAGGTAAACTATAGAATTATGACAGGTCGTAACATTATGAATGCTTCGTGGAGCTGGACCCTGATCTGTGAATGTAGTGAGTAAAACATGCTACAGAACAACTTCTTTGGATGGTTCTGTTAGAACAAATCCCCCCACCTTCTGATAGTTCAGCAGAGCTAGTGACGTCTCCGCAGCGTCCTGTGTCTCGATGAACAGCAGCTTGTGCTTCTGAACCTGGTCTATGATGCCCTGCAAGATGTAGATGATATATCCATGCAACTCATCTCAATAACAATGTCAAAAGTTTGATATCAGATAACCCTCTTGGGGAATAAAATGGCATCTCAATCACAGACACAAAACAAGTTAAACAAGATAGAAATAAACATATTACACTAGAAATGTCCATTGTTTAACCTATATTTAACACATTATGATGCCATGCTACTTTGGATGCAATTAAATTCACTGCCTATAATGAGTGTGGTTTGTTCAAGTAGAACTGACCTATCTGTAGATCATTACTTACAGTTGTAGAGAAGTTATATTTTGACCACAACATGGCAGAAGTCAATCAAAGAAAATTGATGATTCCTGAAGTAGAATCAACAATTTTCATGATTTCTCGACTCTGGGACTTTTGAGCTGCTCTGTTAATATACTGGTTTTCCAAAAACATCACCTGGCTTGTGTTATTCTGAGATGCAATATCCTGGGTTCTCTCCCTTGACTAGCAATGCACACCCAGCGAGCTGAGTGAGTGGATCTCATGATACTGTATAGACATGCTGTTACTGACACCTGACAATCTTGACAACCCATCAGCTATCACTAACAGTCAATCACTTACAACCAATCATTGGTAATCACTTGCAGGTAATCACTTGTCAACATCACTGGGGTTTTACCAATGGAAGCATAATCCTTGTCTGTTGACAAGTCTATTCTGCTATATAGAGATATCATGACACCTGTTAATGTCATCAGGGATTGTATGATGATGTATTATTCCATCACTGACAAAAATATACTACATACATGATAACAAAAGTCAGTAATTGACTACTGAATATACCAAAAGGTTGATTATTAATACACTACCATCATCAAAGGTCAGAAAGCCCAAACCATACCATTAAAATAATGAATGTTTCAGATGGACATAATACCACAGTTGCATTTACAACTATTCAATGTATATGTTTACTCAGGGCCCAGTTCCTGAAAGCGATCGTAGCGCTAAGGTGATCGTAACGCCCATACTTTAACATAGACTTACGACTGTCGTAGCGCTACGATCGCTTTGAGGAACGGGACCCTGATGTTTAACAAAGTTCAGATGTGGTACTGCTGGCCTCATGGCTAGAATTATAAAATATATCTGCCCATAATCTATAAGAAAAACTTTCCCCTTGCTTTCTGAACATAAAAAGTCAGAGTTCCAAAGCAACATTGTTTACCATTCATGATTCCAGCTGTGTTTTATCAAAGTCTTAAGCTTCCTGGATTCTTCAAGAATGTTCAGAGCTTGATTTTAATGTTTTCAGAAAATGAACATTGTATAAGCCATGACCAATCCTATCCCAGTGCTATAAGTTTCAGCTTCATTCCTCAGAAGGGAAGGAAGACAATTTGTTGCAGCATCTCAAAAACCTTCTGACTGAGCATAAAGTTAAAAAAGGATGATTATCCTGGCCTACTGTACTGTAGTGTTATCACCTATTCATGAAAGAAATAGGCATACAAGCTACAAGCATTTCATTGTCAATTTCAAATACCTGTTTCCATTTACAATTGCACATGCAACTCAACACACACCAAAGAGTTCTGTGCAAGACTTGAGAAGCATGCATGTGATGAAAGCAGGTTACATAACACATGAAAAGAGACAGGCCATTGTCTCACAGCAATCAAGGACACCTGGATATATCACATATAGAGTTTAGCAAAACAATCTTTGCTATCCACTTCTAGCAAAAAGACTGAGCAGGTATGTTTTATGCCCTCCATATTCCAGCATAATAAAGCTAAGGACTATTATAATGGCCTTCAGACATTGGGCAGGCTTTGGGGGATGACAAACCATAAACATAGGCTGTCCTTCATGCAAGAAGAGGCATGTTTACATATTTCTGTTTCTCAGTTTCATGTTACTGATTATTTTCTACTGTAATCTGAGCTGAAGTTTTCTTATAACTTGAGTGCACATATTACATAATTAATTGAAGACATAGCAAGCTCTTGGAAGGTGTAAATTGTGTTAAAATAATTATTTTGAGTATCATTGATATATCAGATAAATATTAAAGCTTAAGGCATGTTTAGTTTGTGAATTAGACATTACTTTAAAAGTGAATTAATAATAAAAACCAAAATAAGTGTGGCTATTATCTCCAAAAACAATTTACATGTCCTATAGAAATAAGATCACTCTTACTGTCAATGATCACAGGATTATCTTCCCATTCTTAATTAACTTCCCTGAAATAAAATGTGTTTAAAGAAGAGTGTCATCAATTTTATCCCTATTGAGGATGAATGTACACTTCATTGACCTTAACAATGACACCAATCACCAGGCACTCTTCACTCAAGTTAGTGAGCTTGGCTTCAGTCCACCTGAGAAGCCCAACCAATCACCTATCATCAGGCAAAGACAAAGACCCAATCAAAGCTGGCACCGAGATCACATGACCAGTAAGTGTCAATAGAGGCAAATATGTATAAGTACTGAACTGCATGCCCAAAAGGGTAAATACAAGCTGACTTACACATTACACATCAGGCCCAGGTCACCAAATTTTCATTATCTGTGTCATGGCTGATTCAAATAGAGGGAAAATGTACCACACCAGTGGTCAGTCTTCGAAAATCCCAGATTTCCTGACTGCCATGGTGGCAGGTACTTATGACATACATGAAGCCAGCCGAAACTTATCACAGCTTCAGGAACAAATGCCGAAAACCAAATGGGTTAGCCACATAGGTGCCTACCAGGACAGACTCCATCACAAGGTTGAAGTGACTTCAACGGATTTGTACGCCCGTCAACCGTACCACCATTCACCCCACGTGAAGCGAGAGGACTGGGGAATGTATCCGCCCTGGTCCGCCCTCTCTCAGTGTCTGCCCATAGACTCACCCCAGCGCCACCAGGAGTATGCTCCAGTCATTGCCTACTACCCCGTGACAGAAGCTCCTGACTGCATGTACGGACGCTGCTCAACTCCGGACATCATCCAGACAGTTCTACAGATGGACTCTCATGATGCGTCTCCGATTGGGAAACAGATGAGCCCTCAAAGCCTCCCACAATCCCCCCCCCATCCCTGGCATCACCTGTGATGAGCCCCTGTGCCTCCATCTGGCGCAGCCCAGGAGGACGAGAGTATATGGACAGTGGATATCTCTCAGAAGACTCTCTACATTCACTGTCATCTTGTGTCTACCAATCAAAGGTGAGTTTCTAGGAGTTCATATATACTAACGTACAGAAAATACGCACCTTCCAATCATGCTTGTCATATTTTTTATATAAATATTATATTTCATATCCTTCACATATCCATATCCATTATGTGCCATTAAAAGACCAAATGCAAAAGTACAATATATTTCAGTACTTTATAATTTGTCCATCGAATATGACCCACTCCTAAGGAGAGTCATATGTTTGGTGACCCTTCCCTTGATTCCCCCACAACAAAGTTCCGAAGCTGAGCACATGACATGTTGTTATGATTAACAACTTTCTTGTATTCTTTTTCATACGACATTCATGTTCGTCCAAAGTCTAAATGCTTTTCAGGAAATTTAGTTCAGAAATTGTTAATACCTCATATTGGCCTCTGAGCAATCTATTTAATTCGGGGCTGTGGGGTAGTCTAGAGGTTAAAGCGCTGGCTCGTCACGCTGAAGACCTGGGTTCGAATCCCCACATTGGTACAATGAGTGAAGCCCATTTCTGGTGTCCCCCGCCGTTATATTGCTGGAATATTGCTAAAAGCGGCGTGAAACCAAACTCAGTCAGTCAGTCTAGATAATTCATTGAATTGTCTTCTGGAAAAATGTTGAAACCCAATAATAGATTGAGCAAACCATTTGGACAACCACCTTTCAGCATTTACATAGTTTATAAACAGGTTTCCCAACCACTGACAATGTTTTCTTCAATCTAGACTATCTATATTTGAAAGCAAACAAATAGGTATTCTTTCCAGTATCTTTCTGTAAACCATTTCCTGATTTCAACGACAAGCAAGTGTTCTTTCAAGTGGGTTTACTGTACTTCCTAATGAAGACATGTAAATGAATTTTAAAAATTATCAACAGGGCAGTGTGTGTGGAATTTGTAAGAATTACAATATGACATGCATCCCAAAGAAATATATCAATGTAGAATACTAAAAGACAGTTAAGGACTCCCTAATTGTTTAATATTACTTTAGTTACAGCAGGTATGACAAATTAATTAGTTATAGGAAAGAATCAGCTGGTCCTTAACCTATTTTTAATAGGATATACCATAACATGTTATTTTCCACATGCCATTCAAAGTATGTATTTCCACAGACTACAGAGACATCGCCCCAGATCCCAAGTTTTGCGTCATCCTTCTTCACGGTGCCATCCAAACAGAAGTCAGAGTCACATGCCTCTAATGGCATCAAACTTGGCACATCCATTAACCAAGCTACACCTAGTTCTACCAGGCTATCACACCATGTTGTGGCAACACCCTCCCATCAACCCTATCCAGCAGTATCCTGTGAGTCAGGTACCCCCATCCAAGTCTCCCAAGTGACATCCAAGATCTCCACTGTGACATCCAAGATCCCCACTGTGACATCCAAGATCTCCACAGTGACATCCAAGATCTCCCCAGCTCATATCAAGCATCCGAAGCAGACGTCACCCTCAATCCCTCCTGTCAACATCCAGTCTACTGAGGTTTCTACATCCGTCGAGAAACTCCCCCTTGTGGCAGCAGACGTCAAACCTCACTGTAAGCCCAGCAAGAGGAAGCGGTCAGGTGCAGATCAAGCAGCAGATGATACAAGCTACAAACGTGGACGACACAATGAGCCCCTGAATCACCGAGCAATCATGATCATGGTGGAGTGGTACAATGCACATGGTGAAAACCCATACCCCAACAAACAGGAGAAACTCAAAATGGCCACCGAGGGAGGTATCACCATGTCGCAGGTGAAGTCCTGGTTTGCAAACAAGCGAAACCGCAGCAACAACACCCGTCCTAAAGTGGAGAAACAGCATTTACAAGAGCGTCTGCTCACCATATGTCATTCACTATCCAAGGAGGGTCTGAGTAAGTCAATGGATAATTCTTTTGTCATTCAACAACTCTCATCCCTCATCAACTCATCACAACAGTAGGGGCAGATAACTCTGATTTATTCATTCTAAATATTTAGATGGGAGATAAATCTAGATCTGTCTGCTTTTAATGAGTGTTGTGCCAATTGAAAATACTGTTTTATATAAGTTCAGGGTTATGTTTAATTTATGGTTATTGTGATATCATATTGCAAGTCTCTCTTGCTCAGTGCTATATATACATAAGTGCTATGTAAATATAATGATGTAAATACATTTGTATATATATGTGTGATATGGCTTCTTATGAAACAGGAACTGTGATTTGCAAACATTGTGATAGCTCTCAAGTTTTTATCTACTGTGATCCAGTCTTAAGTAATTCCTATCATTCTCCAGATCATCGTAAAGTTTTAGTCATGAAACAATGTTTTATAGACATTGTTTTCCGATATTGTGGTGTGTATCATTGCTGAAATGTGTTACACTGAGTTTGCAATAGGTTCTAAGATAACTTGTACTATCGTACATGTACATTTTACTAATACATCATTGTAAAAAGCTTCATACATATTCATTGTGTTGTACAAAATGATATACATAAAGGATTTAAGTTAATGGCATTTTTAACTTATTTCTTAATAAAATCTCATAAACCTCACACGATGGTGTTTGTTTTCCTTCATTGATTTGAATGGATATTTTCTAGACTAAACTTAATATATTTCTATGCTGCTTCTAGCAATATTCCAGCAATATCATGGTGTAGACACCAGAAATAGGCTTCACACATTGCACACGTAGGGAATCGAACCCGGGTCTTCAGCGTGAAGAGGAAGCACTTTTACCACTTGGCTACCCCACTGTCCCTCCAGACAACTCCAACATTAAATTGAATGGATATTTTCTAGACTAAAGGAACATATCGCCACCCAGCAAACAATCATGCAACATACAGGAAGTTTGTTTGCTGTTTAATGACGCACTGTACCACGTAGTGTACAATGTATGGGGAACTATACTTCATGTACTTATTGAGACATCACCGAACTGTTAGTTCATACAGATAACACGCTTGATGATGAATCTTGCTATTGTCATGCTGTTTTTTTAAGTTCTTACTCCTTGGTGACTGAACCATGAAATTGAGCAGAAGAACATAAGTGGTTGTTATACAAGCACTATTAGTTGATGAAATATCCGTGTGTTCCCAGGGGTGGAAATAACCCATTGCCCAAAGTCCGAGTCCAGTGTAGTTTTTCTGTCGGGCAAGTAAATTCATATATCACACTGTACCGGCGTCCAGTTGATTTTCCAATGTTAATTATGTTGTTTATTTAAAAAATTCAACAAGAAAACGGCCGGTATGGTTGAAAAAATTTCAGGGCAAGTGATATCACATGTGCCATTGTACCGGAGTACACAAGCAATTTTAAAGTTATTTCCACCCCTGGTTCCGCTCTGTTTCACATCCCTGGTTCCGCTCTGTTCCACATCCCAATATTCATGTAACTAAGGAAGGCAAATCTGTACTGCAAATAGCTTGCACAGAATGTTTGAATTACCACCATACTGTCGGTCATTTACTGTGCCATATCATTGTGTCAGCTAGTGAGGGGGATATGGGAGTTGATGCAGTTTACGAACAAACAGTGAAACCCACGTGAATGAGCCGACAGACCAGTGATTATAATGAAGGTCTTAATTTTGGTAACTGAAAGATAAAAAAGGTGCCTTAACCCACTCGTTCATTTTTACTATTAATAATTTATTTTTTTTACCATCTGTATTTCCACAGTTTAATACATGTAGAATACATTCACATCAATATACTAAATATATACTTTCACCAATCACCATCATACTGACTGACTGACTGAGTTTGGTTTTACGCCGCTTTCAGCAATATTCCAGCAACATCACGGCGGGGAACACCAGAAATGGGCTTCACACATTGTACCCAAATCACCATCATACAATGAATAGATATCTTTGTGTATGTTTTGCATACCCTGTGTATCCAATAGTGGTAATAATGATTGAATACACTTACAATATGTTTTCTGATGTAATATTTTCAGTAAATAGATTGTGGAAGGATGTCCAGAAGGTAAAGGTGGTGAGGTGAGGTGAAATTGGGTTTAACGTCATGCTTGAGAATATTTCGCTCATATGACGACATGCATGCGTGTGTATGTGTATGTGCTGCTGCTTGTACTAGCCCAGACTGAAGCTGGTTTTATAGTGCTAGCCCACTGAGATACTATGCTGCAGTGAAGCATGAATACCCACTCAGACACAGTATACTGACTTCGAGCCGACCAGTCCTTGTTGTACCGACCATTAATGCTGAGCGCCAGGCAGGGACTAACAAGTACCATATTTTAACGTCTTTTGGTATGACGCGGTCGGGGACAGAGCCCGCGGGCGGACGCTCTAACCAATAAACCACGGAGCCGGCCAGAAGGTAAAGGACTCATTGTTACTGCATGTAGAGTAAGTATAATATTTTGTACACAGTATTTTGATATCTCCCTTACTACATGTTTGAATTACCCCCATACTGTCAGTCATTTACTGTGTCAGCTATGAGAGGGATGCTGGAGTTGATGCAGTTTACAAACAAACAGTGAAACCCACGTGAATCTGCTGACAGACCAGTGATTATAATGAAGGTCTTAGTTTTGTGAGTGAAAGACAAAAACGGTGCCTTAACCCACTCGGTCATTCTTACTATTAATGATAGCCAACTTTGATATAAATATCATTATTAACTTGTGACACTACAGCTCAGTCTTATTCCCCAAATTACACAACATACAAATGTGGTTGTCAACTTTTGTTTGTGCTTGACTGTCGGAACAACACAAGCTGCTGAAAGGTAAATATTAGAGTGAGTGAGTGAGTGAGTTGGGTTTTACGCCGCTTTTAGCAATATTCCAGCAATATCACGGCGGGGGGACACCAGAAATGGGCTTCACACAATGTGCCCATGTGGGGAATCGAACCCGGGCCTTCGGCTTGACGAGCGAACGCTTGAACCACTGGGCTACCCCACAGCCCCTAAATATTAGAGGATTTGATTGCTATCTTGAAAACAATGTTAAAACTGATGTTGGGAATTGGTTTAAATCTCATAATTGATGATTGATTCATAACAACCGATCAATCATCGAAAATAATTGGTTAGCGTCATTTATCAAATATTCCTGACTGTGTGTGTTAATGCACCAAAAATCTAGAAAAAACATGTAGTTCTTTTTTTTTTTTAAATTGCACAAAATGCATGTGCAAATTTAACATCTTTAAAGAATGATTAGTATGGTAGGAACATAAATTTTCTGGAGTCTTTAAGATAAATTCCATCATGACTTGGAATGAGCTTGTCGTGCTTATGAAATGTAACAGACAAAACCAACAAGAAGACAAAGTGATCAATATCCCCCGCAATGGCAAAATACTCTTCATGAATATGTCTACGAGGTATGATTATGTCAAATATTTAGGTGTGTATATAGAAAAGTGGAAGGAGAGTATTGAAAGGTTTTTAAAGTTCTGCTCCAGAAAGGAGCACTACCACCAGTTTCAGTGGAAGTCAAACTTGTTGCCATGGAAACACCAAAAAATATTTTATTCAGAATTCCCAAACTACCAAAAGGCAGCAGTACACCACCAGATCTATCCATGTGCCAAGTTTGGTGAAGAAATATTGAACGGTTTTAAAGTTCTGCTCCGGAAAAGACAAATGTGCACGGTCTGAGTCCATTTTAATACCCCCCGCAAAACGCATTGCGGGGGATACCCATGGGAAAAATATTGTTAATGCAAACAAGTGTTCCAGAATTGTTCGTGTTCGATTATGCTTGGTCGTTTAGTCACTGCGACCAATCTTCGATTATTTCAATTAATCGGACCACCACTAGTTAAAACCAACACCAAAACATAGCTCCTCTTGCAATAAAGAAATTGTTGGGGTGTCCTGAGATCTTTGGTTGGTTGGGTGATTAACGCCGCATTCGGCAATATTCCACCTATCTGTCAGGTCAGTCTGATATCTTTAGAAAGATGCAGACAGGTATCATATCACAGAATAAGGTCTGATTTGAATGAGATCGCTGTGTCACTACAATTATGTGTCAGCTGACCTAGTCATGACCAATCTGTACATATACAGTGAAACCTGCCAACACCAGCACCTGTCTAATCCGTCACACTGTCAAAATCAGCATAACATTTTGGTCCCGCCATTTTACAACGATATTATGATCACTAAAACATTGTCTAATCTGGCACCTGTCTATTCCATATTACGGCATGACTTTCCGGTCCCAACAAGCAATTTTAACTGTAATTAACACTGTCTAAACTGGCATGGGTATGAGCAGTCCAATCAAGGCCCCATAATCCAATACACTAATTAATCCTCTTGGCACTCTAAATAATCAGGAAGTAGTGATTGCGCGTGAATCAAACGCTCTAAGCCGGCATGGGTATGAGCAGTCCAATCAAGGACCCATAATCCTTAATCGCTAGACCCAAATTGTTTTAAGTTGTTGCACAATTACAAAAGATCAAAGGCATTATAGAGATAAAGAGAATGACAAGTGTAAATGGCAGCCATTTTGGAAAATGATCGTCACTGTCTAATCTGGCACCCTGTCTAAACCGGCATTTTATTTCGGTCCCGTGGGGTGCCGGTTTAAACAGGTTTCACTGTACATTCCACCACATCACGTGTTACAGCTAATCCTGGGCTGCAACAAGCACACAGAGGAACAGACGACAAGCCATCTACACACTGCAAACATTGCTACTCACCTGTTCATACCATGCTGCCACAATCGTTTCCTACAAAACAAAAAATATGTATGATCATGATGATGTGCAAAATGGTTGTTGGTTTGTTGTTTAACGCTGCACTCAGCAATATTCCAGCTATATGGCGGCGGTCTGTAAATAATTGAGCCTGGAACAGACAATTAACAGCATGAGCATCGATCTACACAACTGGGATACGATGACATGTGTCACCCAAGTCAGCGAGTCTGACCACCTGATCCCGTTAGTCACCTCTTATGACAAGCATGGGTTGCGGAAGACCAATTGTAACCCGGGTCTTCCTGGGTCTGTGCAAAATGAGATAGCACATTCTGTGACACATAATGCTACATTCACAAATGAGGATAATTAATTCATTGCCAGTTCACATACCATATTATCAAACAAAAAGCAAATGTCTACAAACTTTAGAACCCCAATATCATCTATTGAGTTGTGTTTGAGTGAAAAGTCAATACATTCTTCATGCTTACCATGTAAATATAGCTGGTAAAGAAACATGCTATTCCATCAGGTACAATCACTGACAGCTCCACTAGAAGGTTGCCATAGTTTCTTATCACAGCTGAAACAAATATAATATTCACTAACATTACTTCCTGCAAACTAATCTTTCACACAGACCAGTTGTGAACTAAAGTTATTGTTAATACTTATCCTGAAGCCAGCAAGCCATAACCTGACACAATATACTAGTCATCTACAGTTACTCCTGCTGTAATGGTCAAGCCATAACCCGACACAATTTACTAGTCATCTACAGTTACTCCTGCTGTAATGGTCAAGCCATAACCCGACACAATATACTAGTCAACTACAGTTACTCCTGCTGTAATGGTCAAGCTATAACCCGACACAATATACTAGTCAACTACAGTTACTCCTCCTGTAATGGTCAAGCTATAACCCGACACAATTTACTAGTCATCTACAGTTACTCCTGCTGTAATGGTCAAGCCATAACCCGACACAATGTGCTAGTCAACTACAGTTACTCCTGCTGTAATGGTAAAGGATGCTGATGCACATACCTATGTCTTCCCTAGTCTCGAACTTGGAGCTCATGGCCACTTGATCATTTCCTTTACTGACAATCTTAAAGGAAAAAAGAATGTTTTCTATTAGAGTAATCACCTCAGCTAATAACTGTGGTGGTATTTATTACATTGATGGCAATTTTCTACTGATCCCCTGATTTTATTTCAAATAACAATTCTGTGAATCATCTGAAAACCCCAGTCGAAAAACCCACAATAATATTTCAGCAGAAATTTGATTTTCCTGAAGCCATTCCTGTTAACAACAGGGTAAGGTTCCCCATCCTTCACTGAGAGTTCAGCCATGTAAGTCACACAATCGAACAAGATGAGCTTCCTTTTTTCTACAAAAGTACGCTCTGGTCACTCTTGTCTTGTTATTACCATCCTTCTGTAATTGCTTGTATCATGAATTTGTCTGATCTTATTGTTATGTGTTTGTTCCAGTCAATATATACATCTATGTTGGTCATATATATATACTGAGTCAAAAAAGAAACCTCACAAAATGTAATTTGAAAAATAATGAATAATTTTTCTCTGATGATACATCTATGTATCCGAAATGGGATCCCTGTCTCTCGACTCTAGAAAAACGTCGATCACGTGATCTTCGCATCGTTTGCATTGGCCTCAAGAATTGAAAAAACACTTTTAAACCACAGTTCTAACGGTACTTGAAATGCCACGATTGTCAAATGTGCAACGTGAATGTGCCGTTGGCATGTTGCAAGCGGGAAGATCAGTTACTGACGTCGCAAGAGCAATGGGATGCAGCCGTCGTACTGTGTATGACTTGCGAGGTCGTCTACAACAAACTGGCACCACTTCTGATCGCCCAAGGTCGGGTCGTCCATATGTGACGTCACGAGCAGAAGACCGTCAAATCGTCCTACCTCACCTACATGACAGATTTCTGCTGGCTACACGAACCAGGGCTGAGATGTTTAGAGGTCGACTGTCCTCACAGACCATTTGAAATCGGTTGCGGGCAGCCAATCACCATTCTCGACGTCCATATCGTGGGCCAATATTGACGCCGTTTCATCAACGTCAACGTCTGTTGTGGGCCCAACGTCACCTCCGATGGACCAATAGACTGGAATCGAGTCGTCTTTAGCGATGAATCCAGGTTTACCCTCAGATTCGCGGATGGCAGGCATAGATTCTGGAGACGACATCGTGAACGGTATGCCCAATGTTGTGTACAGGAAGTCGACAGATTCGGGGGCGGAAGTTGCATGGTGTGGGGTGCTTTCTGTGGGAACAACCGTTCCCGACTTCTGGTCATCCGTGGAAACCTCACAGCTGCTGCTTACCGCGACCAGGTGCTCACCCCTGAACTCGTTCCTTTCATGGCGGCTCATGGCCCAGGTCTACAGTTCCAACATGATAATGCTCGGCCGCATACCGCGATATTGACACGAAATTTCCTTCAAAACGTTGGAATCAACGTCATGGACTGGCCATCGAGGTCCCCTGACCTTAATCCAATAGAGCATGTTTGGGATGCACTTGGGAGAAGGCTTCGTAGACTTAGGAACCAACCTCAGAATTTGCAGGGACTTGGCGCTGCCTTGCAAGAACAATGGCGCAGAATCCCCAACCACGTGTTCACAAGCATCAGGCAGTCGATGAGGAGACGGTGTTTGGCAGTGGTGAATGCGCGGGGCGGCCATACACGATATTGAACTGAGACATTTCGCATTTTTATTCTTGTGACTTGACATTCTATATACCCATGTTTTGGAACGGCGGTGTAGCCTAATGGAACTGATTATGGCACTGTCAGTGTATCGAGTACATCACACAGATCTCAGCAATGAAATAATAACAATTTAACCATCTTACCATCTCTTGTTCTTTTATAGTGCCCTGAAGAAAGAATGTGAAGTTTCTTTTTTGACTCAGACATCCCATCCTTGATAATGTTTGAATTAGTAAATATACAGCCTTTCAAATTTGTGTTTTCTTTAGTCTAGTCCAGAGAACTGGTAGAAACTTTTATTTTTAAACAGTTCTCATAATTTGTAACCAAGTATTGTGTGAACAAGACAACAATGTTTACTACGTTCACATTTTCTGTCTGTTCTATTGATTTTGAATTTGTACCAAAATCGATGTAATTCTGACTCAGAATTATAGTTCTCAAATGATACTACTTTATGAGGTCTATGTAAACAATCAAGTTTGGACCAGATAATTCAGTGATCAACAGCATCAACATCGGTCTACACAATTGGGATGAGATGACATGTGTCAACCAAGTCAGCGAGCCTGACCTCCCAATCCCGTTAGTCACCTATTATAATAAGCACGGGTTGCTGGAGAACAATTCTAGCACGGATCTTCACCGGTACCATTGGAATTACTTATCCTCAGCACAATAAAGTTGTCTCAGGATAGCAGACCAGGATGGGTTTCAAAGGCTAACATGTCTGTGTTCTTGCAAGGTGATTCAACACATTTTATAGCTAAAATACATGGAATTATCATGAAACGGCCCTCCCATTATCAGAAATTTGCGGTCCGCTGCAAATGATATTGGACCGCTCAACCTTAACGACGGGCCACAATCAGTTCTGTTGTCAAGTGACGTCATAGTTCGACATTAATTTGCTTTCGACTGGCAGATATTCTGGGTCAAACAAGTCAAAGCAACCCAAATTCCCGCTTCAAATAGCGATAATATTGGCTTTCTTGTTGGTGCTAACCTTAACAATTGCACTATTAAGCCTGTTGATGGACCAAAACCGAACACTGTCATAGTTTGACATGTTGCAGGCTATGGTCTTGTCAAAGGCCAAGGTCGAATATCGTCACTTTCTTTTGTGACGTCACTTGAATTGTTCGATGACGTAATTGCATTCGGGCAGTCAAGCCCGTCGGAAGTTGATTTTGGTAAACTTACAGTCAAATTCCTTCATTGTTTCCTTTTTCGTTTCAACACAAATTCCATGTTTTTAGCAATAATAACGGTAATGCTATTTTTGAGGGCATTATCATTTGCAGAAGCCCTCGGTCTTCTTCAACTGCCCTCCTGTGTCTCAGTAAGGTCAGCTACCAAACTTACCAGAGGGCATATACAGGTTCTGGCTAGGGTCATTGTGAATGTTGCCATGGTTACCGGACGGAAATCTAGAATCTTTGGATACATATCTAGAGGTGACAAGGTCTGCAAAAGAAACAGGTAGCTGGTTTGATTTCTCATCAAGTGTCATTGGCACTGCTTGATTACAGGGTTCAAATACAATTTCAGGGTCACACTTTCTTATCAAAGAATAAGGTTTAACACTGCGTCCATGATTATTCCACTTACATTTCGCCATGTGTGCATGACATATATATCATGCCACAGTCTAAAATGGATACACCACTCAAGGACACAGTATAATGACTTGGAGCTGATTACTTTTTGATTGTTTTGTTATTGTTGTTGTTGTTGTTGTTGTTGTTGAAGGGTAACAACCTTCCTATAATGTCTCTGGAATGATTGCAAAAAAGTATCTTTACAAACATGGCATTGATTTTGGACTCTTCATTTCCTCTTTTCAACAAAGTATTTTTAAAAACACAGCATTGATTTTCATGGCATGATTATGAAGCCTGTGAATAAAGTGGAATCACAGCTCACTTACAGTGATTGTGTCTCTCTGTACAGGCAAAGTATCACCTGGTTTGTACTTAGGAAAATAGAGATCTCGCACCTGAGGTGAGGTGAGGTGAAATTGGGTTTAACGTCGTGCTTGAGAATATTTCGCTCATATGACGACGTGCATGCGTGTGTATGTGTAGGTGCGGCTGCTTGTACTAGCCCAGACTGAAGCTGGTTTTATAGTGCTAGCCCACTGAGATACCATGCCGCAGTGAAGCATGAATACCCCACTCAGACACATTATACTGACTCTGAGCTGACCAGTCCTTGTTGTACCCATTAATGCTGAGCGCCAGGCAGGGACCAACAAGTACCATATTTTAACATGTTTTGGTATGACACGGTCGGGGATCGAACCCGCGACTTTCCGCTCCGGGCAGACGTCTCGCACCTGACACGATTTCTACGTATTCCTCATCTGTTATCTGAGTCTATGCAACAAGTCTATACAGCACAGGAGATGTATATTGGGACTATTTACCCCTGATGTGATGACCACTGTCTGGAATCGGTCAAACACTGGCTTGATGGCTATAGAAGCGTCCATGCAGCTAAAGTACAGGATCGGGTTGTTGATAGTCGGCGTGCGGTCGTCAAAGGGCTCAATGATCAAAACAAATCCTGAATATCATCAATGAAAATCAGTACTGCATTCCTTCATATCAACAGACTAATGATGAGAATGACCTCTATCTAAACACAGATCTTCAAACATGTGTATAAGAACACAATCCACACTGATGTAACAAAATCATAAAAGTCTCTAAATATCCTACCCCACTTTAGTTGCCGATTATGATGAGAATGGAATAAGGGTAATAAGAAATCAGCCATGTTACTCAGCATCAGCCCCCTGACCCACACCAGTCGGCCATTACACCCAGCAATAAACACTGGCACCTACTCATCCCTTGAACTCCAAAATTAATTTGTAAACATGTTGTCAACACTATCTAGTAGTGTTGGGAATTGGTTAAAATCTCACAATTCATGATTGGTTCATTACAACCGATAAAAATTGGTTAGCGTGATTTATCAAATTCTCCTGGTTATGTTTGTTAATGCACAAAAAAATAGAGAAAAACATGTACTTCTTTTCGTGTTTTTTGCAAATTGCACAAAATGCATTTACAAATTTCACATTTTTAAAAGAGGACTAGTATGTTAGGAACATAAATTTCCTGGAATCTCTAAGATAATTTCAATCATGACAAGGAATGAGCTTATAGTACTTGTAGCTTGTAGAAATGTAACAGACAAAACCAACCTTGTGAAAAATGTTGTTAATGCAAACAAGTGTGCCAAAATTGTTTGTGTTCGATTATGAGAAAACATGATCGATTGCTTGGTTGTTTAGTCATTGCGACCAATCTTCGATTATTTCAATTAATCGAACCACCACTACTATCTACACAAATATTATATAAGAATATGATATAATGAGCAAAGATGGACCCACCTTTAGCATAAGTACTGACGAGTGTGGCAAAGTTGGAGAGCAATGTCACTGCAGAGACGTCCTGAGTGTCTGCCAGTTCCAGGGTCCGCATCAACGACTTTAACCTCTCGGCACAAAATCTAGATATGACAAATGAACAACCTATCACACAGCTCTAATTTCTTTTCCATGACAAACAACAAACTGACTCTTGGAACAAATTAAAACAGCTTGTCCTTTCCTTGAGTAGCATATTACAGGTGAGAAAACGAAACAATAATCCTTCATCATATTTATGTAGAATGTCTGTTTTTTTAATATATTTCAAATATTCCAGATCTGGGTCATACAATCCAGTGAGCGATATTGTGAGCAATTATGAGGGTACAATGACCATTCCCTGACCTATTTCAACCCACATTCCGCACAGGCTTCAAAGATCACCAGTACAAGGAATCTGAGATTTAAACTCACAAGATACTGAAAGCATAGTCCTCTAGATCAGCCATCGCTTTGTGGTAATTTAAAAATCAGTTTCATTCATATCAACAATTCAGATTTTTCACATCTGCTCTGAATTTTGGTATGTTTCATGAGATACTTTGCTCGTTCACTTGACTGAATGTTCACTGGGAAATACAATCACTACCTACCGCAAGGGTTTCCGCTCGATGCAGACTCTGTTCAGACAGTCTTTGAGGAATGACGGTGGAGACTCTGACACCACATGTTGCACTCGTAATCTGGTTTTCATGTATTCACAAAAACGTTTCATGAAGCCGAGAAAGTGCTCCGCTGTTCGAATATTACCTGGGACTGCCTCTGTATAATGTGAAAGACAGACTCACTGAGGTTCAGGATGAAGACTAAAGATACACACATGCCTCACAAAAAGGGAGATGAATTTAAGACCTCTTCCATCTACCTATAATATCGATGATTATACTGTATGTGAATGATATTGTTGTTGTAAACAAGGTAAATGAATGAATATCAATTGATCTGAAAAGCAAATTTCTTGTTAAAATATTACTAGTTTCTGAAGTTATAAAGTAGGCAAATCCTAAACCATGGGTTACATGACATTCAGGGGCATATTTATTAGTATTGGTCTTTTTATATTTTTCAAAAGTTTTTATTAGTGACTAAGTAATACAATGAGAAGAGTTCATTCTAATTCTGTTGACATAACATCAACCTGGAACCACAAACTGACACTTTGTGATCACTATCGCAGTGATCTTATAACACATGCTAAACCTCCTGACTGTGATTGAATTGGGCTCTCATGAGAAATATTTTAACATTCAGATTCCTATTACACTGAGTTGCCATGACACAGATTGTAACCTTATGATTCCTGTTACACTGTGTTGCCATGACACAGATTGTAACCTTATGATTCCTGTTACACTGTGTTGCCATGACACAGATTGTAACCTTATGATTCCTGTTACACTGAGTTGCCATGACACAGATTGTAACCTTATGATTCGTTACACTATGTTGCCATGACACAGATTGTAACCTTATGATTCCTGTTACACTGTGTTGCCATGACACAGATTGTAACCTTATGATTCCTGTTACACTGTGTTGTCATGACACAGATTGTCCTGTTACACTGTGTTGCCATGACACAGATTGTAACCTTATGATTCCTGTTACACTGTGTTGTCATGACACAGATTGTCCTGTTACACTGTGTTGCCATGACACAGATTGTAACCTTATGATTCCTGTTACACTGTGTTGTCATGACACAGATTGTCCTGTTACACTGTGTTGTCATGACAGAGATTGTAACCTTATGATTCCTGTTACACTGAGTTGCCATGACACAGATTGTAACCTTAAGATTCCTGTTACACTGTGTTGTCATGACACAGATTGTCCTGTTACACTGTGTTGTCATGACAGAGATTGTAACCTTATGATTCCTGTAACACTGTGTTGCCATGACACAGATTGTAACCTTAAGATTCCTGTAACACTGTGTTGTCATGACACAGATTGTAACCTTAAGATTCCTGTTACACTGTGTTGTCATGACACAGATTGTCCTGTTACACTGTGTTGTCATGACAGAGATTGTAACCTTATGATTCCTGTAACACTGTGTTGCCATGACACAGATTGTAACCTTAAGATTCCTGTCACACAGTGCACCCATAACACAAACTGTAGCCTTCTGATCCCTGCTGAATTGTGCTCTCAACACCCTTAACAGCTACTGCAGATGTATACTGCCCTAAATGAAAGGACATCAACTGTGAACAAATATCACAGGTGAGGTGTAGGGCTTACCTTGCAGAATTTCATCTGGTAGGACTGAAACAAGACAGATACATACATATGATTTGTGAGAAGAAAATAAATTCAGAAATACAAAAGAACAGTTTTTCTACTTTGAGATTGTATCTCATAACAATGTATTATGATTTATCTAGCAATTTTTAAATTCATAAACTTTAACCTGGATTTGCAAGGATGACATCGGTTTCCCTGGCAACGCTGGCATCCCTCAATCCATCAACCAGTCGCTGGTATTCTGTCTGTAATCTCTGGGCATCACTGGCTTTCAACCTAAGAATGGGGTTTTAAGTAGTTAACATGATTTCAGCCATACCATTTTTATATGTTGCTCAAGAGAGCTAGATTCAGAATGAAGTTTAGACATTATCAATAGGTGATTTCAATGATAACTTACACTGAGAAGATCTGAACTATATAATGTGTGTGACAACTGTATTTATTTTGTCTGGTGAACCTTAATTGATAATCTGTATGCCATATGGACAAAAACATAGTGTATCGATATTTTATGGAAAAAGAATGCAACTGCGTTGTTACAATGTCTTAAAGTTTCAGTTCAAATAATATGTTGGACTACTGACTGACTGACTGAGTTTGGTTTTATGCCGCTTTTAGCAATATTCCAGCAACATCACGGCAGGGGACACCAGAAATGGGCTTCACACATTGTACCCATGTGGGGATTCGAACCCGGGTCTTCGGCGTGACGAGCCAACGCTTTAACCATTAGGCTACCCCACCGCCCCATATGTTGAACTAATGTGTACTTCTAAAATTGACTACACTGCTCTTATAATAAATATAAAAAGGACAGCATAGATGCTCAACAACCAGAACTTAAAAACACATGCTTATATTCATGAAAACAAAAGAAAACAACTTTGTCATGTACCTGTCAATATGTTTGTTGAGAGCCTCTATATTCTGGGAGCACCTGTCCAATGTCCGTCTTGTCAACATCACACTCATAGACTCTATACATACATTATCTGCAAGTATATAGAAAAATGACAAAATCTTCTCTCTGTCAGCCATTCCTACCACTACCTAACACAATATTCCTACAAAACCAGCCTTGATTCATCCCAAAACATCGGCAATTGCCAGCATCAAGTGACAATTTTTTAATGTTGTTTGCTATGACACTGCAGAGAATCAAACCACTGACATTTTACTCATTGGGCTGACACCGTATCCACAAGACCAAAGAGGCAGGTTTCAGGGAACAGTGGAAATATGAGATGCCGGTATTCATGGAATATACTCCTCGTAATGACTGCATTAGTCAAGGTGATCACTAGTAGCATGAGAACTTCCAGCTGACCTACACTGTCATTCAACTGGCCTTAACAAAACACAAGCCCATACGAAATACAAACAACAATCTTTGTGGTTTTGAAAATCAAGTTGGCAATTTAATAGGGCTTTGCTAGACATACTTGAAAAGGTGGAAGACAATATTCAGGACAATTACCATCAGAATGACAGGAACAAACTGGTTCAGTCTTGTCCTTGACTCTTACCTATATTGTGGGCTTCATCAAATACAACAACTGCCGTTTTTGACAATTCTTTGGAGACACTCTCGGCAATTTTGGGGTCGAGTAGGTAGTAATAGCTGTACACTACTACATTGGCATGGGAGAGCTGTGGACACATAACACACATCATCAGCTTCAGTCTATGCTTGTCTCCAACATGTGTCCACTCTAGCAATACAGCAATGTCACATGATGTGTTACTTAGTTCAATGTTTAGATATGATACATGATGAATGCTTCTGTTTGGTTTCAAAATCACTTTAGGTATACCATGTTCATGGTTATAAAGAAAACAATACACACATTCATAAAGATAACACTTGGATTACCGCGCGGAGAGCGGAAGGTCGCAGGTTCGATCCCCGACCGCGTCATACCAAAAGACGTTTAACTATGGTACATGTTGGTCCCTGCCTGGCGCTTGGCATTAATGGGTACAACAAGGACTGGTCGACTCGGAGTCAGTATAATGTGTCTGAGTGGGGTATTCATGCTTCACTGCGGCATGGTATCTCAGTGGGCTAGTACTATAAAACCAGCTTCAGTCTGGGCTAGTACAAGCAGCCGCACATACACATACACACGCATGCACGTCGTCATATGAGCGAAATATTCTCAAGCACGACGTTAAACCCAATTTCACCTCACCTCACCACACTTGGATTATTTCCAGTGTTCATTACTAATATTTGTATAGTGTCAATATCCAGGTCAGCTGCTCAAAGGTGCTTTGTTTTCCCTTGATTATTGGATGTCAATCTCAACAGCGCATCATACTTTCAATCTCAACTCCCTCAGCAGCATACACCTCCTGCAGCCACTAGGCACACCAAGTTAATGTGTCTTTCCCATCCTTACGAGGTACGAGGTATCACAGCTGGGTAGACTGGGACCCATAGTCTCAGTACTTTCTCTAAGTTAACTGCACATTGCTGTCCCTGCAACTAGGTGTTTGCACGCATTCATGTGGCCACCATCTGGTCATTTACCAACGGATTCGTGGGTTATTTTAAGGGTTGTGTACTGTACACCAAAGGTTGTGACAACACTGAAAGAGCCTGCGCACAAATTGACTCCGAGGTTTTTTACACCCGGTCACAGGTGGGTTCGATCCTGGCACCATAAACTCGCTGGATCACAAGCTTGGTGCCATAGACAACTCGTTAACCATGCCCCCGATTATAACTGTAGTTACTGTAATAAAATCTGGACCAAACAAGCCAGTGATTAACGTGAGTGAATTTGGTTTTACGCCGCTTTTAGCAATATTCCAGCAATATCACTGCAGGGGGACACCAGATATAGGCTTAACACATTGTACCCATGTGGGAAATCGAACACGTTTCTTCGGCGTGATGAGCAAACGCCTTAACCACTAGGCTACCCCACCGCCCCCAGTGATTAACGAACTAGATAATTAGGATATAATGACATACACCAATCAAATCAGTGAGCATGACCACCTGATCCGGTAAGTCACGTCCCACAACTAACATGGGTTGCTGAAGACTAAACCTAGTAAAAACAAAATCTTCATTGGGATATGTAACAATGCATAAGGAATATTCTTCAGGTTTATGTATGAGTGAGTGAGTGAGTTTAGTTTTACGCCACACTCAGCAATATTCCAGCTATATGGAGGCGGTCTGTAAATAATCGAGTCTGGACCAGACAATCCAGTAGTCAACAGCATGAGCATCTATCTATGCAATTGGGATACGATGACATGTGTCAACAAAGTCAGCGAGCCTGACCACCCCATCTCTTTAGTCGCCACTTACAACAAGCATGGGTTAGTGAAGGCACATTCTCACCAGGACTTTCAAGGGTGGTTTATGTATGGTGTAGTGGAGATGAACCTGGGTAATAAAGTGCATTGATGAATCGCTTCAACTACAAACCATTGCTCATTGTTCTGTGTTAACTTGAGCTTTTTTTCTGTTGACATGTCAGATAACGCTTATGTGTATATGACAACAAAATAATTGTTAACTTCATTCAGCTCAGTGTAAACTATATTCTTGCTTCTTTCATGTGTAATCTACATTTTGAGCTGAATGTGTTATTAATACTGCTTTTAACAGAAGTGTAGCTATGTCACGGTGGGCCAGCTTAATGTGGGGAGGAGAGCCCGAAGTGATGCAGGTCCTAGACATTTACTACTGTGGTGAAACCACGAGCATGGACACGGTGCAGACAAACCTTGCAATAGAATCAGGCCAAAGTGGGATCTGAACTCCACCACAATAACAGTAGCATCACACAACACAAAGTAGAGGACACCAGCATCAATGATCATCCACCATCATCAGTGATCTGCCATCATCAGTGATCTGCCATCTTCAGTGATCTACCATCTTCAATGATCTACCATCTTCAATGATCTACCATCTTCAATGATCTACCATCTTCAGTGATCTACCATCATCAATGATCTACCATCATCAATGATCTACCATCTTCAATGATCTACCATCTTCAATGATCTATCGTCATCAATGATCTACCATCATCAGTGATCTACCATCATCAGTGATCTACCATGTTCATTGATCTACCATCATCAGTGATCTACCATCATCAGTGATCTACCATCATCAGTGATCTGCCATCTTCAGTGATCTACCATCTTCAATGATCTACCATCTTCAATGATCTACCATCTTCAGTGATCTACCATCATCAATGATCTATCGTCATCAATTATCTACCATTATCAGTGATCTACCATCATCAGCGATCTACCATCTTCAATGATCTACCATCTTCAATGATCTACCATGTTCAGTGATCTACCATGTTCAATGATCTACCATCATCAGTGATCTACCATCATCAGTTGTAGTACAGTTTGCATCAACTCACTGCGTATCGGGCCAGGAAATAGGGACACCATCCTTTCTTCTTGCCATAATCTTTCATGTCATCCTGGAATATAAAGATACCATGGTAACCAAGTCATAAGAGTGAAATGGAGTGGGGGGAGAGAGTTCAGTGAGTGTGAAATTTGGAACCTCTGTGATGACACGTGTTTGTCATGAGCTGACCAAAACGGTTATCACATGCTCACTCACATAGACACAATGAATGAAATTTGAAATCTACTTTTTAACATTCCAACAGGTGTGCAAACCAGGCAGTACTACTTACCAGGCTGTATATACCTGGGGGCAATGGTAGCTCCCTCCCATGTTTGTCAAAACTCTGCAACAGTAATCACATAACAGTATGGACATACATTGTGGTGACAGGTATATTCAACTTCAAGAAGTTGAACATAGTTTCATCCTCAGAAGACCCATCTAACAACCCACCTCCACCACACACCTCAACGACCCACCTTACAACCCATCTTAATCACCAACCTAAAAACCAATCTCAATGACCCACCTCAACGACTTACCGTACAACCCATCACAATGACCAACCTGAAGACTAACCTTACAACCCATCTCAACGACCCATCTCAGTGATACACCTCAACGACTTACCTTACAACCCATCTCAATGACACACCTCAACGACTTACCGTACAACCCATCTCAATGACACACCTCAACAACTTACCTTACAACCCATCTCAATGACACACCTCAACGACTTACCTTACAACCCATCTCAATGACACACCTCAACAACTTACCTTACAACCCATCTCAATGACACATCTCAACGACCTATCTCAGTGACACACCTAAACGACTTACCGTACAACCCATCTCAATGACACACCTCAACGACTTACCTTACAACCCATCTCAATGACACACCTCAACGACTTACCTTACAACCCATCTCAGTGACACACCTCAATGACTTACCTTACAACCCATCTCAAGGACCCACCTCAATGACCCATCTCAGTGACACACCTCAACGACATACCTTACAACCCATCTGAATGACACACCTCAACGACATACCTTACAACCCATCTCAATGACACGCTTAACAACCCATCTCAATGACCAACCTTATTAACCCATCTCAACGACCCATCTAACAACCGACTTCAACGACCCACCTTTCAACCCATCTCAACAACTCACCTCATAGAAGTCACAAACTGGAACTGTTGGGTCTGTCTTGTGCCGGGTCCTGACGAAGGATGCCGTAAGGTTGTGGCATCGGCCATCCACGACCTTACCATCTCTTTCACGGCCAACCTGATTTAGCAACAAACTTATCAACAAACCTATCTTTCAAATCAACACAATTTATGGATAACAATTTCTTTATTATATAGAGTACAACAGTAATAGGCTGTATAACTGATTCCATCAAAAGCATTGCCACCTCTTGCCTGAACGGAATAAACATTGGAAGCGACTTTCCATAACCCTTGGACAGACTATACAAACTCGAACATCCTTCAGACATTCCAGAAGTTCTTTTCTTCAGGAATAAAACGCGTAAAAGATTAAATTGAGAACTTTGCCCCCCAAAAATTCAAAGCATACTCTGGAATAGAGGTTCGCCAGTTTGAAAGTTGTGCTGAAAAGCATACACAAGCTGTTCTCTGTCTGGCAAATGTCAACTTCTTGTTAGCCATTTTACTAGGACTGTCTATGTTCTCATGTGAACTGTAATGGGATATCTTTGGGATCTTTGTTAAGTGGCAGCAAAATCTGATTTAGATGAGATTGGAAATGTTCCAGTTATACAGAGGTGGCATGTATGTAAGGTGGGTTGAAACATAGTGACGTTTAACTGTGTGTGTTATGATCCACACAATCCAATGTTTTAAGGAACACACTTCCACCCACTTCACATACCAACCAAAAATCAGGTTTGCTAGATCTTATGACACGCATAGCATTGCTTTCCACACAATCCAATGTTTTAAGGAACACACTTCCATCCACCTCACATACCAACCAAAAATCAGCTTTGCTAGATCTTATGACAAGCATAGCATTGCTTTCGACACAATCCAATGTTTTAATGAACACACTCCCACCCACATCACATATCAACCAAAAATCAGCTTTGCTAGATCTTATGACAAGCATAGCACTGTTTCAGGACTAACCAGGTGACAAGCACCTGCAACAGACCACACCCATGATACAGTAAACATAATGTTCTCACCTCAGGATGGACACACAAGTTCTTACGGGGAACTGAGAGCCAGACCGAGCAGGTTGGGGACTTCACCCGATTCCTTCTCATAGTACTTCATCAGGTTACGCAGCTCTTCTACAACCTGAACAAATGAAGTTCTAGTACTAATACAAACTTCCATCTACTTAAATTTGAGAGCCTTCAAATACATGGAAATACTTTTTAACAAACGATGAATAAAATTGTTCTCTTTTTATGAAAAGAGAGTTTTATATATTAACTAAAATCACGTTAGTTAGACATTTGCAGTGACCTGCTAAGTATACCTTATGCTGTATATACAATAGGTAGGACTGACTGACTGACTGAGATTGGTTTTACGCCGCTTTTAGCAATATTCCAGCAACATCACGGTTGGGGACACCAGAAATGGGCTTCACACATTGTGCCCATGTGGGGATTCGAACCCGGGTCTTCGGCGTGACGAGCCAACGCTTTAACCATTAGGCTACCCAACTGCCCCCAGTAGGTAGGAAAACAAATATATCAGTGTAATGTTGTTTTATCATGTTCAGGGGGTGGTGGGGTAGCCTAGTGGTTAAAGCATTGGCTCGTCACGGCGAAGGCCCGGGTTCGATTCCCCACATGGGTACAATTTGTGAAGCCCATTTCTGGTGTCCCCCGCCATGATATTGCTGGAATATTGCTAAGACGGCGTAAAACCATACTCAGTCAGTTATCATTTTCAAGATTATTGTACTTATATATATCAACATTAATTGGATATCCAGCAGACCACTTGTTTATTCATTAGGGTTGTTGTTTTAACCCTAATACCACACAGCAGGCAAGGTAACAATAATTACCATCTAACGGGTATGGTACCACTCAGCTTCCTTCTTTAGGAATCAAGCAAAATGATAGTCAGTTAAAGGTTCAACTTCAAGATCAGATTCATCCTCTCTATGGATCTTTTGGGGGATTTTCATACACAAAATGCTTTGTCTACACTTACATCTTATCATTTACAACAGTTATGTGTGCCAAACATCACCCTACTCCTAAAAATACATTCATCATGTTCAGAGATAAGCTGATAGATATACTGACCAGTGTATATTCTGCTGATTGCCAAGTGAGGTGAGGTGAAATTGGGTTTAACGTCGTGCTTGAGAATATTTTGCTCTTATGACGACATGCATGCGTGTGTATGTGTATGTGCGGCTGCTTGTACTAGCCCAGACTTAAGCAGGTTTCATAGTGCTAGCCCACTGAGATACCATGCCGCAGTGAAGCATGAACACCCCACTCAGACACATTATACTGACTCCGAGCCGACCAGTCCTTGTTGTACCCATTAACAGGTTGGGGAAACCTACCGATCGGCCTATAATATGCCGAACAGGATATTATAGGCCGTTCTGCCTATTTTGCTATAGGCCGATCGGGCCATATTTGAACATTTTTCTAATTATTTCACAAACTATCGATTTCCTCACGGAATGGTTTCATATGATCATAGAGATGAATAGTTAATGAACCTCTTCAGCTTGAAAAAAATAAGTTTTTGGACAAAATGGAAATTTATATCATGTTCAGGAAAAGATGTTTCATAAAGAACACTATTTTGCATAGATTTTCCTTTTGAAAACTAACACTGAATATCTATGTCATTAATTTGCACTGAAAATTGTCAAAAAATATTATAGACTTATATTTAATTAGCAATTTCCAAACTCCTTTATTATGTGATGAAAATTCTCAAAAAGGGTTTGAATGAAAACCTTAGGACATCAAAACTTGAATGATGTTAATATCCTCATGCGGAAATGCACCGCTTCAAATTTATTTGATAAATATCATAATCATAGGCCGATCGGCCTATAGCAAAATAGGCAGAAGGGCCTATAATATCCCGTTTGGCCTATTATAGGCCAATTGGTAGGTTTCCCCAACCTGATTAATGCCGAGCGCCGGCAGGGACCAACAAGTACCATATTTTAACGTCTTTTGGTATGACGCGGTCGGGATCGAACCCGCGACCTTCCGCTCTCTGGGCGGATGCTATAACCACTACACCACGGAGGCGGTCGCTGATTGCCAAGTACATTGTAAGGAGACATATGTAGCATTTATTACATAATTAAATTGTTTTCACACATCAACTTATAGAATGGAAGTCATGCATAAAAAATCTTAAGGTTCAGCCTCTGAATAATTACCTTGTCCAGCTCTGGTACTGTCCGGGAGCAGTAAATTAGCTTGTTCACTTCCAGAGGGTAAGCCTTGAACAGAATAAAGAGCTTTCTTGTTTTAGTCAGCTAACAATGTTGTTCAACATACTGAAGTCTTGATGATGCTCAATACACTGAGATGATGCTGACATTCAATCCAAAACATGACAATATGACATTCAATACTTTAAGCTAAAGAGAATTTTGACACCTCAAACGATTGGGAATTTCAATACATGTACTTTGAGCTATAGAGAATTTCAATTCTTTAAGCTAAGGTAATATATATTATTCTCAGGTAATGATGAAGTACAGGAGATCATTTTACCCTCATGTAAGAGACGATCAGCGAGAGCAGAGACACGGTCTTGCCTGTTCCTGATGGCATCTCAAGCGCACAGTGGCCCTGAATGAATAACACATGGTAGTATTTGTTGATAAAGATGAATTTGACAGCAAACAACTTCAACAATCACATGGTCCATATTATAAAAATGATTTAATTCATTCACAAAGCAGAATCCTTTAAATAGACTATATCATGTTTGGTGCATAAAGGGCATGTTCACCATTGCAGCTGCAGTTAACATGGTTAATAATCATATAATTCTATAAACAAGATAAGACATCATATGGAAAATTTCAGCATCACAAACTCTAAACTATTAAGTTTTTAGAGGTTTCGAAAGTGATGAATGGCAGCTGGTGAAAATCATCTCGAGGCAATAATAGTTTTCTATGCATTATAATTATGATGATAAATCATCGTAATCTTAACTGTCACACACCATCTGATGATGATGAACCTTTAAAGTGAAAATATTTTCATGTAGCGTTTATCATGTATAGCTGATGGTGTAGATGGTTGAAAGTTAAAAATACTTTTATGTTATTCTGTTTTAGCTTAAACAGTGGTGTACATATACTATAAACTTGTGCAAAACATGAACCAAAGGTAGACACCATGAGTTTAGATTTACAGGTACAGTATGGTAAATAATTAATCAAGTTTTGAGTTCAAAGTGTAAACAACTTTTTTCTTGACGTTCTCCAGTTTACACATATCTGTCTGATCATCCCCTTAGCACGCCGAGAAAACACTACGTACACTAGCTAAATACAGAACCGTTACCTTTGCATCCAGAGAACGCTTGAGCTCAACCATGTACAGATACTGCTCAGGGTAAATGTAATCATAGGGAAAGTACACCAGCAGGCCATCTACATTCAACCTGGAATTACAATTTTAACATCTCTACATATTGCCTATTAATAAATATATGTTTATCACCTGTATACACAGTAGCCGGGAAGGTTAAACATTTGTTGATCTTGTAACTTCTATTAAGAGGCTACTTTCCTCCACGGTGAAAATTAATGATAAACCAAAATCACTATTCGGCAAATTCATTTAAACCATAATAAAAAGAATCAGGCATAAACAAATTGACATAAAGCGTACTTCATTGTGGGTTGCTTGTCACGGCACCAAATTTAACATTAATTTTGACGCTACATGCAAACACAGCAAAACACGCTTTCCGGAAGTGTACACCGGATATCTGTGAGCGGTGTAATATTTTTAGTTACCTGTAAAATGATATCCTATTATTCGACTGTAATTGACTCCAGCGTACCAAATAGAACATTCGTCAGCGATTGTTGTAGTCAGTTATATTTTATGAAGCGGTAACAGGACTTTGTCTGAGGCTGTCGTAGTATAGCTATAACAAAAAGTACAAATAGACGCGATGAATAGTTCAAATATCTTACTGGGTTCATTTTCCCATGCACCGGTCAGTCACGAGGTGGCGCTTTATTTACAAATGGCTGCGCCCATGGGGGAAATGGCAGCAGCTAGAAGAAACACTCGGGTGGAAATACTTGTAGCACGGTTAGAAAGAAATGACCACCCTCTACATTTATTTGTGTCGCGAGAAGATGCAAATGATCTCAATATTGCAGACGACTCTACATGTGTCATTGCTGCTCTGAGTGTTCGCCACCAGTTGAAAAATGACGTTTCTGGTTTGAACTTGAGTATGTCAAGTGGTTTCGAATCACCCTCATCTTCAGTGTCTGGTGAATTGAAATTGCCCCCTTACAGTGATAATGTCTGTTACAGATTCAGCTCCGAAATCCTCACATATGTGTGGGTACGCGATCCCCTTGATCTTGAACTGTCAGCTTCATTATTAGCCGATGAAGCAGACGATGGGGAAGAACCACATCATGAGAAGAGGCCACGTCTTCTATGTAGCGACGATTTCCTTGATCATTACAGGTTAAGTTTGAATGATGTAGTTTACTTCAGACAAGTCCGGTTATTTCCTCTCTGCAAAGTTGTTATTGCAGTATCTGACAAAGAAGCCTACACCTGGTTGCGAAATAACAAGTTCAGCAATGGAATCATTACTGAAATCATCCAACATGAAGTTGTTGCCAAGAAGGATCAGGATTTCCTTGCTCCCTACCCACCTTTATTTCTGGAAGACAATACATTTCAGAATAGCTGGTTCAGCACAATGAAGGTTGTAGAATGCACTCCACTTCACCAGGGAGTTGTCACTGTCAACACAGAGATTGTTCTGTTCTATGATGAATTCACAAACCAGACTATTGCTGACAGGAGAAAACGTCTTTCAACTGCTACAATTGAACATTTATTGTCAAAACCTGACAATTTATATGTTTCTGATTTTTGTCGATCTATCAGTACAGTAAGCAATCAAACTGATAGAAGTCGTCATACATCAGGTAGTGCTTCAAGCCTAGAGTCAAGTTCAGTTTTTATAACATTCAATTCATTTGTTGTTGAACAAGACCGACAGTGGAGAAAAATTCTTGGGAAAGATTTAGAGAGAACCTCAGATCCTCATAATTTCATTGGTATACCGAAGAAACTGATGCTGCAGCATGGGTTATTTGAAGGCAGTATTTTGAAAGTGTCTTTATCGGATAATGTCAACACTGAGACCGAAGAGCCATTAAGTGTACTGGTTGGAAGTTTTGATCGCCTTGGAAATGATCCAGTGACGTCTCCAGTACTAGAGTCACGTAAACTGCCAAAGCAGAAAGCTGTAACTGTCAAATGCCTAGCAAGACATCTGAGTGGATCAGAAAAAAGTTTTCATTTCTGCTCTGTTATGGTTCAATCTTCATTCAGCTCCTCCTCTCACTGAGGACCCTGTGCTGGTTTGTGAGGTAAATGTGTCCTACCTTGTTTTACTTTTCTTCATTTCACACACACTGACATTGATTTTGCTGCCTTTATCAATATCCCAACACAGGACACCAGGCTTGTGTTTCACAAATCACTAGCCTACCCCACTTACGCAATCTGAAAAATAGCTGTTTATGTTTTACCCATTTATTGTTTTTTAATATTCATCAGTTGATCATGTTGGTAACTATTTTATCAGGTTCATGATGATCATATTGATACCAAGAACATAATAAACATAAATTATGTGCAGCTGATATAAGGCTTTGCCAGATACAATGTGTCAAACAAACAAAGAGTTCCTCAAATTGCACATTTTGCAGTTCATCATAAATGTACAAAGGCAATCTGATATATTCACGACAGAAATTGTCTGATGAATCCCTGGAGAGTGATGTTGATGAGGGCAGCCATTCCCTCAGCTCCTCTCTCGACACCAGCCTGCCTGTTGCCTCGGAGGTGCACATCTCCATTATCAACTCCCCCAACTACAGTCCACGCATGAACTACACAGAGGCCCTCAAGAAGTACTTCCAGGTGGCCAGGTAATGATGATGACCATGCAAGTCAGCGAAATTTGAATAACAATAATAATTAGTGACCTTAAAATTGTAGAACATGTGACAATCTTACAATTAGCTATTCAGTGGTTTCACATTAATCTTCGACTTGCTGTGCACATGCGAGGAGCGTGTAAAAATATCCACTGGCCTAGTTCCGGTGTAGCAGGCCAAACTTTCCCGCTGGCCAAACCTTCCCCGGGGAAACTTTGGCCTAGGCCAAACTCTCTTGTACTCACCTAAATCAGTAGCAAGTATCCACATATAGCTTGATACTGAATAAAATATGGTTCAGATTTATTGTTTATGGTACGTGCTATTTTATAATCTAATTTAATGTAATTTCTTTTACAAAATTCGTATATTTTCACTGCTATCGTACTCGTGTATTTTGTGTATTTTTTTTGTAACAAATACGATCGTATGGGTTGGCATCTCTGTAAGGGGTATACATGGATATCTGAAACATATTTCATTCACCAAAAGTGATTATGGATTAGTCAACAAGCTTATGTGAATAATGTGTCATTACATTTATACATAAATACAACAAATATGAGATAATAAACAGCATGATAAGAAAGCAAGCAACCTGTGTATATTAGGTCTTATTTACCCATCAAATGTGCGATTGAATGTTTACATCTTATGGTGACATGATTTGGTCAGATGAAGAACTAATGCAATGTGTCTTTATAGGAATGGCGACAGGAGCAGGGCCAGAATCTCCCCCTTTTTGATATAAGAGCAAGGGTGGGGAAAAGAAGCCTAGCTAGGCCAGAATCTCTCTCTCTCTGTCTCTCTCTCTCTCTCTTCCCCTTTCATAGAACACAGAACAAAATAGGAAGAGACTTTAGCCTAGCCCAAACTTTCCCCGGGGTAAGAATATCCTAGGACAAAACTTCCCCGGGGAAAGTTTGGCCTAGGCCAGATTCTCTCCAGGGAAAGTTTAGACCGGGGAAGAAATGGCCTGCTACACCAGTTTGTAAAACCATAGGCAAATGAAAGTGTGTACTCAGCTGTGAACCGTTTTCATAACATCTTTTCTTTAGAGTTTGTTACACTACATACGTCCAAACCTGAACTGTGTCGGTGGATATGTTTACACGCTCTGCTCATGCGTACAGCTGGTCAAAAAATAATGTGAAACCACCAAATCCATACTAAGAGCAGAGTTCCTCATAATCATGATAATTATCATGTATACTGCCTCATTTACCTTGCTTGCTATTGTTGCTTACAGCAATATTCCACCTATATGATGGCGATCTGTAAATGATCAAGTTCTGACTGGCAATCCAGTGATTGACATCATGAGCATTTATCTCTGCAATTAGGATACAATGACAAGCATCAACCAAGTCAGCGAGCCTGACCACCAAATCTTACTCATATTCTAGGCACAATGTTCTATTTTCAAGGTTATTGATTCTTTCTTGTGGCAAACCAGTATTCCAGTTGTTGCCAACATAGAAAATGTCCGTCATATATTCTTTAACATGCATAAATCATGCTCGATTATTATTTCAGAATTGCAAGTCATGGAGATGTTTTTGCAATCAAGAGTTCAGGTGAATATTTTGTCAAAAAAGCACATCTCAATATCATTGACATGATTAGAGTCTAAGATAGTGTCATTTGTTTTGCATTTAACACGTTGACTGCCACCACGAGTATACTCGTAGTATCAACGTCTGGCCCAATTTGCCACAACGAGTTATCTCGTAGCTACATCAGTGGTATTTTAAAACAAGTTTCACATGTTGGCAAAACAGGCACATGAAGCAATCGTCTCCTGACGGTAACAAAGAACGCCAGGAGATCTAGTACGTTTCTTGTGCCTATTGACTGCAGTGGTTTTGAAATCGTGAGCAGCGCCTCTGAGTCTCGGAACATGTGTACAAGGAAAAGGTTTTGTGTGATTTCTGGTCTAATTTTGTCATGATTTCAGATGACCCTCAGTTCTGGCAGACATCCAGCTTGGACACTGGTATTAGGTTCCCGGTGATGTTCTTCAAAGTGACCAGAGTCGAGCCATGCCGTCCTGATCTGGTGGCCTGCATGGTTGACTCATTCAACACCAGACTGCTTCAGGTAAACACTTCGTAATTATTACATTCTGCAGGACAAATAGAAGTTATCTTTATAATGTGGTCAGACTCAGTGTTACATGCAGTAAACCTGGTAAGTGCATAATGGGTATCTTGTGGTCTATAATGGATCTTTACTTTATCCACAATTTAATGAATGTAGGAATTATAATCATAGGGAGCAAGGTTACAACATCACCTCTTATTAAGGGCTTACCTCTTCTTCTAGAAAAGAGGCTTTTGGTTACAAGATTTGTTTTTAGGGAGATTGTATCTTAGATGTCCTGATATGGCCGTGAAACCTGGTACAATCCCCACTGGAATTTGCACAAACTGTTCATATCTGGAACTACCTTCTTTTTATATATAACTGTTAGCACATTAGTAACTTGTTCAGAGACATTTCAAAGTTTTCTCATCTCCTGACACATGGCAGTATCACACACCTGGTAACTATAAACCTACAAATCTGATGCTTAACTTGTACAACAGGAACTGTTTGTGTTACATACACATGGAAGTCTACTGAACAATCTACAATCTCCTCAGAATTCACCTGTTGTCTAATTAACTGTGCCTGGTATCAGCTGAGAACAGGACACATAGCTATACAGTGCAATAGCAAAGACAGGAGGTATTGTATTACTGGAGTTTCTCATAGTTGCTGCAGTTATCTGTGGTGTAAACCAGAGGCCCAGATAAGCTGCGTATCCGGGTAAAATATGTATAGAAAATTTCCAATTACGCATTGAAAAATAATTGTTGCATACCAATTACGCATTTAAAATGTTAGATACACAAAAAGTTTAAAACAAATGCGTTTGGAATATATTTATAAAAATCGCTTGCGTAATGAAAAATACATCCATTGCTATCAAGTTGTACTGTTAGTATAGGACAAGTGTTGTACTGTCAGTATAGGATGAGGGATTTTTTATGAAATCATTTCTCTTATATTTAAGTTGGTTTTGATTAGGTATGATATAAGGCAGGACATACCTCCTTAGTAAACTTACTCAATGACATAATACTTAGGTGAGTAAAATGACTGAAATACGCACATACTTGAAATCAGTGGGTAACGAAAAATGAAATACCCACTCAACATTTGTAATACCCACTCCAATAAAATACAGTGGGTACAGTACCCACATGAGCTAAATCTTATCATGAGCTCTGGTAAACTTGTTTACAGGTGGGGTCTGTCCACAGCTATGTTCCGCAGATTGCCTACCAGTACTTTGTTGAGTCGGAGCCCAGCTACTGGCAGCAGCTGACCTGCCCTGGTCTCAACGCCACCATCACCAGACTGGAGTCCATATTGATGCCACATCTCAGCAAGAGGTCAGTCAGCACACTTGCAGAAACCTGCAGGATATTCGTTATTCATAAACACGTATATTAGCCACAGGGACAGGTGGAGAGATACTGAATATGTACATCACCTGTGTGTCCTACAAGGTTCATGTTGCTCTGTTTGTTTAGAATGGAAAACTCTGACCTCACGAATTTTATTTTTTTGTTTGATTACTCATGCGTATACCTAATTTATGATTGAGCCTTGTCCATTTTCCATGTATGGATGATAGACTGAAGTTCTAGAAGATAGCTGGTTGCAAATATGCTCATGGAAAGGAAAAAGGGAACACCTGAAAGTACAAGTGTTGCTTTATTCTTTTCCCAGTTTCTTCACAAGCTCTGTATTGCACTATAAGAATAAAGAAACACTTGTACTTTCAGGTGTTCCCTTATTTGTTTCTATTAGTATAGTTTTCCTCTTTTGATCACAGAAATTAAGTTGCTAATTTCTTAATTTCGTAATTTCAATTCAACTTATCAATTATGTAAACTTTGTCAGGAGGATGAAAATGAGCATGATTTTAAAAGATGCACTGTACTGGTATATATACAAACCTATTGTGTTACTCATTTATATTCTTTAGGGGTCAAGTTGCTCTGTAAATGTTTTACTGTGTATCTCTAATCAATGTGTATTTCTAATCTTACAAAATAATCCAGGAATTTCAGGTGAGCTGCAGAGCTATGTTTTGTTGCCCTTGTCATGACGCCTAACGATAGTAAACCCTCAGGATGCTGTTGTACAAAGCAATCTTAGCGCTAAGGTGATCGTGACTCCCATACCTTAACATAGACTTATGACTGGCGTAGCGCTAAGGTTGCTTTGTACAACGGCACCCAGCTCTGTATCATGTTTATATCCAGATTTGACAACACTCGGTTGAAGGAGCTACCGCCATCTGTCCTGTTGTCTGGGCCGTCAGCTTGCGGGAAAACCACAGTTGTCTCCACGGTTGCCAGGAGGCTGTGTTTACATGTCAATCAGGTAACCATGGCAACTTCATGTATAGCTCCAATCAAAATCTTGGCATCTGTGTGTGGCTTTTGAACGTTTTGAAAGGATCTTAACGCCATAACTGATGATTATTTATAATGATGATGCTTGTAGTGGTAAATCTGATGAGAATGAAATCTCAAACAAAATGGAAACATTCCCAATGATTTCATCTCTACATTACAAACATAATCCAACATAATTCAATATAATAATATGATCAACATAATCCAACATTAGGCAAATGATTCCCATACATGGAGTGAGTGAGTGGGTACGGCTTTACACAGCTTTCAGCAATATTCCAGCAATATCACGGCAATGGGCCACAAATGCTCCCTACTTGTGTAGAACATTTCAATAAGATTTTTTTAGAATAATTATGATGGGAAGTCAATTCAATGTAAATTCAAATATTCTAGTCTTATCAAGAAAATGTTCTTCCAGATGTTAATTTTGAAAAGTATGTTGTTGGAGGAAGTTTGGATTTTTGTTCTGAAAGGAAAACATACCAGAATTCAGAAACACAATCATCACAGATAAAGCTCGTTAAATGAGCAAAGTTTCAAATGTTTCTGAACCAAATTCTGAGAACATACGTAAATATTATTTCAGTATTGAAAAGGGGGCAAAGGTGGGCCAGTGGTGTCAGGCAACACAGATTGCTGTGGAGAGTTGTGATCCTTGGTTTTGTCAGGTTCCCGTGATGAGGTAGTCCGAAGCATATCAAACATTCACATAGAACTTGAAAAATATCATTAAAGAACAAATAAACTTCTTTTTTTTGTACTCTTTTAACCATTACATATGAAAGATTGTGGCTAGTCTTATGCGGAACACCAAATTTATTTTTTAAAAACTTGTGGTTAATTAATACCGAGCGATTAAAAGTTGCCAAAAGGTCGCCTGCTTCACTCTCACCCGCCAACGAAACCACAGACGGGTTACGTAGCTCTGTCGCCAGAGCACTGCAGTGACGTCATGTGAGGAAGGATTTTTAGATAGTTGTATATAAAGTGTGTAGCAAGCTCGTCATTTTGATGATTTCTCGACATCAACGAAGACATGCCGAATCGTTGCGTTGTCGTCAATTGCTCCTAGGGGTCGGACGATGGTGTCACCATGCACTGATTTCAACAGGACCCCACAGTTCGTGCTAAATGGGTTATGTTTGTGAGTGCGAAGCAAGCGTTGTGGAAGTCTGAAACGATATCTTACTTGTGTTCAGATTGCTTCACGTAAGTTAAAGAATAAAAACTACTTACTAGTTGTAGTAAAATATGTATATGGTTGATGACCATAACGATTTTCCATGACACAACTTGTAACATAACGATTTCTTCCTCGGAAGCGAGGTTGTGGTGGAAGTAACAATAATATTGTAAGTAGTATTATATTGACACCCACCTCGCTTCCACGAGAGAAATTGTTATGTTATAAGCGATGTCATGCAAAATCCTATTGGCCTTCAATCAAATACATATTTTACTACCAGTAGAAAGTAGTTTTGATTTTGTAACTCAGTGAAAACAAACCTAAATAGCATTTATCCTCAGACTGGCGGGTGTTCGCGACAGGGCGACGCCATTTTTGAAAATCGTAAAGTCACGGGCTACAGTCTGTTAGAATTAATGAGATTATGGTTTGTTTTCATCAAGTTAGAAAATCAAAACTACTTTCTACTCGTAGTTAAATATGTATCTGAATCATGACCAAAAGGATTTTGCATGTCACATTCTTTTTTATATATTCCTCCTTGGGGTACTTATAAGCATTTAAATGTCCATTTAAAATCCCTATGACAGTTGTAACAATATTTGAATAAAAATATTTACAAAACAAAAACTACGTTTTGTCTTGTGAGACCACCCTTACAGGGCCCTCCGCCCCCTACAGCCAAGAGCAGGTAACTCTAGACCATAAACTCGCACCTCACTTTCCATGCTGTCGTTTTACTGGCAAGACGTGGGTCCACTTCCAAGAAGTTTTTAATTTCCCAACACGAATATGAGTGTCTCAGCAACAGCTACGGTATGTATGGTTCTCTTTTTTCCCTGCATGGGCGATTTGGAGACTTGTTCTGAACATTTTCATTCATCTTTTCTAGTTGTAACTTGGTACCTGTGTGATTCGGCTCGCCGAGTGTGTGTGTCAAGATGGCGGACAGGTCCTTCAGCTAGCCTCACTGTTCATTGGCTTCCCATGTGGTTTTCAATGTTACGTGTGGTTATAGTAATTTTTATTTATATGCTGTTACATGTAGGGCGTTATTTCCGCTGCTAGCATTTTCTATCTTACGCTAAAAGTCGTAATTGTGAGTTATGTTGCAGTGCGTATTACTTGTTTTTGTCAACTTCATGCTACATTGTTGCATTAGTTGTGTCGCCCATGCGTGTTTTTTCATATATTTATGTATGTATGGGGTAGGTTACTGCACAGGTTTTTTACTTGTTGCAGTTTAAATCCTGTACTTCGTGCCTCGCTGCCATTCCCGTGAGGGACACGCACGAGGTGTGTCTGAGGTGTCTAATGGAGACTGATCATGACGAAACGGATTGTCCGGCGTGTGAGATTTTCACGCCTAAAACTATTAAGTCCAGGCGGGTGGACAAGCTGTTCTACAGCAACCTGCTTCGGGCTGGGGGTGATATCTGGGCTCAGGATCCCCCGTCCAAAAGTTCACACAGTAAAAAAAAGGGGTCTTCGGGAGCCGCTTCCCATACGGAACCGGCTCCCAAACGGGCTAAAGTTACCAAGGAGGCTTCATCTGCTAAGTCTGTAAATTCTCCTTCTGTATCTCCACCTGCCCCTGTACCTGTTTCCAACACACCCCTTGTTGCATCGGCACCCGTTGTCCCTGTTGCCTCATTAACTGCTCTTTTTCAGGAGCAGATGTCTGTGAAATCCCTGATTGATACGACGTTGGCTGGGTTCCGTAAGGAGCTCAGCGCGCCGGTCGTCAGGGGTGGATCGAACACATCTGGGGGGGTTGGCTGCGGCCCGAGCTCTGGCTCGGAGAACGCGCCTCCCCCCGGGCAGCTTGATCCTGGCTTAGGCTGTGGCGATAGCGTGCCCTCGGCGCCTTGTGGCGACCTAGCTTCGCCTGTCACAGGCGCCTGGCGCCGGCGATGCAGGGTTACCCCTGTCTTCGCCTGGTGCCCTGACTGGCGGTCGCCTAGGCGCTGACCAGCTCGGGGACACCTCGGCGCCTGGCAGTCAGTCTGGGCTCGGCGCCTCTCGACCTTTTGAGTCCTTCTTGTTCAGCCTCTGGTGCATCCTCGGCGGTCTCTCAGGAGTATGAGAGTACGGCGGTCGAGGATTGTACCGAGATTGATATGGAGGAGGATGAAGGGAGGGAGGAGTCGGAGGTTGGAGTTCCTAACTCCTTTGGCTCCTTCCTGCGGCAGGTTCGGGATAAGATCGCCGAAATTCTACCTCAGGTGGCCGTTCCCGTACAGGCGCCCGATCCCGCGGAGTTTCGGCTCCCGGGGGAGGCTTTCGCGCCTAGCCGGGTCGCCGAGGCACGACTCCGCATTTTGCCATCACTGGTGAGTGAGGTGGTCAATCCTCTCTTAACTGGTGCCCGCACACTGGTTTGATTTGCCCGACGTCCGCAAGCGGTACCAGTTGGGAGAGGAGGCGCTGTTCGAGCCGCCAGTGGTGGACGAATGCGTCTCCGCTTCCGTCACTCTAGGGGGGTCATCATCGTCTTCCCTGGCCTCAGCCAGGCAGGGCAGGCGCCTCCCCCCTTTTCCTTTCTCCCCCCTTGACCTACGCTGAGGTCTGCGTATCGGTCCTTCGAGGAGTGCTACCGGTGCACAGCCCAGCAATTAAAAGTGGCCGTCCACTCAGCCTACCTGTCTGCTCTGCAGGGACAGCTGGTGGATCAGAGCGTTTGTGGCGCCGACTTGTTGGTGCCAGTGCTCGCGCGTCAGCTAACGGGTGTCCACTCTCATCTGGCTCGGGACAGCATTCGGTGGTGTGGTTGTCGCGTGGTGCGCCGGCTGTGGTGCGCCGGCTGTGGTTGTCCGTGGCGCGTTATTCGCCGGCCACGCAACAGGCGCTCCTGTCTTTGCCTTACACAATGGGGTCCTCCCTGTTCCCTGGGGCATTGCAGGTTGTACGGGAGGCCGCAGAGGCCATGTCTACCTTCAAAGACTCTAAGCCTTTGTTGGAGCAGCCCTCTGTTCCTCGCCACCGGCCTTCCCCGTTCGCTACCGCTTATCCTTCTGCCCCGGCAAAGGAACCTGCAAAGTGGACTGCCCCTTTGCAGGCCAAGCAGAGCAAGCGCGCAAGAGGCAAGGGCAGGCCTGCTCCATCGCAGCAGCCTTTTCGGGGCAGAGGGAAGCCAGCCCCGGCTTCCCGCTGATTCCTTCCCCAGAGCCCTTATTGCCCCCCACTCACGAAAGCGGAGACTTGCCAACTGTGGAGGTGCACTGCCTCATGCCAAACGTCCCTGTTGGCGGCCGGTTGTCCCTATTCCTTCGGGAGTGGGAGGCAGCCACCACCAATCCCTGGGTCCTGTCCACACTCAGGGATGGCCATTTGCCACAGTGGAGGCGAGATCCTCAGTCCTTCTCCGGGGTTCGGCACACTCCCGTGCTGACTTCCCGAGAGAAGGCGGACGTACTCTGTGTCGAAGTTCAGTCCTTACTGGACAAGGCAGCCATCGAGGTGGTTCCTGTGGGTCAGCAAGGAGAGGGGTTTTACTCCACCTACCTCCTAGTGACCAAGAAGGATGGAGGGTTCAGACCCATTCTGAATCTCAGAGGGCTGAACAAGTTACTGGAGGTGCCGTCTTTCCGGATGGAGACACTCAGGTCAGTGATCTTCTCCGTCGAGACAGGGGATTGGCTTACATCAATCGATCTCAAAGACGCATACCTCCATGTTCCAATGCACCCCGAGTTCAAGAAGTACCTCCGGTTCTCCTTCGACGGGATGTGCTACCAGTTTCGTGTGCTCCCCTTCAGCATCTCTACGGCGCCAAGGGTGTTCACCAAACTTATGGTAATCCCAGCTCAGTTAGCCAGGTGTCAGGGCAGGTGTTGTTACCCGTACCTGGACGATTGGCTTCTCAGGGCCTTAGGTCCTCAGTTAAGCAGAGCCTCCACACTGTGCGTGATGGATACTCTGGTGTCACTGGGCTGGATTATCAACCTCAAGAAATCAGACCTCGTTCCGACGCAGGATCTGGTATTCTTGGGGGCAAGATTCAACACGGAGCTAGGGATTGTCCTGGGCTAGGGGGGGTCCTGGGCGAGCACTCAGTCTCCGGCCTCTGGTCGGAGCGGGAAGTCAGCCTACACATCAATGTGTTAGAACTGAGAGCAGTCCGCAGGGTGTTCGAGAGCTTCCGGGTGTTGGTTCAGGGCCGTGTGGTTCGTCTAGAAATGGACAATCAAACGGCCATGTCTTACATTCTCAAGCAAGGCGGCACAGTGTCTCCGTCGCTCCTTCAGGAGGCGTGGCAGTTTCTACTGTGGTGCGATCAGTTCAACATTCGGGTTTTGCCTGTTTATCTCCCGGGGGTAGACAACGTCCCTGCAGATGCACTCTCATGGCGTATACTAGCCCCACACGAGTGGATGCTCGCCCGGGAGATATTCGGGATTATCTCCCAGTTGTTCGGGTCGTTCCAGGTGGATCTGTTTGCGTCTGGGGTGACGAACCAGATTCCTGTGTTTTGCTCTCGGATTCCGGATCCGAGAGGGCTAGCCAACGACGCCTTTCAGCTCGATTGGACGGACAGGGTACTGTGGGCGTTCCCCCCGATACCACTGATTCCCAGGGTCCTGCCTCAGCTGTCCGCACAACCAGCTCGGCTACTTGTGCTTCTGGCACCCCTTTGGTCGGCACAAAGTTGGTTTCCGGTAATTCTCAGGTTTCTGGCTCAGCCTCCTGTTCTATTACCTTTTCGACCGGACCTCCTATCCCAGAACGGAGCGCCCCAGCCGAATCCCAGGATTCAGTGGGTGGCTTGGCCGCTGTCAGGGATCGCCTCCGTGCGAGCAGAATTCCTGCACCAGTTGCAGACACAATTCTGGCTTCGCGGAGGGATTCGACAAACATTCAATATGAGGATAGATGGGCCTGTTATACGCGCTGGTGTGTCAACAGGGGGATTCTTGATCCCTTTTCTGCAGATTTAGTCTCTGTCTTAGAATTCCTCCAGTCTCGGTTGGACGCCGGTCTAGCGGCTTCAACTGTTCGAGGATATTCTACGGCTATTTCTGCGTTTCATATTCCTGTTGACGGTGCTCTCTTGGGGCAGCACCCTCTTGTACAGCGCTTTTTAGCAGGCATGACAGAATCCGTCCGGTTGTCCAGCGGATTAGTCCCCCGTGGGACTTGTCAATCGTTCTTGATTGGCTGTCCGGTCCACTATTTCACAATCTGTCGGCTCTTTCACTCCAGCTGTTAACATGGAAGACGGCGTTTCTTGTGGCGGTGACTTCAGGCAGGCGGGTTGGCAATATTCACGCAATGTCGGCCGATCCCGAGCTAACTGTTTTTCACCAAGACAGAGTTAGCATACGGCTGCCTGATACTTACCGTCCTAAGAAGGATAGTACCTTCCATGTGACAGCGCCTATTGAGCTCCTGGCTTTCACTCAGCCTTCCCTGCCCGGTACTTCTCTACGACGTGCTCATGTCTTAGATGTCCGTAAGACCCTTAAGGCTTATATCAAATGAACAAGGGGTACCCGTAAGGATAACCAATTGTTTTGTTGTTATGGCGGGGTTAAGGCTGGTCTTCCGGCGACCAAGCAAACCATTTCTCGGTGGCTTGTCTCTGCCATACATATGAGCTATACTCACACAGGGCGTATCCCGCCTGTAGGGTTGAAAGCTCATTCGGTTAGGGCAGTTGCTACTTCAAAAGCTTACGCTGCAGCCCTACCCATTGAAGAGATCTGCTCCGCGGCTATTTGGAGCCGTCCAGTGAGTGTGCTCGGTTCAGTCAGTCAGTTCTCTCCAGTGGGCATGGTTCCACCTCTCTAGCCGATTGAGCTTTCGAGGATTTTATGACATGAACCATTATATGCCCATTTTTTAACACTGGTGTTGGGTTTTAAAAAACTTGTTTACATATCCCCTTAGTGACGGGTTTTATGTGGTGATGGTTTTTATTCCCATGTCTTTTACATTACTCCGTTCTGCTCTAGACTTATTTGCCTTGGAAACTTTGCTTACTAGATGTATTACGGCATTTTGTTTCTGGCGGCTTATTGTGGGACCCCTTATCTTCACTTCCGATTGATTACGGGAGGGAGGGAGGGTTTATCTCGATTGTTTACATTAGCGAGGTTTCGCTTTGTAATTATAATATGTTCGACCCTGACCCTGGCTCATGCCCCCGCCTGATTGGCTATGGTGGACACGTGACCGGGTAAGTGAGCTTTTTCTGCTATATTTAGCTTGGGAATTCCACTTCTTGTCAGGGGTGTTTTATGCAGACAGAATGCCACTCCTTAGCTCCGTCTTTAGGAGTCTGTCTTATGCTTATAAGTACCCCTAGGAGGAATATATAAAAAAGAATCAAACTAACCTGTAGAGGTTTCAGATTCTTTGAATATATTCCTCCTTGGGGTATGCCCACCCACCTCCCCACATTCTGTCTGACTTCGTTCAGCATGGAAAGTGAGGAACGAGGTTATGGTCTAGAGTTACCTGTTCTTGGCTGTAGGGGGCCGGAGGGCCCTGTAATGGTGGTCTCACAAGACAAAACGTAGTTTTTGTTTTGTAAATATTTTTATTCAAATATTGTTACAACTGTCGTAGGGATTTTAAATGGACATTTAAATGCTTATAAGTACCCCAAGGAGGAATATATTCAAAGAATCTGAAACCTCTACAGGTTAGTTCGAACTTGTAACATAACGATTTCTTCCACGGGAGCGAGCTGGGGGTCGAAGTGACAATACTGCGGGATAAATTTCTTGCTATATTCACGTGGTTAACGTGCACTCACCAGTATGTAGATACTAGTCAATGTACGTCTTTATATTTGGTCTTACAATCCTAATTAGTTTATTATCATACTTATATGCATTTTGAAACTAAATAAAAAAGCAGACGATCTGCTGATACTTATAGTGAATTTATAACAAGACTGTAATATCTAGACATTTTATGGTTTGCCAATGTGAATCATAATTGGCACACACGCCCTAGTGTATGTTGTCTGTCTCATTACACTTCACGGCGAAAACAATGACTCTGTTGAATGCTACGACAAATGGTATGCCATTCATCTGCAGCTGTTCCAAGTGATGTGTCTTTTAACAGTCTAATATACGAAAAAGTGATATATCGTTTCAGGTATTTCACATTGGTGCAGAGCTCCAGATAAGATTTAGCTAATGTGGGTACTGTACCCACTGTATATTTTTGGAGTGGGTATTATGAATGTTGAGTGGGTATTTCATTTACCGTTACCCACTGCTTTCAAATATGTACGTATTTCAGTCATTTTAAAACCAACTTAAATATAAGGGAAATGATTTTATAAAAAAACAGTCATCCTATACTGACAGTACAACACTTGTCCTATACTCACAGTACAACTTGATAGCAATCGATGTATTTTTCATTACGTAATCGATTTTTATAAGTATATTCCATACGCATTTGTTTTAAACTCTTTGCGTATCTAACAGTTTAAATGCGTAATTGGTACGCAGCAATTATTTTTCAATGCGTAATTGGAAAGTTTCTATACGTATTTTACCCAGATACGCAGCTTATCTGGGCCTCTGTTGGTGTATAGTCTCATTGGTCACCCAAGATAGCACACCTGGCAACTAATTGCGTAATGTCTGCCATTCTTTAAAAAAAGTAATTTAGTTAGCCAATAATGAGCAATCAATCAATGAATTGGTGGTTAATCCTTTGAAAGAGGGACGTTGTTTTTACACAGACACAGACACGACAGAGTGTATTCAGTATAGATTAGTAAATCTACATATATAAACACTACCTTTTGACAAATCCGCTGTGCAAGATAATAGTAATTATTCAATCAGCGTGTTATCGGTTAATCCTTTGATCGATGTTTATAATGTTGAGTATTTACTCCAGACACAAGAAATGCCAAATGGGAACCTTTGTCGGGTAATCTAAGTGGTGTAACCACTAACTAGCTGGTTTAATACTCTCCCGCTAAAGGTGAGCTTCAGTACCTTTGATACCAGTTTGTTCAGTTACAGAAAGGGGCAGTGGGGCAGCCTAGTGGTTAAAGCACACAGGTTTGATTCTGAACATGGGTACAATCTGTGAAGCCCATTTCTGGTGTCCCATGCAATGATATTGCTGGAATATTGCTAAAAGCGTCATAATGCCATACTTACTTAGTTATAGAGGAACATTTAATGTCACCAGGTAAACTGTCACCATCTCTCTGGGGATGCTGCTGGGGCAACTGAAAGTCGAATCAAGAATGCCTTCCTAGCAGGTGGGTCTGACAATATACACTCTCACACCTTGATGGGCTTCAGAGGCTTGCTAAAGAAAATGAGCTAGTGCTTCGACTAAGTCTTGCTCAGATGTCAGTAAACATATTATAGTAAATATTGCTTTGAACAGGTAACCTGTTTTTCATATTTCATAACCAAAATCAATTAACATGATTTGGCTTTAACAAGTTTAATTAATAGTTTTACTATTTTACACCTTGTTCTTAGAAAATATAAACATTTAACTTGTTAAAAGTATTGCTAATTTCAAACAAGATGGACACTTAGTTTAGAATTCCCATCATATGTCAAAGTCAATCATACGTATCTATAACAATAGGTGTGACCATGGAATATTCCTCGATCAGTTATATATTATTCTTGTGTCTTGTCCTGATTCCAGCTGGTGTGTACTCACCATGTATCCTGCTGCTAAAGAACATCCATGTTGTTGGCAAAGAGCGGGATGGAGCATCAGAGGGTAGGTTATATAGCAAGTATAACCCTTTGTAGCAGATGGAGTATGGAAGGGTAGGTTATATATCAAGTATAATCATGTGTAGAAGACACTGCATGGAAGGGTAGGTTATATATCAAGTATAACCCTTCGGAGCAGACGAACCATGGAAGGGTAGGTTATATATCGAGTATAACCCTTCAGAGCAGATGAACCATGGAAGGGTAGGTTATATATCGAGTATAACCCTTCGGAGCCGACGAACCATGGAAGGGTAGATTATATAGCAAGCATAACCCTTTGTAGCAGATGGAGTATAGAAGGGTAGGTTATATAGCAAGCATAACCCTTTGTAGCAGATGGAGTATGGAAGGGTAGGTTATATATCAAGTATAATCATGTGTAGCAGACGCTGCAAGGAAGGGTAGGTTATATATATCAAGTATAACCCTTCGGAGCAGACGAACCATGGAAGGGTAGGTTATATATCAAGTATAATCATGTGTAGCAGACACTGCATGGAAGGGTAGGTTATATATCAAGTATAACCCTTCGGAGCAGACGAACCATGGAAGGGTAGGTTATATATCGAGTATAACCATTCGGAGCAGACGCTGCATGGAAGGGTAGGTAATATATCAAGTATAATCATGTGTAGCAGACGCTGCATGGAAGGGTAGGTTATATATCAAGTATAACCCTTCGGAGCAGACGACCCATGGAAGGGTAGGTTATATATCAAGTATAACCTTGTGGAGCAGACGCTGCATGGAAGGGTAGGTTATATATCAAGTATAACCCTTCGGAGTAGACGAACCATGGAAGGGTAGGTTATATATCAAGTATAATCATGTGTAGCAGACGCTGCATGGAAGGGTAGGTTATATATTAAGTATAACCCTTCGGAGCAGACGACCCATGGAAGGGTTGGTTATATATTGAGTATAACCCTTTGGAGCAGACGCTGCATGGAAGGGTAGGTTATATAGCAAGTATAATTATGTGTAGCAGATGGAGTATGGAAGGGTAGGTTATATATCAAGTATAATCATGTGTAGCAGACGCTGCATGGAAGGGTAGGTTATATATCAATAATAATCATGTGTAGCAGACGCTGCATGGAAGGGTAGGTTATATATCAAGTATAATCATGTGTAGCAGACGCTGCATGGAAGGGTAGGTTATATATCAAGTATAATCATGTGAAGCAGACGCTGCATGGAAGGGTAGGTTATATATCAAGTATAATCATGTGTAGCAGACGCTGCATGGAAGGGTTGGTTATATATCAAGTATAATCATGTGTAGCAGACGCTGCATGGAAGGGTAGGTTTAGAATCATATCTATGCAGATTCATACAGTTTGCCGACATCCTTTTTCATCAAGACACTTGTTTGTTACCATAATGTCCATCTTTCAGACCCACGTGTGATCAGCAGTTTCCACAACTCCATCCTTGAGCTGACAGAGCAAGCACAGGAGTTTCCGCTCATCGTCATAGCAACCACCCGAAATGCACAACTGCTCTCACAGGACATGCAGGAAGCATTTTTACATGATATCAAAATGGAGGTACGGAGCATTCAATATACACAAATATCTCAGGATCTTAAGAACTGAAATTTTCTGACATCATTCAAGACTCAATATACTGGCTGAAATATTTTACGGCTACATCTGGTTGATAGAAAGGCCATCCAGTTGGTGGTAGGTTATATCCCCTCAACTTCAAACCAAAACACATTAAAACATTGTAGTTGTTATCCAGTCTGGCACATCGTCACACTTAAGACCCCGGGTTGGATCCCTCTGGGTACAATGTTTGAAGCCCATTTCTGGTGTCCCTCACAGTGATATTGCTGGAATATTGCTAAACTCACTCACTCACTCTGTCTGGGGCAGGGCTTTAAGGCTTAAAACAAGGAACGATCAGCTTGAATTCAGTATAATATCAGGGTGTAAACTAGAGTATGAACTAGTACATGCACTCATACAAATTGCTATGTAAGTTCACGTGTAACGTCAGCATTTCTCCTCATCTTACAGGGTGGTGGCTTAGCCTAATGCTTGAAGCATTTGCTCATCATGCAAAGACCCGGGTTCGATTCCCCACTGGGTACAGTGTATAATGCCCATTTCTGGTGTCCCCCCACTGTGATATTGCTAAAAGTGGTGTAAAATTAAACTCACTCATCTTCCTACTAACTCTCTCATCACCCTGTCCCCAGCTGTTATTTCCTGTTCTTACATCTGCAGACCCCAAGTGAATTGGAGAGAAGGGAGATTGTACATGGCCTGATGGAATCTGAGGTGACGTCTGCTGACTTATCCCTGCCCAGGATAGCACAGAGAACTGCTGTAAGTACAATCCACTACACATTCATTTTCTTTGTACAAATATTAATCCCCGCCCCGCGCGTTTAGCGAGAAGCGGGGGATATAGTATAAGGCTCCGTCCGTCAGACGTAACCATATCATACGAACCGAACTGGATTATCTTAAGATTTGGTACCAAGGTTCATCACAGTAAAATTTGGTACCTAGGTTCATCACCAGTCAAAGAAAGGTCCCAGTCAGGTTTGGTGACCTTTACCTTCATATTCAAATATATCACAAGGGGACTTAAACGGGCAGGCACAGGCCCAGTTGATTTTGGTGACCTTCGATTTTCAATCTCAAGAACCATGTTGACTGGATGTAAAGATTTCGAGATATTCAAAACCAAGCTTTATCTAGGGATCATGCGAGAAGGCACAGGGCCCAGTCGATTTTGGTGACCTTCGCCTAATGTTCAAGGTCATGGCGACACACTGAAGATTTCAGCATGTTAAGCTGCATGTTAAGCTTGTCAGCGAGATACCTCAAGAACCATTCACTGGATTTTCTTCATATTCGACATCAAGCTTCATCAAGGGAAGGTGCAAGTTCCAGTCGATTTTGGTGACTTTTATATAATTTTCAAGGTCATGGCGACACTTTGAAGATTTCAGCATCTTAAACTGCATGTTAAGATTGTCAGCGAGATATCTTAAGAACAGTTTACTGGATTTTCTTCATAGACTTTCAAGACTTCCCTTGAATGTTTTTCAACAAGCAATTCCTTTATTACTATTTTTGCATATTTCATACACTAAGACATTCATGTCAAGGTCAAAGTGAGTCTTGAAAATATTTGTGCGTTTGAACAACTACAGAGCAAGATATCAAGAGAGGTTGACAGGTCATGTTTTTGTTTACATTTAACTTCATCTTAAATTACGACCTTCACTTTCATTACTTATTAAAAATGATTTGATAATTTGCGGCGGGGGATTATGTCACCTTAGTGACAATGCTTGTTAACTTTGAACTTGCCCACTTCTGTCTGTTTGATGACTTAGCATTTTCTGATCTTCAAGGTCTCAGAAACCACAAGGTCTATGAACATGAAACTTTGCATGAATAATCACAACTGTTGGGTCCCCATGGTTCCTAGTATGGTGATCTACCTTCAGTTGTTGGCGATCTATAGCCCATGTTTTATACTGTATTGTCTTCTTTAATTGAAATGTTTTAGCTTTGCTCACTAGTTTTATTCATATCTGTGATTCTCTAGTATTTTTACTGTCCATCGTCGACAGGTTTTAATCTTCAAAATATTTTCTCTTTATATTGTATAAATTGTTTTCGTCACGATATGGCTGAGATATTGCATATGTGACGTTAAATATTAACTCACTCACTCACTCACTCACTCAATCACAACTGTTGGGTGCTTGAGACTGAGTGTACATAATGACTTTGTGAAAGGGGTCAAATGCAACATATGTTTTATAATGGGATTACATTTTCTCAGTAACATACAGATTCTAGCACTTTTGGAGGGTTGGATCACATCCAGGATTTGATCCCACACTGTCTGAGTATGGCCCCTATGTCATCAATCTTACCCACTCAACCACTGCGGCTTCCACATAAGGAAAGTCTGACAACTGGTAGTCTAGATCATGTGCTTGTGTAACCATCTGATTTGTGGAAATTGGCAATGCTCCAGTTTCCAAACTAGCTTCGAGTGACCATTTCAGTTTCTTTGGGGGACTATGTATTCGGTGGTGGCTGTCCGTCCGTAAGTCCGTACGTCCCGTTTCTTGTAACGCGATATCTCATGAACTGTCGTGCCCAATGTCTTCAAATTTGGTGACAGTATACATTGGGGGATTACCCAGACACCAGTCGATTTGGGTGACCCATGACCTTATCTTCAAGGTCACCACGACACTTTGAACACTTTGAACACTTTTGTTAAAGTGATATCTAATGGACTGTTGTATCCAATATCTTCAAATTTGATGACAGCCTACATTGGGGGATTACACAGACACCAGTTGATTGAGGTGACCTTGACCTCATTTTCAATGTCACCACGACACTTTGACCACTTTTCAACTCTTGTTAATGCGACATCTCATGGACTGTTGTACCCAGTGTCTTTAAATTTGGTGACAGTATACATCGGGGGATTACCCAGACACCAGTCGATTTGGGGGACCTTGACCTTATCTTCAAGGTCACCACGACACTTTGACCACTTTTCAACTTATTTAAACATGATATCTCATAAAACATTGTACCCAATGTTTTCAATTACGTTGACAGCCTACATTTCGTGATTATGCAGACACCAGTCATTTCAGGCATCTTGTATGTGACCCAAAAATAAAAAAGTAGTAAATATAGATATTCCATTCTTTAGCGGCGGGGGACATTGCCATATCAGAGGCAAACACTTGTTCTGACTTGAATCAAACATAACGGTACTCTTACGGGACAGTTATTTATTCCTCTTGGAATCTTCTGAACTTTGCTGCTTGGAATATTGATGTTTTCCCTATGCTATTTGATTCCTGTGGTTTGATATTTTGTGTTGTGTTTGTTTCCAGGGTTTTGTGTTGGGTGACCTTGTTGCACTGGTTGGCCATGCCAAACGACAGGCTTACGTGAAGGCTCTCAAACTGTGGTATGCATTACTTTCCACAAGACTTAGCAAGATAGCAAATTAGTGTGCATGCACAATAGATTTGTCTTTGTAACAAATAACAGTAGATATCTGACCGTTGTAGAGTAATAGACTTTCGTCTGGGAGGTTTATTTGGGCAAATGCTTCTATGTTAGTACTGAGGAGGATGAGTTAATAATCCGAAAGGTCTTCGGCTTCTATGAGATCAGCTTATCTACGGTATGTAGATTTTGTGTCCCTTCTACTGAGCTTTGATTGTTTTGTTATGAAGTTTGTAAAGTCGTACACCTTTCACTGTTTCTGAGTTCTGTAAAGTTTTAGCATAATGCCAGCCGTATGACAGCAACTGTCTACAAGTATGTGATTTCACACTGTACCCATGTGGGGGAACTAACCCAGGTGTCAGTCTCAGTCTGTGACTGCCCACTAGCTCATACCTATAAGATCTCTGTACTTTCCTAGTAACCTCAGCTAATAGTGCAAAAGATTAAATCTAGATGCACTGAAAATGATGGTTTGTCAGTCTGAGGTTTAAAGGATGACAAGTCAATGTTTTGACCAATAGGTTACCTGACTATCTCACACTGAAGTCCCAGGTTTCAGATCCTGATGCTGAGCCCATTCTTTGTGTTCCCAAGTATTGAAGATATTGAATGTTACAAAAACAGAACAAACCTAGTCACTCCCTTTCTCTGGTTCTGTAGTGCGGAATGGTCATCTGGTGTTACCCTGGAGACAGAGGAGGACCTGGTATCAGCCGGGGTGGTCATCGAACAGACAGATGTCGACACAGCACTGGACAAACTCCAGGCAGCACATTCTGACACCATTGGTGCACCAAAGGTAGCTTATTAATGAGTGAAAGAAATTGTTCTCTTGAGTGAGTGAGTAGGGTTTTACGTCGCTTTTAGCAATATTCCAGCAACATCACGACGGGGGACACCAGAAATGGTGTTCTCTTGAAATTATCTTCAGGGTAGTACCGTATATTACCGTCTATAAGACGAATTTTGAGGACCAAAAAAAGCAATCAGTAGAAGGGGGTCGTCTTATCCATGGGTTACGCTTTCGTCAAACTTTTTTCCAGGGGTAAGAAAATAACATCGTATCACTTCGCGTGAACAAACAACAGAAGACGACTTTGTCAGTAGAGACATCAAATTTGCAATTAAACATCACTAGACAAGATTATTTACCTTTTTAAGTTCTAAGTTGTTTTTTGCTGGGCATTGTATTATTTGCACTTCGTTTCGATCCGTGAGTAGACGCAATATATATGATTGTGAATTCTTTGAATAATGTGGACCAAAGTTATAATTATTGGTAAATGCCAGTTGTCTGTGGTCTGTGTTTGCTGCAAGTAGGACCCCATCGCGGGGGATCGACTTATGCACGAAACATACCATTTTGACACTGATTTTAAGGGTCAAGTTTGGGGTCATCTTATCCATGGGGTCGGCTTATAGACAGTAATATACGGTACTTCTTTATGCCTGTACTGTTATCCCAATGTGTCTGTTGGTAGATTCCCAATGTTACATGGAAGGATGTTGGAGGTCTAGCAGACGTCAAGTCAGACATCTTGGATACGGTACAGTTACCACTGCAGCATCCCGAGCTGTTAGCTGCTGGACTGAAGAGATCAGGTATATTGCAAACAAGAAACTTGTTGGTCTTCTAAACAAAGAATGTAACCCGGACTTTAAACATGTACAAGGACTAGGATATTGTGGGGTTTCAAATCTGTATTGTACATATAATTAGGGACCATTCATAATTTATGGCTAGGGGGTGATGATGATATTAAGGAGGGGTCACCCATTTTGTTCTGGGGAGGTAGGGGGGTCATCAGTTCTGTACACATGGGGGAGGAGGGGGTTTGGTTCAGCAAGTTTGTACGTTAAAATATATAGAAAAATATGCTTAAAAATATTGGAAAGGGGGTCATTGATTTTGTACATGACATGCGGCCATAAATTATGAACGGTCCCTTACTTAGAAATATTCACTCACTCTGCTCTGCCCCACAGGTGTGCTGCTGTACGGGCCTCCAGGAACAGGGAAGACCCTCCTGGCTAAAGCTGTGGCAACAGAGTGTTCTCTAAACTTTCTCAGGTAACCCAGTTCTCATGATAATAATAATCGGGTGGTCAGGCTCGCTGACTTGGTTGACACATGTCATCGTATCCCAGTTGTGTAGATAGATGCTCATGCTGTTGATAACTGGATTGTCTGGTCAAGATTCGATTATTTACAGACCGCCGCGGTGGAATATTGCTGAGTGTGGCGTAAATTAAACTCACTCACTCAGTCTCATGGTAATAGTTGGCCACAACCCTAGGGTAATTCCAGGGCAAATTAGGCATCCATGCTTTTCTTGATTGTTATTTCAATAAAAAGATAAATATGTGACCTGATGGATTGTGTCCTTCAGTCAACTAATGGATTGATGACTGTAGTTGATTATAGGTGGGATAGCCTAATGGTTAAAGTGTTCGCTCGTCTCGCCAAAGACCCGGGTTCGAATCCCCACATGGGTACAATGTGTGAAGCCCATTTTTGGTGTCCCCCGCCGTGATGTTGCTGGAATATTGCTAAGAGCGGCGTAAAACCAAACTCAGTCAGTCATACATTTGGAATATTGTGTGCTGCTACAAAATACAAACAAATACTTGAGTATTTGAAGATGCAAGACTTCAAAGCAAGAACCTTCTATAAGTGTTTTTGAGTGAATTATGTGAAACTCTTGTACCTCTGTACATCTGATAATTGTTTATTGTTCCAGTGTGAAGGGTCCTGAATTAATCAATATGTACGTAGGTCAGAGTGAAGAGAACGTCAGAGAGGGTAAGAGAATATATCTTCCACACATGCCAAATTGTGATAATATTTACTATAAAACATATGTTACTGGGAAGGGTGGAATGCTTTAAGTGATTCTGATTGGTCAGTTAAAGCTATATGATGTTACAGTGCTTTGTTGTTACAAAAAATATGACATAACATATAACAAAAAAACGTCACAAAATCTGAACAACAAACTGCCTTCAGTGCAGTTTTTGAGTAGTTTTTTTGTTGTTGACATTTTGTGTTTTTCTTCATTTTCCCTCTTAAATGTCAGTGAGTGATCTACTGAACTGAGAAAAAAATTCAGAATGAATGCTGAATGTCCACTGCCATTTTTTCTCTTTACTCAGATTATCTGTCATTAAGCAGGTTTCGGTTTATTCTCTAAGTATCTACAGCAGTAGAAGTTATGCAAAATTAGTGGTGTTCCGATGATCGAAAATAATCGAAAATCGATCGAAAGAAGGATTAAAAATGATTATTGATTGTTAAAAAACATTTTTTTGATTAATTGGAATTTTGTTGTTTTAGTTTAACACACTTAAATGAAGTAAACTAGTGATTAAATTTGACGATATTCACGAACAAACATGCGCTCAACAGCGTAAAGCTATACGCATTGTAAAATTGTAACTACTTTTATTGTTTAATTACAATTCCAGTGTCTTTCTTGCATGCATGCATTCATTGCATGACAGTATTAGTTATAAGGAACATTTATTAGAAAAAAACTGGGGAAAAACCCTTCAAATTGGTGTTTTCATTAAAACTGTATATATTTCGATTATAATCGATAATCGTTCACCACAATCCTCCGATAATCGATAGTGGATTTGGTTTCTGATTCCCAACACTATGCATAATATCTCAATTCTCTGGGCACCATCATTTGGAAAACATGTTATGTGATAAAGCATGTCTAATGAGACAGGATGAGCCTTATAGGATGCTATACATTGTAAAAACATGTCATAAGGCTTATTGCTGGAGTGATTATGCATGTTTCTATTTCCAGTTTTCAAGCGGGCTCGAAGTGCCACTCCCTGTGTGATATTCTTTGATGAGCTGGACTCCCTTGCCCCAAACAGGGGTCGGAGTGGGGATTCAGGAGGAGTAATGGACAGGTAGACTGTCTGGGAGACTCTTGGGTTGTTATGGGCAGGCAGACTGTAGAGGGGAATCTGGGGAGCCAGGACAGGTAGCCAGTGGGTGGGGGTGGGGACCTTGGGGGTCATGGACAGGTAGATAGTCTAGGGGACTCTTGGGTTGTAATGGGCAGGTAGAGTGTAGAGAAGATTCTGGGGAGTCATGGACAGGAAGCCAGTGAAGGGGGACTTTGGGGGTCATGGACAAGTAGGTAGGTAGTAGAGTAGACTCTTGGGGTCATGGGGCCAGGAATCAAGCTCACCAAGCGGGACCGCCTTTTCTAGCAATACAGCTTAACTATCCTTTTATCTGTGACTCAGTGGGGAAGCATTCAATATTTATTCATAGAATGTAATAATGTCACCTTTTTATCACACATTCTCAAAATAAATAACATTATTGCAATGAAACTTGACAGAATCAAACATCAGTTTGTAATATTTTCTGAATTGGAAGTGAATTCATCAAACACTCATCCTCTACCCATGACGCATTGTAATAATCTGTTCATCCATCACAGAGTTGTATCCCAGCTGTTGGCAGAGCTGGATGGACTTCACAAGTCCTGTGATGTGTTCATTATTGGTGCCACAAACAGGCCTGACCTACTTGACCCTGCCCTGCTCCGACCAGGAAGGTCAGTATTTGTTATGGTGTCTGTTGCACCATACAAGGGTCAATAAATGACAACATGATGACTGTGTTTCAGCTACTTTTTTACTTTCTGTGCCATTTGGGGTTGATATAAAAATAGGAATTGAGCAATTACAAAAGTGGACTTTAGGTGATATATAAATGAAGCGGAAATGGATTGTTAATTATAAAATGATATTACAACAGTATTGAATTGTCAGTTGCGATCTCATTACATTGAATAGAAGATGCCTCTGTGTACTGTGCTCACTTGTTTCCACAGCTGTGGAAGCTTTATCCAAGCCTATAATAAGTTTCATTTTCCTCAAATATGACCATGAGCATGTTACACAGGAAATAACATGTGATATGGATAAAAAAGTTTGTGAGTTTGTCCAGTTAGACAATCTGGTTCTTTAAGGGGTTAAATGTTTCAGTGGATCAAGGTTAAAACTGGAGTTGTCATCTGTACAGGTATCTTAGGGACTAACTTAAACATTCCCTGCAAAACTGTTGATGTCATTGGGTATGTCACAGTGGCCTGTAAGAGACTGAACCAGGGTCACTGTAGGCATCCACAGCCTGTATATGTTGTTTCCAGCTACCACTGAGAATTGCAAGATATTTCCCTAATATAACATAATGTCACAATACACACCGTGAGGGGTTCTTGGTCTCTTGTTGCTGTTTGCAACAACTGCAGACACTATCACCAACTGTGAGCTAACCATGCAGTGATATTATGTTGTGTTTATAGAAATAAGTTACCTGTATTAGGATATTCATGATATTAGTACACTGATCCTGACACAAGAGCAAGGCCTGTACACAGATCCCTTGTCTTGATTTATAACTGCATGCTAATGATGAGGCTGTGAGGAACAGGCATCCCAGACATGGAGGAAGCATGTTTTTGGTCCGGTGTCATATGACCAAATGGAAGGAGGAAGTTGCGATATATTATGTCAGGTAACATATGGTAGTATTTTGAATATCCTAATACATGCAATAGGACACACTATACCAAGTCACTTGATCCACTTGGTTGTATTATGACAAGAATTGGATACCACAGATATTACTTGCCATGGAATGTTTCACTGACAACAGCAGCACGTAGTTACTCTGTTTCTTTTGTGTGTGCAGGTTTGACAAGTTGCTGTACCTGGGTGTGGCTGACACAAGGGAAGCTCAGCTCAAGGTGCTGTCATCACTCACCAGGAAGTGAGTAGTAGCTCGTTGCCTCCATCACTGTAGTGGTCTCACCCTCACTGTAGTGTTCTCACCATCACTGTATAGTGTTCTCACCATCACTGTATAGTGTTCTCACCCTCACTGTAGTGTTCTCACCATCACTGTGTAGTGTTTTCACCCTCACTGTAAAGTGTTCTCACCCTCACTGTAGTGTTCTCACCATCACTGTGTAGTGTTCTCACCATCACTGTGCAGTGTTCTCACCCTCACTGTAGTGTTCTCACCATCACTGTGTAGTGTTCTCACCCTCACTGTAGTGTTCTCACCCTCACTGTATAGTGTTCTCACCATCACTGTGTAGTGTTCTCACCATCACTGTGCAGTGTTCTCACCATCACTGTAGTGTTCTCACCATCACTGCGTAGTGTTCTCACCATCACTGTGTAGTGTTCTCACCATCACTGTATAGTGTTCTCACTCTCACTGAGTGTTCTCACCATCACTGTGTAGTGTTCTCACCATCACTGTGTAGTGTTCTCACCCTCACTGTAGTGTTCTCACCATCACTGTGTAGTGTTCTCACCCTCACTGTAGTGTTCTCACCATCACTGTGTAGTGTTCTCACCATCACTGTAGTGTTCTCACCATCACTGTATAGTGTTCTCACCCTCACTGTAGTGTTCTCACCATCACTGTGTAGTGTTCTCACCCTCACTGTAGTGTTCTCACCTCACTGTATAGTGTTCTCACCCTCACTGTGTAGTGTTCTCACCATCACTGTGCAGTGTTCTCACCATCACTGTAGTGTTCTCACCATCACTGTAGTGTTCTCACCATCACTGTGTAGTGTTCTCACCATCACTGTAGTGTTCTCACCCTCACTGTATAGTGTTCTCACCCTCACTGTGTAGTGTTCTCACCATCACTGTGTAGTGTTCTCACCATCACTGTGTAGTGTTCTCACCCTCACTGTAGTGTTCTCACCATCACTGTGTAGTGTTCTCACCATCACTGTAGTGTTCTCACCATCACTGTATAGTGTTCTCACCCTCACTGTAGTGTTCTCACCATCACTGTGTAGTGTTCTCACCCTCACTGTAGTGTTCTCACCTCACTGTATAGTGTTCTCACCCTCACTGTGTAGTGTTCTCACCATCACTGTGCAGTGTTCTCACCATCACTGTAGTGTTCTCACCATCACTGTAGTGTTCTCACCATCACTGTGTATTGTTCTCACCATCACTGTAGTGTTCTCACCCTCACTGTATAGTGTTCTCACCATCACTGTGTAGTGTTCTCACCATCACTGTGCAGTGTTCTCACCATCACTGTAGTGTTCTCACCATATCTGTGTAGTGTTCTCACCATATCTGTGTAGTGTTCTCACCCTCACTGTATAGTGTTCTCACTGTGTAGTGTTCTCACCATCACTGTGCAGTGTTCTCACCATCACTGTAGTGTTCTCACCATCACTGTGTAGTGTTCTCACCATAACTGTATAGTGTTCAACCAGTCCTGTTGTTCAACCATTCCTGTTTATTATTGTGTTATATGTGATAACTTACATGAAATAGCATGTAGGAACTACTTTCAGTGTGCACCAGTGATGCTTGTTACCTTATAAGGCTGGTACTTTTACCTGACTGTGCCAGTCATGAAAATATCATGTTATTTGACAGGAAGGCAAACAGCCTTTTTGTTTTTACATATTCCTTTCTATCTAATGTGTTGTAGCCAAGTGATTGAAGTGTTTGCTTATCAAGCTGAAAGCCTGGGTTCAATCCCTACATGGCAGAAAGAGTGAAGCCCATTTGGTGTTGTGGAGTGATATTGCTGAACATTCCATGTGTCCAACTGCAGGTTTCACCTTGACGCTGATGTGTCTCTCAAGTCAGTTGTGGAGAAGTGTCCCTGGAACATGACAGGTGCAGACTTCTATGCCCTGTCATCAGACGCCATGCTGTTCGCCATCAAAAGGAAGATACTGAAGCTGGAAGCAGGTGAGATGTCCAAACAAACCACTCAGCTGGCTAGCACAAAATGGAGGACGTAAATGGATGCTTGTCAGATCATATTATTCCAACAGAATAGGGATCTGTTTGATTTGTTGTGTTATTATGTAAAATATATGAAGCATTCTATTGTTTGTTCCTCCCAATACTAACAAATTTTGCATACAACAAGGTAAAAGGTTTCCATGGTAACACGTGACTAAACTTCTCGAACATAATGTGCACACAATTGTCCCCACATCATGTGTAATGTCTTCACATTTATGTTTAACTATCAGGATTTATCACCCCAAAATCAGAAATCCAAGAAATAAACTTTTATTTATTTTTTTTCTGTTACTCAGGTGAAGATGTGGACCAAACAGTTATTGAGGTGTCTGAAGTCGACTTCCTGGAAGCTCTGAAACAGCTCACTCCATCGGTGTCCGAAATGGAGCTTGCTCGCTACAAGTACATCAGAGACTCCTTTGAAGGAAAATAGTCCATGTGACTTATACACTCTCATCCAACTCAAGTCAAAGAAATCCTCAATATATGATTGACTTCAAATTAATTATGTAACCCAAACAAGTCCACAGAGTGCTGTATTTTCCACACAACTATTTCCAAATCATCAAGAGATCTGTAAATATCTGAGACAGTCCTCCAAATTTTTCAATGTCTGATGGTATGGTTCTGTGTATACTCCACTCTCCTACCCAGAGTTCCATGCGGCAAGCCAGCATAGTACCTCTGCCACAGGCCAGAAAAATGTGACGATTCGCCACATCTTGCAATTCAATTCAAAATAATGTACTTTCTTTTACTCTTTTATTTTTGACGAGTATACACATCTAACTAAACATCTTTAATGGAATGGTTTAGTTTCACTGAGAAAATATCCAAAAACATGTAACACTATTAGCAATCCTTTGTTTACATAGGTTGTACGGCTCCACGTGCAGTCATCGAAGCCGACGGAGAGCAAACGATGCAGCCAGTTTGATATCTAAATATGTACTGTCATAGACCTAACTGTCGCAGTTGTGGAAGAATATATATGTAACAATGTAAAACATGAAGAGAGCGCCGAAAAGCTTTTGTGAGTCCAGTCTCTTCTTATTATGAATATGCCGCGTTTGATTACAAACAAGAGAAAGGTCCGATCACGTGATATGCCAATTAGCCTGTGGCAGTGATGTTATGTTAAGTCATCGCTGTGCCTGAGTGTGTGTATACTTCACACCTCACACTGTCATGTATGTATCTAACTTATAGAACTAAGTATTGGCAAATAAATTGTATTGCAATATACCTGTATTGCTGGCGGCAGTGTGTGACAGTGGTTGATACTGATCATACAAGCAGATCTTATTTTCTACATATTTTGGCCCTAAAAATATATCTCAAAATACAGTGGGATAGTTAGGGATTTTTTGAATGCTATATATAGTATGTAAGTATGCCCTTAAGTGAATTACTTATGAAGTGAGTGAGTTAATAGTTAACGTCAATAAATGTCTTTGAAGATTTTAAAATAAACAGTAGAGATAATGACAAAACCGTTCTCAGTAAAGTTATTGCAATACATTTGAATTGGTCCCAAATCCACTGTCCTTGTTAGGAGTAACTTCATGGATTGGGTGGCCAGGTATAGTGACCTGGTTGACAGCATGTCATTTTACCCAAATAACAATGTGGTTCATTGGTCACAATATCAATCATTGATTGTCCTCGACTCGATTATTTACAGGCAGCTGTGTTACAGCTGAAATATTGCTAAATTTATAGATTATGAATAATCGGGATGTAGTTTGTATCTGTCAATAAAGATACCTTGCTAGAGATGAGTGAAAACATTGCAGTCTACTACATGGTACGTGTTGCCTAAGGCCAAGGTAAATGGGATGGCCATACCATGTGGTTGTATTGAAGAAAGCGTGTTCTGTAACTTCACTGTAGAACATCATCTATGGACATTTGCTACATGTTAGCAATGATAGAAATTTGTCAGTTTACCCATTTTTACCATTTGCAAAATTATTAGCACATATATACAGATAGAATTTATTATGTTTTATCAACATTTTTTACATGTGATTAAAGGTTAAGACTTTTATGCAAATTGTTAAGACAGTAAGTGATTTCCTTGTTGTAAAATGTGAATTTTACCCCCTGAATACCTTTCTTAACTCATTATGTTAATTATGTCAAAGAAAACCAGAAACCAGAACAGAAAAGTTCATTGTATTATGACTGATCTGTTTTGCAAAACGGCCCATCTTTGCAACTTTCCCAGCTGTGTGTGAAGCTATGAGTTATGAGACAAAATGTATACTAGCTTTTAGTAGACATTGTGGGACGACCATCCCATCCCCACACACCAGTGAATGAATCCCGAATGAGACCCCAAAAGTACAAGAATCTGTACTTTACTGAGAAAGTGTAATCCCAAATATAACACGTCTCATCAATGAAGTTAGGAACGCAAAGTTCTGGTCTTCTTTCAGAGAGACAACTGAAGTAGTCTAATGAATATATGTATATGTAAGTACGTACTGTCAACTGGTCAAGTAATTAGCATTGATCAGCTGTTATTACAAGTGCTCATGTTGAATTATTGGCAAGCACTTATATTCATATACTAGTACTTTCCATTTGTATTAGCTGAGACTTGAATCATGTGTCACTGTGCTCTTGTACACTTCATGTTGTAGATGTTCTGTGATCTTTCACATATCAGTGGTGCTAATCTGTGTCACATTACAATGTCCTATTAATGCTGTCTGTGAGCAATATGGTGAACTACAGAGACTCAGTGTGTGTAATTATGTATATCGGTCGTTATTTGTACAGTGTGTGCTGATTCTTATTTATTATAATTTGAAATGATGAAGTGATAAACTTTGATTGAAGTAATGTTGTTGTTCTTTTATGCTGATCAGCTTCTTGGGGTGACCCACGGCATGACACCGAGGTTAGCTAATAGCATAACCCACCACCTGACTCCAGGTTCGATCAGTGGCTTAACCCATGCCATGGCTCTAAGCTTGGTCAGTGGCTTAACCCATGCCATGGCTCTAAGCATGGTCAGTGGCTTAACCCATGCCATGGCTCTAAGCTTGGTCAGTGGCTTAACCCATGCCATGGCTCTAAGCTTGGTCAGTGGCTTAACCCATGCCATGGCTCTAAGCATGGTCAGTGGCTTAACCCATGCCATGGCTCTAAGCTTGGTCAGTGGCTTAACCCATGGCAAGATCCCAGTCCTGATGAATTGTTTAACCCATGGCAAGATCCCAGTCCTGATCAACTGTTTAACCCACGGCATGACACAAGGCTTGATCAGTCGCTTAATGGATGCAAGGTTATTACCCCAAGTTTGATCAGTGGCTAAGCCCAAGTCATGACCCCAGGCTTGGTCAATGGCTTAACCTGTGGCATGACCCAAGGCTTAGTCAATGGCTTAACCTGTGGCATGACCCAAGGTTTAGTCAATGGCTTGACCCCCATCATAACACCGGCTTGATCAATGGCTTAACCTGTGGCATGACCCAAGGCTTAGTCAATGGCTTAACCTGTGGCATGACCCAAGGCTTAGTCAGTGGCTTGACCCCCATCATAACACCGGCTTGATCAATGGCTTAACCTGTGGCATGACCCAAGGCTTAGTCAATGGCTTAACCTGTGGCATGACCCAAGGCTTAGTCAATGGCTTAACCTGTGGCATGACCCAAGGCTTAGTCAGTGGCTTGACCCCCATCATAACACCGGCTTGATCAATGGCTTAACCTGTGGCATGACTCAAGGCTTAGTCAATGGCTTAACCTGTGGCATGACCCAAGGCTTAGTCAGTGGCATGACCCAAGGCTTAGTCATTGGCTTGACCCCCATCATAACACCGGCTTGATCAATGGCTTAACCTGTGGCATGACCCAAGGCTTAGTCAATGGCTTGACCCCCATCATAACACCGGCTTGATCAATGGCTTAACCTGTGGCATGACCTCAGGCTTAGCCAGTGGCTTGACCCCCATCATAACACCGGCTTGATCAATGGCTTAACCTGTGGCATGACCTCAGGCTTAGCCAGTGGCTTGACCCCCATCATAACACCGTCTTGATCAATGGCTTAACCTGTGGCATGACCTCAGGCTTAGTCAGTGGCTTAACCTGTGGCATGAACCAAGGCTTAGTCAGTGGCTTGACCCCCATCATAACACCGGCTTGATCAATGGCTTAACCTGTGGCATGACCTCAGGCTTAGCCAGTGGCTTGACCCCCATCATAACACCGGCTTGATCAATGGCATATCCTGTGGCATGACCTGAGGCTTAGTCAGTGGCTTAACCTGTGGCATGAACCAAGGCTTAGTCAATGGCTTGACCCCCATCATAACACCGTCTTTGATCAATGGCTTAACCTGTGGCATGACCTCAGGCTTAGTCAGTGGCTTGACCCCCATCATAACACCGGCTTGATCAATGGCTTAACCTGTGGCATGAACCAAGGCTTAGTCAGTGGCTTGACCCCCATCATAACACCGGCTTTGATCAATGGCTTAACCTGTGGCATGACCTCAGGCTTAGTCAGTGGCTTGACCCCCATCATAACACCGGCTTTGATCAATGGCTTAACCTGTGGCATGACCTCAGGCTTAGCCAGTGGCTTGACCCCCATCATAACACCGGCTTGATCAATGGCTTAACCTGTGGCATGACCTCAGGCTTAGCCAGTGGCTTAACCCACGGCATTACCCATTGCCTCATATGAGGTGTCAACACAAACAATTTTGTTTCATGTGGCGCCCCTCAGATGTCACATCTGCAGGCCCAAAACATGTGAAAATTGAAAAAAAAAATTATTTCAAAAATAATTATGAAATAATTATAAAAACAGAATAATGATATTATCCTAAAGCCAATTTACGAAAAGTAAAGAAATTCAGCTCTTACACATTCCATGACATTTTGTTTATGACACTAACACTCACAACTGCTTTTGCTTCTTTGTCCTTTGACACAGATGGAACTATTTGACTGACTGACCGAGTTTGGCTTTACACCGCTTTTAGCAATATTCCAGCAACATCACGGGGGAACACCAGAAATGGGCTTCACACGTTGTACCCGTGTGGGGATTCGAACCCGGGTCTTGGGCGTGACGAGCCAACGCTTTAACCACTAGACTACCCCACCGCCCCGGAACTGTTTGAAATGTTACATTGGAATGGTAAAACTCATCATTGGCTGGGTGTAATAAATTGTGTTGTTTTCCTAAATTATCATAATTGATACAATAGTATCAGAACGAATCTTATAGAAACACTGCCTTTCAATGTTTCCTGACCCGTGAAGGTCCGGGTTAGAATATTGATCTTCAGTAACCCATGCTTGTCCTAAGCGGCGACTAGCAGGATCGGGTGGTCAGGCTCGCTGACTTGGTTGACACGTCATCATATCCCAACTGCGTAGATCGATGCTCATGCTGTTGATCACTGGATTGTCTGGTCCAGACTCGATTATTTACAGACTGCCGCAATATAGCTTGAATATTGCTTTGTGCGGCGTTAAACACCAGGCCAACAAGCAAACATTGATAACTTCATGGAGTTTATAGATAAATATTCATATATTTTTAATGAAGTAGCGACAAGTTTTGGTAGATTTTACTGCTCTTGGTCAGTGGGACACTGTCAACATCTTTCAAAAGCCATTGCACGCCTGCTCGCAGTCGGCGATGTTGAGGAAATTGTTGCTATTGCCGCCGCAGCCACCGTAGATGAACGTCTCGCACTTCTTTGTGTCGGCGTTGTAGTTGAAGCGGTGGAACAGCGCCTTGCACGGCCCCGTCTCCGGCTTCAAATGGCAGGCTGCAACAACATTGTATTCACTGAAACAGGTGTGATTTATAGTTAAACAGTAAACTGTCAGGTACCTCCTTGATGGCGTTTGAATAATCAGTTATGACGCTGATGATCCGAGCAATGGTGTTACGAAATCTGTTTTTAGTACAGTCTTACGAAAAAATTCGTATTTAACTGATTTTATTGAAATTGCATATGCGCAAAATACAATTATATATATTTATTTATTCGTCCTAAATAATCTTGTGCATACGACTTGAGCAATAGCGGATTAGGATTTGCTGTATCCCATGTAAGAGAAATACGATTTTCACTGAGTTCGTGACAGTACAGGATACTATGTTAAGTTTATAAGCATACTTATTTAGTCTCGATATTTCTTATTAACCATTGTGAGTCATGAATGCCCTTATGTTCATTCTTTGTTGATTACGAATGTTAATCGATCATGTTAGGTAGGTTATATAGGGAAACTGCACTTGGTGTGCCCCCCGGGGAGCTACTTCAAGCAGCAATTAACAGGGTAGAAAACTCATTCGCTCTTATCTTAGCGAGATAAAGCAATCAGTAGGTCAGAATGAATTGGTCCGTGTGTCAGTTTTAGTGAAGAAAATGTCCATTTCTTCAGATGAGATTAATGTTCTGTTCTAGTTATCATCCTTACACAAAGTCACCCATTTGTCGAGAATGATCTATTTCTAATGTCATTTCTTGAAGCTTTCCGAAAATACGACAATCCTGGGAGATCCTGGGAGGGTAGTCTAACAAGTGTGTAGAGATAGCACTTATATTTGTGACATATGTACAAGAAGAAATGCGTATAAACAGCCTACATGGAAACCTCAGTGTGTTGTCCTGATACTATTTGATGTCTAGGGTGTCTTACTTTGATCCATGGACTGTTGCCAACTTGGGGCAGCCAGGAGTCCAACAAACAGCAGACAGAGAAGGCACTTGAACATGGCGGCAGGTGTGTAGAACAGCTATGACAAGTTAAGGTATCATGTGCAGAGACACCTGAAATAGGTCTGATATCTCAACCCAATCAGGTCGAACATATGCTTCTTCCTTATTACCTTCACACAAAGCTCACAACTTTCAAGGCTAGTCCCAATCAAGGCGAACCGGAATTGGAACAGTCATAAGCGTCTAGCTCGCCCAAGGTACGTAATCCTGAGCAGCAATAATTCATATGCACATGCTCTCTGTCAAGATTGTTTGCATAGTTTAGGAAACGTTAATTTGGTTTGGAGTAGTTATTTTTCTTACCTTTTATTCAGAGAAGCGCATAACCTGATTGTGAGAGTCGGAAGTATCACGATGCTTTTATTCAAAAGCATGGGCGGATACAGGAATTTTGAAAGGGGGTTGTTGACAGGGTGTTAAAAAACCCTGAACCCCCCTTTGCTCCGCCAACGCAAAAAAAAATTTTCAATGTGGTCTTAGGTCATTTTCAAAGGGGTGGGGGGTCGAACCCCCTGAACCAACCCCCACCCCTTGGATCCGCCACTGTTCAACAGATCACTTGATGTGTGTCGACATATTGCAACCATGACTTCTTTGAATATGTTCAGTATGAAGACGTAACACAGAAAATGTCAAGAAGCACGTTAAGAGAAATTCATACATATGGCTTTCTACGGTCTGTTCGTCCATTCAGCGTTAAAACTGAAATCTAAAACTTGTCTAAAACACTACAAAACACATAAATATGATATTTTCATAACATTTCACATGCATGCACGCTCCTGGCGACAAATGAGGGTACTTCCCGTCCTCACAATTCAAACGCTTTAACCACTAGGCTACCCCATCGCTCTTGGGAAATCAGTTTAGCATCAAATGTTGTCTACGGAATGACCAAATAAAGCGTGAGATTTTGATGAAATCTATGAAACTAGTTGTGTTGAATTTGGTAATAAATTCTGGAAATGATATTTGAATAATGTTTAACTAAATGAACAGAATATATACTTAGTTCCAATAGAAACGCGACATTCATGTTTGTTTTTGAAATTTCCATAATTGTCTTATCTACTTTACAATCATAACGAATGTGCATGTTAAATGTTATTTTAAACCAATTTTCGAAATTATACTTCTGAAACAAGACTTTTCACGTGAGATTAGACGTGACAACTGAATCTAATTATTGAACATTTTTATGGGGAAAAACAACAGAAACGCATCACATAAACGCATGACCTGACGCGTTGTGCACGTGAATTTAATGATACGACGCTTTCTTCAAGAAAAACGAGAGAAAGATCCCTTTAAAAGATGCGAAGGCAGTTTCTGTTGTGTTCGTTTTCGGAATGGTTCAGAGAACAATATGCCACGTCTGAGCAATGAAGCACGTCTACGTGCTCTTGGGATGATTGATGCTGGTTCCAGTGTTGTCAACGTTGCACGACATATGGGAGTACATCGGACGACAATTTACCGACTGATTGAACGCCAAAATCAAATGAATTCGGTGAGAGATCGACCTAGAGATGGCAGGCCACGAGTGACGTCGCACAGGCAAGACCGTTACATCGTAACGTCACATCTTTGCAACCGTTTTCTTCCAGCTACTGTTACTGCCCGTCAGACAATTGGGATTCACAACAGACCAATTTCAGGAAACGCAGTGCGTCGACGTTTGAGAGCACACCAGCTACACTGTAGGAGAGCCTACGTTGGACCGATTTTGACGCCACGGCACCATCGTCTGCGCTTAGTATGGGCTCGCCAACATCAGCATTGGAGATATGCACAGTGGCAGAACGTTGTTTTCTGAGACGAGAGTTGTTTTTGTGTCCACGTTGCAGATGGGAGAGTGAGAGTATGGCGTCGACGAAATGATCGTTTCAGAGACCCATCTGTTCTGGAAAGCGACCGCTGGGTTTGGGGCATCCCTTATGATGTGGGGTGGAATAAGCTTGGGAAGGCATGTGCCACCTGTAATCTTCCAAAACAACGTCCAAGGTCGTGGAAGGGGCGTAACTGCACGACGCTACATTGACGAAGTCTTAAGGCCTGTTGTCGTCTCGTTTTTTAGACCCAGACCACAGTTGCAGTTCCAACACGATAATGCCCGCGCCCACTCGGCCATTATCACAGGACAATTCCTGGCCAATCACCACATCCAGACAATGGTTTCGCCACCTCTTAGTCCTGATTTGAATCCAGTGGAACATCTCTGGGACGAATTGGACCGACGCCTTCGTCAAAGACCAGTTCCTCCACAAAATCGGCGGCAGTTAGAGAATGCAGTGTTGAATGAGAACATTCCCCTTGCTTTCATTCGACGTTTGTTCATGTCCATGGGAAGACGGTGTACTTATGTGATAAACAATAATGGTGGTCATACCAGGTACTTATATAGTATGACCAGAAATTATTGAGAATTTTAGGAATATGTTTAATTGGATTTGTAGTTTAAACAAGCTTGACCAGCTATAAAGTGCCTGGTTTCATTCATGAGAGACAACTCCGTTTATCCTTTTTCATTAGTTTGTGAAGAGTTATCCCCCTTTGTTTACTTGCTAGCAGACGACATTTTCAGTGATCCTCAGTATGGATGATTTAGAGAAGAGGAAGTTGATTTTAGAGTATTATATAACAAGGACATCAGATCAGCTACAGTGATTTCAAGTAGAACAGGCATCCCTGATAGAGGAACTGTGGCTGTCTGTAAGGAGACAATTAGAACAGAGCTGCATGCAATGGGTTGGCAGAGAAGTCGAGGAATTCCATCACCGATCATGAAACCTGAACAAAAGGAGCGAAGGTTGAACTGGTGCTTACAGCTAGGAATTTTAACTGGGACAATGTGATTTTCTCAGATGAAATGTTTTGTGTGGCTGTTTCCTAATACACTGAAATTCTGGACCAAACAAACTGAAAAACCTGTGTATCAGCGTTCAAAGTACAGTCCGAAATTTAACGTGTAGGGTGGCATATCTGTGTTAGGGGCAACGCCCCTCTGTGTATTTGAAGGGAATATGAACAGTGAGCGGTACACTTACTTCCATCTGCTCACGTGTTCTATAGAAATGTTTGGATTTTCCAGCAGGACAACGACTCAAAACTTCGTTCAAAGCATTCACAGGCCTGGTTTCGGACTCAAAATATGACATTATTAGATTGGCCAAGCTATAGCCCTGACCTAAATCCAATAGAAAATGTTTGGGGACTTATGCAGGAAAGCGTCAATAAGAAAAATCTGAAATATATTGCTGAAATGAAAGAAGACGTGGACCGATATTGGGACAGCATGGACCACGACTTTCTAACTTCTTTGATCAGTAGTATGCCCCGCCGCATTGAAGCCTGCATTGCTGCCCATGGTGACTTGACAAAATACTAACTGTTCACCTGTCTTTGAATCCGGAGTTATGTTCTGCTAATATTCACATTTAATACGTGAGTAATGAGTGAAAAAAATAAAAAAATTACAATCTTTAAATTCTCAATAATTTCTGGTTGTACTGTAACATCATCGAATATCAGCTTAAGCTTCTAAACGTGTCTAATGCAGACTCTTCAGGTTGGACATAATAAAAATTTCATCAGGTCTTAAATCCACTGTCGTTGCTGTTGCCTTTTTTCTTTCTTTGGTGCGTTTTGTGCAAAGCATATAGAGGCAAGAAGCATGTATGTGGGATAACAGTTCTTATTCCAAATAGACATGTCGCGTTTCTTTTGGAACTAAGTATATTTAAATCGGATTCACGTCCTTTTATGACGCTTCTATTTTCACACATGGCTATTGAGCCTTGATATCATTCAACCAGGCGTACATAAACGCGACTTAATCTAGTAATGTAGCAGGGGCGGATACAGCTTTTTGAGAAAGGCGGGGGTACACACTTCACTTTCACCCGTTTTCATTTTTCATGGGTCATTTAATAAACTTTCAGGACAAAAAGGGGGGTGCGCACCCCTGCAAACACCCCACCCCCCCCCACCCCCCTCTGGATCCGCCTATGTGTATTGACCGAGAATCTGCCCAAAGGGATTTCAAACAATGTCTCACACTTTATCATAGGGACTGTGAAGTTTGCGTCCATTTAACCTTTATGCAATAAATTTGAAAGTGGTTGTCGTTTGTGATCCTCCTTGTGTGTGAGGAGAGAGTTACCGTCCTTACCCTAAAGGTAAAGTTTTACAACTTCTCATCCTCTATTTGATGCCTCTGAAGCCGCGAAGTCTTTGAAGCTGAACATTAGAGTCAGTGAGTTTAGTTTTATGCCGCACTCAGCAATGTTCCAGGTATATGGCGGCGGTCTGTAAATAATCGAGTCTGGGCCAGACAATCCCGTGATCAACAGCATGAGCATCGATCTACGCAACTGGGATATGATGACATGTGTCAACCCAGTCAATGAGCCTGACCACCCGATCCTGTTAGTCGCCTCTTACGACAAGCATGGGTTACTGAAGATCAATTCTAACCCGTAACATCGGAATGAATCATCCCAACAACGATGGTTTTGAAAACTGCTTAAGGCATCCTGATCTCATTGTCCACAAGACTCACATTTGTGAATAGATAGTCTTGTGTAATTGTTAACATACCCGCGAAGATACGGGTTAGAATAATTATTGGTCTTCAACAACCCATGGTAAGATCGATGCTAAAGATGTTTATCACTGTATTGTCTGGTCCAGACTTGACTCGTATTTACAGACTGCCGCCATATAGCTGGAATATTGCTGAGTGTGGCGTTGAACACGAGAAAAACAAACATTGATAACATTTCTTCGTTAGTAAGAATCCCAAATTCACGCGGGTTATGATCATATTCTCTGTACACATTTCCACCTTCGTGCTTATGAGTTTCACTGTCAGTAAAAGATCGACGACCTGGATCAATGTGAGTTTCCACCTAAATGTTTAACAAGAGTGAGTGAGTGAGTTTGGTTTTACGCCGCTTTTAGCACCATTCCAGCAATATCATGGCGGGGGACACCAGAAATGGGCTTCACACATTGTGCCCATGTGGGGAATCGAAGCCGGGCCTTCGTCGTGACGAGCGAACGCTTTAACAACAAGGCTACCCCACCGCCCGTTTAACAAGACACACAAGAATATCACGAAAGCTTAATAACGTCACATTGGTAGCATAATTTCAACTGGTTATTCATTATTTCGATCACATTTTCGTAATATCCATTATTTTCCCGATATATTTCTCATTGCTTTTCTACCTTTTCGATATTTCAATTATTTTGTCGCCTTTTCGAGTTTTTTCTCGTCACTTCGATTATTTTCTCCTTATTTCAATTGTTTTATTTTTTACACAAACGATTAACTTTAAAAAAAAACCTTGAATTTTAGAGAAAATAATTGAAACAACGAGTAAATAATTGAAGTAACGAAAAAGAACTTGTTTTTTCGATTTTGTCTGATTTTGTTAAAATACTGGATATTTTTCTCTTGGTCCTTGGTTGGTTGGTTTGTTGTTTAACATCGTACTCAGCAATATTCCAGCTGTATGGCCGCGGTCTGTAAATAATCGAGTCTGACTATAAATATTAAACTTCATGTATTTTACAAATACATATGGACGTGTATATTTTTTTAATGCAGTAGAGACAAGATTTGATAGATTTTACTGCTCTTGGTCAGTGGGACACTGTCATCATCTTTCAAAAGCCACTGCACGTTTTCTCGCAGTCGGCGATGTTGCGGAAATTGTTGCCATTGCCGCCGCAGCCACCGTAGATGAACGTCTCGCACTTCTTTGTGTCGGCGTTGTAGTGGAAGCGGTGGAACAGCGCCTTGCACGGCCCCGTCTTCGGCTTCAAATGGCAGACAGAACCTGAAACAGGCATGCATTCACTGTAACAGGTGTGTGATATACAGTTACGCACTGAACTGTCAGGTACCTCCTTGATGGCGTTTGGAATAACCAGCTATCACGCTGATGAGCAACAATTTTCATAGGTGGTACCCCAGTTGTCAGACACTTGAGTGAGGGTGGAGAAGGCTCACCCCTACGGTAATAATAGATCAGTCCTAATTAGCACAAACTTTAGTCACAACTCCTCTAATTAGATAATCCCCAGTTCTTTAGGATCAAGTGACTAGCATAACACAGTGTTTGCTTTGTATAATAAGGACATAATCCTTTTAATTGGTCTACTCGAATATAAACTTTAGTACTGAGTCTGTATGAATTACCCTTTCTATTGAGTGAGTGCATGAGTTGGTATTTACGCCGCTTTTAGCAATATTCCAGCAATATCACGGCGGGGGACACCAGAAATAGGCTTCACACATTGTACCCATGTGGGGAATCGAACCCGGGTCTTCGGCGTGACGAGCGAACGCTTTCATCACTAGACTAGTCTTTCAAAAAAAATTCTGGTGCACAAGCTACGGTAACTTTGTCAGAAATGATAAACTGGATTCGAATCTTGGGAAAATTAGGTTTGGGAAATCAGTCGAATATCAAAATATGTCTACGAAATGACCAAATATAAAGTGAGATTTTGATGAAATCTACGAAACTAGTTGTGTCGAGTTTTGTAATACATTTTGAAAGATCAATATAAAACGTCAGTGATAAACTACAGTATTATATAAAAATGTTTAACGAAATGAATAGAATATATCTAGTTATCCTGCCCCGCCAACTACTGGCATTACCTGGCTTAGGGTATCCTTGAGATAAAAAATGTATAATAAAAAAGTTAAACTGAGATTTAAATGCTGTTTTATCAAATCCTAGACCCTACTCATATGCCACTCAACACCATTCCATCTAAACAACGCAGTCGGGATCTTCGAACCCGAAGATTTCACGACCATAATCTTTTCAAACACAACCTTAGAGCGATATATAGCAAAACCTCAGTAACCGAAACGTTATATGGTTGCTATGATATGAGCAAAACTGTTACATGGTCTATATAGAATTTCCCATTTTATAGTGACACATCTGACACAATTCAAACATTAGTTTCCATTTCACTCCCGTTGCCTTCTTTTAGTTGGATTCCGAACAAACAAACGTAAATTCGGTAGTGTGAGCGTCGATAATGGTGAATGTTAGTTTATACCTGATGACAAATTCACAAGTTCTAAAGTCACTGAGCCTTCGTCTTCCCCTATCATGTCATCCGAAGATTCATTATGCAAACAGAATTAAGAATTTCAATTCGGATTGGAAAAAAAATCAACACATGGGATTATGGCCAAGCAGTTTACTTATGATTTAGGTACACCGTTGATCTGATATCGTTAAATAACCATAAAATAACCAATTTCCTTTAACTGATTTTCCACTAATGCTGCCCCATTTGTTTCGTATTAAGATCCCGAGAACCTTCAACGTGCATTTTTCTTGTTTCAGGTCGCATAAAAAATGAGGTAGAAATATACCATTCAAAAAAAGTAGGGGCTACTGGATTTACAAGATTGATAAAATGCAAATGAGGAGGAAACTTAAGTATATCTTACCCGGAGGACACGTTTTCTCACACTCGGCGATGCTGTTGAAGTTGTTGGCGTTGCCTCCGCAGCCGCCGTAGATGAAGCTCTCACACTTTTTGCTGTCAGGGTTGAAGTAGATCCGAGGCATATACGCCAAACACCGTCCGGGATCTCGTTTCATTTCGCAAACTGAATAAATTGGGAATAGATGTCATTTAAGACTCAGTCAAATGGACTTGTTCAACCTCGTTATTCTGGACATTGGACGTCTACAACACAACTCAGCACGACCTATATAAGCAGGACACTTTAGAATTCTGATATATCACTAAACAAATCATGTGGTATGGTCATGTGGCACACGCTACTATTATCACTAGAAGGAAAACGTAATATACGGTAGTCGTTTGTGTGTATCACACATCCACATTTGCTTTAATCGGCTTCAGTTTTCGTTCCTCAGGAATATTTATATTTTCATGAGAAAAGTGACCTTTTTGCAAGAATGTCCTTCTCGCAAAACTCGATCTATCTCGGATAAAGGAATTACGCAGAGATAGAAATTATTCATTTCCCTATCCGGTGGTGTAACTATAACTAATGGTGCAGTTCTAAAATAGGACATGATAAGTGTTTTCCGAGGTGTAGTTAAAGGCGTAGAAACAGTAAATTCTCCACTTAGATGTCGTTGACAGTTAAAAGTACTGTGCCACATGTTTTCTTCATGTACAGCTGTATGGAATCTGTGAGTGAACAACTTACAGTCTTATACTTGAAAGACACACATATATAGCAAATGGATATGAACACACACACACACACACACACACACACACACACACACACACACACACACACACACACGCACACGCACACGCACACACACACACACCTAGATATTAAAAGACGACTGTGAGGTTTACGCATGAGGGACATAACACGGCTATGCGTTCAACTAATCCAGCTGTAACAGCGTATGTGGTCCGAGTTTGCTTTGAATGAGGAGGACATGTAAAGAAGGAACCAAACCATTCTACAAAACTGTCGAAAACAGAAGAAAAAAATGTTTTTAGGCTGTTACTCTGTATCCCCAAGATTTACACAATTGCAATTAGCATATGTCGAAATAACCCACATCGGCCTAACTGGATGTTCAGTGGGATCCGTAATAGGATATCTAGAAAAGCATCTTTACTCGTAAAATCGGTCAAAACTTAGAAAAACTGCGAATAGCTGCTTAAAACAATAGATCAGACTATAGATGACAATTAGGTCGCTCGGCCAGGTATGACAACGGATCGTCGACACACCGAGCATGGACTTCACGTACTGCCTACATTCACAAGGGGTTATCTCAAAGATATTTATGCGTTTTTTCTTGTGTGTTGAATATATCTCAAATATTGATTTTTCATAAAGTTTATGTTGAGATATGTAAAACAGTATGATACCCATAGAAAGGCTTAAATCAGCTATCGTATGAAATGTCTCAAAATATATAGGTAGCATTGCCACCCGAAGATCAACAGGACTGGATATTATTTGTAAATTGTCACTTCCCCAGTATAATTCCCCTAAAGGATTATTTTATCTTAGCTGATATCTCTATCCCCAAGCCCGACCCCAACCATCGTCTGCGACACCCGACCTGGTTTTGCTTTTGAGACGACCCCCCATGTCTGTTTGTTTATATAGTGGTAGTGAGACTCCATGGTAGCTACATCCTTAAGAGTTTCACAAGTACAATTTTTTTTTGTACGTCAGCTATGGTTTCTAATGAAGCTAAGTCTAATTTCAAAATGGGCATTTAAAAAGTGTCCTTTGTAATACAATATCATCGCAAACTAATTTGAATAAAGCCAAGGGCTGTTCGAAATAGGTCAACTTGGACACTGCTCATTTCTGCACTAATCTCTCCTCAGTATAGTCCTTTTTTTACGTTTCCTATCTCCCTACCTCCGAGACTGTAGTTAGGCCGAACTTAGTTTAACAGACATCTCACACTTTCACATATTAACTACATACATTGTGGATCTAAATGTGAAAAAAACCCAGTTTTTTTCTATTTCCGACATTCCTTTTTTAACACAAATATCACTATTGAAACCGTTTACGTTTTTGTATAATTTCAAACATGAGAAATGGTTAAACTGGTTAAACACTACTGCATAAAAGTTGAAGTTACAGCGAAATGGACGGTCCTTCTAATATGTAAATTTCCCCATTCACCTGAATGTGTAAGTATATTTTAACCATGTTCACGAAGTAAAAGCATTTTTATTAACTGTCCATCAGATAGCTATCTTTCACCATATAAAAACAAATAAAAAAACAATATAAAATATAATAATGTCATGAAAAGATCAACAGTTTTACCGTGCATCTTAATATTGGAGTGAGTGAGTTTAGTTTTACGCCGCACTCAGCAATATTCCAGCTATATGGCGGCGGTCTGTAAATAATCGAGTCTGGACCAGACAATCCAGTGATCAACAGCATGAGCATCGATCTGCCCATTTGGGAACCGATGACATGTGTGAACCACGTCACCGAGCCTGACCACCTGATCCCGTTAGTCGCCTTTTACGACAAGCATGGGTTACTAAAGTTCAATATTCTAACCCGGACCTTCACGGGTTCTTAATATTGGACAGCACAGGCACCCGTCTAACATCAGTTCAACAGAAATCACAAATATATATTATTTCAAAGGATGCGAACACATTTTCAGTAGTGGATATGTCTTAGTTTATTATTACATGGCTTCTATGTCAGTGGTGTGGGTCATATATCTTCCGAAGGAATAGTACCCAATTTTCAATTTCCACAAGTCTAAAAAAGTATTTCACTGATCGGAAATTGATGTGAATTGGATGACAGCAATGATCGAACAGTGATGCCAAGAATACGTGGGGAGAACTTTGAACTGTTGAACCGTTAAGTACAAAGGTTTCTATAGTGTAGGGTAAAGTGTTTTATCATATATGATGCATACGTTTATGCTAATGGATAAAATAAGGCCATATGCAGATAGGGATGCAAATATGAAACGTCAAGTGGGTAATAGTTTTTCAATACATGGTAAACAAACATGTGGATAGCGTCTCCCTTTTTCCTCAGCGGTCAAATCAGAAATAACCGTCTGGATTATGGATTAACTAAAGGCAAAATGACAGGTTGAAATACTATTTTCTGTCCATTTCAATTTGGGAAACAAATAAAACTCCTGAAAGGTCCTCGAACTACGTCAGAATATAAACTACCAGGCAAAAGAAAGTTATCACTCTTAAAGAAATTGTACAAAAAGAAAAACTCTGGTACAGGTTTGAACCCAAGCAGATAACAATCGCCAAAACGCAACATGGTCCGGATAACAACGCAGCTGTCCGAAAACCTCGTACGTATCGTGCATTTTTTGAAGACGTGAAAAACTTAGTTGTGGGACTTTGGTTCAAATGCACGAGTATGATTGTGGCATAAATACCGATGTTGGCCAGAGCAAGCAAGCAGTAACCAAAAAGTCACCACGGCCAATACGGGTCATTTACAACGTCAGCTGGCAAGGACCTTGAACTGCAGACAGGCCATTGGAGATATGCACAGTGGCAGAACGTTGTTTTCTGAGACGAGAGTTGTTTTTGTGTCCACGTTGCAGATGGGAGAGTGAGAGTATGGCGTCGACGAAATGATCGTTTCAGAGACCCATCTGTTCTGGAAAGCGACCGCTGGGTTTGGGGCATCCCTTATGATGTGGGGTGGAATAAGCTTGGGAAGGCATGTACCACCTGTAATCTTCCAAAACAACGTCCAAGGTCGTGGAAGGGGCGTAACTGCACGACGCTACATTGACGAAGTCTTAAGGCCTGTTGTCGTCCCGTTTTTTAGACCCAGACCACAGTTGCAGTTCCAACACGATAATGCCCGCGCCCACTCGGCCATTATCACAGGACAATTCCTGGCCAATCACCACATCCAGACAATGGTTTCGCCACCTCTTAGTCCTGATTTGAATCCAGTGGAACATCTCTGGGACGAATTGGACCGACGCCTTCGTCAAAGACCAGTTCCTCCACAAAATCGGCGGCAGTTAGAGAATGCAGTGTTGAATGAGAACATTCCCCTTGCTTTCATTCGACGTTTGTTCATGTCCATGGGAAGACGGTGTACTTATGTGATAAACAATAATGGTGGTCATACCAGGTACTTATATAGTATGACCAGAAATTATTGAGAATTTTAGGAATATGTTTAATTGGATTTGTAGTTTAAACAAGCTTGACCAGCTATAAAGTGCCTGGTTTCATTCATGAGAGACAACTCCGTTTATCCTTTTCATTAGTTTGTGAAGAGTTATCCCCCTTTGTTTACTTGCTAGCAGACGACATTTTCAGTGATCCTCAGTATGGATGATTTAGAGAAGAGGAAGTTGATTTTAGAGTATTATATAACAAGGACATCAGATCAGCTAAAGTGATTTCAAGTAGAACAGGCATCCCTGATAGAGGAACTGTGGCTGTCTGTAAGGAGACAATTAGAACAGAGCTGCATGCAATGGGTTGGCAGAGAAGTCGAGGAATTCCATCACCGATCATGAAACCTGAACAAAAGGAGCGAAGGTTGAACTGGTGCTTACAGCTAGGAATTTTAACTGGGACAATGTGATTTTCTCAGATGAAATGTTTTGTGTGGCTGTTTCCTAATACACTGAAATTCTGGACCAAACAAACTGAAAAACCTGTGTATCAGCGTTCAAAGTACAGTCCGAAATTTAACGTGTAGGGTGGCATATCTGTGTTAGGGGCAACGCCCCTCTGTGTATTTGAAGGGAATATGAACAGTGAGCGGTACACTTACTTCCATCTGCTCACGTGTTCTATAGAAATGTTTGGATTTTCCAGCAGGACAACGACTCAAAACTTCGTTCAAAGCATTCACAGGCCTGGTTTCGGACTCAAAATATGACATTATTAGATTGGCCAAGCTATAGCCCTGACCTAAATCCAATAGAAAATGTTTGGGGACTTATGCAGGAAAGCGTCAATAAGAAAAATCTGAAATATATTGCTGAAATGAAAGAAGACGTGGACCGATATTGGGACAGCATGGACCACGACTTTCTAACTTCTTTGATCAGTAGTATGCCCCGCCGCATTGAAGCCTGCATTGCTGCCCATGGTGACTTGACAAAATACTAACTGTTCACCTGTCTTTGAATCCGGAGTTATGTTCTGCTAATATTCACATTTAATACGTGAGTAATGAGTGAAAAATAAAAAATTACAATCTTTAAATTCTCAATAATTTCTGGTTGTACTGTAACATCATCGAATATCAGCTTAAGCTTCTAAACGTGTCTAATGCAGACTCTTCAGGTTGGACATAATAAAAATTTCATCAGGTCTTAAATCCACTGTCGTTGCTGTTGCCTTTTTTCTTTCTTTGGTGCGTTTTGTGCAAAGCATATAGAGGCAAGAAGCATGTATGTGGGATAACAGTTCTTATTCCAAATAGACATGTCGCGTTTCTTTTGGAACTAAGTATATTTAAATCGGATTCACGTCCTTTTATGACGCTTCTATTTTCACACATGGCTATTGAGCCTTGATATCATTCAACCAGGCGTACATAAACGCGACTTAATCTAGTAATGTAGCAGGGGCGGATACAGCTTTTTGAGAAAGGCGGGGTACACACTTCACTTTCACCCGTTTTCATTTTTCATGGGTCATTTAATAAACTTTCAGGACAAAAGGGGTGCGCACCCTGCAAACACCCCACCCCCCCCCCTCTGGATCCGCCTATGTGTATTGACCGAGAATCTGCCCAAAGGGATTTCAAACAATGTCTCACACTTTATCATAGGGACTGTGAAGTTTGCGTCCATTTAACCTTTATGCAATAAATTTGAAAGTGGTTGTCGTTTGTGATCCTCCTGTGTGTGAGAGGAGAGTTACCGTCCTTACCCTAAAGGTAAAGTTTTACAACTTCTCATCCTCTATTTGATGCCTCTGAAGCCGCGAAGTCTTTGAAGCTGAACATTAGAGTCAGTGAGTTTAGTTTTATGCCGCACTCAGCAATGTTCCAGGTATATGGCGGCGGTCTGTAAATAATCGAGTCTGGGCCAGACAATCCCGTGATCAACAGCATGAGCATCGATCTACGCAACTGGGATATGATGACATGTGTCAACCCAGTCAATGAGCCTGACCACCCGATCCTGTTAGTCGCCTCTTACGACAAGCATGGGTTACTGAAGATCAATTCTAACCCGTAACATCGGAATGAATCATCCCAACAACGATGGTTTTGAAAACTGCTTAAGGCATCCTGATCTCATTGTCCACAAGACTCACATTTGTGAATAGATAGTCTTGTGTAATTGTTAACATACCCGCGAAGATACGGGTTAGAATAATTATTGGTCTTCAACAACCCATGGTAAGATCGATGCTAAAGATGTTTATCACTGTATTGTCTGGTCCAGACTTGACTCGTATTTACAGACTGCCGCCATATAGCTGGAATATTGCTGAGTGTGGCGTTGAACACGAGAAAAACAAACATTGATAACATTTCTTCGTTAGTAAGAATCCCAAATTCACGCGGGTTATGATCATATTCTCTGTACACATTTCCACCTTCGTGCTTATGAGTTTCACTGTCAGTAAAAGATCGACGACCTGGATCAATGTGAGTTTCCACCTAAATGTTTAACAAGAGTGAGTGAGTGAGTTTGGTTTTACGCCGCTTTTAGCACCATTCCAGCAATATCATGGCGGGGACACCAGAAATGGGCTTCACACATTGTGCCCATGTGGGAATCGAAGCCGGGCCTTCGTCGTGACGAGCGAACGCTTTAACAACAAGGCTACCCCACCGCCCGTTTAACAAGACACACAAGAATATCACGAAAGCTTAATAACGTCACATTGGTAGCATAATTTCAACTGGTTATTCATTATTTCGATCACATTTTCGTAATATCCATTATTTTCCCGATATATTTCTCATTGCTTTTCTACCTTTTCGATATTTCAATTATTTTGTCGCCTTTTCGAGTTTTTTCTCGTCACTTCGATTATTTTCTCCTTATTTCAATTGTTTTATTTTTTACACAAACGATTAACTTTAAAAAAAAACCTTGAATTTTAGAGAAAATAATTGAAACAACGAGTAAATAATTGAAGTAACGAAAAAGAACTTGTTTTTTCGATTTTGTCTGATTTTGTTAAAATACTGGATATTTTTCTCTTGGTCCTTGGTTGGTTGGTTTGTTGTTTAACATCGTACTCAGCAATATTCCAGCTGTATGGCCGCGGTCTGTAAATAATCGAGTCTGACTATAAATATTAAACTTCATGTATTTTACAAATACATATGGACGTGTATATTTTTTTAATGCAGTAGAGACAAGATTTGATAGATTTTACTGCTCTTGGTCAGTGGGACACTGTCATCATCTTTCAAAAGCCACTGCACGTTTTCTCGCAGTCGGCGATGTTGCGGAAATTGTTGCCATTGCCGCCGCAGCCACCGTAGATGAACGTCTCGCACTTCTTTGTGTCGGCGTTGTAGTGGAAGCGGTGGAACAGCGCCTTGCACGGCCCCGTCTTCGGCTTCAAATGGCAGACAGAACCTGAAACAGGCATGCATTCACTGTAACAGGTGTGTGATATACAGTTACGCACTGAACTGTCAGGTACCTCCTTGATGGCGTTTGGAATAACCAGCTATCACGCTGATGAGCAACAATTTTCATAGGTGGTACCCCAGTTGTCAGACACTTGAGTGAGGGTGGAGAAGGCTCACCCCTACGGTAATAATAGATCAGTCCTAATTAGCACAAACTTTAGTCACAACTCCTCTAATTAGATAATCCCCAGTTCTTTAGGATCAAGTGACTAGCATAACACAGTGTTTGCTTTGTATAATAAGGACATAATCCTTTTAATTGGTCTACTCGAATATAAACTTTAGTACTGAGTCTGTATGAATTACCCTTTCTATTGAGTGAGTGCATGAGTTGGTATTTACGCCGCTTTTAGCAATATTCCAGCAATATCACGGCGGGGGGACACCAGAAATAGGCTTCACACATTGTACCCATGTGGGGAATCGAACCCGGGTCTTCGGCGTGACGAGCGAACGCTTTCATCACTAGACTAGTCTTTCAAAAAAAATTCTGGTGCACAAGCTACGGTAACTTTGTCAGAAATGATAAACTGGATTCGAATCTTGGGAAAATTAGGTTTGGGAAATCAGTCGAATATCAAAATATGTCTACGAAATGACCAAATATAAAGTGAGATTTTGATGAAATCTACGAAACTAGTTGTGTCGAGTTTTGTAATACATTTTGAAAGATCAATATAAAACGTCAGTGATAAACTACAGTATTATATAAAAATGTTTAACGAAATGAATAGAATATATCTAGTTATCCTGCCCCGCCAACTACTGGCATTACCTGGCTTAGGGTATCCTTGAGATAAAAAATGTATAATAAAAAAGTTAAACTGAGATTTAAATGCTGTTTTATCAAATCCTAGACCCTACTCATATGCCACTCAACACCATTCCATCTAAACAACGCAGTCGGGATCTTCGAACCCGAAGATTTCACGACCATAATCTTTTCAAACACAACCTTAGAGCGATATATAGCAAAACCTCAGTAACCGAAACGTTATATGGTTGCTATGATATGAGCAAAACTGTTACATGGTCTATATAGAATTTCCCATTTTATAGTGACACATCTGACACAATTCAAACATTAGTTTCCATTTCACTCCCGTTGCCTTCTTTTAGTTGGATTCCGAACAAACAAACGTAAATTCGGTAGTGTGAGCGTCGATAATGGTGAATGTTAGTTTATACCTGATGACAAATTCACAAGTTCTAAAGTCACTGAGCCTTCGTCTTCCCCTATCATGTCATCCGAAGATTCATTATGCAAACAGAATTAAGAATTTCAATTCGGATTGGAAAAAAAATCAACACATGGGATTATGGCCAAGCAGTTTACTTATGATTTAGGTACACCGTTGATCTGATATCGTTAAATAACCATAAAATAACCAATTTCCTTTAACTGATTTTCCACTAATGCTGCCCCATTTGTTTCGTATTAAGATCCCGAGAACCTTCAACGTGCATTTTTCTTGTTTCAGGTCGCATAAAAAATGAGGTAGAAATATACCATTCAAAAAAAGTAGGGGCTACTGGATTTACAAGATTGATAAAATGCAAATGAGGAGGAAACTTAAGTATATCTTACCCGGAGGACACGTTTTCTCACACTCGGCGATGCTGTTGAAGTTGTTGGCGTTGCCTCCGCAGCCGCCGTAGATGAAGCTCTCACACTTTTTGCTGTCAGGGTTGAAGTAGATCCGAGGCATATACGCCAAACACCGTCCGGGATCTCGTTTCATTTCGCAAACTGAATAAATTGGGAATAGATGTCATTTAAGACTCAGTCAAATGGACTTGTTCAACCTCGTTATTCTGGACATTGGACGTCTACAACACAACTCAGCACGACCTATATAAGCAGGACACTTTAGAATTCTGATATATCACTAAACAAATCATGTGGTATGGTCATGTGGCACACGCTACTATTATCACTAGAAGGAAAACGTAATATACGGTAGTCGTTTTGTGTGTATCACACATCCACATTTGCTTTAATCGGCTTCAGTTTTCGTTCCTCAGGAATATTTATATTTTCATGAGAAAAGTGACCTTTTTGCAAGAATGTCCTTCTCGCAAAACTCGATCTATCTCGGATAAAGGAATTACGCAGAGATAGAAATTATTCATTTCCCTATCCGGTGGTGTAACTATAACTAATGGTGCAGTTCTAAAATAGGACATGATAAGTGTTTTCCGAGGTGTAGTTAAAGGCGTAGAAACAGTAAATTCTCCACTTAGATGTCGTTGACAGTTAAAAGTACTGTGCCACATGTTTTCTTCATGTACAGCTGTATGGAATCTGTGAGTGAACAACTTACAGTCTTATACTTGAAAGACACACATATATAGCAAATGGATATGAACACACACACACACACACACACACACACACACACACGCACACGCACACACACACACACCTAGATATTAAAAGACGACTGTGAGGTTTACGCATGAGGGACATAACACGGCTATGCGTTCAACTAATCCAGCTGTAACAGCGTATGTGGTCCGAGTTTGCTTTGAATGAGGAGGACATGTAAAGAAGGAACCAAACCATTCTACAAAACTGTCGAAAACAGAAGAAAAAAATGTTTTTAGGCTGTTACTCTGTATCCCCAAGATTTACACAATTGCAATTAGCATATGTCGAAATAACCCACATCGGCCTAACTGGATGTTCAGTGGGATCCGTAATAGGATATCTAGAAAAGCATCTTTACTCGTAAAATCGGTCAAAACTTAGAAAAACTGCGAATAGCTGCTTAAAACAATAGATCAGACTATAGATGACAATTAGGTCGCTCGGCCAGGTATGACAACGGATCGTCGACACACCGAGCATGGACTTCACGTACTGCCTACATTCACAAGGGGTTATCTCAAAGATATTTATGCGTTTTCTTGTGTGTTGAATATATCTCAAATATTGATTTTTTCATAAAGTTTATGTTGAGATATGTAAAACAGTATGATACCCATAGAAAGGCTTAAATCAGCTATCGTATGAAATGTCTCAAAATATATAGGTAGCATTGCCACCCGAAGATCAACAGGACTGGATATTATTTGTAAATTGTCACTTCCCCAGTTTAATTCCCCTAAAGGATTATTTTATCTTAGCTGATATCTCTATCCCCAAGCCCGACCCCAACCATCGTCTGCGACACCCGACCTGGTTTTGCTTTTGAGACGACCCCCCATGTCTGTTTGTTTATATAGTGGTAGTGAGACTCCATGGTAGCTACATCCTTAAGAGTTTCACAAGTACAATTTTTTTGTACGTCAGCTATGGTTTCTAATGAAGCTAAGTCTAATTTCAAAATGGGCATTTAAAAAGTGTCCTTTGTAATACAATATCATCGCAAACTAATTTGAATAAAGCCAAGGGCTGTTCGAAATAGGTCAACTTGGACACTGCTCATTTCTGCACTAATCTCTCCTCAGTATAGTCCTTTTTTACGTTTCCTATCTCCCTACCTCCGAGACTGTAGTTAGGCCGAACTTAGTTTAACAGACATCTCACACTTTCACATATTAACTACATACATTGTGGATCTAAATGTGAAAAAAACCCAGTTTTTTTCTATTTCCGACATTCCTTTTTTAACACAAATATCACTATTGAAACCGTTTACGTTTTTGTATAATTTCAAACATGAGAAATGGTTAAACTGGTTAAACACTACTGCATAAAAGTTGAAGTTACAGCGAAATGGACGGTCCTTCTAATATGTAAATTTCCCCATTCACCTGAATGTGTAAGTATATTTTAACCATGTTCACGAAGTAAAAGCATTTTTATTAACTGTCCATCAGATAGCTATCTTTCATCATATAAAAACAAATAAAAAAACAATATAAAATATAATAATGTCATGAAAAGATCAACAGTTTTACCGTGCATCTTAATATTGGAGTGAGTGAGTTTAGTTTTACGCCGCACTCAGCAATATTCCAGCTATATGGCGGCGGTCTGTAAATAATCGAGTCTGGACCAGACAATCCAGTGATCAACAGCATGAGCATCGATCTGCCCATTTGGGAACCGATGACATGTGTGAACCACGTCACCGAGCCTGACCACCTGATCCCGTTAGTCGCCTTTTACGACAAGCATGGGTTACTGAAGTTCAATATTCTAACCCGGACCTTCACGGGTTCTTAATATTGGACAGCACAGGCACCCGTCTAACATCAGTTCAACAGAAATCACAAATATATATTATTTCAAAGGATGCGAACACATTTTCAGTAGTGGATATGTCTTAGTTTATTATTACATGGCTTCTATGTCAGTGGTGTGGGTCATATATCTTCCGAAGGAATAGTACCCAATTTTCAATTTCCACAAGTCTAAAAAAGTATTTCACTGATCGGAAATTGATGTGAATTGGATGACAGCAATGATCGAACAGTGATGCCAAGAATACGTGGGGAGAACTTTGAACTGTTGAACCGTTAAGTACAAAGGTTTCTATAGTGTAGGGTAAAGTGTTTTATCATATATGATGCATACGTTTATGCTAATGGATAAAATAAGGCCATATGCAGATAGGGATGCAAATATGAAACGTCAAGTGGGTAATAGTTTTTCAATACATGGTAAACAAACATGTGGATAGCGTCTCCTTTTTCCTCAGCGGTCAAATCAGAAATAACCGTCTGGATTATGGATTAACTAAAGGCAAAATGACAGGTTGAAATACTATTTTCTGTCCATTTCAATTTGGGAAACAAATAAAACTCCTGAAAGGTCCTCGAACTACGTCAGAATATAAACTACCAGGCAAAAGAAAGTTATCACTCTTAAAGAAATTGTACAAAAAGAAAAACTCTGGTACAGGTTTGAACCCAAGCAGATAACAATCGCCAAAACGCAACATGGTCCGGATAACAACGCAGCTGTCCGAAAACCTCGTACGTATCGTGCATTTTTTGAAGACGTGAAAAACTTAGTTGTGGGACTTTGGTTCAAATGCACGTGTATGATTGTGGCATAAATACCGATGTTGGCCAGAGCAAGCAAGCAGTAACCAAAAAGTCACCACGGCCAATACGGGTCATTTACAACGTCAGCTGGCAAGGACCTTGAACTGCAGACAGGCCACCATCTGCAAATTAATAAACTGCTACCAGTAAACAGGCCGAACCCAGGACCACCCTAGATGGGAAGACCAAGCGTCACGGCACCAGGCCGAAGACCACTACATCCGGCAGATACATCTCCGGAATACATTCATGACGGCGACGTTAACTGCGGCGACAGCACTAGCACACGCCATCAGCAGACGAACAAACTTGGCATGGATGGTATACGAGCTTACTCCCCCTTCCGATGAATGGCTTTGGACCTCCCGTCTACACCGTCGGTTGCAGCAACTTGACTGGGAGTGAGTGCTCTTTACAGATGAAAGTCGGTTCAGTTTGTTCGGAAACGACGGAAGAGTTCAAGTTTTTTCGACGTAGAGGAGAGTGACTGGCGCCAAACTGCGTTCAAGAAGTTCATCCTTTCGATGGAGGATGCGTCATGGTATAGGGCGGCATTTATAGCCAGAAAACAACTAGGCTGGTTATCATCCTAGGAAACCTGAATGCTTAGCGACACAGGGAGGAAGTGTAGAAACCTTTTGTGGTGCCCTTTATTTGACGACAGCCAAGAGCAGTCATTTTGCAGCACAACGCAAGGCCTCACACCGCCAGAATTGTTCGAGAATACCTGAACAATGTTAACGTCAACGTATTGCCTTGGTCAACGCGTTCTCCAGACATGGGACCCCCTTGAACGTAACTGGCGCCGCCTTGGTCGTCAGCTGAGACAGCGTGTACCACCTCCATCGCACCGCCAGGAACTTGAACAGACTCTCTTCGACTTATGAAACAGGATTCCTGCTGACGTCATCTGCCGACTGACGACGTGAATGAGGAGACGTGTAGTGTCGTGTATGGATGCCCAGGGTGGTCACACTCGCTATTGCTGACGTGTCCCCAGACTCCTGTCTCATTATGTGACTCTTTATGCACTTTTTGAATAAACTCTGATTTGTGTAATGTTTAATTTTGACTCCTTGACTCTTTCGTAATGAATTGCGGCAAATGCAAGACCAGCATTACAATATATTTATATAAATATTTCCAAATTATTTGAAAATTATTTCTGGTCAAGTAAAGTCGGTAATAACTTTCTTTTGCCCGGTAGTGTATTTCCGAGCAGTTATCATGAATCATTTAGACGGTATGTTTACACTTGACTGCACTTCGTAACGTTATAACCTGCTGATATACACAAACTGCAAACAGAATCAGTGTTTCTGCCGCGAATGCAATGTTATTGCCTGATAAGACACACGTTTCGGGGTATGGTAACGATCAACAGTCCATGGATTCGCACCCGGCCAATATAAATGATCATTCTAAAAAAGTACGTTTTAGGTCTAATCCCCACTCTAAGAGTCAGACACCTAGCCCGGCCCCTTACTCATAAAGTGTAATTCCAAATGTAACATACGCAGCCTTAACTATGTATTACTGACCTTCTGTAGACGGTATCTGGTGACTTTGACCAGCCAAGAGTATCACCAAAACTGTGCAGACGATAAGCTTCATTATTGCGGATGGAGGTGCTTCACGAGTCAGGCGGAGATTGTTTTGCGTATGACTGAATCCGGGTAATATAACTCCGTCGTCCGACACATCAGTACACATCTGGTCCATTTTATGTTCCGTGGTAATTACTCACTTGTGATCCGTTCGCAGATTGGATTATGAGTACTCCAATGTGTGACGTTCCAGTGTGTTATTTTAACCCTTGCTTCGGTCAAACAGCAGGTCTCAAAACACAAGCGAAGCAGACGACAGACAGGCTTTATGATGGCGAGCGGAGATGCTGAACTAGAATAGAGCAGATTTTTAGGTTTGTCAATGAAACATGTCTCCCCAGCCGTCGAAAGCTTAATTCTGCCACCTTTGTAGCATAACAAAAATAATCAGCGAACGTTCTCGTAGCTTCGATTATTTTCTCGTTCCTTCGATTATTTTCTCGTTGCTTCAACTATTTTTCCGTTGCTTCTAGTATTTTGTCGTTACTTCTAGTTTCTGTCAAAAACTTGTAATTTCGAGTACTTACTCGTTACTTCGAGTATTTTGTCGTTACTTCAATTATAATTTCGTTACTTCGAATATTTTCTCGTTGTTTCAGTTTTCTTTCCAAAACTTGAAATTTCAAGAATTTACTAGTAGTTACTTGTTTTTGAAAGAAAGCTGTAGGAATGTGAAAATACTCGAAGCCACGATAAATCAGTCGAAGCAGTGAAAAAATTCTTGAAATTTAAGTTTTTGACAGAAACTAGAAAATATTTGAAATTTCAAATTCTTGAAGGAAACTTGAAGCAACGAGAAATTAATCAAAACAACAAAAAAATAATTGAAGTAACGAAAGCAAGTCTCGCCGAAACTCGCCGAACGATAACGTTCATGATATCAAGGTACCCTCCAGAATGAGAATAATTCGGTTGAGGTCTTCAGTAAAGGGTTGTGGCCCCCCTCTTGCATCTCTTACAGCCAAACAACGTTTCCACATGAATCTTAGAACGTTAATGAACACACCAAGTGGAAGACGTCGCCATGGTGACGTTGAAGATCTTGCAACGTCATCATGTGTAGGAATAGTCGTATGCGGTCTAGCGTTGTCTTGTTTATGTTCTCATGGTAACACATTAATCGTCTTCGCTTACAGGCGGGGCGGTGGGGTAGCCTAATGGTTAAAGCGTTGGCTCGTCACGCCGAAGACCCGGGTTCGAATCCCCACATGAGCACAATGTGTGAAGCCCATTTCTGGTGTCCCCCCGCCGTGATGTTGCTGGAATATTGCTAAAAGCGGCGTAAAACCAAACTCAGTCAGTCAGTCAGTCAGTCGCTTACAGGCCCGTGGCAGTTATACTGCACATGACAAGTTACGATATTTAATTTGGACTTCATTCTCAAGGCCATGATGAAATAGATCCATTGAGCATTAATCATGCAACAACCCACGTTTTAAGATGAGTACGAAACCACATGTTGGTGCATATGCTTAGAAAACCAAAATTACATTTTCTCTGATTTCAACAAAACGAAAACAAAACTGAAATTGAAACATGGTAGCACATTACTGCAATCTGAGAAGAATACACAAAAACTACCCAACAAATCCGATTGTCGCACAGTTTTTAAACACAGTGATACCACAGTATCAGGTGTAGCATCCCTCGGACTTATAACATCACTATTATTAGCATCTGATTCCTCTGTCATTCCCGATACAGTATATGCCTCAATTCTTCACGTTGAACAGCATAGGGTCCAGCTCGAACTGGCGTCTAACATAGACCGAAAGATGTTCAATGGGTTTATAGCGGGGCTCCTTGTGGGCGATGGTAATGTTTCGATGGAATTGTTCTCTAAAAAAGGTGATGACGGCATGAGACGGCCAAGCGTTGTCCTCCATGACTATATATAGAGGATTGGCAAAGTTTACAAAATGTGGCACCATGGCCGTATCCAGTGCTTCCTGTCGAAACCGTTGATCTTTGTGTTTCCCAGGTACTGTAGTGAGATCCAACTGGCAACCACACCAAACGCTACCCCACGCCATCATTGATGGGATCAGCTGCATAGATCATCTCCTGATGATACGACGTCTCTATACGTGACAACTCCCGTGGACAACGTTTAGAAGAAAGCGACTTTCATGAGACCAATGAACGGTCCCCTACGCCATTTCCTGAAGTTGCAGTTCTTGGAGTTTGCACCACACCAGACGTACTGCCTGTTCCTATCTGTGGGGAAGGGACGTCTGATCAGACGACGTACCTCACTTAAATGCACCGGATTCTGTTGGTGTTAGGGCCAATGTTCACAAAACTGACTCTCCTGGTATATTTTCATGACATTTAAACAGATTAGGTGGGTAATTATCATTTTGGTTAAAGTTTCCCCTGTAATGCATTGATGGTCTTTCCAAACAGTAGCGACAAAAGGCAAAGTAGTATTTACCTTCCGTGAAGATGCGAGTTTGAACTGGCCTTCTGGAATCCATGCTTGTCGTAAGAGGCGACTAATGAGATTGGGTGGTCATCCTCGCTGACATTCTTCAAGCACTCCACATCTTCTTACAGCGAATACATCGCATCTCCTTATGTTGAGTGTAACATTCTACTGTTGGCTTGCCATGGGTATATATGTGTAACTCGAGGGTGCAGTGGGGACTGATGTCAGATTTTAGACCCATGAAGATTCGGGTTAAACAACATGATCGAGTGGTCAGGCTCGCTGACTTGGTTGGCATATGTCATCGTACAGACTGCTTCCATATAGCATGAATATTGCTGAGTGCGGCATTAACAACAGACAACATATTCTGCGCATGCGCAAAATGAAATTATTTTGAGTGCCTCCATATATGAAAATATTCACTATGCATCAGTCCATAAATGTGCAAAGTTTTATACTTTTATCATTAGATGGACAATTGATCTGTTCAGCCGCTCCACTACATAGCACGTTGACGTTCTTGATTTAAAAGGCCTGGCATTTCCAAACAAAGATTAAAATGAAAAGTTTAATTTGTTTTTGCAGCTCACTTTTAATGTGAGTGTTCAGTTTAAGCAAACATGCACCGAATGACTTCATGAACTTTTCACACGTGCATTTCATCTTTATAGGCCACAAAGTCAAGGTGTGCACGTTTCCTTGTTTACCTTTGCTGGAATATTGCTAAAAGCAGCGTAAAACCAAACTCAGTCAGTCAGTCAGTCCTTGTTTACCTTCCTGAAGTTGTAAAGCTTCTGGTGTTTTATGACTGCACTTAATATATCAATAACGGCAGGCTTACTACATTTCCCGTCATCCAGAAGTGGAAGACAATTGTGAAAAGCAAAGTTACTGAGTTTGAACAACACTATTTGAGCAAAGGATCTCAAACGATGTAGAGCTCTCCCTGTTCCATAATCTGCACCAATCTTACAAACCTTCCAAACTCGGGACTCTGGGACGACAGATCCCTCATCTACAGCGTGCACTCAAAGGTGTTGTGAATATGATTGCTACACCAGCTAGACCAGGTAACTGCGAGCTCTGTTTCTGACTCACCATCTGTTGCATGAATGCCCTGACCAGCCTGTTTGTAACAACCGAGAGACTCTGTGGCTCTCCATCCTGGACACGTGTGGCGTAGACGTGTATGTCATGTTTGACTCCATGGAACTGGATGAACAAACAAGAACTCTTCTTTAAGGGACACTCCCTCGATATTTAGGATCATTAACTGCTACACCTTGTGGGACTATTCGTCCTCTCAGTGGACTCATTTTCCATTTTAACTAACGAACTCTTCCCCACTGCCCAGCTGCAAATCTCCAAATCTGGAAGAGCTGAGGACACTCACTCGCCTTTCAAACGATACGTATTGCAATGGGTTTTTTCTCAGAACCGGCACATTGGGTAATATAGTATGAAATTTTGTGATTATTTCTATGGTTTAAGTTAAAATTTAACAGACCTTCAGTCCTACTGAAATTTTCCACTGTAATTACTTGATTTTACATACAATACATTTAAAAGAAAATACAATCCCTCAAAATCAAATCTAAATCCAAAATTTCGGTTATCACAAACATTAAGTGTATTTTTATGTCTTTTATGTGTAGAAATAGGTTCTGCATGTACAATCGCTGTCACTCACTGTCAAACACTTAGGCTCACACTGTGTCGCAACACGTATCGCCATATATTGCAATACAATTTATATGCCAATACACAGCCCTATTTACTACTGTTTAATATACTTCTAAATTTATTGGATTAAACAGAAAAAGAACAATTTTGTTGAGTATATATCAAATGGTTTCGATCAGGATTTTGCTATACTTTCATCGAATTTAACATGCCGATTTGTTAACAACAATAACCCATTAAAATATGGCGCATTGCTAACGCAGTACATATACTAAAATGGAACATTTTTAGAAGGGAAGATAGGCGTGTTTTAAGTGGGGATGGGCGTATGAGGTACTGGAGAGGACTCTTTATAATTCATGTCGCTTCTTGAAGGCATCCAAAGTTTGTTTCTAGAAGGTAGAGCAGAACTAAAACCTATAAGAACATGCACCTCTACAAACACCAAATCAGAATTGTTCAAAAACATATCAAGATTTCATTTGAGAAATCAATGAAAACTCGACGATAGACTGTAAATCGTCGTTTAGCTTCGGCTCGGGACAATACTGGAATAAGGGTTAATGCGTATGCCTACGTGCAATTGATGAACAAGACACGATAACAGTTATGGCTCTGACTCAGACTGTTACCATCTGCATGTCAGCTGTTGTTTATAGTCGCCATCACTCACATTGTAAAATGTCAGCCCACCATTACGTGACGCAAGGTGTTATTCCGTTTTCTATTTGTTCTGTCACACGGGCCAATAAATTATGTTCGTTCACTATAATCGGGGCTGTAGTGAGGTAACACGATAAACAAGGATAATCTATATTATATTAATTTGGACCGTGCGTGCAGTTCTGAATATCTCCTACGTATATCACATATTGACCTGCATGTCACACAGTCTGGGCATCAGCGATACTGTGTTTGTGTGTGGCACTTACGAGGTTAATTGCAGCTGAACTAGAATCATTTTTAAATCAACAGGCATGTTTGAGTACATGAACTTATATATACGCTGCATATAATGTGTAAGCTCTACATGGGCGGTGGGGTAGCCGAGTGGTTAAAGCGTTCGCTCGTCACGCCGTAGACCTGGGTTTGATTCCCCACATGGGTACAACGTGAAGCCTATTTCTGGTGTCCCCCGCTGTGATATTGCTGGAATATTGTTAAGCGGTGTAAAACCACACTCTCTCCCTGTAAGTTCTACCGTCATCTATTAAACAATGTTCGTTTCTTAAGCTATACATCGGCCTGCTCGGCCAGCCTTGCTGACTAGGTTGATGTCAGCGTTGATGTCAGCGTATCCAAATTGCGTAGATCAATGCTGGTGACGTCAATCACTGGATTGTCTGGTCCAGTGTCGATTATATGCAGACCGCTGTCATAGAGGTAAACAAAAAGCAAACAAACAAATGTTAAGATGTTCGTACCTACAATCTATGTCCTACGTTGCTTGGGCTTTCCTACAATGTTGGGTGGGACACAGTATACAGACAAGCTATCATACATGATAAACACTACAGGAGAGCCCTATCGGATATCACTATTTTATTCAGTTATGGTAACATCAATTGCCACAATCTGCAAAGGTCTTGAAGTTGTCAGCGTTGCCACTACGCCACCACCGCTGAAAATGGTCTCCTCACACTTTTCGGGTCAGAACCGAGGGACGAAAGATGCTTCATTTTCCAACTGTTCGTGGCAATCTAAATGAAGAAAAAACAAGTGACTCCTAAGATTTGTTTAAATGGATCTCGTAAAGTACCTTATCCTGAAACCACGGCCAGGAAACCCCCACAGCACAACCTAGACAGGGGCGTACCCAGGAAAGATGTGAAGTGTAAGCACACCTGGACGTGCGAGACTTCAGGGGGAGAGTTTTTTTTATGTAAAATGGTTGCTCTAGACAGCATTTCCTGCTATATTTTCCTGAAAAAGCGTATTTCAAACTTTTCATAAAATTATGTTTATGTATAAATGAATCAGGAGCTAGCATTCAATATGTATTCACAACACTACATCCAACAATTGGCTTCAGCGGATATAATCAGCACTAGTCCACAGACTTTTCTATATGCATATAAATTGTATACTGGCTTCTGTTACCCCCCATCCCCCCAACACACATACCACACACAAGAAAATGCATGGTAAGTAGTTGATAAAAAGTAAATCAGCTGGTACATAACATTTTATGGCCAAATAGAATAATGACTTTTGCTGAAGGACTATGTCGTAAAATATTTGTTAGAATACTAAATTTATCAGTTCAATTTCAGTAACTTCCCTATGAAAATATATTTTGAACAAATGACAAAAATGTGAGTCAATAAGAAAAGAAAATCTGTATTCTGGGGAGTAATATTGCTGTCAGCACGTTGTGTAGAGTCTTAAATGAAATCCACGCGACTCGTCTTCTAAGCAGCAAATTGCTCTGACTTGTCTCTGTGCACATGGATAAGTGCAAGTGGTGACATACGGACATCACCCATGGTGGACCGGGCGGTGGGGTAGCCTAGTGGTTAAAGCGTTGGCTCGTCACGCCGAAGACCCGGGTTCGATTCCCCACATGGGCACAATGTGTGAAGCCCATTTCTGGTGTCCCCCGCCGTGATATTGCTGGAATATTGCTAAAAGCGGCGTAAAACTACACTCAGTCAGTCAGCCCATGGTGGACCGAAGGTACGTCTTGATCCTCCTCATTGCACTGAAGGATCTCCCGCTTGATGCCAGTGTATGAAATACGGCCTGTCCGATCGCCCGAGACGGGCTAGATTTCTCACGGAGGGTCTAAATTTACAGCTAGCCAGCTCAATTGTCTGGTGAAAATTTTAAATGTTTCATTTTGGGCTGGTAACATTTTGAAATTACCAGCCCTGATGTCTGGCTGGGTTTTTGGCCTATTTAAATTTATTTAAATATTAAGTGTAGGCACGTGCCTAAAGTGCCTAATGGCAGGTACGCTACTGCTAGAACACATTTTAGCAGTGACAATATGACAAAGGCAACATCAAGAAGTCGGAGCTGATTCCGACTCAGCGATTGCAGTACATCGGAGCCGTCTCCGACACTCGTCTGGGGAAAATGTCGGCCATGTTTTATATCATACATCCAGACATGATTTCAATAAAACGTAATCAAGTATTCTGTATATATAACCTGGAACACATGTTTCCTCGCACTCGGCTTTGGTCTTGAAGTTGTTGGCGTTGCCACCACAGCCACCGTAGGAGAACTCTTTACATGTTCCGGTGTCAGGGTCGTAGAAAAACCGAGCAAGTGCCCTTTTGCAATGTCCGCCTTCTGGTTTGAGGTTGCAATCTGTATGAAGAAGAAACAGATGGTCTTCACGATTAAAACGGATGTTTTCAGTGTCGTTTACCCAGCAGAATCACTGACCTCCACAACTTCACCTAGCACACGTATCAATATGAACAGTGTTAGAGTACTAGAAAGAAAACATATAAGGTTGTCACTTAGTATCGCACAGATCCATTCATGTTCCAGTGAAACAACGCGATGTCGCATGTAATATGGAAGTTCGCCAGAATTTTTCACAGGCAAGAGTGGGTGAGTTTAGTTTTACGCCGCACTCAGCAATATTCCAGCTATATGGCGGCGGTCTGTAAATAATCGAGTCTGGACCAGACAATCCAGTGATAAACAGCATGAGCATCGATCTGCGCAATTGGGAACCGATGACATGTGTCAACCAAGTCAGCGAGCCTGACCACCCGTTAGTTGCCTCTTACGACAAGCATGGGTTACTGACGATCAATATTCTAACCCGGATCTTTACGGGTATTCACAGGCTAAATATCTCATGGCAAGGAATAGACAAATGTCTGTGTATTGTGAGTAAACGTTGGGTTCAGCTGTTGTCAGCACACTGCAGCAACTTCTAGCCATGGCATGGGGTGCTTTAAGACTTGGTTGCACTACACCTTAATCAACGTGGTAAAACAATTGCCATGATGCGAACATAATGGAAGGATGGACCACATCGGGCGCATGTGTAACTATAGTATAGTGCTAACTGTCCAAGGCCCCGTTCCTCAAAGCAATCGTAGCGCTAAGGTGATCGTAACTCCCATACTTTAACATAGACTTACGACTGTCGTAGCGCTAAGATGATCGTAACTCCCATACTTTAACATAGACTTACGACTGTCGTAGCGCTAAGATGATCGTAACTCCCATACTTTAACATACACTTACGACTGTCGTAGCGCTAAGGTGATCGTAACTCCCATACTTTAACATACACTTACGACTGTCGTAGCGCTACGATCGCTTTGAAGAACGGGGCCCAGCGTTTAGCAACAGGTAAAGCTCTGTGACGAAATCTGACTGATGTGTCATGGGCACCATTGTTTTCATATATTGATATTTTTTTCATTTAACAAACAAGGGAAAAACCGAAAGGCATTTCAGGGGGTTGACAGCATCATTACATACTTTCTTCTTCATACATTTGACAAGTTTAAAGAAACTATTCACCGATGCATTATTGGTATGAATTGGTTGATAAAAATACTAGAACAGCAGGGGCGGATCCAGGATTTGGGACAGGGTGGGGGATGGGGTGCTCCTCAGGGAAAATATTGGGGGGGGGGAGAGTGGGGAGGTACGCACCCCCGAACCCCTCCTCTAGATCCGCCCCTGAATAGTGATATCAGCGATAAGTAGGATCACTGGGGAGGTAATCTGAACATAGTCATTAGGCAGACGGCAAAAGTCAAAAGTCCCCTTACTGATGGATTAATACTGTCTGTGATTTTTAACGAACCGATATATCAGTACATCACAAAAGTAATATTTTAACAGAAGGGTGGCCAGTGTGACACTTCTACTGAAACCCGATGTTAGGGTACCTTCTGGCATGCCACACATCTCAAAACTAAAACTAAAACTGAAACATACGGTAAGGAACTCATATCTGATATTCAAGTAATACAAGTAACTTTACGGAAACAGCTTTAACTCACCTTCTTCCCAAGGCATCTGCTGACTGTGTCCAGCCAGGAGTAGAGCTGTGGAGACGATAAGCATCAGCATGGTGTACGTGGACGCTTCATGAATCACGAGTAAATGGTTTTGAATATAACTGACTACACATTATATAAATCTGTAGTCCGCCACATCAACCTGCATATGGACCCTAAGATTTTTATATGGTGATTATGCACACGTGTCCATTAACGCTTGACCTCAAACAGATTTCTCAAAAGCACAAGGTCATCAGACGACAACTTATATAATAGCGAATGTTCGTGATTAATGGATATTGAATACATAGTTTCGTATGTCACTATGACAAGACTATTTGTCGCATCTGTTCTTTGTTATGTGGCATGTAGTAGATGAGTGAGGTTAGTGGGTCTCAACTCATCATGGCACACCCTTCAACGACGTGTGTAAGTCCTCAAGTACTCACGGAAATAGACATAAAAGTGTGTGTGCGGGGTGGGTGGGGGTGGGGTCGGGGTGGGCGTTTAATTCGTAGTTTTGAACACAACTAAAGTTTGTTTGCTAAATATTCTATGACTTTCGTTTTTCCCAACTTAAATCGTGTCATTTATGAAATTTCTGATGCAAGCTATCGTATGCAAATGAGATGTACTCTCCATAGGTTCGCGTATATAATATATTTTATGATAAAAGTTCATATACCATTCATATTTTCTTTCTTTTATCGTAATTGATAAACGAAATAATTATGACGTAAGTTATGACATGTTTTGTTGATATTTTTGCGTATAAATGGTATTTTGGATGATGATTAGAGGATCAAATTAAAAGGCCTAGTTGGGAAAAACATAGTTATTTTAATATTTGTACAACGACCTATTTTAATGAAGTAATAAACAAATAGACGCCAACCATTTTATTTCTATTTTCGCGACTACCCTTTTAGTCTGTCATACAGACCCTGAAACAAACATATCCAAGAAAGCCTATGCAAGTCTAAAATATGTGGCAGGTCTAGATTTCCACAGACAATTAAGAAGTCTCTGGGCTCCTTTTCATTATATTTTATGATTATAATTTAGGAACTGTTTTTTTCTGTAAAATATGTTCATTTCAGAGACTAGATGTTTGTCTATGTAAGTCCTAGTACCCCACAATCGCATTGCGATATCACAGCAGTACTGTTGTGCTTGTCTCCTCAGATCACCAGTCTAAGTATTAAGCTTTTTCAAAGCGCTTATGTTTCTCGGTGTTGAGCAGCAAATAACGTTTTAGTATGTACTTTTACATATTTGCGTAACATCTCAGCTCAATTCATTGCAGCGGAACCTAAATTATAGTTTAATATGTTTTGTGTACACTGTGTGTTGGTCAGAGAAAATATTGTGTGAGCTTTACCGTGATCTGATAAACGCAATCCCTGACTCACAGAGTAACAATAGTCCTTGGTACTACCAAGAAAGGACTTTCTATATAATCACTGGAAGCATTTGAGACAACTGGATTTGATACCATTTGGTTTCTCAATAACTCAAAAGATTTGCTGAAATCTTTACAATTTCAGAAACAGGTTGAACGGAGAACTGAGTCGAGTTCTGTTAAAACATTTGTATACACTATCCCATACGACTAACTTGAGGAAAACCTGAATCCTTGATTCATGTGGCATTTGTTCGTAGAAGGTGGTGAGCAGAGATATAATTTCAGATCTATCTTCCGAATTTCTGGAAGAATGCAAATGTCATACTTGCTTGACAACGATACAAGAATCTGTATCGAAACGTCGCATCTACCGAATAAAGAAGTTGTTTATCCATAAAGTTTGTATATTCTGGGCAGAGATTTCTTACAGACTTTAAAGAGTGTTTTTTATTATAATTATTAAGATATTCAGACCTGTTTGGTTGGATGCACCAAGAGGTGTAATATAAGTCCTTCTTAACCTATTGCTCTCCTGCAGTACTAACGGACAGTAACTGATATTTGTCACCAAAATCAAGATCACACCGACGTTACATCAAATGCCTCTCTAGCTATTCTCCGAGTATAGGTTTTTATCGCTAATTGTGCATGCCTAAGAACAAATCAAACAGCACCCGTAGCTCTTGCAAGTCACTCGCTAAAGAGATATCAGTCTGTCTCAGAGTCCCTGAACCACATTATTTTCCCTACTGCCTAGCCCTCCCTGCAATGCTAAAGCTCTAAATGAAGCAAGTCTAGATTTCCTGAGGTTCAGGCTCACGTCTTACTGGGGCTCCTTTTCAATTTAAATGGGTTTATTTGTTACTATCAAAATTATATATACTCTCCCAAAAAAGAAACGCAAATAGGAATTTCAACTGTATTTTTATGTTTATTTTGAAACATCTTATAGGCTTTATGAGTCAATGAAATATAGCGAAATTGCACACTGGGAATGCAGAGTTATCCGTCTTTGGCACCAACTCGAGGAAAGTCAGTTTGAGTGTCACATGGAGACGTGTGGTGGCGCTGAAGTCAATACCTCCTGTGACCGCCGTGGGCATCCAGAACTGCACGGCATCGCCTCGGCATTGAACGAATAAGTCTCAGAATCTCGTGTTGCCCAATTGCAGCCCACTCTGCCTGTAGTGCCTGTGCGAGTTGCTGAAGTGTCTGGGGCTGAGGGTTACGGCGTCGCACCCGTCTGTCCAGGGCATCCCACAGATGTTCGATCGGGTTTAAGTCCGGTGATCTTGAGGGCCAGGGGAGCGCATTGATGTTGTGGTTCTGGAGGAAGTCTCTAGTGTAACGTGCTGTGTGGGGCCTGGCATTGTCCTGTTGAAACAACTCCCTCTGGCGATCAATGATTGGAAGGAGGTGTGGGCGTAGGATTTCGTCACAGTACCGTTGAGCTGTCAGGTTGCCCTGGATCATCACCAAATCACTTCTCCTACGGCAGGTGATCGCTCCCCACATCATAACAATGCCCCGGCCGAATCTGTTCACCTGACGGTCTGTGCAGAAAGCCTCCTCAATCCGGGTATTTGTCGAGCGGTACTGGTCGCCGTAGCTGTTCGATGACGCAGGTGATGTACCCGGATGTAGCGATCCTGCGCCGCAGTGGTCGCTCGAGGTCGCCCACTACGAGGGGCATCTGCTACCGCATTCTGCCGGTGATATCTCTCCCAGAGCCGTGAAATGGTGCTTTGGTGAACATTCATGCGTTGGGCAACTGCACGTTGAGATTGGCCAGCTTCAAGCAAACCAATGGCGATATGACGGTTGGCTTCACTTAGACGTGGCATTTTGCGTTCGTCAACAATATTCCAAATACAGTGAATAATCGACAGACAGCGATCAACCTTTTATACCCATCATTGAGACTATCTGATCCCCAACTTTCACGTGCATTGCATGTGAATTGTGTATTCTGTGACACTACACGCCGAAATTGAAACTCATGCTGTTAAATACGGGTATTTTTCGGATGGTGCGTTTTGATGTTTCAAAACATAAACACCATAGGACTCATAACAGAGCAAAACATTTTGTAAAATGACTCACGTTTTAATTCATTGCTACATGAAATTGCTATTTTCATGATGCGTTTCTTTTTTGGGAGAATATATATTCAGACCAAGCGTCTGCATAGAGATATGTGCAACATGGTAATCTCATTCCAGACTTGATTATAGCACTTGTATTACTCACCATGGATATACCTGTGTACACGTGTCTCCAGGATGACTCATAATAACGTTGTAGGGATATCGTTATGTAATGACGGGTAATCGATAGGAGCCATGCAAGAGGTTAGCAGGTCGAAGTGACATAGGACGAGTTCACAGGTACTTTTGTGTGACAACGTATACCTGGAAGAAACTGCTGTCACCATGTGGATTGGGACATTGGTGGACTGGTGGCGACTTAGTAGAGTTACTTGCTTTATTGCCAGTCTGCCTCTCTGTGTGGATCCTCTCATACCCAATGTATACAGTGGGCAAAAGTATCGCAACACCCAAGTTTTATGACAGGGCCTATATTTAATCCCAGTTTAGATGCCATATGCGTCTTCACGGGATATTATTTGGTAGCCGAAGCGCTAAAAGGACTTTCCACTAACACTAAATCCAACAATAGAGAATATGAATGGTATAATTTGATTAGGCATGGGTCCTGTAATAAAACTGAAATTAAGATAACATAATGTGTTAATAAACGTATTGTCATCCCAAACGGGTAACACGATGCATAGTCCTAATTCATACACCCAATCCAAAAATACGGTCTCTAGTTTCAGAAACGGAAGACACAGTCAGTATCTTGTGTAACCTCTGCCCACCTGGATGACTTTATACACCCTCGTCCTCAATGAGTGCACAGGACGCTGAATCCGATGTTGGGGCAACCTATTCCATGTTTGGTGCAATGTCTACGGACTGGCGGATCTCTCTGACGAACCTTACACCCCAGAATGTCCCAGACATGGCTTCTGGCTTCTGGCTGGCCATGGAAGGGTGGTAATGGCGTCTCGATGCAGGAAATCAATGACTGCGCGTGCGCGATGTTGCCTGGCGTTGTCATCCATAAAGATTGACCTTGTTAATAGGGGATGATTATCAAAATGAGGCAAAAGATACCTACTCAAGATTTCCTCTTGATATGTTTGTCCATTCAGATTTCCTCACACTGTGACAAGCTGAAGTTTGCCGTCATACGACACACTGCCCCACACCATCAAGGATCCTCCGCCGAATGGAACGTCTTCCATGGTGTTCCTTTGAGCATATGCCATGGTCCACTGTCGTCATACACACGTCCATCCGTCAGTAACAAACAGCAAAAACCGTCTATCGTCTGAAAAATGGATCTTCCTTCAAGCAGCCAGGTTCCACCGACGTCGTTCACGGCACCACGGTAATCTTGTATCCATGTGGGCACGTGTCAACAAAGATCGTCGGACAGGTCTCCTGGCCTTGTAGAGTGCTGTTTTCAGTTGATTTCTGACAGTTTTATGACAGAGGTGGAAGCCATTCCTGTTGTAACATTGGACTTCGTGCCCACAGAAGTCTCCAAACAAGTCTAAGTAGGGCTGCGTCTTGTCAGGCTGGTGTCTTGCGTGGTCTGCAAGAACGATGCAGATCTTTTACATCGTTGGGTGTTATTTCAGACAGACAGACAGACAGACAGACAGACAGACAGACAGACAGACAGACAGGTTTATTTCATAGATGTGGCCATGAGGCCAATAGTACAAAATGACAACTTAGATTAAATTTTTACAGAGCGCATCGACATGATTTTGTTTACAAAAATTGCTAGACGGAGGATTATATTATGGTTCTTAGTATTTAGAAGATGTACAATTTTTTTTTTATTTGGGTTCATAATATAGATACTTGGTATGTAGTGAGTTCTTACCGCTGCATATTAAGGACATTTCATTAACACATGATACTCATAGCTACACTAATGTCATTGTCTTTAGATCTTCTGTACGAAACTATTTTTAAATTGGTGGAGCCGCATCTGAATTTTGTTAAGACTCTGCGCAGATGTAACGAGGAGAGTGCGATCAAATACAATTCCGGAACAATATCAGATTTAAAGGCAGAATACATATGTAATGATTTTGAGTTTCTTATATCTTGTGTCCATTCTTGATAGTACATACCTTTACAACGTTGTTTGAAAAGACTTAAAATCAATTCACAGTTTCCCACATTTTGATATATCAATACATAAGCAAATCCATGTTGAAATAATATTGATCGTACTGCCGAAGCCCAGTTAATATCTCCATTGTCGTCTAAACGTTTCAACATATCATACGAGCGACGTGGGTAACGTGTGTCTGGTTGCCGAAGCAGACGTATCCAGAACGAAACAACTCGTGTCATATAATTTACATGTAAAGGGTATCTCCCACATTCTGCTAAAACTGCGTTGTTCGATGTGCGATAGCCAACGTTTAGAACGTTTTTACAAAATTTGGAATGTACTTTTTCTATTCCATGGCGGATAACAGTTCCCCAAATTTCTGCTCCATATAATAATATAGGTTGTATTTTACAGTCAAAGATTTTGAAAAACGGAACGGAATTGTTTTATATCTGTACATGAATTTCTTAATAGGAAATAATGCTTTCTCTGCTTGCTTACACAAAACACCACAAGCTTTTCTGAATACATTTCTACAAGATAACGTTAATCCCAGATACTTATAGTAGGAGACAGTTTCTAGTTTCTCTGTTCCAATTGACCATTTTTCTCTTTCTGCTATTCTACCAACTTTTTAAAAAACTATGACCTTTGTCTTATTTGTATTTATTGACAATCCCCATTTCGTACAATACTGTTCTAAGATATCTATCTTTTTCTGTAGGTTCACAACGCTGTCTCCAAATATAGCGACATCATCCGCAAACAGAAGAATTGACAGTGCATTTATAGTCTCATCAATAAAAGCGCCACTATAGTCGCTGTTTATGATATCGTTAACTAGTTCATCAATGTACATAATAAATAGGACTTGAGATAAGATACAACCTTGTCGTACTCCAGTCACTGGGTTAAATGTTTCAGTCATACTGTACTTCGTACATCTAACAGCTGCTTTTGCATGAGTATACATTGAACGTAAAAAAGTGCTAATTTTACCATGAATACCATTGTTGAGAAGTATATATAGGAGCTTGTTTCTGTCAACGGTATCAAAAGCTTTTTTAAAGCAACAAAACTACAGTAACATTTTCCACGTTTTTTCCTTATGTACTTGTGGATAATCGAATTTAGAACAAATATTTGGTCAATAGTACTGTAGTCTTCTCTAAACCCTGCTTGCGACTCGGAAATGATATCCTGTGTTGAAGCCCAAAGTTTTATACGTGTATCTAGAATACTTGTGAATACTTTGCTAATTATATCAAGTAGAGCAATACCCCTGTAGTTATTGGGATCCTCTTTATCCCCAGCTTTATATAACGGAACGATAAGACCAAGGTTCCAAGAGTCTGGAAAATTACCATTGTTGAAAATCTCGTTGAAAAGACTTTTGTAAAAAGGTAATAATATCAAACAAGTTATTTCCTCACTAATCGACTGATTGTTGAAGGATGGTGACTTACTTGCCTAGCAATTAGTCTCATGGACAACCCAGCATTAACCATACATATAACTTGCCATCTTTTGCCTGACGTTAGTTGAGGGGGTTCCATTGAGTGGTTTAAGACAATAAGTAAGCGTCTAACTCAGTTTTCTAACAAGAGTGAATGATAAGAAAAGCAAGATGCATAGATGTCAACTTCTTTAATGTGAATAACACGATGTGATGAAAGAGCAAGCATACGCTCCGAAACGTCGTATTATTCACAATAAAGAAGTTGACATCCATATATCTTGCCTTTCTTATGCATTCCACTTGTTAATGCCATTCACAGAAGAGTGAATGATAAATGAAAACTGTATTTTCAAGACACCAGGGGTGCAAGTGTTTCATATGCCCCACACTTGAAGCACGTGCTTCATGATTTTTTGCGTTTGAGACACGTAATAGGTTATTGTTTTCATTTATTTCTATAATGTCCTTATATGGCAAATTTTTTAAGATATTGAGAGAGAAATGTATTAGGCGCTGCGATACTTTTTTCCACGTGAACATTAGAAACATGCGCGCATGTGTGCGTCCGTGTGAGCGTGTATACGTGTTTGTGGGACTGATAGATACAATAGTGCGTTACATACTCACATGCATCACCTACATGTATTACAAGCAATTCGATAACATAGGAAGGTCACGGGTTTCGTATAATTCGTATGTAATGAGACCGAGTGTGGTATTTTATTTATTACCCTCGTCTTACATGCATTAAATTGACAAAATAGCATATTTTCGTTATTTTATTGGTTTCAAACCGAAACCTTCGCGGAAAAAGAGGTTGCGGAAAAGTTTTGTACTGTAGTACAATATTTGCATGACGTCACACTGTAATGACGTCACTGCCTTGGTAACCGACGTCACGATGCATGTCAGTTGTCATCGCCTTGTACAGCCTCCTACAGTAAACTACTCCGTAGCACCCCGTTTCTGGGTTTGCAGTTGCTTCATTCGGCTAACATCACTGGTGGAAACATTGCGTTTATGTTTTTCGACGGATATAATGTCCCAGTTCGACTCACAATTAAACAGCTACACGGCAACGTTCGCTATGTTTACATTCCCACAATGCATATAAATTGTAGAATGAACGAATTCACGTGTTTGTTATGAATGAAAAAATAGTTACGTCAGAATGTGCCCTAATTGAGAGGTCATCGGTTATCCAATCAAATCGTTAGAATCTCAGGTCAAGTCGTTACGACACAGGTCAACGCGATACGACACTCGTGTGACATACCAGAATAGTATGCAACTACCCATACGTTGACCACGTGGGTAATAAATAGAGAATCTCACCCGAGTGTCTTTTGATATCAAATATATCACCACGAGTTGATAAAGTAACAAATATCCGAGGCTTGCCGAGGATATTTTTACTTTTATCAACAACTTAAAATGATGTTTTTATTATAATTGCGTCGTTTTATTAATATGTTTTTCAATCCAAATTGACAGTTATTACCAACATCAGTGTGTTTTCTGATGAAAAAGCATATCGACCAAACGCACCTAAAATGGCAGACGTGGTGAAAGGTTCCGTATGACATTCGTTAAAATGAAAGTGCACGTGCATATCGTGACAACCCTACTAATGAACGCGAGTCCCAACTTCCCCTGAAATCATTTTTTGTTTTGACACAATCGCCATGGACGACTTACGAGAGATCAGAGGAACCAAGTCTTCGGACGATTGCAAGTTGGCCAGACTGCACGGAGGGTAGCCAATCATTTTAATGTTTATGTTAGGACACTCTATCGACTGCAGGAGTGACATCAGGTCACTAACAGTATCCAAGACCGTCCACGCAGTGGGCGACCTTCAGTAACATCACAACGTCAAGACCAACTCCATCTGCAGGATCGCTTCCCCAGAGAGACAGAAACAGCATGCCAGGCCACTGGGACTCATCAATGCCAGACCCATCAATGCCGATACAGTGCGTAGACGTTTGTGCGGGAGAAATATCTGCTCATTAGATCAGTTGTTGGTGAATTAAAGTGTGTGCTTTAAGAAACCGCTATCAGTGCGACATTTCTTTTGTGGTTCAGTATATAATTGGTATCGGGGTAACATTTCTTTGTTATTTGTTGTTTTCACACCAAATTCTTTCACGTACAGATTTCTGATAAACTGGTAGTTTGGAAATTGACTTGTTACAGTACCCCTTTGTTGATAAACAATACAGGAAAGCCCAATCGGATATCACGACTTTATTCAAGCATGAGATCAGAAGCATCTGTCCTCACACTCGTCGATGGTCTTGAAGTTGTTGGCGTTGCCACCACAGCCACCGTAGGTGAACTCTTTACATGTGTCGGTGTCAGGGTCGTAGAAAAGCCGAGGGATCGCCGCTCTGCAACGTCCGACCTCTGGTTTAAGGTTGCAAACTGGATGAAGAAGAAACAAGAAACGCCTTTTAGGAGGCAATGTTGAAGTCACCTGAGTAAATGTAGTGAGAAGGACGTGAGATGATTTGGCGGGTGAAGCTGATTTCAAGAGCATCAGGATGACCATACCTCCGTCTATTAGAGATCGGTACTCGCATCGCAAATAAGGTACACTCATCTCCAGTATATGACATTTCATATCAAAGGGTGTTTGTCATCTCTAACCATATCTGGAAATGAGGTACTTGTGACGGACGGTGGAAACATGATCCTATATATAATAATTATTACTTTTATCTTATGTCGTATGGTAACGAATCATAAAAAAAATGACATACCCCCCGGTCCCCGCTTATTTGCAAAAGTCATGTGAATCCTACCCCATCAAAGAAATTCACCCATCCCTGTACTGACTCCAAATCCTACTCGTTTCCATGGAAACGAATGCTACTGCCGGCCCAGCGTCTACAGATAAGAGCGTGTGGTTTCGCACAGTGATTACTAAGACGGTATTACTCAGGGCTCTGCACTCACAGTACTGTTACTGAACACGGCTCTCGAACCGATTCTAGGAAACCACAGTCGGCCTTTCGCTACATTCCAGGAAAAGCTAATTGGTGCTACTAAAATGGAATGGATTTTCCGATTCCGCAATTCGAAGTTATGCACTTAACTAGTACAAGTTAAGCATTGAACTACTACTACAAGTGTGCTCTATTACGTGTAAAATTGTTGTGAAGTGTGCAGTTTAATAACGTTTTTGATCAGTAAAAAGACAGAATGTGCGTAAATCAGAGGTTTATAGGAAACTCTATTCCGCATTAACTATTAAGTAAAGCGGGACAATTACATTGTATTTTGAATTACCCACATGGTCACGTGGCTCTTAATTTGCTACAGCTATGTTCATTGGTCATTAGAATTGCCAAATTACAATGAGACTAAGTATCATTGGCTGAAAGTTCATTTTGAATAATCCAAATGTATAGATGGAGTGAAATTTCACCTGAGAGACAAATTCAGCCTGGTTAAAAAGTTGGAAAAGTTTGCGCCCCCAAACAAAACATGGAATATACAATTTGGGTAAATAGAACTGTTAATGCTCGTTGTCCTGGAACCGTGGTCACCATGGTCCACAACAGAACCTTGCACTCAAATGAGTAGGGCATTAACTGTGATCTGGCTTATGAAGAGAAGACATCACAAGGGACACATCTTCCGTGCCACACATGACTGATGTATGTATATAATATGTAAGAGACATTTGGTAGATCATGATTATACGTAGACGCACTGTAGCATGCATTCTGTATATAGTACCTGGGTTGCAGGTTTCCTCACATTCAGCGACGGTCTTGAAGTTATTGGCGTTGCCATCACAGCCGCCATAGAAGAACTCCTCACACTTTTGGGAATCAGTGTTGTAGAAGAACCTACGTAACCGCGCCCTGCAGCGTCCGACTTTCGGTTTAAGTTCGCAAACTGAATGATATAGAAACAGGTGGCTTTCAACATTTGTTCAAATGGATCTGTTCAGTGTTGTTATGCTACATTCACTGACAGCTGATCTCTGCAACACATTCTAGTGCACATATCAGCAGTAGATGATCAGTGTAATCTACCTTAGTACAACGCCTGCCAACACTTGGAGAGACAGATAACGCAGTATGACTATCTTCTGTGCCACACATACCTCTTGTAAACAAATATACAAAGAAATAAAACACGTTTTTTAGTTTGTGACAGAAATTTGGTACATCACACACCCAAACAATTTAATGAACATTTAAGGCATTGTAGCATATATCATGTGTATATTACCTGGGACACACGTATTTTCACACTCAGCGATGGTCTTGAAGTTGTTGGCGTTGCCACCACAGCCACCGTAGGTGAACGTCTTACACTTTTTGGTGTCGGGGTCGTAGAAATACCGACGGAAGGCCGCCCTGCAGCGTCCGGTTACTGGTTTAAGTTTGCAGACTGTAAGAAGTAGAAATGGAGATGTAGAGTCTTATGCATTGATCTCTTCAAGATTGGTATCATGGAAACACCAGCATCAATTTCCATCAAGACCTCATGAGTACTCTTTGGTAAGCTCATGCGCCCTGCAGCGTCCGACTTCAAGTTTAAGTTTGCAAACTGAAGAAGGTAACAAAAGGCTTTCACAATATGTTTGAATGGATCCGTAAGACGGTAACTCGACCTCCATAACACACTACCTGGAACATATTTTAGCAGTACATGGACACTGTACTCTTCCATATCACAATACTTGGCAACATCATATGAGAAACATAATGTAGTGTGTCCACCTTCTGTGTCACATAAGGTAGTCATTACATATATGGCAAACCCAAACATAATTGAATGATTGTTTAACGCAGTGTAGCATGTATTCTGTATTTATTACCTGGGACACAGGTATTCTCACACTCAGCGATGGTTTTGAAGTTGTTGGCGTTGCCGCCGCAGCCTCCATAGGTGAACTTCTTACAGGTTTCGCTCTCAGGGTCGTAGAAGAACCGACGGAAGGCCGCCTTGCATGGCCCTCGTTCTGGCTCAGGATTGCATTCTGGAACAAAGAGTGTGTTGGAGGAAGCAAGAGCCTAAGCACTTAATCTGACTTCCTTTATCGTATATCGACAATACTTGACCACTGCAAGATGGCCACTTGAAACACTCTTGTGTCCCCAAGCTGGAATCCCTCTGTGTGCAAGGTCCCTTGCCCCTTGTGCATTTCGGAAGAGCGATTCCTGATCTTGGCAAGGAGGTATTGGAAGTATTTATAGTACTATGACCTAAGAGAGTCACTATGTATGTCAGCTCCCGTTGCAGGAAGCGACCGGAGAGCTAAGGTGACCGAAACTCCCACACTACCACTGACGTAGAATTACATACTATTGCTTTGTAGAACGGGGCCATAACCCTAATAATGATGTGGATGAGGACATTACTTCACACACCACACTTCTGAATAGTACAGGGAACTACGTTTATATAGAATACGCTTATAACAAACTGAGGAATCAAACCGAAACATGAGTCTCATTAACCTATTCAGAAAATGACCTACTTTTCAGCCGATCCGAATTTTCTCGTATGAAAGTGAAAAGAGACACTACAAACAACTGACGCACAATGTGATTGATATAATATCAAGTCCGTACTAGACCGCCAAACTTTTCTAGCGGCAGAGCCTCGTTTTGAGATTTCCACGATTTCCAGATTTCCGTTTGTCAGTGCACGCTGTACGACAGAGCACGCTGCACGACGTGTTTGCAAGGATTAGAAGGAGCGTAGTGTTGCAATATACAAGTGGTTAGATGTATCAAATAATACTGATTAATATTTATGTATCCAGTTGAATGAACTGGTCTCAAACTTCGGGACTGGTTATTATACTAAGTTGCGCAATAGGACGGAACCCAGTCAGCAGGAAACGAGACTGTTGTGTAATCAATGTTTTGACTTGTAACGATTTAATGTTTGGTGCGAGGCACTTACTGAATATATCAATCGGAACGCCTGTAACGGACTACGGTTATAATGAACTGACATATATGTTCCATTTCAGTTCGATGTAACCGCAGTCTACTGTTCTAATATCACAAGGAGGAAAGTGAGTGAGTGAGTAAAATTATATTCACACCGGTGATATTTCAGCCATATCGTGACTAAATTCATATATTGATAATAGATAAAATCATATTATAAAAATCTGTCGACAAAGGACAGTAAATGACTAGATAATCACAGATAGAGAATTAAAACTAGCATGGAACTTTAAAATTAAACCTCTGTTATGGACAACACAGTATAAAAACGGGCTGGGGATCACTAGCAACTGCAGGAAGGTCACCATACTAAGGACCATGGTGGCTTACAGTACTTTTGCTACCTGCATGGACCCTCGCTGGATTTATATCATCCCTTCAGCTGCTGGCGATTGTAAGTCGAATTTACTCATAATTTAGAATCACAGGAATACTACGTTTACAAAATCTGTTTAAAAGTTTAAATTTATTTTGAATGTTTCGGGACTTACCTACCCTCTCAGGAGAACAATAATTTTTACACTACTTCAACCCCCTCCGAAGGTACAGCCACTAACAATCACAGTTGCCAATTCAAACTACCAGTTATAAAAATACATCTAGTACAAAGCAGGTTTATCAAAATTTCATATCATTTCCAGTAATAAAAACGATAAGAATAGCCATAACTCTGTTTCACTCACCTTCATGAGGAGATACCTGATGACTTTGTCCAACCAGGAGCATCGCAGAAGCTAGGCAGAGAACCACCTTCATTGTGGCTGACGTACACGCTTAACTAAACAGAACAGTTTGTTTGGCCTATCACTGAAACAAGACTATATACTTCCACCTCCACACGTAATTAGCCGAGTGCTTTTACTTGTTATTAAAAAGCCATCCCACAAATATTGAACAAATTTAAATTAGATATAGATTTCCTTTTGTACAATATTGAATATACTTCTCTGGTAAGGCTAAACGCCTTAGAAAACCGTTATGCATTAGTGATAACATTGTCCGATGCAATTTTCCACTCCATTACAAGCTTACCTTTCCGTGAACACCTGGTGTCTTGACTGTTTCAGAGCGACACAACCACATGCCTATGCTTGGTCAGAATCGCTTAAAGGACTGTGCACTTTTTGTACTGATTTCTCTTTATCTATAAATGAGAGTATTAAAGCGAGAATGGATTCCCCGTGGTTGTATTGAATATGACAGTGAAACAACTGCCTCTACATCAAATGTCAACATCATAACGTCAAGCGCTAACCAGCTGTTGAGACTGACGGAAATAACATTCATAACTGAGTCTATAATTACAGTTTCAATTATTAACTGAAATAGTGATGAGACCGGGTGTTCGCGAAAAAGTGCGAGTATCCTGCCCCACCGGTAGCACCCGTCATAAACACATGCAAAGTCTAGTCAACTGAAATAATTCGGGAACGTATGGTATAAGTCAAAATAGGGAATTGTTTCGGACACCATTTTTGTCACTGATGCCACAGGCCCCCACTGCGGGTCAGAAAATCGATAAACTAAGCCTTGATTTACTATCCAGGCCCCTACTATATAACAGTAGGGGGGCTGGATAGTAAACCAGGGCTTAAAGTACCGTCGGAAATGCTAGAAAAATGCTTTTGGACTTATATTTAAAATTCAGAGTTATTACAGTTACTTAAATAACAAATATCACTTCAAGAAACATCTACCTAATGTAGACCGAGGAATAAATTTTGAGACATGCTCTAAAGTGTGTTTTTACTGATGAAAATACAAAAAACTTAGAAAAATAAGGGGTAGTCGGACGTTATTTGATACAAACATTAATTGCCTGTGTTACGTCATCAGCATCCACGGTATCGACAGGTGAAATTGACACCTGAGCACACGCTCGGGCGAGGGGTCATCTCAATAGATGTTTTCTGCAAAATGTTGAATATGTGTACGTATAGTATACGTATTGGTTATGTAAGGGATCATTTGTGTATGTGTGTTTGTTTTGAAATAAACATACGAATTACTGTACATTGGAAAGAATCCTATCACATGTGTTATCTTATCGATTGATTGTAGAAATGTGCAACGTTTTATTAATGTTTTGCATGTCAACAGTATATTTCATTGCAAAAATATGGATGTAATTCGGTCAGTTTAATCTAGTTGTGAACATTGGCCAAAGATTGAACGAAGTCACTGGTGTAGCTTCTTTAGAATATATATATTCTTCTTGTCATAAAGTTTGTAGACCGCCCGTCTAAGCACTCCCTTGTCAAAGTTGTCAAGGATGGTTTTACGTCCCGGTTTTGCTTTTGAGACGGTCCCTGTCTTGTCTGATTTGTTTACAATATTGTAAACTTGTTGGTAAGACATACCAACAGCTCTACAAGTTCTGTAATAAACCCTTTCTAAACAAATGAAAGGTTTACATGAAAAAATCTAAAGTTGCTGTTTTGGTACCAAATTCTCTCCTGTTAACTGCCCTTTAAATGCATGGGAATGTTAAATCGATTGAAATAAAAATTAGGTACACTATAGGCGAGTTGATATATTGACAACATAGTACATTTATCACCTTTATAAAGATATTAAGGCTGAAAAGCATTTTTCTAGCATTTCCGACAGTACTTTAGTTTATCGATTTTCTGACCCGCAGTGGGGGCATGTGACTGATGCATCCAATATGGAAATTTCCACCACATGTCTACCATAAAATTCTTGAAAGTCTTGAATGTTGTAACCTTGATCAAACAACTTCTGAACAAGAGTGGCATAAAGCGCTTTGGAATCCTGAAAAAAGAGTTCGTTCGATTAGAAAATGTAGATGATCCCTATATCAACACAAACTCAACAAAAATGAGAATACCGTATATCCCCCAATCAATTATAAAGTTAAAATAGGTTATAACCCCAGCTGAAGAGTTTTGCTTGATAAATGCACTAAAGATCTACACACACCCGTCACTATCACTGTTGCATTGAAGAAGTACATCGTTCGTACAGTACAGTTATAAGTTATACGTTTAGTCTGAGTGAGTGAGTGAGTTGAGTTTTACGCCGCACTCAGCAATATTCCAGCTATATGGCGGCGGTCTGTAAATAATCGAGTCTAGACCAGTCAATCCAGTGATCAACAGCATGAACATCGATCTGCGCATTTGGGAACCGATGACATGTGTCAACCAAGTTAGCGAGCCTGTCCACCCAATCCCTTTAGTCGCCTCTTACGACAAGCATGGGTTACAGAAGGCACATTCTAACCCGGATCTTCACGGGTTGGTTTAGTCTAAACAACTGCAACCTTAAACAGGGAAATGAATTCTTCACAAATATCATAAAGCTGCGTTATGAAGGCTTAAAGTGGTTAACTCACTCAAGTAGTTATCTTATAATAGCTACTGGTTAGCATTGTTTCGACATTAGCATGTATAAACAATGCCACACAAACACGCTTATATATCCAGCCTCGTTCCGATGTCCACTGTGAAACGTACGGCTCTCAAGAATTGGGTAGGATATACACCAAGAACAAGTTGACATGGAAGAGCCCCAGAAACAACTCGTGGTCACAGATGCAGAAAAAAGAACACAGGAAAAAGCAGACATGTTTCCTCAAAGTGTGCAGTAATCAGTGAGTGAGTGAGATGACGACGCAAGTCAGCAATATTATTGCCATATCACGACAACATTTATAAGAGGCTAATTATCAAGAAATGTTTATCAACACAGTTATGTTTAAAACAACATGAACAACTGGTTCAATTGATTCCCTGTTTCACATCTTACACCATGTTTGTGGTATCCGATGGTATTTGTGTTTGCGGACGAATTACTTCAAACAAAAACAAAGTGAGCAATACAAATGAGTTGATTATTCAATCTGCTTCATGATATAGTTTATATTTTAAAACCGCAAATGATTATTATTTAACTAATGAAAAGTAAGAAGCCGTTAAATAAAAAACACAGGAAAAAAGAGGGATCGTTAAAATGGTTTAAAATTGAATAAAATCTTAATATGTCTTTATCCAATTTTTAAAATATATCGCTTTAACCATGCAGTCTATTTGCCCGCTGAATTGATCCATAAAATCTGTTTTGAACCAAAAGTGCACTAAGATAAATTTAGCAAGTACTGCGCGTCTTAAATTTAATTAGATATTATTGTGACCCGGGCATTCAATTATATAATGTTTCACTGTCTCGAGAGTATTTTCATCACACTCTGTATTAGTGACATTGCTGTATGCATTTAATCCACATTATCCAGTAATTATGACCTCCTCGCGTTTGGATTTTATATGAATAAATGTGTCAGCCATCAGTCCCAGCATCCCACAACTCTTGTTACTAATATGCAGTCAGTCTAAGTAAACTTAGGCTCAGTATTATTCGTTACACTGCTATACTGAGTCTAACAAAACCTAGTTGAAGGCCGCTTAAGCTAACATTTGAGCGACCTATGACCGTCCAATCAAACGCGAGACGGCCCAACGGATTTAACCAGGGAGACTATAAGACGCTTGTTGTAGATTACCCCTGATTTAACCAATCAGACAACGACTACTTGTTAGGGTTCGGCGGGACTTACAAAACGGTTTTTGGATTTTCTCTTTTCTGGTCGCTGACACTGATCTATCAACAAACGAAAATTCGCATAAAAGATATTTGACCTGCAGTATATACGCTTATGGGTTTCTAATGACATATGGTTAGTATTTGCTTATATTTTCGCAAGATGACATCCTTGAATATTGACAGAAACGGTATTTTCAGCGACTGTTTACTCATTGCGTGTATCCCTCGGAAGCAATCGTGCGGAAAATAGCATTCGGAATCGTTCGGGTTTTTTTAGGTAAAGGTTCAAACGGTATGTGCGAATGTTAACTTTCGCGATTTGGTAAGCTGTGTTCTGATTGGTCAATCCAAAAGGTTAGCTGACGCGACCTTCTACTAGGTTTTGTTAGACTCAGTATAGCAGTGTAACGAATAATACTGAGCCTAAGTTTACTTAGACTGAATATGCTTGGTTGGGTTCTGAATTCCGATAGCGTTTCTTCAGGATTTTGCAAGCCAGATTTTGCAAGTTGACTCTGCTGTCTCATTTCCTTCCAGCCCAACACAGTATCACATTACATGTATATAAATTCATCAATGTATCCAGCTTTAATATCTCATAAACAATGTCACTTCTTGAACTATTGATACCAGATGCGGGTGCCTTAACAGCTGCCATGGAGTTACTATAACTGCCTATTGATCACATTCATTTACAACCCGTAGGAAAATCTATGAGTACACCAGCAAATACTGAGAGATGGTCAGTTAGTCTGAATCCAATATGCCCCAGTATTTCGAACCAAGGCCGTGTGAAGTTGGCATACTGTTGACTTATAAAATCCTGAGACACAGCTTCTATAACACTTGAATCCATTCTTTTGTTTATGAGTGAGGGAGTTTAGGTTTACGCCGCTTTTAGCAATATTCCAGCAATATCACGGCGGGAGACTCCAGAAATGGGCTTCACACATTGTACCCATGTGGGGAATCGAACCCGGGTCTTCGGCGTGACGAGCGAACGCTTTAACCACTAGGTAGGCTACCCCCACCGCCCCTCTGTTGGTTATGGCTGAATTCAGATCATAACAAAGACCTGATTTCAGAAGCAGTCAAGGAGTATCTGAAGGAGCAGAGTAATCAACTGGATTGCATTCTAAAGCCATTGCTTAATGCTTAGTGGCAAGTTTCTGAATACTCAAACTAAAAGGGACCTTGCCACGTGACAGTCGCACACGACATACTCTACACAACTGTTCACAATTATAGATGAATTATAGATGGTTTTAGAATTTTCAATTCGAGAGAGTTGAGTTCACGACGAAGAAATAGAGTGATCTCTACACATCCAGAGCTGTAACTGGGGTAGTTACAAAGTCACCCGTGCATATTCCCAAAATCTTTGACTGAATGCGATCAAGTTTGGAAAGATGACATTTTCAGGCAGTCATAAATACATAGCAGTCATCGTCAAGCCTTGATAGCTACTCAGGTCTTTACCGAACTGTTTAAGTAAGACTGTGTAAGTAATGAGATGCCCAATCTGTAATCTGACCAAATCTCAACTTTGTTGTTATTTGTGTAACTGATGTATTTTCTCCCTTTCCTGTACATTCCGACTCCAGGACATAGTAACATATTCGTGAACTGTGATAAGGCATGTCTGACCTTAATACAACAGTTTTAGCTTTCACTACAAAAAACACACACACACACACACACACACACACACACACACACACACACACACACACACACACACACACACACACACACACACACACACACACACACACACACACACACGACTAATCAGTTTTCTAAATGACACACACGTGTGTGTGTGTGTATATATATATATATATATATATATACGCACAAAATGTCCAAAGTAGTACAGGTGTTCAGTCATAAATATTGCATAGATAAATAAAAACAGAATGCCGTTTATATATATACACACACACATGCTGTATACATCATGTTAGATTATATAAAGTTATATATGAACGGAAAATCTAGCATAACATATGTCGATAACATTTAAACATTGGGTTCAACTTTTCAAGATGGGTCAGGACACGTTCTGTATGAAATTTATTCAACTACATTTGCACGACTTGTACATTCCGACTCCCAAACCATGTTGATACCACCCGTCTCCGTTGTGGTAGATCTACTTTCAACACACACCCTGTATTCAGCTTTCACCAGACAATTCCCTGTATTCATCAAAACAGGTCACACGCTCTAGCGCTAAGCGCGGGCTATTTGAAACGACGGGTTCATGTGAGTTGTCAAGCGCGCTCAATTCAAACTGGGCTGACAGGTGCTGTCTGTCTACTCAGGGCATGGCGCTATACATAGCTTTATTCATTATACGTTGCTTTTGTTCCCTCGTCTCATATAAGAGTTTCTGTAAGAAAGCATGAACGCATTCAAATATCCACCTTTCATTAACCTTTCCTGACCTGTGACGTCATGCCTACATTAACAGGTTCATGAGTTATCCTGCATACATTATCGGATCACCCGGATCAACCAAAAGCAGGTTCCGCTCCCACCCTATTTGCTACTTGTCACCATGTGGATTGGGACATTGGTGGTCTGATGACGACTTAGTATAGTTACTCGTTTTATTGCCAGTCTGTGTACTCTCAATCTATGAGAAACATGCGCATGTGTGCGTCGGTGCGTGTGTGTATACGTGTTTGTGAGTGGGACTGATAGATACAATAGTGGGTTACATACTTACACACCCGTGAAGATCCGGGTTAGATTTTATCTTCAGCGTATATTTGTGAATGAGTCTACGTTTACACGCCAAAGCTGCACTGTGATTTCATATTGAAACCATAATAGGTGAGGTGAGGTGAAATTAGGTTTAACGTCGTACTTGAGAATATTTCGCTCATATGACGACGTGCATGCGCGTGTATGTGTATGTGCGGCTGCTTGTACTAGCCCAGACTGAAGCTGGTTTTATAGTGCTAGCCCAGTGAGATACCATGCCGCAGTGAAGCATGAATACCCCACTCAGACACATTATACTGACTCCGAGCCGACCAGTCCTTGTTGTACCCATGAATGCCGAGCGCCAGGCAGGGACCAACAAGTACCATATTTTAACGTCTTTTGGTAGGACGCGGTCGGGGATCGAACCCGCGACCTTCCGCTCTCCGGGCGGATGCTCTATCCACTACACCACGGAGGCGGTCTTGAAACCATAATAAACAGAATCCTGCAATTAGTTCAGCCGCAGTAATCCAACAGCATTCATAGTCAACTTGCTGACAAAATACGGGTTAGAACTGATCTTCAGTAACCCGAGATTGTCGTAAGAGGCGACTAACGAGATCGGGTGGTCAGACTCGCTGACTTGGTTGACACATGTCATCATATCCCAAATGCGTAGATTGATGTTCATGCTGTTGATCACTGGATTGTCTGGTCCAGAATCGTTTATTTACAGTCTAAGTAAACTTAAGCTCAGCATTATTCGTTACACTGCTATACTGAGTCTAACAAACCCTAGTTGCGTCAGCTAACCTTTCAGCGACCTATGACCGTCCAATCAAATGCGATAAAGCCAAACGGATTTAACCAATCAGACATCGACTACTTTTTTTGGGTTCGGCGGGACTTACAAAATTCCCCGGTCACTGACACTGATCTCTCAACAAACGAAAATCCGCATAAAACACAGATATTTGACCTGCAGTATATACGCTGAGGGCTTTCTGATGGCATGGCTACCATTAGCTAATATTTCCGCAAGCTGACATCCTTGAATATTGACAAAAACGCTATTTTCAGCGACTGTTTACTCACTGTAGTGGCGTGCTCCATTTGCCTCACTCGGAAGCAATCGTGCGGAAAATAGCATTCGGAATCGTTCGGGTGCAAACTTTTTCGAGGTAAAAGTTCAAAAAAATATGTGCGAATGTCAACTTTTGCGATTTTGTAAGCTGTGTTCTGATTGGTCAATTGAAAAGGTTAGCTGACGCGACCTTCTACTAGAGTTAGTTAGACTCAGTATAAGCAGTGTAACGAATAATACTGAGCCTAAGTTTACTTAGACTAGATTATTTAAAGATTGCCGCCATATAACTGAAATATTGCTGAGTGCGGTGTAAAACTAAACTCACTCACTCACTACATACTCACGTACATTACCTACATGTATTATACGCATTTCGGAAGCCTGACCAGTGTAGCAGTGAAGTTTATCATCTCTGTCTCTATTGCTATAATTACTACGTTTGTATCTGGGTAACATATCTTTGTTATGTGTTGGTTTCACATTTCATTTCTGGTTAACTGGTAGTTTGGAAATCGACCGTTTGTTACACGCCCTCTCTCTGATAAACAATACAGGAAAGCCCAATGGGATATCACGACTTTATTCAAGTATGAGATCAGAAGCATGTGTCTTCACACTCGGCTTTGGTCTTGAAGTTGTTGCCGTTGCCACCACAGCCACCGTAGGTGAACTCTTTACAAGTGTCGGTGTCAGGGTCGTAGAAAAACCGAGGGATCGCCGCTCTGCAACGTCCGACCTCTGGTTTAAGGTTGCAAACTGGATGAAGAAGAAACAAGAAGCGCCTTTTAAAAGGCAATGTTGAAGTCACCTGAGTAAATGTAGTGAGAAGGACGTGAGGTGATTTGGCGGGTGAAGCTGATTTCAAGAGCATCACGATGACCATACCTCCGTCTGTTAGAGATCGGTACTCGCATCGCAAATAAGGTACACTCGTCTCCAGTATATGACATTTCATATCAAAAGGTGTTTGTCATCTCTAACCATATCTGGAAATGAGGTACTTGTGACGGACGGTGGAAACATGTTCCTATATATAATAATTATTACTTTTATCTTATGTCGTATGGTATCGAATCATCAAAAAATGACATATTTTTTATATTTTTTTAAATGACATATTTTATTTTGAATATTTGCAAAAGTCATGTGAATCCTACCCCATCAAAGAAATTCACCCATCCCTGTACTGACTCCAAATCCTACTCGTTTCCATGGAAACGAATGCTACTGCCGGCCCAGCGTCTACAGATAAGAGCGTGTTGGTTCGCACAGTGATTACTAAGACGGTATTACTCAGGGCTCTGCACTCACGGTACTGTTACTGAACACGGCTCTCGAACCGATTCTAGGAAACCACAGTCGGCCTTTCGCTACATTCCAGGAAAAGCTAATGGGTGCTACTAAAATGGAATGGATTTTCCGATTCCGCAATTCGAAATTATGCACTTAACTAGTTCAAGTTATGCATTGAACTACTACAAGTGTGCTCTATTACGTGTAAAAATGTTTTGAAGTCAGTTTAAAAACGTTTTTGATCAGTAAAAAGACAGCATGTGCGTAAATCAGAGATTTGTAGGAAACTCTATTCCGCATTCACTATTAAGTAAAGCGGGACAATTACATTGTATTTCGAATTACCCACATGGTCAAGTGGCTCTTAATTTGCTACAGCTATGTTCATTGGTCATTAGAATTACCAAAATACAATGAGACTAAGTATCATTGGCTGAAAGTTCATTTTGAATAATACAAATGTATAGATGGGGTGAAATTTCACCGGAGAGACAAATTCAGCCTGGTTAAAAAGTTGGAAAAGTTTGCGCCCCCAAACAAAACATGGAATATACAATTTGGGTAAATAGAACTGTTAATGCTCGTTGTCCTGGAACCGTGGTCACCATGGTCCACAACAGAACCTTGCACTCAAATGAGTAGGGCATTAACTGTGATCTGGCTTATGAAGAGAAGACATCACAAGGGACACATCTTCCGTGCCACACATGACTGATGTATGTATATAATATGTAAGAGACATTTGGTAGATCATGATTTCACGTAGACGCACTGTAGCATGCATTCTGTATATAGTACCTGGGTTGCAGAATTCCTCACATTCAGCGACGGTCTTGAAGTTATTGGCGTTGCCATCACAGCCGCCATAGAAGAACTCCTCACACTTTTGGGAATCAGTGTTGTAAAAGAACCTACGTGTCCACGCCCTGCAGCGTCCGACTTTCGGTTTAAGTTCGCAAACTGAATAATGTAGAAACAGGTAGCTTTCAAAAAGTTGTTCAAATGGATCTGTTCAGTGTCGTTATGCTACATTCACTGACAGCTGATCTCTGCAACACATTCTAGTGCACATATCAGCAGTAGATGATCAGTGTAATCTACCTTAGCACAACGCCTGACAGCACTTGGAGAGACAGATAACGCAGTATGACCCTCTTCTGTACCACACATACCTCTTGTAAACAAATATACAAAGAAATAATAAAACGTTTTTTAGTTTGTGACAGAAATTTGGTACATCACACACCCAAACAATTTAATGAACACTTAAGGCATTGTAGCATATATCATGTGCATATTACCTGGGACACACGTATTTTCACACTCGGCTTTGGTCATGAATTTGTTGGCGTTGCCGCCGCAGCCACCGTAGGTGAACGTCTTACACCTTTCGCTGTCAGGGTCGTAGAAGAACCGAGGGAAGGCCGCCCTGCAGGGTCCGGTTACTGGTTTAAGTTTGCAGACTGTAAGAAGTAGAAATGGAGATGTAGAGTCTTATGCATTGATCTCTTCAAGATTGGTATCATGGAAACACCAGCATCAATTTCCATCAAGACCACATGAGTACTCTTTGGTAAGCCCATGCGCCCTGCAGCGTCCGACTTTAAGTTTAAGTTTGCAAACTGAAGAAGGTAACAAAAGGCTTTCACAATATGTTTGAATGGATCCGTAAGACGGTAACTCGACCTCCATAACACACTAGCTGGAACATATTTTAGCAGTACATGGACACTGTACTCTTCCATATCACAATACTTGGCAACATCATATGAGAAACATAATGTAGTGTGTCCACCTTCTGTGTCACATATCACTTATATAGGACTAAATAAGGTAGTCATTACATATATGGCAAACCCAAACATAATTGAATGATTGTGTAACGCAGTGTAGCATGTATTCTGTATTTATTACCTGGGACACAGGTCTTCTCACACTCAGCGATGGTTTCGAAGTTGTTGGCGTTGCCGCCGCAGCCTCCATAGGTGAACTTCTTACAGGTTTCGCTCTCAGGGTCGTAGAAGAACCGACCGAAGGTCGCCTTGCATGGCCCCCGTTCTGGCTCAAGATGGCATTCTGGAACAAAGTGAGTGAGTGAGTGAGTTTGCTGTTACGCCGCTTTTAGCAATATTCCAGCAGTATCACGGCGGGGGACACCAGAAATGAGTGGAACAAAGAGTGTGTTGGAGGAAACAAGAGCCTTAGCACTTAATCTGACTTCCTTTATCGTATATCGACAATACTTGACCACTGCAAGATGGCCACTTGAAACACTCTTGTGTCCCCAAGCTGGAATCCCTCTGTGTGCAAGGTCCCTTGCCCCTTGTGCATTTCGGAAGAGCGATTCCTGATCTTGGCAAGGAGGTATTGGAAGTATTTATAGTACTATGACCTAAGAGAGTCACTATGTATGTCAGCTCCCGTTGCAGGAAGCGACCGGAGAGCTAAGGTGACCGAAACTCCCACACTACCACTGACGTAGAATTACATAGAATTGGGCCATAACCCTAATAATGATGTGGATGAGGACATTACTTGACACACCACACATCTGAATACTACAGGGAACTACGTTTATATAGAACACGCTTATAACAAACTGGGGAATCAAACCGAAACATGAGTCTCATTAACCTATTCAGACAATGACCTACTTTTCAGTCGATCCGAATTTTCTCGTGTGAAAGTGAAAAGAGACATCACAAACAACTATGGTTACACTGAATTCCAATTCCTTGTTTCATTAGAAAATGGTATTTACAAGTTAATTTTAATTCAAAACTTTAATAACATCGTATTTCTATATTTTATGGCGAGGTGTAGGCAGCATGACCTTTACTAAGACGTCACAGACTGCAGCTGTTTGATGAGGTCGTACAATGATTCATCTGGCTCACTGGTTACACCTGTTACGTGTTTTTTGCGCTTATTCAGTGTAGTTTTGTAACGCACAATGTGATTGATATAATATCAAGTCCGTACTAGACCGCCAAACTTTTCTAGCGGCAGAGCCTCGTTTTGAGATTTCCACGATTTCCAGATTTCCGTTTGTCAGTGTACGCTCTACGACAGAGCACGCTGCACGACGTGTTTGCAAGGATAAGAAGGAGCATAGTGTTGCAATATACAAGTGGTTAGATGTATCAAATAATACTGATTAATATTTATGTATCCAGTTGAATGAACTGGTCTCAAACTTCGGGACTGGTTATTATACTAAGTTGCGCAATAGGACGGAACCCAGTCAGCAGGAAACGAGACTGTTGTGTAATCAATGTTTTGACTTGTAACGATTTAATGTTTGGTGCGAGGCACTTACTGAATATATCAATCGGAACGCCTGTAACGGACTACGGTTATAATGAACTGACATATATGTTCCATTTCAGTTCGATATAATCGCAGTCTACTGTTCTAATATCACCAGGAGGAAAGTGAGTGAGTGAGTAAAATTATATTCACACCGGTGATATTTCAGCCATATCGTGACTAAATTCATATATTGATAATAGATAAAGTCATATTATAAAAATCTGTCGACAAAGGACAGTAAATGACTAGATAATCACAGATAGAGAATTAAAACTAGCATGGAACTTTAAAATTAAACCTCTGTTATGGACAACACAGTATAAAAAACGGGTTGGGGATCACTAGCAACTGCAGGAAGATCACCAGGATTATTTAGGACCATGGACGCTTACAGTACTTTTACTACCTGCATGGACCCTCGCTGGATTTATATCATCCCTTCAGCTGCTGACGATTGTAAGTCGAATTTACTCATAATTTAGAATCACAGGAATACTACGTTTACAAAAAAATCTGTTTAAAAGTTTTAAATTTATTTTGAATGTTTCGGGACTTACTTACCCTCTCAGGAGAACAATACTTTCACACAAACCCCTTCGAAGGTACAGCCACTAACAATCTCAGCTGCCAATTCAAACTACCAGTTATAAAAACACATCTAGTACAAAGCAGGTTTATAAATATTTCATATCATTTCCAGTAATAAAAACGATAAGAATAGCCATAACTCTGTTTCACTCACCTTCATGAGGAGATACCTGATGACTTTGTCCAACCAGGAGCATCGCAGAAGCTAGGCAGAGAACCACCTTCATTGTGGCTGACGTACACGCTTAACTAAACAGAACAGTTTGTTTGGCCTATCACTGAAACAAGACTATATACTTCCACCTCCACACGTAATTAGCCGAGTGCTTTTACTTGTTATTAAAAGGCCATCCCACAAATATTGAACAAATTTAAATTAGATATAGATTTCCTTTTGTACAATATTGAATATACTTCTCTGGTAAGGCTAAACGCCTTAGAAAACCGTTATGCATTAGTGACATTGTTCGATGCAATTTTCCACTCCATTACAAGCTTACCTTTCCATGAACACCTGGTGTCATCACTGAGAGCGACACAACCACATGTCTATGCTTGGTCAGAATCGCTTAAAGGACTGTGCACTTTTTGTACTGATTGCCCTCTATCTATAAATGAGAGTATTAAAGCGAGAATGGATTCCCCGTGGTTGTATTGAATATGATAGTGAAACAACTGCCTCTACATCAAATGTCATCATCATAACGTCAAGCACTAACCACGCCCAGCCAGCTGTTGAGACTGACGGAAATAACATTCATAACTGAGTCTATAATTACAGTTTCAATTATTAACTGAAATAGTGATGAGACCGGGTGTTCGCGAAAAAGTGCGAGTATCCTGCCCCACCGGTAGCACCCGTCATAAACACATGCAAAGTCTAGTCAACTGAAATAATTCGGGAACGAATGGTATAAGTCAAAATAGGGAATTGTTTCGGACACCATTTTTGTCACTGATGCCACAGGCCCCCACTGCGGGTCAGAAAATCGATAAACTAAGCCTTGGTTTACTATCCAGGCCCCTACTATATAACAGTAGGGGGGCTGGATAGTAAACCAGGGCTTAAAGTACCGTCGGAAATGCTAGAAAAATGCTTTTGGACGTATATTTAAAATTCAGAGGTATTACAGTTACTTAAATAACAAATATCACTTCAAGAAACATCTACCTAATGTAGACCGAGGAATAAATTTTGAGACATGCTCTAAAGTGTGTTTTTACTGATGAAAATACAAAAAAACGTAGAAAAATAAGGGGTAGTCGGACGTTATTTGATACAAACATTAATTGCCTGTGTTACGTCATCAGCATCCACGGTATCGACAGGTGAAATTGACACCTGAGCACACGCTCGGGCGAGGGGTCATCTCAATAGATGTTTTCTGCAAAATGTTGAATATGTGTACGTATAGTATACGTATTGGTTATGTAAGGGATCATTTGTGTATGTGTGTTTGTTTTGAAATAAACATACGAATTACTGTACATTGGAAAGAATCCTATCACATGTGTTATCTTATCGATTGATTGTAGAAATGTGCAACGTTTTATAAATGTTTTGCATGTCAACAGTATATTTCATTGCAAAAATATGGATGTAATTCGGTCAGTTTAATCTAGTTGTGAACATTGGCCAAAGATTTAACGAAGTCACTGGTGTAGCTTCTTTAGAATATATATATTCTTCTTGTCATAAAGTTTGTAGACCGCCCGTCTAAGCACTCCCTTGTCAAAGTTTTCAAGGATGGTTTTACGTCCCGGTTTTGCTTTTGAGACGGTCCCTGTCTTGTCTGATTTGTTTACAATATTGTAAACTTGTTGGTAAGACATACCAACAGCTCTACAAGTTCTGTAATAAACCCTTTCTAAACAAATGAAAGGTTTACCTCTGTCTTTTTCAAGTAGTAAACACTTATAAACCGTTGCAACAATTGACTGCAAATCGTTGGCCATAGTGGACGCTGTGATAAAGATGTGCATGCATGACGGGAAACTTATTTATCAAGACTTAACATTTATATTAATATTTCTTCAATAAAGAAACGATAATTAAATAAAGTAACACAAACGTTCAACATTTATTTGTTTAGGAAATACGTTCATTCATATTTTTACACCACCTGTATTATTAGCAAAAATGTAAAGACTATTTCAGATTTCTGTTGTTGAACACTGAAAAAATCTAAAGTTGCTGTTTTGGTACCAAATTCTCTCCTGTAAACTGCCCTTTAAATGCATGGGAATGTTAAATCGATTGAAATAAAAATTAGGTACACTATAGGCGAGTTGATATATTGACAACATAGAACATTTATCACCTTTATAAAGATATTAAGGCTGAAAAGCATTTTTCTAGCATTTCCGACAGTACTTTAGTTTATCGATTTTCTGACCCGCAGTGGGGGCATGTGACTGATGCATCCAATATGGAAATTTCCACAACATGTCTACCATAAAATTCTTGAAAGTCTTGAATGTTGTAACCTTGATCAAACAACTTCTGAACAAGAGTGGCATAAAGCGCTTTGGAATCCTGAAAAAAAGAGTTCGTTCGATTAGAAAATGTAGATGATCCCTATATCAACACAAACTCAACAAAAATGAGAATACCGTATATCCCCCAATCAATTATAAAGTTAAAATAGGTTATAACCCCAGCTGAAGAGTTTTGCTTGATAAATGCACTGAAATCTACACACACCCGTCACTACCACTGTTGCATTGAAGAAGTACATCGTTCGTACAGTACAATTATAAGTTATACGTTTAGTCTGAGTGAGTGAGTGAGTGAGTGAGTTGAGTTTTACGCCGCACTCAGCAATATTCCAGCTATATGGCGGCGGTCTGTAAATAATCGAGTCTGGACCAGTCAATCCAGTGATCAACAGCATGAACATCGATCTGCGCATTTGGGAACCGATGACATGTGTCAACCAAGTCAGCGAGCCTGACCACCCAATCCCTTTAGTCGCCTCTTACGACAAGCATGGGTTAGTGAAGGCACATTCTAACCCGGATCTTCACGGGTTGGTTTAGTCTAAACAACTGCAACCTTAAACAGGGAAATGAATTCTTCACAAATATCAAAAAGCTGCCTTATGAAGGCTTAAAGTAGTTAACTCACTCTAGTAGTTATCTTATAATAGCTACTGGTTAGCACTGTTTCGACATTAGCATGTATAAACAATGCCACACAAACACGCTTATATATCCAGCCTCGTTCCGATGTCCACTGTGAAACGTACGGCTCTCAAGAATTGGGTAGGATATACACCAAGAACAAGTTGACATGGAAGAGCCCCAGAAACAACTCGTGGTCACAGATGCAGAAACAAGAACACAGGAAAAAGCAGACATGTTTCCTCAAAGTGTGCAGTAATCAGTGAGTGAGTGAGATGACGACGCAAGTCAGCAATATTATTGCCATATCACGACAACATTTATAAGAGGCTAATTATCAAGAAATGTTTATCAACACAGTTATGTTTAAAACAACATGAACAACTGGTTCAATTGATTCCCTGTTTCACATCTTACCTGTTTCCCTGTTTTACACCATGTTTGTGGTATCCGATGGTATTTGTGTTTGCAGTCGAATTACTTCAAACAAAAACAAAGTGAGCAATACAAATGAGATGATTATTCAATCTGCTTCATGATATAGTTTATATTTTAAAACCGCAAATAATTATTATTTAACTAATGAAAAGTAAGAACCCGTTAAATAAAAAACACAGGAAAAAAGAGGGATCGTTAAAATGGTTTAAAATTGAATAAAATCTTAATATGTCTTTATCCAATTTTTAAAATATATCGCTTTAACCATGCAGTCTAATTGCAGCTGAATTGATCCATAAAATCTGTTTTGAACCAAAAGTGCACTAAGATAAATTTAGCAAGTACTGCGCGTCTTAAATTTAATTAGATATTATTGTGACCCGGGCATTCAATTATATAATGTTTCACTGTCTCGAGAGTATTTTCATCACACTCTGTATTAGTGACATTGCTGTATGCATTTAATCCACATTATCCAGTAATTATGACCTCCTCGCGTTTGGATTTTATATGAATACATGTGTCAGCCATCAGTCCCAGCATCCCACAACTCTTGTTACTAATATGCAGTCAGTCTAAGTAAACTTAGGCTCAGTATTATTCGTTACACTGCTATACTGAGTCTAACAAAACCTAGTTGAAGGCCGCTTAAGCTAACATTTGAGCGACCTATGACCGTCCAATCAAACGCGAGACGGCCCAACGGATTTAACCAGGGAGACTATAAGACGCTTGTTGTAGATTACCCCTGATTTAACCAATCAGACAACGACTACTTGTTAGGGTTCGGCGGGACTTACAAAACGGTTTTTGGATTTTCTCTTCTCTGGTCGCTGACACTGATCTATCAACAAACGAAAATTCGCATAAAAGATATTTGACCTGCAGTATATACGCTTATGGGTTTCTAATGACATATGGTTAGTATTTGCTTATATTTTCGCAAGATGACATCCTTGAATATTGACAAAAACGCTATTTTCAGCGACTGTTTACTCATTGCGTGTATCCCTCGGAAGCAATCGTGCGAAAAATAGCATTCGGAATCGTTCGGGTTTTTTTAGGTAAAGGTTCAAACGGTATGTGCGAATGTTAACTTTCGCGATTTGGTAAGCTGTGTTCTGATTGGTCAATCCGAAAGGTTAGCTGACGCGACCTTCTACTAGGTTTTGTTAGACTCAGTATAGCAGTGTAACGAATAATACTGAGCCTAAGTTTACTTAGACTGAATATGCTTGGTTGGGTTCTGAATTCCGATAGCGTTTCTTCAGGATTTTGCAAGCCAGATTTTGCAAGTTGACTCTGCTGTCTCATTTCCTTCCAGCCCAACACAGTATCACATTACATGTATATAAATTCATCAATGTATCCAGCTTTAATATCTCATAAACAATGTCACTTCTTGAACTATTGATACCAGATGCGGGTGCCTTAACAGCTGCCATGGAGTAACTATAACTGCCTATTGATCACATTCATTTACAACCCGTAGGAAAATCTATGAGTACACCAGCAAATACTGAGAGATGGTCAGTTAGTCTGAATCAATATGCCCCAGTATTTCGAACCAAGGCCGTGTGAAGTTGGCATACTGTTGACTTATAAAATCCTGAGACACAGCTTCTATAACACTTGAATCCATTCTTTTGTTTATGAGTGAGGGAGTTTAGGTTTACGCCGCTTTTAGCAATATTCCAGCAATATCACGGCGGGAGACTCCAGAAATGGGCTTCACACATTGTACCCATGTGGGGAATCGAACCCGGGTCTTCGGCGTGACGAGCGAACGCTTTAACCACTAGGTAGGCTACCCCCACCGCCCCTCTGTTGGTTATGGCTGAATTCAGATCATAACAAAGACCTGATTTCAGAAGCAGTCAAGGAGTATCTGAAGGAGCAGAGTAATCAACTGGATTGCATTCTAAAGCCATTGCTTAATGCTTAGTGGCAAGTTTCTGAATACTCAAACTAAAAGGGACCTTGCCACGTGACAGTCGCACACTACATGCTCTACACAACTATTTACAATTATAGATGAAGTATAGATGGTTTTAGAATTTTCAATTCGAGAGACATGAGTTCACGACGAAGAAATAGAGTGATCTCTACACATCCAGAGCTGTAACTGGGGTAGTTACAAAGTCAACCGTGCATATTCCCAAATCTTTGATTGAATGCGATCAAGTTTGGAAAGATGACATTTTCAGGCCGACATAAATACATAGCAGTCATCGTCAAGCCTTGATAGCTACTCAGGTCTTTACCGAACTGTTTAAGTAAGACTGTGTAAGTAATGAGATGCCCAATCTGTAATCTGACCAAATCTCAACTTTGTTGTTATTTGTGTAACTGATGTATTTTCTCCCTTTCCTGTACATTCCGACTCCAGGACATAGTAACATATTCGTGAACTGTGATAAGGCATGTCTGACCTTAATACAACAGTTTTAGCTTTCACTACACACACACACGCACACACACACACACACACACACACACACACACACACACACACACACACACACACACACACACACACACACACACACACACACACACACACACACACACACACACACACACACACACACACACACACACACACACACACACACACACACACACACACACACACACACACACACACACACACACACACACACACACACACACACACACACACACACACACACACACACACACACACACACACACACACACACACACACACACACACACGACTAATCAGTTTTCTAAATGACACACATATATGTGTGTGTGTATATATATATACACACACACACACACATACTGTATACATCATGTTAGACTATATAAAATTATATATGAACGGAAAATCTAGCATAACATATGTCGATAACATTTAAACATTGGGTTCAACTTTTCAAGAAGGGTCAGGACGCGTTCTGTATGAAAATTATTCAACTACCTTTGCATGACTTGTACATTCCGACTCCCGAACCATGTTGATACCACCCGTCTCCGTTGTGGTAGATCTACTTTCAACACACACCCTGTATTCAGCTTTCAACAGACAATTCCCTGTATTCATCAAAACAAGTCACACACTCTAGCGCTAAGCGCGGGCTATTTGAAACGACGGGTTCACGTGAGTTGTCAAGCGCGCTCAATTCAAACTGGGCTGACAGGTGCTGTCTGTCTACTAAGGGCAGTACGCTATACATAGCTATATTCGTTATACTTTGCTTTTGTTTTCTCGTCTCATAAAAGGGTTTCTGTAAGAAAGCATGAACGCATTCAAACATCCACCTTTCATTGACCTTTCCTGACCTGTGACGTCATGCCTACATTAACATGTTCATGGGTTATCCTGCATACATTATCGGGTCAACGGGATCAACCAAAAGCAGGTTCCGCTCCCACCCTATATGCTACTTGTCACCATGTGGATTGGGACATTGGTGGTCTGATGACGACTTAGTATAGTTACTCGTTTTATTGCCAGTCTGTGTACTCTCAGTCTATGAGAAACATGCGCATGTGTGCGTCGGTGCGTGTGTGTATACGTGTTTGTGAGTGGGACTGATAGATACAATAGTGGGTTACATACTTACACACCCGTGAAGATCCGGGTTAGATTTGATCTTCAGCGTATATTTGTGAATGAGTCTACGTTTACACGCCAAAGCATCACTGTGATTTCATATTGAAACCATAATAAACAGAATCCCGCAATTAGTTCAGCCGCAGTAATCCAACAGCATTCATAGTCAACTTGCTGACAACATACGGGTTAGAACTGATCTTCAGTAACCCGAGCTTGTCGTAAGAGGCGACTAACGAGATCGGGTGGTCAGACTCGCTGACTTGGTTGACACATGTCATCATTTCCGAAAAGCGTAGATTGATGTTAATGCTGTTGATCACTGGATTGTCTGGTCCAGACTCGTTTATTTACAGTCTAAGTAAACTTAAGCTCAGCATTATTCGTTACACTGCTATACTGATATTTCCGCAAGCTGACATCCTTGAATATTGACAAAAAACGCTATTTTCAGCGTCTGTTTACTCACTGTAGTGGCGTGCTCCATTTGCATCACTCGGAAGCAATCGTACGGAAAATAGCATTCGGAATCGTTCGGGTACAAACTTTTTTCGAGGTAAAAGTTCAAAAGATATGTGCGAATGTCAACTTTTGCGATTTAGTAAGCTGTGTTCTGATTGGTCAATTGAAAAGGTTAGCTGACGCGACCTTCTACTAGAGTTTGTTAGACTCAGTATAAGCAGTGTAACGAATAATACTGAGCCTAGGTTTACTTAGACTAGATTATTTACAGATTGCCGCCATATAACTGAAATATTGCTGAGTGCGGTGTAAAACTAAACTCACTCACTCACTACATACTCACGTACATTACCTACATGTATTATACGCATTTCGGAAACCTGACCAGAGTTGCAGTGAAATTATCATCTCTGTCTCTATTGCTATAATTACTACGTTTGTATCTGGGTAACATATCTTTGTTATGTGTTGGTTTCACATTTCATTTCTGGTTAACTGGTAGTTTGGAAATCGACCGTTTGTTACACGCCCTCTCTCTGATAAACAATACAGGAAAGCCCAATCGGATATCACGACTTTATTCAAGTATGAGATCAGGCGCATCTGTCTTCGCACTCGGCTTTGGTCTTGAAGTTGTTGCCGTTGCCACCACAGCCACCGTAGGTGAACTTCTTACAAGTGTCGGTGTCAGGGTCGTAGAAAAACCGAGGGATCGCCGCTCTGCAACGTCCGACCTCTGGTTTAAGGTTGCAAACTGAATGAAGACGAAACAGATGGAATATAAGATAGTGTTAGTGGAACTTTTATTTCTCGTATCTTGGTCACCCGACCTCCACAATGGAACCCTGCAATCATATAATAATGAGGACAATAACTGTGATCTGGTTCATAACAATAACATTAGTTTTTCTGTGCCACACATACCTGATATATGTATATAATAGTGAATGAGAGAGTGTAGTTTTACGCCGCAGACCAGCTATATGGCGGCGATCTGTAAATAATCGAGTCTGGAGCAGACAATCAAGTGATCAACAGCATGAGCGTCGATCTGCGCAATTGAGAACCGATGACATGTGTCGCCTCTTAGGACAAGCATGGGTTACTGAAGATCAATATTCTAACCCGGACCTTCACGTGTATATCTGTACATTGTATAAACCTATAGACATTTGGTACACCATATACACATACATGACTTCATGTAAACGTAGCGCGCTGTAGCATATATTATATGTGTATTACCTGGGATGCAGGTTTCCTCACATTCAGCGACGGACTTGAAGTTGTTGGCGTTGCCATCACAGCCGCCATAGAAGAACTCCTCACACTTTTGGGAATCAGAGTTGTAGAAGAACCTACGTTTCCGCGCCTTGCAGCGTCCGACTTTCGGTTTAAGTTCGCAAACTGAATGATATAGAAACAGGTGGCTTTCAAAATTTGTTCAAAGGGATCTGTTCAGTGTTGTTATGCTACATTCACTGACACCTGCCCCCTACAACACATTCTAGTACACTTATCAGCAGTAGACGATCAGTGTATTCTGACATAGTACAACGCCTGACAGCACTTGGAGTGAGTGAGTTTAATTTTACGCCGCTTTTAGCAATATTCCAGCAATATCACGGCGGGGGACACCAGAAATGGGCTTCACACATTGTGCCCATGTGGGGAATCGAACCCGGGTCCTTGGCGTGACGAGCGAACGCGTTAACCACTAGGCTACCCCACCTCCCAACAGCACTAGTTGGAGAGACAGATAATGTAGTGTGACCATCTCCTGTGCCACACATACCTCTTGTAAACATATGTACAAAGTAATCATTGTTTATGACAATCATTGTTTGTGACAATTTGGTACATCAGACACCCAAACATATTTTAATGAACATTTAAGGCAATTTAGCATATATCATATGTATATTACCTGGGACACATTCTTTCTCACACGCGGCTTTAGTCTTGAATTTGTTGGCGTTGCCACCGCAGCCACCGTAGAAGAACTTCTTACACTTTTTGGTGTCAGGGTCGTAGAAGAACCTCCGTTTCCGCCCCCTGCAGCGTCCGACTTCAGGCTTAAGTTCGCAAACTGAACAAGGTAAAAAACACTCTCAAGATGAGCTTATATGAATTTGTTCCAGGTCCTTACCCTATAAACACGGTCCCCGACCGCCATAAAGCAATACCTAGAGGATATTGTAGCAGTACACGAACAGTGTAATCTGACATATCAAAATACCGTGCAGCATTATAAGAGAAAATAATGTAGTGCGTCTTCTGTACCACGTAACACAACAAAAAGGAAAAACAAAATAAGGTAGTCATTATGGAAGTCACACACCTAAACATGATGTAAATCATGAATCTTAAAGGCAATGTTGAAAGTAGTCTGTATAGAATACCTGGGACACATTCTTTCTCACACGCGGCTTTAGTCTTGAAATTGTTGGCGTTGCCACCGCAGCCACCGTAGATGAACTTCTTACACCTTTCGCTGTCAGGGTCGTAGAAATACCGACGAAAGGCCGCCCTGCAGCGTCCGGTTACTGGTTTAAGTTTGCAGACTGTAAGAAGTAGACATGGAGATGTAGAGTCTTATGCATTGGTCTCTTCAAGACTGGTATCATGGAAACACCAGCATCCATTTCCATCAAAACCACATGAGTACACTTTGGTAAGCTTATTTCTGGTGGTCCCAACCCCTTCCCCAGCTCCACCCCCACCCAGTAGGCACCTACCCCAAAACCCCGCCCTGATAGTGCTGGAGTATTCCTAAAAGTGGCGCTTTACTATTAACTCACTCACTCACTAACAGACATTTGGTTTAACACACTTTTAAACATTAGTTAATGAACGTAAGGCAATGTGTGTGTGTGTGTGTGTGTGTGTGTGTGTGTGTGTGTGTGTGTGTGTGTGTGTGTGTGTGTGTGTGTGTGTGTGTGTGTGTGTGTGTGTGTGTGTGTGTGTGTCACTTACGTAACGCAACAAGAAGGCAACACACGATGTACCCGTTTGGTGTTTCACACAACGAAATCTACATAAAGAAAGCGTAGCGCAATATAGCATGTAATCGGTTTATATTACCTGGAAAACAGGTTTTCTCACATTCCTCGATGCTTTTGAAGTTGTTCGCATTACCACCACAACCACCGTAGGTGAAGGTGTCACACTCTTCACATGAAGGGTGAAAGTAGAACCGACGAAGCGACCCCCTGCATGACCCCGTTTCTGGCTCGAGGTTGCAATCTGGAACAAAGAGTGTGTTTTCGACAACAACAACAAAAAACTGAACACACTCACCAGTCTCCGATTTCGTTTGTCGATTGTCGACAATAGTTGACTGGACATCTGACCTCTGCAAGATGACTTCTCGAAACACACTAGAATCCCCGATGCAGGAATCCCGGGGCCCCCTGTGTGATACTAAAAGAAAGGTCCATTGTCCCTCATGTACAAAGGAAGAGCGCTTTCTAAACTTCTGATCCCCCTGTGTGCAACTGTCCGGGCTCCGTGCCCCATGTGCATCTTGGAAGAGCGATTCCTGGTCTTGGCAAGGAAGTATTAAAAGTATTAATAGTACTAATAATGATATGACGTAAGAGAGGCACCTCGCAGGTCAGGCCTTCGTTGGAGGAAGCGATCGTAGAGCTAGGATGGTCGTAACTCCCATACTTGACAACTGACTTAGAAGTACATAGCGTTACGGTCGCTTTGTAGAACAGGGCAATGATCTTTATAAGGGCACACCACACATCATAATAGTACCGTGAAGTACGGTTATATAACGAACTGGTTTTATCGAACTAAACTCAGTTCTCCTACACTTACTGAACTAATATCGAACTTGAGGTAGAGGAACTGTCATATCATATCACTTCTAGTAATGAAAGACCCGTGAAGATCCGGGGTAGAATAGGTCTTCAGCAACCAATGCTTGCCACAAAAGGCGACTATGCTTGTCGTAAGAGGCGACTAACGGGATCGGGTGGTCAGGCTCGCTGACTTGGTTGACACATGTCATCGGTTCCCAATTGCGCAGATCGATGCTCATGCTGTTGATCACTGGATTGTCTGGTCCAGACTCGATTATTTACAGACCGCTGCCATATAGCTGGAATATTGCTGAGTGTGGCGTAAAACTAAACTCACTCACTCACTCTAGTAATGAAAACAACAAGAACAGCATAACTTTGGTTCACTTACCTTTTTTTAGATTGCTGATGACTTAGTCCAACCAGGAGCATCACAGAAGCTAAGCAGATGACCACCTTCATCGTAGCTAACGTACACGCTCAACTAAAACAGAACGGATCGTGTGGAAAGATATATATGTCTCCACGTCCATACGCATTTGGTATTATCTGCCGTCTACCGTCTACAAAATGATGTAAAACGTTCAACATGCAGATCGATCATCTCTGTATATAAAGATAAATATGGAAATTGGAAAGTATGCCCCAGCCGTCTCCTAAGTATCAAATGTTTAAGTAACTCACCCAACGGAACACATGTCCTGAATAACGATAAGTTTACACCAAGCTGTGTTTACATGTAATTGACTGTGTGCCTTTGAAAAGCATTTCTAAGCGCTCTTTGTAATTTGTTGAATATACCTTCCCACAAATATTGAACATGCCTAGGAAACTGAATAATTATATACTTGAGTTTGTAAATCGAAATCTTTTCTCAGAAGGTTCGCTACATTAAAGGCCTTAGTAAACCGTTGCGCATTAGTGAAAAACATGCCCGATGCATTGTCCACTCTGACCATGTTTTCCCATGTTTTGCGGAATGGACAATTGTTTTGCTTTTGCATTACAAGCTTACCTCTTCGCGAACACCTGGTGTCATCACTGAGAGCGACACAACCACATGCCTATGCTTGGTCAGAATCGCTTAAAGGACGGTGTACTTTTAGCACAGATTTCTCTAGATTTATAAATGAGAGAATTAAAGCGAGAATGGATTCCCCGTGGTTGTATTGAATTAGGGGCGGTGGGGTAGCCTTGTGGTTAAAGCGTTCGCTCGTCACGCCGAAGACCCAGGTTCGATTCCCCACATGGGTACAATGTGTGAAGCCCATTTATGGTGTCCCCGCCGTGATATTGCTGGAATATTGCTAAAAGCGGCGTAAAACTAAACTCACTCACTGACTGTATTGCATTAGAAAGTGAAACAACTGCCTCTTCGTCAAATGTCATCGTTACAATGTCAAGCAATAACCACGTCAAGCCAGCTGTTGAAACTGACGGAAATGACATTCATAACCGTGTCTGTAATTTCAGTTTCAATTATGTACTGAATGCTTGATCAATAAAAAAAGAATATGTCAAACAAAACCTAGATGTTACAGATACATCAACCTTTATACGTTGTTTGCAACTCGACATGTTGCCGCTAAGTCTGTAAACAGTCAACGCTTAGAGAGCCTGTGCAGCAGCTGAGACGGCGTCAATATTCATCACGTGATATCCTGTTCATGCAGTTACAATCAAAATGTGCTTGCATAGAGTATTGATATCTGAAATGGTTTGTCTGCACGAAGTTGGCCTTTTGAATCCTAATTGTTACGTCTTGATTCCTGAGCCGAAACTAATACAATAATTATCTGGAAATCAGCACCCAAACGAGCTTGGGGTGGCACTACCAAATAACAAATCAATGTGGTATAATTGACAAGTGCGTTCTAAAATGTAACATATGTTATATTTGGGATTACACTTTCTCAGTAAAGTACAGATTCTAGTACTTTTGGGGGTTGAGTCCCATCCGGGATTCGAACCGACACCCTCAGAGTCAGGCACCTAATCGCCAGCACACAAAGTCAGGCGCCTAGACCGCTCAGCCACCGCGGTTTCCACAAAAATGGAAGTGTGTGTGTGTGTGTGTGTGTGAGAGAGAGAGAGAGAGGAGGGGGGTGCGTGTTGGTATGTTCGAATCCCGGATGGGACTCAAACCCACCCCCACCCCGCCCCCACCACCACCACAACACAAGTACTTGATTCTGTACTTTACTGAGAAAGTGTAATCCCAAATATAACATATGTTACATTTGACCACTTTCTAAAATGTCATTGTGTATTTCTAAAATGAACTAAGTTAACAAGTTAAAACCACTACACAGGTATTACAGTGACATATCAAAATAAAGCGGCAATGATTGTAATATTATTCGTCATAGCAATGAAGCAATGTTGTTGATATTCATCTCCAGACAACAGTACTCCAAATTGTAAAATAGTCTTAGGCATGGTGTAATGATCATCCTAACCAATACTGGTCTTAGGATAACTGGGTAACTGACCACTTTAGATTCCATGTGAGATGAGAGGCAAGAGCTCCAAGAACAGAAGTTTCTTCAATACTCTCTGAGGTAGTATACTCTGAGACCAGCAAACTGTCGTGCATTCCAAATCTAGTACAAGTCTAAATACAGTACACCCTGCCAATTACTGAATCTGCATGTACATTGTAGTACACCTGGAACATCGTTAGATAATGACTACCACTGCAACATAACATTGTCCACACAAAATATACCATGTCATTCTTTGAAAAAATTTCTGCGTTTTTCAAGTTCAGATCTGAAAACACTTGAATCATTAACTATATATTCCATTTGAAATACATAAGGATAAAGTGAATCGGTCGTACAGTATAAGCTGTACGTTTAGTCTGTTCAACTGCAACCTTAAAGGCACAATGTCACACATTTTCGACAATATTTGGACCGATATTATGTATACACTAAACGCCAAAGGAAACGTTACCCTCCTTCCTTAATGACGGAGGTACCTATCTACAGCTGGCGGTGTGATGCGTGGACGTCCACTTCTTGGTCTGTCTGCGGTGACCTCAGTCTGTCTGCTGAAACCCTGAAGAAGTTTTATAACCGTGATACGGTGGCATCCGAGGGCGTTGGCAACAGCATTGTATGTCAGCCCCATCTGCACCACCCCAATGGCTCTGCTCTCTCTCTTCAGACAGACAGACAGACATATTTATTTGTATATGTGGCCCTGAGGCCAATAGTACATGTGTACAATAATAGCAGTGCATTTATGCGCAACCTGTAAATACGCGAGTTATAGGAACATCAATAAATCCATAAACACCCATTCACAATTTACATTTTTCTCTCAACATAAGTATGTGGTACAACACAAGGGCTAGCTTAAACAACAAGTCAATGTTTTCTGTGCGAAGTAGCATACAGAATTTATGTCTCGACGGTTGGTTATAGAAAAATAAGGCAAATATGTTTCTCTTATTTCTAAATATTTCGGGCATACAAGTAATACATGGTACTCATCTTCTTGTGATAAATTGCAGAATGGACATTGGATATCTATTGCATTTGAAGTTTTGGCAAATCGCGCCGCTTGGACTTTGAAGTTGTAAGCGTTACATCTAAATTTAGTAAGCGTACGCTTAAGTTGTGGTGATTTAATCTTTGAAAGGTAAATTTCTGTATTAATACAATATTTATATTCTGAATAAAAGTTGACACAGGTTGATGACGTTATTTCATTATACCAGTCCTGTTGATAAATGTCTTTGCATCTCTGCTTGAATAATTTGATGAAATATTGTGTATTACTTACATTTTGGGCGATCCATACATTTCCAAAGCCATGACTAAAAAGAATAGTTCTAACGAATGAAACCCAATTAATATCTCCGGTATCATCTAGTGTTTTAAGCATTTCATAACTACATCTTGAATATCGTGAAATTGGTTGTCTCATCAATCTTAGCCAATATGAAATAACCCGACATCGGGCGTTAATAAACAGTGGAAAACGTCCACATTCAGCTAAAATAACCTTGTTCGCAGTTCTGTAGCCAACACGCAACAAGAACTTACAGAACTTTGAATGTACCTTTTCAATATTCTTGTTTATGTTAATGCCCCATATTTCAGAGCCGTACAACAAAATTGGTTGAATTTTTCCATCAAACAGTTTAAATGATGCATGGATCGGTAATTCTTTATATTTGCATATGAATTTCTTTATGACATGTAGGGCTCGTTCAGCTTGCATAGATAATGTTTCACAGGCTCTGGAGAATATATTTCTACACGAAAATATTATACCTAAATATTTGTAATATGACACCACCTCCAATTTTTGGCCATTAAGGAACCATTTTTCACTTTTAGAGATTTTACCCCCATTTTTAAAAACCATTACTTTAGTTTTACTAATATTTATCTGAAGACCCCATTTCAAACAATATTCATTTAGAGTATCTATCTTGCATTGTAACTGGACAACAGAATCGGCAAGAATCACGACATCATCTGCAAATAGCATTATTGCAAGATCTCTGATATGTTCGTTAATAAATACACCTCTCGTATCATTTAATAACATTTCCTTAACAAGTTCTTCAACATATAACAGGAAAAGTACAGGTGATAGAATGCAACCTTGCCTCACTCCGGCATATGTATCAAATATATCACTCATTTGAAATTTACTGGTTCTAACAGATGCTCTCACATTGGTGTACATATTACGTAAAAGACGTTGGAGTTTGCCATGTATACCTGACTGTAGTAGTACATATAACAGTTTTGACCTATTATTAACGGAATCAAACGCTTTCTTAAAATCTACGAAAAGACAATAAAACTTCCCCCCTTTCTTCCGCAGATATTTATGGATAATACTGTTGAGAGTAAATATATGGTCCGTAGTTGAATACTCTTCTCGAAATCCCGCTTGGCACTCAGATAAAAGTTCACGAGTGGAAATCCAAGCCTTAATGCGATTATCTAATATAGTGGTAAATATTTTGTTTAGTGTATTCAATAATGCAATACCTCTATAATTGTTTGGATCACCCCTTTCACCCGACTTATGCAGAGGTACAATTAATCCTACATTCCAGGAATCTGGAAAAACGCCGCTGTCTAGAACTCGATTAAATAGACTATTCATAAAAGGAAGCAATAAAGAAATACATTCTTTAAAAACTTCAACTTGAATACCATCTACCCCGGGTGATTTTCCACATTTCAGACTTTTTACTGCACACAATATCTCGTTATCAGTTATACGATTACCAAGGTATTCATCAGAAGTAATACAATCCTCACAGTCATTAAAGTTGTGATTACTTATATAGCTAAGAACATGTTCCCCAAAGGAATTATCAATGTTGTTCGTATCTCCAGCGAGCAGATTTTTGAAATAGTTAAACCATTCGTCAACTGATATATTTTCAGATATATTTTCCCTACAAAAACAATATTTCTTTATAGATTTCCAGAAATGTCGACAGTCTTGTTTCTTTGCAGCATCAACAATTTCGTTTAAAATGCTTTTTTTCATAATCTGATTTCTTTCTATCACAAAGTGTTTTAAAATCCTTCTTTGCCCTTAGATAATGTTTACAATGCAGTGAGTTATTTGATTTTCTGAATCTATTTAGTAAAACATACTTATGTCTTTTAGCCTGTTCGCATTCACGGTCGAACCACCTGGGCTGTACACGTGTGTGCTGTGGGCGAGCGCGTGAGCGTGAGCGTGAGTGTGCACGTGTTCTCGTGGGTCGGTGTGTTTGTTCCCTGGGTGCATGCATGGCTCTACGGATAAAGTCATTCAGCGATGTAATAGCACCTTCAACACTGTCATGTAATACATCATGAAATATTATGCTGAATTCATTAATATTATCTGAAATGTATTGAATAAACTCACCCTTACGGCTAGCGTCCCACAGCTCTGTCTTAATGTTGTGTACCTCTGCACGCGCATGCTCGGAGTGATTGCTGTCACGTGTCATGTCATGTGATGTTTTCATATCTACTATTACAGGCAAGTGGTCCGATTCGGATTGCGCTAGAATATCAAAGTTCTCGAAATATCTATATAAACATGAGGAAACCAAACAATAATCCACAACACTGTTTCCTTGGTGTCCAATGAATGTAAATTCTCCATTTTTATCGTTCCCGTTTCTACCATTTAAAACATGTATGTTAAAATTGCGGCATATATCAAGGAGTTTTAATCCCTCTGAATTGACTATTTTATCTTTGGATGATCTAGGAATGTTAAATGGATCACTCTCATAGTCTATATCTTCAATTGGTAAATACTCAGTGGAGTCATGTTCTATATAACACTGTTTGTCGCCTATACGGGCATTAAAATCTCCAAATAAAACAAGCGATGCATCGGGATGTTCTCGGGTTAAAGTATATAGTCTACTCTCAAGGAGTCCGATTCCTGAAAGTCCTACATCAACGGAGTTCTGTGTATCAGTCACATATACGAACCCAAATATCGTGGGTTTATTGGCGAGGTCGTTCATAATGTCGCTTCTGAAAAATATACAGTCTGACCACTCGCCGTGTATACGGGTGAATCTTGATGCGATGGACTGTCTCACATACACAGCGATACCGCCACTGAATCGTCCGACAGAGTGGATGCGTTCTCGCACACACTGGTAGGAGATATATCCTGGAAACAGAGTAGCAAAATCTACTGGGTTCTTTGCCCACGTCTCCACGAAAGCGATGACATTAAATTGTTGACATAACCCTGTGAGGTTAGCCAATTGATTTAATTTAGAATTAAGGCCATTTACGTTCCAACATAGAAATGTATTATAATTACTTTTTTCACCGTTGTTATCGTTATCATTGTCATTAATTGTTGATATTGTCTTATTGAGTTTTCCATCTATAACGAAATGTGTACTTAGCTTGGTACCGGCTGCTGATGCCCGGCCTCGGTCACCTCGCTAACTAAGCTGTGAGTTGTCCAAAGAGTCTCGTCGTTTGCTATACTGGCCCGGCGACTCTCGTCGCGTGCCAGACCGGTCCCGTGCCCTAGAGGGAGTGGGTGAAGCACGGCTCGCTGGGGGGTTTATCTTTGTCTCAAAGTAGAATTTTATTTCAACCTTTCTTTTGGACATCTAAATCACTGTTATTGGTTTATTTCGGCATGGACTAAAATAGGACAATTTAACTCTTCTGAAAAAGATGCATTTCACCCAAATATAAATGCATTTGAGAATTGTTTTTCGTGATTCGCATAAAGCTGTGTTGTTAAGCTTTCTTCTAAACTAATACCACCTCACATATCTTTGATAGTTTTGAAGTAATTCATAAAGGTAGAAGGGTAACGTTTCTTTTGGCGCTTAGTGTATATCGGGGCATATGCACTCAGTTTTGCTTCTTGTTCATGCAATAAAAGACTTATTATCCCTTACGACTTGCCTAAACTCGATAATTGAAACTTCGAAGCGAACAGCTTCCAAATGGATAACACTTGTCTTGGAATGTACATCGAAAGTTGTCGGTGTGTGCCGAACTGGTTTCAATCCCATTCGTAACTACTCGTGTCATTCCGGCAAGCCGGATGTCCCCTCTCGTGGCCATGTTTACGACTGGGCCCTGTCCAAGCGCAAACGGGCATGGAGATGAAAATCGTCTAGTACTGGCCTCAGACCACAGTTACCCCCCTTAAAAGTATGACCCGGAAGGAAAATAGGAGAATATAGTGCCTTGTTTAAATGGGCTGTTCTGTGTGTGCTAATATTTTCAGGGTGACTTGTGAAAGCTTAAATGAAAGGTAAGACATTGTACTTTATTGCAAATTTTTTTTTTGGTCCACAATCTACACATGGTATTGACACCAGCTTTCCATGATTTGACCCCAAATTCAAGGCTGTCTAGTGTGTTTCGGCTCGTAACTTCCGGTGACCATTGTTTACAGTGGATACAGCAAAATTGACATGGTCGATCCAGGCCCATATTTTGCCGGTTAAGTGGCAGGTTGGTCAGCATGCAACAGGAGAACAGCCTACGACCCATATTAATTATGGTGGACTGCATGTCACTGTTGATAGCAAAGAAGGAAAATAATTGTGGTCTGAGGCCTACTATTATCAAGGAAAGATAACTCTGAATTTCCGAGCATGCCCCCTAGAATATCCTATATCCCGTGAGCAAAACAACAATTCAGCCATTCCCTTTGTAAATATGTTTCAGTGTTGAAATTTGCTGATCCTTTAGCTAGTGTATGTTTAAATTGTGCTTTGCATAGTTAAGCGAAATTTCAAAGTTCAACTGTGCCGCCATTTTCATGCTTCGAAATGCGTTTTACAGTATCGTTTTACGATAAGGATTCGAGTCTTCTGCTAGGTCACGGAAAGAGGCGAGCAGTTACGAATGAAGTAAAGTTGTGCGGAGGATATTCGTAAATAGCGCTCCAAGGGACATACCTCTATGGAATTCGCTTGAAATAATGTTCGGCCGTTAGAGGGCGCGAAAGTCGAGTTAATGCAACGTTGCATTAATTCATTCGAACTTTTTAATTTTTTTCTTGTGATCTAAATACGTATTTGAAAAATAAATAAATTATATGGTAGCTTTCCTGAAGGCTGATAGTATTATTGAGACAAATGCATTATGCATTTTAAGAGAAGTGTGGTGTGACATTGTGCCTTTCAAGTATGTATTGTCAAACACTTTGCTGTCATATGGAGTGCTGCCCTACGGATAGTTAGCGATAGAGTCACTCAATGTATAAATAGGTATTGTCAAACACCTTGCTGTCACACAGACTGCTGCCCTACGGATAGCCGGTGATAGAGTCACACTGATATATAAATGTGTATTGTAAAACACTTTGCTGCCACGCGGAGTGTTGCTCTACGGATAACCGACGATAGAGTATACTCTTATGTATAAATATGTATTGTCAAAGACTGCCACAGCTGCCTTAGCATTTCTATATAGCAAAGGCGTCCTGACAGGCTTGCATTAAGCCGGTCTTGGCTGATTACAGAAATAGTCAGATTACCTTTGTGTACAAGCAAGCGAAGAGGTGAGGTGAGGTGAGGTGAGGTGAGGTGAGGTGAAATTGGGTTTAATGTCGCGCTTGAGAATATTTCGCTCATATGACGACGTGCATGTGTGTGTATGTGTATGTGCGGCTGCTTGTACTAGCCCAGACTTAAGCTGGTTTTATAGTGCTAGCCCACTGAGATACCATGCCGCAGTGAAGCAGGAATACCCCACTCAGACACATTATATTGACTCCGAGCCGACCAGTCCTTGTTGTACCCATAAATGCCGAGCGCCAGGCAGGGACTAACAAGTACCATATTTTAACGTCTTTTGGTATGACGCGGCCGGGGATCGAACCCGCGACCTTCCGCTCTCCGGGCGGACGCTCTAACAAGCGAAGAGTCCGAAAAAGTATAATAGTATTAATACCCACCAAAACTAATCTTGATATGTCTGTTAATCTGGGTCATCCGTGATAACACATGTGCCGACCTAGCACGTACCATATCCGAGTACTTCCAAAAACAAACCATCACCAATGATTCTTGAACCTTTCCACCATGGAGCACGTCGGGGACTTGATCGGGGCTGTTTACGCCAATGTCAGAAAAGAACAGCATTTTATTCTCATAAATCATACGAAATGATAAAGAGAACATACTTATACTATGATACAATAAAATGAGCCATTATGGCTTATATTCATATAATTATGTTACAAATATATATTTCAAATAAGGATAATACGTTTCTAGATCTGTATCAAAGGAGGTGTTTTGTTTTGTGGGCTCTTCACTGCATGGCTTGTTGTTCCTTCAAGGAGAGACTACGCAAGTAAGTGTTGAAGATATGCCTTTTTACTTCCTGAGTGTCAGTTCAGTTCCTGTACATCACGAACATGCGCTCTGTATCACATGATATTACTACGCTACATTAGGATAATAAGTTTCATAAGAGAGTATATTTATCAAAATGGGGGTTATTACAAAAATAACTAGGGAGTTAAGTTTACTCTTTCTTACATTATCAAGGGGTTGTACATGATAAGATAGCATGAAATATAACATTACATATAATACGTACAGTGGAATCTGTCATATCCGGACTCTGTGCAGTCCGGTTTTCCCCATTATCCGGACTACTCTCTGAGTCCGGGCAAAATCGTTCTTAATTTATCATTAAAGCGTACTTTACAAAAACGCAAACAGAGTGTATCAGACACTTTGAAGCGAAGTGAACATTTTACACCGCTTTCAGCAATATTCCAGCAACATCACGGCTGGGGACACCAGGAATGGACTTCACACATTGTACCCAGGGGCGGATACAGGATTTTCGTTTGGGGGGGGGATGCACCCCAATCCTCGGAACCCTGGTCATAAAACATGTAGTACATTTGGAACACCCTTGGGTGGGGGGTTGGGGGTGCGCACCCCCCTCTGGATCCGCGCATGGTACCCATGTGGGGAATCAAACCTGGGCCTTGATGTGACGAGCGAATGCTTTAACCACTAGGCTACCCCACCGCCCCCCAGTAAAAAGAAGAAATATGTTCAGTTTGGTGCTGCTCAATAAATAGTATATACTCAACCCAAGAGAAACGATACACGAAGATGTCGTCAAACAGTTGAAAGCTTTGCCATTATGTGGCTGAAGTGTTGCCGGTGAATGTTACTTTCCACCTCACCGCACCGCACTTGGTTTTAGTCGAGTCGTGACTATGGAGTTATGTTCTTTGTAACAGATGTGTAGTAGTGTTATGACTCACGTTATGATGCCCTGAGTAGATCAAGGGTTAGCCTTGTGGTTATAGCGGTCGCACGTCACGGTTCGATCCCTCATATGTGTATTGTGTTTGAAGCTCATTTCCAGTGTATGGAATAAGGCCCGTCCGACTGCCCGGGACGGACTAGATTTCTGACGGACGGTCTAAATCTACAGCTAGCTATGCATTTAGCCAGCCCGATGGTCTGGTAAAAATAATAGATAGCATGTTCTTCACATCTGAGTAAATTCGACATATCTTAAAATCTATTTTTCAAATTGAGCGTTGCATTTAGACTTGTCAATTACTGTTTGAAAATTGAACTATCGTATCGCAAGCTCAAAGCACTACGTTGGCATTAAACTATTCAACTAAAGATGTAATTATTTCTTTTAGACTGTCTGGTCTGCTTAACTCCATTTTGGGCTGGTAACATTTGGATTTCTGGCTGGGTTTTTGGCTTATTTCATACAGTGCAATTTCTGATGTCCCCCGGCGTGATATTGCAGCAATATTGCTACAAACGTCATAATAACATACTACTTTACTCACCCAATAGCTGATGTAATGGTGCCAAGACTAGCACAGGCATAGCTCTTGATATAAAACATTTCTGTAACATACAGTTTTCTAGACGTGCCCTCTTTACTTAACTAAGATGCCAGGTTTGTCGAGGTTTTTTTTTCATTTTAAAAGAAATCGATATCATTTTCATTTTCTTAAACTATTACTATTCGTGAGTAGAAAACTATCACTATCCGTAAGTAGAGATTTTAATAATCTCCAAGTGAGTGAGTAGGTGTGTATAGTTTTACGCCACATTTAGCAATATTCCAGCAATATCAGGCGGGGGACACCAGAAATGGGCTTCACTCATTGTACCCATGTGGGGAATCGAACCCGGGTCATGTAATGAGCGAGCGATTTAACCTCTTGGCTACCCCACCGCCCCTAACATATGCTGAGACACACCTACATTTTTCCAAGTTATAAAAGAAAACTTCCGGGATCTAGTCAAATGGGCCGAGGGACAAAAGGGCAGAGAAGTACCAAGTCAAATGGGCCGTGAAAAAATGTCAAAAGGGCCTTATTCTTAGTCATATGGGCCAAACCAAAAACAAGTTTACAAAAGTTTTTACATTATTTATCGACATATATAGCATTAAAACATAATATCATAACAATGATAAAATGGTAATTGCCAAGCATGTCTTTGCATTTTATGGCAGTACATATACTTCATAATTTAAAGTTCTTAAGCACTGAGTCAAGACACGTAACAATGAAAACATTTGAGTCACGTGTTCAAATTCCATTTAGAATAACAACAGCAGCAAACTGAACACTATTTACACTATTCTATTATGTAATTTATTAGAATTTAATTTTCGGCCCTTTTTTCGGCCTTTTTTTACTTTTGATTTTGGCCCATTTGACTTTTTCCATCGGCCCATTTGACTGTTTTTTGGCCCTTTTGTCCTTCGGCCCATTTGACTACAACCCGTTCTTCCTATCCATACACAATATTCCTCGCTTTCTCATAGTGATCTTCTCTTATGGAAGAATAGGAAGTCTTTAAAAAGATGACTTAGACCATATATGGGAGAGTACAGATTTAGCGTTATGGACCGAACGGGCTTTCATACACCTCGCTTTGACCTTTGTACATAGTTATAAATAGTAACAGAGACGACGCTCCGTGGCTGTCCCGTTTTTAATTCGCTCTGAACATAAGTGGACAGATTGCACCCAGACAGATTGACGTGAAATGTGAAATGTGGTGTCATCGGTTGTCAACAGTTCTAAGATATACAAGTACTGTGCACAGGTTTGAGTTAATGTCATGTAAATATACTGTGGCTAGGAATGTACTGTGTACTTGTCATTGTACCATGTAACGCCATGTTTACGTTTGAATATCGTGGGTATATGGGTGGTCACTTCAGGTGATATCAAACTGGGATTATGAACGCCAGTGCAAATTAATATGGGATGTTAGGAGATGCTTAGGAAGAATCGGGACTTGTACAACGGAGATATTTGTATATTAAGGGATCGATCATTTAATATAACACCAAAACCACCACCACCACCAGTGCACAACCTGAAACGTTGTAATTAATGACCGGTCCCTAAGTCCATAACTACATATACGCTTCCGCAGCTAACATATGAGGTTCATTCTTCACTATGTGAATATTTAGATAATTTGCGTCTTTGTGTCGCTGTGCCATTAGGAAAATACATGCTGAGTTTTATATGGCACACTGTTTGTGAAATATGTATGATAAGCGCTGGTATTTGGCTTGCAATCAAAGGAGCAAAATTCTGGTGAGAAAAGGTTATATTTAGGAGATAAACCTACTGTGTGGGAAAATCAGAGGTATATAACGCAATTATAATAGCTTTAAATGAACAATTTAAAGCTATTATCATTTCGTTATATACCTCTGATTTTCCCACACAGTAGGTTTATCTCCTAATTCTACCATGACGTCAGTAAACACTGGATTGTGATTGGTTAATTAAAGTCATTCAGAGGTATATAATCACGTTATACAGGTCTCTGATTTTCCGTGCGCAATTATACATGGTTTGCGGTAATGCACTATTTTTGTCTGCCCACCAACATGGCGGACACCAAACACCCTACCTATGCATCGATAAATTACGTCGATTTTGCTGTCGGAAATTACACATATGTCTTTAAAGATGGATTTAGCGATGACGGGCTCGACTCACTACTTGCGTAAATCACAGCAATAGGTGTTTATACATACAAAAGTACTTCGAAAGCATGGAAACAAATATTTAGTCGAGCAAGATCAAAACATCGTCTGCTTTCCGAATAAAAAATCAGCAACAAAAATATATTTACGTTGATTCTATTTTATGTCAAAATACATTAAGCAATAGACTGCTACATAATTTCCGTATTAAATTTATTATCAGTTTTCGTCAACGATATCGCCACTGATCTTGATCCGGAAACGGAGGATGCATTAACATCGAACGCCAAAGAAATTTTAATACGTTCCGTCCACATAAATAAACAGCTGGGTTATCAATTCAAACAAAATGATATATTTTTGAGAAATTAGTACGGTTTCAAATTTAGCGGTAGTAAAACAACATTACAGAATCTGCAAACAGTTCTGTTTAGTCCAACATATTTTTTTCTAAAACTGTCAGAGGCTCTCCTGTCGCATCTTTCCAAATTTGCACGTAAATGTAAACAATGACTTCCGAGAAAAGGTCAAGGCCATGAGGTTGCTGCCATTATTCTAGTGGGGAAAGGGTCTACGGTGGAATTTTCAAATGTGAACCAAGCTTTTAAAACTTATTTGATATATGTTTTCTAACTTATCAGTTAGTGATTGGTGATTTATGCATTGAAAAAACAAAACGTTATTTGTTTTTACTGAATCTGGAGTTTGTTAGTTATTGACGGTTTGCCACCAATCACCCCGTTTCAGGCGATGCCACTTGATATTGGAATGCGAGGCCGCTTCACGTATTAACTCGTCACCAAAGAAAGAGTTCCAACTAAAATTGTTCATAAAATTGTCATGGTAGAATGGAGATAAACCTACTGTGTTGGAAAATCAGAGGTATTGATTCTATAGTGCATTACCGTAAACCATGTATAATTGCGCACGGAAAATCAGAGACCTGTATAACGTGATTATATACCTCTGAATGACTTTAATTAACCAATCACAATCCAGTGTTTACTGACGTCATGGTAGAATAAGTACTTGATGAGATTTTGACCAGATAGTACTGCAGATCCAAATATAGTGCCAGCGTTTACTGATTGGATGTAATGAATAACTACACATGCAACTTTACAGCCTTGCAACTTACATCATAATTGTTTATTCACCTGTGCCCATCAGTATTCTTAAATGATATGCATCTATTAACTTAGTTGAGATCGAGACACGTATCTGGTTTCACTGGTAACGTGTCCTGGTTCCGCTGGTAACATGTCTTTTTTCACTGATAACACACCAGGTTTCACTGGTAACACACCTGGTTTCACTGGTAACGTGTCTTGTTTTAATGGTAACACCTGGTTTCACTGGTAACGTGTTTGGTTTCACTAGTAACATGTCTTGTTTCAATGGTAACAAATCTGGTTTCACTCGTAACGTATCTTGTGTCACTGGTAACGTGTCTGGTTTCACTGGTAGCGTATCTTGTTTCACTGGAAACGTGTCTGGTTTCACTAGTAACGTATCTGGTTTCACTAGTACGTGTCTGGTTTCACTGGTAAAGTACCTGGTTTCACTGGAAACGTGTCTGGTTTCAGTGGTAACATCTGTTTCACTAGTAACGTATCTCGTTTCACTAGTAACGTGTCTGGTCTCACTGGTAAAGTACCTGGTTTCACTGGTAACGTGTCTTATTTCACTAGTAAGGTATCTGGTTTCACAGGTAGCATCTGGTTTCGCTGGTAACATGTCTGGTTTCACTGGTAACGTGTTCGGTTTCACTAGTAACTTCTGGTTTCACTGGTAACATGTCTTATTTCACTGGTAAGGTATCTGGTTTCACAGGTAGCATCTGGTTTCTCTGGTAACATGTCTGGTTTCACTGATATGGTATCTTGTTTCACTGGTAACGTTCCTGGTTTCTCTGGTAACATGTCTGGTTTCACTGGTAAGGTATCTGGTTTCATGAGTATATATAGTTTCACTGGTAATGTGGCTGGTTTCACTAGTAACGTGGCTGTTTTCACTGGTGTCGTGTCTGGTATCACTAATAGCTTATCTTGCTTCATTGGTAACGTACGTGTCTTGTATCACTGGTGGCGTATCTTGTTTCACTGGTAACGTGTCTGGTTTCACTGGTAGCCTATCTTGTTTCACTGGTAACGTTTCTTCTTTCACTGGTAGCTTATCTTGCTTCACTGGTAGCGTGCCTGGTTTCACTGATAGCTTATCTTGCTTCACTGGTAACGTGTCTTGTTTCAGTGGTAACGTGTCTGGTTTCACTGATAGCTTATCTTGCTTCACTGGTAACGTGTCTGGTTTCACTGATAGCTTATCTTGTTTCACTGGTACCGTGCCTGGTTTCACTGATAGCTTATCTTGCTTCACTGGTAACGTGTCTTGTTTCAGTGGTAACGTGTCTGGTTTCACTGATAGCTTATCTTGTTTCACTGGTAACGTGTCTGGTTTCACTGGTAGCTTATCTTGTTTCACTGGTAACGTGTCTGGTTTCACTGGTAGCTTATCTTGCTTCACTGGTAACGTGTCTGGTTTCACTGATAGCTTATCTTGCTTCACTGGTAACGTGTCTGGTTTTACTGATAGCTTATCTTGCTTCACTGGTAGCGTGTCTGGTTTCACTGATAGCTTATCTTGCTTCACTGGTAACGTGTCTTGTTTCAGTAGTAACGTGTCTGGTTTCACTGATAGCTGATCTTTCTTCACTGGCAACGTGTCTGGTTTCACTGGTAGCTTATCTTGCTTCACTGGTAACGTGTCTGGTTTCAGTAGTAACGTGTCTGGTTTCACTGGAAACGTGTCTGGTTTCACTGGTAGCCTATCTTGCTTCACTGGCAACGTGTCTGGTTTCACTGGTAGCCTATCTTGTTTCACTTGTAACGTGTCTGGTTTCACTGGTAGCCTATCTTGTTTCACTTGTAACGTGTCTGGTTTCACTGGTAGCCTATCTTGTTTCACTGGAAACGTGTCTGGTTTCACTGGTAGCCTATCTTGCTTCACTGGCAACGTGTCTGGTTTCACTGGTAGCCTATCTTGTTTCACTGGTAACGTGTCTGGTTTCACTGGTAGCCTATCTGGCTTCACTGGTAACGTTCCTGGTTTCACAGGTAGCGTATCTTGCTTCACTGGTAACGTGTCTGGTTTCACTGGTAGCTTATCTTGTTTCACTGGTAACGTTTCTTCTTTCACTGGTAGCTTATTTTGTTTCACTGGTAACGTGTCTTGTTTCACTGGTAAAATGTCTGGTTTCACTGATAGCTTATCTTGCTTCACTGGTAGCGTGCCTGGTTTCACTGATAGCTTATCTTGCTTCACTGGTAACGTGTCTTGTTTCAGTGGTAACGTGTCTGGTTTCACTGATAGCTTATCTTGCTTCACTGGTAGCGTGTCTGGTTTCACTGATAGCTTATCTTGCTTCACTGGTAACGTGTCTTGTTTCAGTGGTAACGTGTCTGGTTTCACTGATAGCTTATCTTGCTTCACTGGTAACGTGTCTGGTTTCACTGATAGCTTATCTTGTTTCACTGGTAACGTGTCTGGTTTCACTGGTAGCTTATCTTGTTTCACTGGTAACGTGTCTGCTTTCACTGATAGCTTATCTTGCTTCACTGGTAGCGTGTCTGGTTTCACTGATAGCTTATCTTGCTTCACTGGTAACGTGTCTTGTTTCAGTGGTAACGTGTCTGGTTTCACTGATAGCTTATCTTGCTTCACTGGTAACGTGTCTGGTTTCACTGGTAGCTTTTCTTGCTTCACTGGCAACGTGTCTCGTTTCACTGATAGCTTATCTTGCTTCACTGGCAACGTGTCTCGTTTCAGTAGTAACGTGTCTGGTTTCACTGGTAGCTTATCTTGCTTCACTGGTAACGTGTCTGGTTTCAGTAGTAACGTGTCTGGTTTCACTGGAAACGTGTCTTGCTTCAGTAGTAACTGGTAAGGTGTCTGGTTTCACTGGTAGCCTATCTTGCTTCACTGGCAACGTGTCTGGTTTCACTGGTAGCCTATCTTGTTTCACTTGTAACGTGTCTGGTTTCACTGGTAGCCTATCTTGTTTCACTTGTAACGTGTCTGGTTTCACTTGTAGCCTATCTTGTTTCACAGGAAACGTGTCTGGTTTCACTGGTAGCCTATCTTGCTTCACTGGCAACGTGTCTGGTTTCACTGGTAGCCTATCTTGTTTCACTGGTAACGTGTCTGGTTTCACTGGTAGCCTATCTGGCTTCACTGGTAACGTTCCTGGTTTCACAGGTAGCGTATCTTGCTTCACTGGTAACGTGTCTGGTTTCACTGGTAGCCTATCTTGTTTCACTGGTAACGTGTCTGGTTTCAGTGGTAACGTGTCTGGTTTCACTGGTAACATGTCTTGTTTCAGTGGTAACGTGTCTGGTTTCACTGGTAGCGTATCTTATTTCACTGGTAACGTATCTTGTTTCACTAGTAACGTGTCTGGTTTCACTGGTAGCTTATCTTGTTTCACTGGTAACGTGTCTGATTTCACTGGTAACATGTCTTGTTTCAGTGGTAACGTGTCTGGTTTCACTGGTAACATGTCTTGTTTCACTGGTAACGTGTCTGGTTTCACTGGTAGCGTATCTTGTTTCACTGGTAACGTGTCTGGTTTCACTGGTAGCGTATCTTGTTTCACTGGTAACGTGTCTGGTTTCACTGGTAGCCTATCTTGTTTCACTGGTAACGTGTCTGGTTTCACTGGTAGCCTATCTTGTTTCACTGGTAACGTGTCTGGTTTCACAGGTAGCGTATCTTGCTTCACTGGTAACGTGTCTCGTTTCACTGGTAGCCTATCTTGTTTCACTGGTAACGTGTCTGGTTTCAGTGGTAACGTGTCTGGTTTCACTGGTAACATGTCTTGTTTCAGTGGTAACGTGTCTGGTTTCACTGGTAGCGTATCTTGTTTCACTGGTAACGTATCTTGTTTCACTAGTAACGTGTCTGGTTTCACTGGTAACTTATCTTGTTTCACTGGTAACGTGTCTGATTTCACTGGTAACATGTCTTGTTTCAGTGGTAACGTGTCTGGTTTCACTGGTAACATGTCTTGTTTCACTGGTAACGTGTCTGGTTTCACTGGTAGCGTATCTTGTTTCACTGGTAACGTGTCTGGTTTCACTGGTAGCGTATCTTGTTTCACTGGTAACGTGTCTGGTTTCACTGGTAGCCTATCTTGTTTCACTGGTAACGTGTCTGGCTTCAGTAGTAACGTGTCTGGTTTCATTGCTGGGTATTTGGTTAAAGTGAGTGATTTAAGATCTAAGGACACATCGGCCATAAGTTACAGATTCGTAATAGCTAAAGGTAAATTCTAAAACAAATTGTCAACGAAGGACAGTTATTAGTGAGTGAGTTTTGTCACATCTGCAAGTTTTCAGCCATACCGTTCAGCAAACCAGTTATAAATTGATGATAAATAAAGTTATATTTTAAAAACCTGTCGACGAAGGACAGTAAACACAAATAGAATATCACAGAAAAGAATTTAAAACTAGCATCTATCTCTAAAATTTGATTTCTATTTTGAACAATAAAAAACTGGATATAGATCGCCATAGATCGCTTGGTTAAAGATAATTACAAACTGATTTTGATATTTTAAAAGATTTTATTTGGTTTTACATAATTACGTTCTGTTATAAAAATCATTTGTGTTCCAGTTGCCATGTTAGATATGTAAGGAGTGGTAGTTACACCAGAATCGTTACCATAAATGTCCTCCAAAATGAATCCCAATATGTGAATAACATTTGAACTTTTCCGCTTATGGTTCCATGTTTACTGTTATGCCTGAGTAGTTAAAAAGATTGGAAAAGACCACCAGATACATTAGCTTAATATTGGTCACTTTTGTTTCCAAAATTTTATACATTTTGCGCAGACTTTTGGTTTCATTATTGACATGATATTACTAAGGGGTAGCCTAGTGGTTAAAGCGTTCGCTCGTCACGCCGAAGACCCCGGCTCGATTCCCCGCATGGGTGCAATGTGTGAAGCCCATTTCTGGTGTCCCCCACCGTGATGTTGCTGGAATATTGCTAAAAGCGGGGTAAAACTGAACTCACTCACTCACTCTTTTCAGTTATACGACTGAAAGGAAAGATGGCAGATAATTCAAACAGTGAATATTCAAGTGCTACCCGGCGTCTTCATGTCATCGGCAGAGCTCTGTCACGAAACAACTTCTCCCCTACCCTGCTAGTAGAACCGTCCGATGCTTTGATAGATGAGCCTTTGTCTGTCAGAGTATCGGGCCTACAGCTGCATCAGAAGATCACACTGTCTGCAGTTTTGAGGGGTGAAGGGAAGGAGTTTGCGTCCTGCGCACACTACACGGCTGATGATGCTGGTTGCGTGGATACTGCTGTCCAGCCAAGTGAAGGAGGGTCATTTAATGGTGGGTTTTACAGTGTATACATCAAATACCTTTGTGTCGAACCCGTTATGTCAACATTTCGGTTGTCTCGAAATACAATTTTGGTTCATGCGTAAACTTTCTTTGTCATCATTGGTCGGTTAAGTCGACCTTGAAGTATTTATGTTGGCCCTTTAACCTCGACACAACGGTGTTTTACTGTGTTTAACTGCTTCTGTCAGTCGTATTGGTTTGGTTGTTTAACGCCGCACTCAGCAATATTCCAGCTGTATGGACGCGGTCTGTACCAGACAATCAACATCATAATCATCATTCTTTGCGAGTGGGATACGATGACACGTGTCAACCAAGCCAGTGAGCCTGACCCCCGATCCCGTTTGTCGCCTCTTACGAGTCTTGTCAGTTGTAAATATGAGTGTGTGAGTGAGTTTAGTTTTACGCCGCACTCAGAAATATTCCAGCTATATGGCGGCGGTCTGTAAATAGTCGTGTCTGGAATAGACAATCCAGTGATCAACATCATAATCATCGATCTACGCAATTGGGATCCGATGACACGTGTGAACCAAGCCGGTGAGCCTGATCACCCGACCCCGTTAGTCGCCTCTTAGGACAAGCATGGGTTGTTGAAGATCAGTCTTGTCAGTTGTAAATATGAACTTTTCCTCAAACGTATTTTGCATTAAGATGGATGTGAAATGTTGTCATTTAACTGTTCAGACCTTTTACTCTCTCCATCATTATCTAAAATATCATAAATGATCGCTAACGTTAGGTCAACTATCTAATCGCAAAACAGTGCGCTTTGGAGAGTATTCGGAGTATTCGGTGCAGCAAATCAGATATTGAAAGCATGTGTAAACGGGAAGTTCCGAATGAACGCGTTTTACTCGTTGTATCCAGCAGTGTTTCATCTCTGCTACACCAAACGTCATAGACCACCGGTTTGCCATGGAAACCAATATTTCAGAATGTTGGCCAAAAAACTCCACGCAACTCCCGTTGGAGGCTTTTGTAAAATAATGACGACCTCAGACCAACTCAGCAATAAGATGATACTCACCACCAAAAGAGGGGCGGTGGGTACGTGTGGTAGCCTAGCCGTTAACGCGTCTGCTCGTCACGCTTAAGACCCAGGTTCGATTCCCCATACGGGTACAATGTCACTCACTCACTCACTTTGAAAGAACGTAGCTTCGAAATTTTTTCCGAAAATGATTTTTCCCAGTTTTTCAGACAGTAATAAATGTGTGAATATTCAAGTCTATATGTTGTGAATGTTACTATTTCAGGAATTGAGCCGGAGGGTCTACTATGGGCAATGACAGCTCAGAACACGAGCTCGAAACGACTGCTTATCAAAGACGTCACCAGACCCTATGACGTCACCATATCGGTCCACTCAGATCACATGGACTTGAAATCCACCCAATCACCGTGCAACACGTCATCAGTGCTCGATACAACGCACGTGAGAAGAGGGTATATGCGTGATGGGGTGCAGAGGATTCCCGTACGCAAGGGGCGCTTACGTGGAACCTTATTTATGCCTTTAGGTATGCTCAATCTCATGTTATAATAACATGAGTGAGTGAGTTTAGGTTTACGCCGCTCTCAGCAAAAATCCAGCTATCTGACGGCGGTCTGTAAATATTCGAGTCTGGACCAGACAATCCAGTGATCAACAGCATGAGCATCAAACTATAAGCACCAAACGCATTTGGGATACGATGACATGTGTCAACCAAGTCAACGAGCCTGACAACCCGATTCCGTTAGTCGCCTCTTACGACAAGCAAGGTTACTGAAGATCAATTCTAACCCGGATCTTCACAGGTCTTATAACGTATATACAGTTTGATTCGTTGTTTTTGTTCAGGTGACTTAAGATGAACTGACTTGCTTGTGCATGTTTGTGAAGGGAGCCACCGGTTGGGTAGCACAAATTCACGTTTTCCCCGTACGTCATGTGTCATCACTACGTGATAATGAGTAATAAGGGGCGGTGGGTGTAGCCTAGTGGTTAAAGCGTTCGCTTGTCACGCCGAAGGCCCGGGTTCGATTCCCCACGTGGATACGTTGTGTGAATCCAATTTCTGGTGTCCCCGCCGTGATATTGCTGGAATATTGCTAAAAGCGGTGTAAAACTCATCTCACTCACTAATGAGTAATAAATACGAGTATATGACCGCAGTATGTTCTGACCTTTGGACCAGACAAAATGGTAAAACTGGTGATATTATTGGTATTTATTTCCAAGGGTGTGATCATAGTAATAAAAGCCTTGGTTCGGGAGCTACCACAGCATTTCTCACCCCATTTTATAAAGGTGAGAGTCCAAAGAATACTCTTCGAAAATATCAAAATGAATAACAGGGCAGACGTTTGTGTTCAGGCTCTTGGCTTTTAAATAACAGATATCAAACCTTAATACGCAAGGGCTCACAAACACTCACAAACCTTTAAGCACACTCACAATATAGTCTGCCGCACAGTCCCTGACCCCAATATTTCCCATCCACCCGACCCTTTCTGCGATGCTGAAACCCAAATTAAAGTAATTCCAGAGGTTCTGAATCACCCTTCCCGCTCGGACTCCTTTTCAATTTAAAAGGGATTGTTTGCTTCTATCAAAATGGTATGTATTCAGAGACTAAGCTTTAGTCTAACATTCATATAATCTCTTTCCCTCTCTCACACACACGCCCACGCACTCACTGAAAATCGGGGGCCGTGGGGTAGCCTAGTGGTTAAAGCGTTCGCTCCTCACGCCGAAGACCCGGGTTCTATTCCCCACATGGATACAATGTGTGAAGCCCATTTGTGGTGTCCCCCGCCGTGATATTGCTGGAATATTGCTAAAAGCGGCGTAAGACCATACTCACTCACTCACTGAAAATCGAAAGGTTATTACCTTTAATTTGAAACGAATAAAAATTGACGTTGTAGGTGAAGGGCCGTACCCCGCCGTCCTGGATATGTTTGGTGGTACCGGAGGGTTGTTCGAGTTCCGGGCGGCCCTTCTCGCCTCCAGGGGATTCCTTACGTTTGCTTTGGCGTATCTCTTACATGATGGTCTACCCCGTGCATTCGAGGAACTTGACTTCGACTATTTCCTGGTACGTATAAAGCATTTAAGACGCATGGATTTTGTAGAAAGTACTCCCAAACGAGTTCTTAAAGAAACATATGTTCAATGTTTATGCATACATTTTCGTTCATATTGATTATTGTCTGGGTGATTGCACTACTGTTTAAAACAGAATAATACGTACTAAAGTACTGTCGGAAATGCTAGAAAAATGCTTTTGGACTTATATTTAAAATTCAGAGGTATTACAGTTACTTAAATAACAAAAATCACTTCAAGAAACATCTACCTAATGTAGACCGAGGAATAAATTTTGAGACATGCTCTAAAGTGTGTTTTTACTGATGAAAATACAAAAAACTTAGAAAAATAAGGGGTAGTCGGACGTTATTTGATACAAACATTAATTGCCTGTGTTACGTCATCAGCATCCACGGTATCGACAGGTGAAATTGACACCTGAGCACACGCTCGGCGAGGGGTCATCTCAATAGATGTTTTCTGCAAAATGTTGAATATGTGTACGTATAGTATACGTATTGGTTATGTAAGGGATCATTTGGGTATGTGTGTTTGTTTTGAAATAAACATACGAATTACTGTACATTGGAAAGAATCCTATCACATGTGTTATCTTATCGATTGATTGTAGAAATGTGCAACGTTTTATAAATGTTTTGCATGTCAACAGTATATTTCATTGAAAAAATATGGATGTAATTCGGTCAGTTTAATCTAGTTGTGAACATTGGCCAAAGATTTAACGAAGTCACTGGTGTAGCTTCTTTAGAATATATATATTCTTCTTGTCATAAAGTTTGTAGACCGCCCGTCTAAGCACTCCCTTGTCAAAGTTGTCAAGGATGGTTTTACGTCCCGGTTTTGCTTTTGAGACGGTCCCTGTCTTGTCTGATTTGTTTACAATATTGTAAACTTGTTGGTAAGACATACCAGCAGCTTTACAAGTTCTGTAATAAACCCTTTCTAAACAAATGAAAGGTTTACCTCTGTCTTTTTCAAGTAGTAAACACTTATAAACCGTTGCAACAATTGACTGCAAATCGTTGGCCATGGTGGACGCTGTGATAAAGATGTGCATGCATGACGGGAAACTTATTTATCAAGACTTAACATTTATATTAATATTTCTTCAATAAAGAAACGATAATTGAGTAAAGTAACACAAACGTTCAACATTTATTTGTTTAGGAAATACGTTAATTCATATTTTTACACCACCTGTATTATTATTAGCAAAAATGTAAAGACTATTTCAGATTTCTGTTGTTGAACACTGAAAAAATCTGAAGTTGCTGGTTTGGTACCAAATTCTCTCCTGTAAACTGCCCTTTAAATGCATGGGAATGTTAAATCGATTGAAATAAAAATTAGGTACACTATAGGCGAGTTGATATATTGACAACATAGTACATTTATCACCTTTATAAAGATATTAAGGCTGAAAAGCATTTTCCTAGCATTTCCGACAGTACTTTAAGCCTTGCGTACGTGATTTATCTGATGTTCTTGGGGCGGTGGGGTAGCCTATTGGTTAAAGCGTCTGCTCGTCACGCCGAAGACACGTGTTCGATTCCCCACATGGGTACAATGTGTGAAGCCCACTTCTGGTGTCCCCAGCCGTGATATTGCAGGAATATTGCTAAAAGCAGCGTAAAACCATACTCAGTCACTCACATTGATGTTCTTGACTTATCTTAAAGTCTTTGGGTATTAGTCCCAAATACTTATTCATTTTGCAATTACTAATTACTGTGTATCATTATTGACGAGCCTCACAATCTACCTACCCGTGAGGATCCGGGTTAGAATTGATCTTCAGTAACCCATGCTTGTCGTAACAGGCGACTAACGGAATCGGGTGGTCAGCCTCTCTGACTATGATGACACATGTCATCGTATCCCAATTGCGTAGGTCGATGCTGATGATGTTGATCACCGGATTGCCTGGTCGAGAATCGATTATTTACAGACAGCCGCCACACAGCTGGAATATTGCTGAGTGCGGCGTAAAACTAAACTCACTCAGTCACTATCTACCTGAATTGTACGTATGTCTCGTACCCATAGACGTTGGTGCAACTTGATCGTCTTCCCAACATGTTCTGTAGGAAGCCGCCGAAATGCTGTATGAGCACCCTCGTGCACAGCCTGGAGGAATTGGGGTAATTGGCTCATCTTTTGGAGCTGGACTTACGAATATGCTGGCGTCCTTCTGTGACAAGGTAGAAACTTGTATAATTTATATAGATCGGAAATATGTCGATTAGCAAACGGTGAGTCGATAACACCATTTGAAGAGTTTTTAGATCCCTGACTTTTTATGCTTTGTAAGTGAACGGCTTGTGCTGCCGGTAAGTCAAACCACGATTACTCTTTCCACGAACACCTGGTCTCATCACTGAATTTTAGCGATCCATTCATCATTGCTTTTTTACGCTCAATAGAATCCTGATAATCAAGAATGGGTATACTATGGTGTTGACCAGCTAGATCACCATATACTAACATGATTGGTCGTCACATGTCAGTGAATGACTTGGTACTTCAATAAACTGGGATCTAATGAAGGAAACTGCTGACATTTAGATAAAGGTATTTCCGGTGCTGGAATATAAGGTAAACTTTTGGTATGCATCAATTATTAAATCCCACATTTGTGAAAAGTTTTGGTTCTTGTCAAAATATGGTAACGCGTCTTGGATTATCTGTCAGCAAATGACCAAACTGACAAATCCTTTTGACCATCTACGGGTTCGCCTTGACTATGATGTGTGGTGCAATGTCTTGAAGATGGGGTTTAACTAACACCACTTTAGTTCCTTACTAGTCTATGTCAGACAGGGATATATTTAAACCGGCGAGTCAGTGCAAATGCAGCTATCTTGTAGTGTTTCCCGGGACTTACGATGAGAGCATATCATCGTCCTCCTGTAAACAGAAACGGTGGGTAGCCAAATGATTAAAGCGTCCGCTCCTCATGCTGAAGACCCGGGTTTTGTGGACTTTGTGTGTCCAAATCGTGTAATCACGTACGAATCAATAGCAGCAAACTACATGTATCATCTAGTTCCGGTCGCTGATTTGGTCTTCTCGCGTGCTCCGTATCAGCTTTCTCATTCAGACCAATAGTGGGACTATCCCCAACTGAAGGCCTTATGGAATGCTGTAGAAAGGCGTGTGCTCATACGTCCAGAATAATCCTTGTATACCTATGAGATAGCTACGTCTCGATCCACAAAGCGTTCGTAACGTTACGACCTGTCGTAACTCTATAGTTTACCATGCGCTTACGAATGTCGTTGTGCTTTGCGGATCGGGACCCTGAACGCAGAAGGGGGTTTCAGTCATTCTTCGCAGATTCTGCTGAGTTTGCAGAAACCACCTCAAGACGTAAAATAATCATCTTTCCAAAACCTCCCACGTTTATTTGTAGATTTGTGACTGCCTTGAATGTGAAGCTATGTATCTTTGAGGCTGTTGCGTTTTCGTAGTGAGTGAGTTAAATTCTATGTTCACGTCGGAAATTTTTCGGACGGATATTGTGACGGAAACAACTTAGTAAGATTAAAATGCGATTATTCATACAGCACGCATTAATTATGTGGATTTTACCATGGTAAGACAGAGTCTTAGTCTATGAGGTGACAGAACGCTGTCGTATGTAGTAAATACGACTATCCACGGTGGAACCTGGCAAAACGATATAGACGATAACGAGACTATCTCGAGAGGGGTTATTGAGAGATACATAATGGTTTCCATTGTATGGCAGTTTATGTTGCGGTGTGTTTCCAGGTCACAGCAGCGGTAGCCATCAATGGAGTTCCGGTGTCCCCATTACGAGACCAAGACATCAACGGACAAACAGTTATTGGATACATGTACGTGTTTGCCATAAATATACCAGTTGTAAATATCCCTTATGGATCTCCTCATAAGAACTCCTGAAATGACAAAAGATCATTCACCGCTCAACGGCTCTTCAGGTGTAATCTTCATAATATATCTTTTAAAAGACGTATTACTGTACACTGCTGAACTTGAACCCTACACACACACAAATACACACACACAGGCTTAGTCTGTACTATGTGCAAAGGCTTAGTCTATAATTACGTTATGATATTGGATCTGTTTCAGACCATCAGTGGAAGCTGCTTATGATGAACAGAGTGTACTCTACAAGGATTATGATGTACTTCCAGTAAGTTTTTACATACTCACTCTGGTACAAACGTAAACCACCAAGAATACAGCCTGTTTAAGGGTATGTGACATGACACGGGCAGTATCTTTTATTATCTTACCTCCATGTAAAATACTTTAATTTCATTGGTCAATGACGCTTTAACAAGTTTCCAAGTAGTCACCCCTCCACAACTAAAAAAAATATTACCCGCTGCCAAACTCTCCGCCGAAAGGCTGTATTGCTAATAGTTGTATAGTAATAAGTGTGTATTTATATAGTGCTGTATTCCATACATCAGCATACTCTAAGTGCACATGAATATAACTATATACAAAGTCTGGATGTCACACAGTTCCGAGTTCAGGCACAGAAAGCTTGTTGAAAAAGAAAGGTCTTTAGTGTACAACGGAATGATTGAAGAGATTGCGAGTCTTTCACATGTACTGGGAGGTTATTCCACTCTACAGTTGCGATATAGGAAAAGTTTTTCTGTCCATAGCGAGCCATCTTGGCCTTTGGAACTGTGAAGAGGTTTTGGTTTGAGGATCTGAGTGTCCTGGAGGGATGGTAATCCTCCATCGTGTTCCACACGTATCGTGGAGCTGTGTCAGAGACGCACTGATAAGTCAGACAGAGGACTTTGAATTAAGTCTGTATTCCACTGGTAACCAGTGTAGGTTCTGGTTTTCATGGTTCCATCGTCAGCTCAGAGTCCAGTAAGACGCCCATGTTGTTTGAAGAATGCGGAACTGCGATTGATGAGGAACCAAATGTAAGTTTGTTCAGTTCAGTCTGATCCCGTCAGGAAGGGGGGCCAATCAAAAGTGCTTCAGTTCTCTCATCGTTGAGTTTGCGCTTATTGGCTGTCGTCCATTACTTGATAGCCTCCTAGCAGATTGACATCCTTCAGTTTGCAGCAATTCCTGAAGATGTTTCTGACTTGAACATATCAAAAAGCCGAGAATCGTATGCGTAAAAGTATCGATGGAGTCCGTGATTGTCAATGATGTTGCCAAGGGTCTTAGTATAAAGTGCTGACATGACAGGTCCCAACACTGAGCCTTGTGGAACTCCACACACTAACTTGCCTGATGTTGAGGTGCATCCATCGATGGGCACTGCCTGACTTCTATCACTGAGGTAGGAATCAAACCACTGTAAAACAGAATCTTTGATCCCAAACTGACTGTCATGACACTTAAAGAAGTTTCCGTGGTCAGTGATGTCAAATTCTGCACTGAAATCTACAAGAACTAACAGAGCAACATTTCCTTTATCAATACCGTTTCGGATTTCACTGAGAACGTGGAGCAGGACTGTTTCATACTGATTGAAAGGGCTCTCGTCGATCGTACTTGTCAATGCGTTCAGACAACCGAAGACACAGTGCACGTTCTATTATGATAAGTTCGACACTGATCTGTAGTTCGACACTGATCTATAGTTTTGAGCATATCAGGGTCAAGAGAGGGTTTCTCCAGCAGTGGTTTTAGTACCGGAGTCGTCTTGAGTGAGTTAGGCATGACTCTAGAGATCAGGCTGAAATTTACAGTGCTGGTTATGGCAGAAGATCTACAATGCTGGAACAAGGATGTTGGCATGTTCAAGTAGTACCTTGGTTGGAACAGGGGCAAGCATACAAGATGTTGGTTTGACAGTCTTTACGATGATCAAAATCTCATCATGAGTGAGAGGGTTGAACTCTCCAACAAAGATACTGCCACTTTCTGGGAATGATGTATCTTCTAGCTGATCCCGAATTGATGTAATTTTATCTTGAAAGTACTTTGCAAGCTCTTCAGCAACTTTCTTCTGTATTCCCATTAAAGAGCATAAGAGCTGGTATAATTTTTTGAAGTCTGATTGGTTATCAGTTATCTTAGAATTGGAATAGTTTTGTTTAGCAGTTCTGACAGCTGCTGTCACAAAATTTCTGGTTGATGCATGCCTTGTCTTTCTCCGTTTGCGTTTAACTTGTAGACCCACAGAGTGCTTGTCTTGTGTACGATAGTCTTCTCCACTTCCGGTGCATGTTTGTCGTGGGTTTCCTGAAGCACTGTATTGTAGGTGTCGACATAACTTTCACAACACTCGTGTGAGACTCTTTAGAGGTTGGAGGAAAGAAGGACACAATCAAAGGCTCCTGTATCGAACTGTTTTATGTTACGACACTGTTCACTACTGGGAAAACTACTAAAAAACTATTAACGTTAAATAGAACCTAAGATAACGTAAAACCTTAACATTGTTAACATTATAACGTACGTCGAGACAACAAGATTCTGACAACGTAAATGGGAGTCCACAGAATAACGTTGTGACAACGTAAATGGGAGTCCACAGAATAACGTTGTGACAACGTAAATGGGAGTCCACAGAATAAGGTTGTGACAACGTGAATGGGAGTCCACAGAATAACATTGTGACAACGTAAATGGAAGTCCACAGAATAAGGTTGTGACAACGTGAATGGGAGTCCACAGAATAACGTTGTGACAACGTAAATGGAAGTCAACAGAATAACGTTGTGACAACGTAAATGGAAGTCCACAGAATGACGTTGTGACAACGTAGATGGACGTCCACAGAATAACTTTGTGACAACGTAAATGGACGTCCACAGAATAACTTTGTGACAACGAAGATGGATGTCCACGGAATAACGTTGTGACAACGTAAATGGAAGTCCACAGAATGACGTTGTGACAACGTAAATGGGAGTCCACAGAATAACGTTGTGACAACGTAAATGGAAGTCCACAGAATAACTTTGTGACAACGTAGATGGACGTCCACAGAATAACGTTGTGACAACGTAAATGGAAGTCCACAGAATGACGTTGTGACAACGTAAATGGACGTCCACGGAATAACTTTGTGACAACGTATATGGACGTCCACAGAATAACGTTGTGACAACGTAAATGGACGTCCACAGAATAACTTTGTGACAACGTAGATGGACGTCCACAGAATAACTTTGTGACAACGTAAATGGAAGTCCACAGAATGACGTTGTGACGACGTAAATGGGAGTCCACAGAATAACGTTGTGACAACGTAAATGGAAGTCTACATAATAACGTTGTGACAACGTAGATGGACGTCCACAGAATAACGTTGTGACAACGTACATGGACGTCCACAGAATGACGTTGTGACAACGTAGATGGACGTCCACAGAATAACTTTGTGACAACGTAGATGGAAGTCCACAGAATAACTTTGTGACAACGTAGATGGACGTCCACAGAATAACTTTGTGACAACGTAGATGGACGTCCACAGAATAACTTTGTGACAACGCAGATAGATGTCCACAGAATAACGTTGTGACAACGTAAATGAAAGTCCACAGAATATGGAAGTCCACAGAATAACGTTGTGACAACGTAACAACGTAAATGGAAGTCCACATAATAACGTTGTGACAACGTAGATGGACGTCCACAGAATAACGTTGTGACAACGTAAATGGAAGTCCACAGAATGACGTTGTGACAACGTAGATGGACGTCCACAGAATAACTTTGTGACAACGTAGATGGACGTCCACAGAATAACTTTGTGACAACGTAGATGGACGTCCACAGAATAACGTTGTGACAACGTAGATGGACGTCCACAGAATAACGTTGTGACAACGTAAATGAAAGTCCACAGAATATGGAAGTCCACAGAATAACGTTGTGACAACGTAGCAACGTAAATGGAAGTCCACAGAATAACGTTGTGACAACGAAAGCACAACGCTGGAACAACGTGAAATTGTTAGCTGGGTTATTCTCAAATTTCACTTAGATGTTTATCAAACAGGCTTTTCCTTAGGCCGATGTATTATGATTATACATTTCATATTAAAATTACGGACTACATAATCCTACATGCAATATTTGTTTTGCCTGTAGATTTGGCGATATGGAGCAAAGCTACTTCATCTGGTCAGTGAAGATGACAAGGTTGTATTTGTATCGTCGTATAGGCACTTAATGGCGAAGGTACCACAAGATAAAGCACACAACATTCAGACCGTATTCTATCCTGGAGCAGGTCATCTACTGGAGCCACCCTATGCGCCCCTGTGTAGAGAATCCTACGTTACAGGAGGTAAGGAGGTTAGGTCTTTGAATGGTATGGAAGAGAGTTTTATGGATGTCAACTTCTTTATTATGACGAACACAGCGTTTCGGATTATATACTTACACCTGCATCAGGTGAATGAATGCTATGGGACAGAGGACATATATATACACACACACACATGTAAGAACAACAGAAGTAATGAGAAAACAAAGTAGGAAGCTTAGCAAGCGAGGTTAAGCGCTGTTAGGTGCTTGACAAAGGAGAAATGGAAGCTAACGCTTAAAAGTTAAATAGCTCTGATAGGCGATGACAATGGACGACTGTGAACTTTCGGCAGTCACAACCGGAGTGAAATAATACTATTTTGTAAGAGATTAAGTCAATACATCAAATGACATTTAAAAGATTTAGTGTTTCCTAGTTTCATATATTTATAATAAACTGGTGCAGTACAGTTGTCTTCTAACAGTAAATGAGTGCATAGCTATTGTCGACCACAAACCAATAATATTTATATTTATATGGAGTTACTCACACAGTGTATTTCTCACCCTGTCCAACATTCTGCTATCCCTGAAATCTCGGGATACTGCAGGAATGAAGATTACACTTGGGCTATCAATGTTTTCCCACAAGTAGGTCAATTTTCCCAAGCAATATGGAACTTATGCACCGATGTTACCTGCTACCATCACACGCTCTGACCGCCTCCGTGGTGTAGTGGTTAGAGCGTCCGCCCGGAGAGCGGAAGGTCGCGGGTTCGATCCCCGACCGCGTCATACCAAAAGACGTTAAAATATGGTACCTGTTGGTCCCTGCTTGGCGCTCGGCATTAATGGGTACAACAAGGACTGGTCGGCTCGGAGTCAGTATAATGTGTCTGAGTGGGGTATTCATGCTTCACTGCGGCATGGTATCTCAGTGAACTAGCACTATAAAACCAGCTTCAGTCTGGGCTAGTGCAAGCAGCCGCACATACACACGCATGCACGTCGTCATATGAGCGAAATATTCTCAAGCACGACGTACAACCTCGCCTCGCCTCGCCTCGCCTCGCCTCGCCTCGCCTCACCTCACCTCACCTCACCTCACCTCACGCTCTTGAAACCCAGGCTTGCTTTATCTTTCTGCAGATATGTTTGTGAAAAATTCATTTCGAAATCATTTACGTCAGAAATAATTTAATGACTGAAATGAAATACGTTACAAAAATTAAGATGTTATAAAATATGTTACATAATTTCTGAAAATTGTTGTTTTTTTCATCTTTTTATATTTCTCTCTGTATTTGCGAACCTACTCTCTCTCTGGTTGAGGTTGAAGGGGGGAAGCGTATATAAATATGGCAGAAATTACCCATACTGACAATATTGAGCGATTGCATTTTACGGCATACGTTTGACATGGAGTCAAAGCGGCTGCCAATAAGTGGCACCTACCTGTACGGGTGAAACCACGGTAAATACCAAAAGAGATTATTATGTCATGCCACGTTGAGGTGTAAAATGCTTCTTTTGACAGACAGACAGATTTATTTCAGTAAAAGGCCGAAGGCCCAAAATACAATCTTTACAGAATGTTTGACCTATGTGCGAAGAAATAAAATAGTATGTATCTTTTTCCTTAAACGTTCGACCTTCTCCAGATAGTGACATACATTATAAATAACTTTATTATTTGTCATCAGGACATCCAATTTACAAAGTGTCATACAGATAGACAATCTTTCTGTGTAAATTTACAAAGGTAAGTGTTTCTAGGTGAACTGTAACTATTACAAATAAACATTACATGGTATTCATCTTCGATATAAGATTCGTCATTCAGTTTACAAAATGGACAGTACCTTTGAGAGTACAAAATATTACAATATCTTCCGGTTTCTACAGTATAAAATACTTTTAGTAAATCGAAATCTTGATAGGGTGGATCTGAGTGTTAATGGAAAATTCCATGTGAGATAAGAGTCAACATTAAGAGTAAACAGCTTCTATTGGTTAGATACAATAACATTTGAAAATATGATTTTTCACTCATCTCAAAATATGTACATGAATATGACACAGATCACAAGGAACACCTGGACATTGTCCCAGATACAGCCCAAATCCTTGTGTAAAAGTTCATTTTCCTTCAACAGGAACCCGCGTACTTTGGGGCGGAGAAAGGAAGAGCCATGCTGTCGCCCAGGAGGATTCGTGGAAAAGAATTCTGGATCATTTCAATACTTACCTTTCAAAAAGGAGTGTGTGATGAACTGAAACAATCATTTGTGTTATTTCACAATAAACAGTATTTGACCACATTCTTCAAAGGCATTTAGAAGTTGGTGTAGTAATACAAGACATCTTATGGATAACAACTTGATTTATTTTTCACATATACAAGATATGTAAATTGAGTATATACAAGCGCTAGGGAAAAATGAGATATAATTGAATATGTACAAACAATGCAGTGAGATCAAAGAGCAGAATACAATGATAGGGTATGTTTTTACAATAAGGGCAAGGGTGTGTTTACATAGCAGAGTGAATTTGAGAGTCTTCTGATTTCTGGGTGATGAACCAGGTGCTGGGGAGGTAAACCCCTTGATCTCTGTTGATCTCAGACACTAATCTTCTTATGTTGATTGACTCACACAGTTTTCTTTTGCGCCAATTGCTGAAGTTGGAAGCCAGGATTTCGGTGTGTTGCCAGAGTGGTTGGGATTATTAACGATGTGTTAATGATGAGAGCAGATTTGAGATCAGATTTCCAACAGAAGCTTTATGTCCTCTTAGTCTTATGTTGAAGGGCCGACAGGTTTCTCCAATATAGCTGCCTCAACAATCACAACTGATTTTGTAGACACATCCTCTGGGATTAGGTTCTCCCTGATTGCTGCTATCTCTTCCATTCGCTCTCATTTCCCAGTAAACAGCAGATGGCGTATCAAACAGGCTTTTCAGCTCTAGAAGCGTCATTTAATCTGCAAGAGACTATATATCATTACCATGAAAGGAAACAAGATATACACGTTGCTTTCTTGGATACAATGGAGGCATTCGATACTGTCTGGCATAACGGTCTCAGATACAAACTGTATGAAGCAGGGGCTCATGGACAGCTGTGGACTATTATTGACAGGATGTACACAAGTATGAAATCATATGTACAACTTGGGCAACATAAATCTAGAGTGTTTGAGCTTCTACAAGGAGTTCGCCAAGGCGGAGTCCTTTCAGCTAAGCTGTATTTGTTATATATTGATGGACTGTTGACGAAACTCTCTGATACCAAGAAAGGTGCAATGTTGTTAGAATATGTGCTCCTCTACTCAAGCAGATGACATTGCGGTCGTTAGCTCAAATGTGCATGCTCTGAACAGCCGTGTGCAGACGTGTGAGGAGTACAGTAATGACTGGCGATTCACTCTGTCTCCCAGCAAGAGTGAGATCATGACGTTTCCCTATAGTGCGAACACGATGGGCAACCGTCCGGAAATCACACTATACAGTGAACCTGTGCTCCAGACTGATATCATGAGACATGTAGGCATAGTATTCACACAGAGAATGTCATCCATCGAGCATGTGCTGCAGGCTTGTAACACACTGAGAGCAAACACACATGTGTTGTTGCGGAAAGGATTCCACTCAAAGTTAATGAACCCGATGACAGCCAGCAAGTTACTTGCAGCATCTGTGCTACCAAAGGCACTCTATGGATGTGAGCTTTGGACTGGTCTCACCAAACATGAGATAACCATGCTGGAACGAGCATACCGTTATGCAGTAAAGAAAATACAAAATCTGCCAGCAAGAACCAGGACAGATATCTGTCTTGGTCTCCTAGGGCTTTGTCCTGTTGAGACTGTGATACTCGAAAGCTGTTATATATAGGCAGACTCATCAATATGAAGAGACACTATTTGCCTCACCAGGTGTTTCTTACCAGACTTCTGTGCTTCAGACATGAGCTTGAGAAGTCAACGGGTTTCATTCCCGACATTTGTGAGAATTCTTCATAAATACGGTTTGCATCAGCACCTAGAGTCTTATGTACAAACGGCACAGTTCATAAAGCAGACTGCGTGGAAGAAAATTGTGAAAAGATATGTAATGAACTTCGAAGTGACGTCATACAGACAGAGACTAGTGGATTCAGGTCTACACGAGTTCCACCAGATTCACCCGACCCTGTGTGTGCACCAAGCCTGGGTGATTGCGCAGAAGAAGCTGGCCTGCAGAGCAGCTGCCAATTTTGTGGTGCAAACCTGTGCTGTGATTAAGGAGAACCACGGTGGTAGTGACTTGTGCCATAGGTGTGGTCTGTTTTACACATATATTCTTACCCATATTATCCAGTACTGTGATCACTTGACTGACCTACTCGATGAACTGTGGTGTGAGATCATAGCTATTGGTAGTGTGGAATTCAGTGTGCATCTCCACAACCTTAATGATTGGGATTTCACAATGCGCATGTTATCCTGTGTGACTAGTTTTAACCTGTGCACAGATGACAGAGACACTTTCGCGGCAGTTTGTGTGCAGTATGTGTTTCGCATGGCCAACAGATACTACCAGAGATCTGTTGGTGTCACATAGATATGAAGCACTGTTCCACAAACGTTCAGATCTGGTACGGACTGCGCATATACCCAACGACCATTGCTTGAAGAATAATATGTAATTATTGTATTGTATATATACTATGTGAACTTTGTATTCTTCAGAATGGAGGAAATAAATATTATATATCCTCTGGGATTAGGTTCTCCCTGATTGCTGCTACCTCTTCCATTCGCTCTCATGATGGTTGTCAAGGTTTTTGTCGGAATAAAATGTCACATCAACACTGGCAGTTCTTATAAGGAGTCGGCTGATGTGATGGCTAATGTGGCCTTGGTAAGGAATATTGATTCTGATGGGAGCTTGTTCGGATTTGGGTGGACTGTGAGTTCGTGGCTGGCGGGTGGTGGCTATAGTGTGCTCAACAAGTTTCACCATCCTGAGATGGTGTTTGACAGTACACATTGGGCATCAACGCTTAACACTAGCAAAGTATCTCGGAAGACAATAACTTCATCAAATCTCTCTTCTATGATACGTTAAGGGCCTTGTAAAGTAACAGCACCCCACTTAGATTATGAAATACACTTTAATAGATTGATGATCGTTGATGTTACATGTGTTACACAAATGAATCCTGACCATGTTACTCTTTGGTTAAAATAAACACTTTGAAATTGGAACCCTGACACTATTTCCAGATCATGATGTCCGAATGTTAGATTGATATCATAAAGGGTTTACATCTTGTGATCATCGTCGCCACTGATTGTGACTGGGATGTCGTAAACCCCCATTTTGAACACCAGGTACTACTTTTTACTGAAGCAGTTTTGGATAGATTCTAAACCGCCTCAAAATGATACGTCATCTGCAAACTGTGCAGCATTAATGTTCATTCAAATATCACCATGCTATTGAATACAATTGGACTTATTACACTCCTTTGTGGTGTACCATTTTCAGTAACACGCACGACCGACAGTTTCTGACCTATGCGAATTTGAATGGTTCTTTCGGACAAAAAGTACCATACCTGAAACATGCACCTCTAATTCTATGTGTCCTAAATCAAACCTTCTCTCCAAATCGTGTCATGAGTCTTTTCGATATGAAGAGAGATAACATGTGCAAGGTAATAGCTCGGTGAATCAGTTACTATTCTCTCCATGATTTTGCATACATTGGAAGTGTAACCAATTGGTCTCTATGTTGCAGAAAGCCATGAATCTTCTTTTGTTTGGGCATGGATCCAGAACACCAACTGAAATTCAAAAGTTCCCTAATAAAAGCTTGAGCAGAATCTTGAATATGATTAAACATTTCAATTCATCTGCTCCATGTACCGAATTATGTGATCTTGATGTGGCTGCCTTCAGTTCATCACGAGTGAAAGCTACATTCCTAGCTACTTTATAGCATGGTCGAAGATATTTCTGGCAGAAAGTTTGTTTCAAAGACTTGATAATATCCTGATAAAAATGTTCAAAACTACGGACAGATTTAAATTGACCAGACACTAGTTAATGGTGTGAATCTGTTGATATTAGAAATATATTCTCGCCAGCTTCATCGTTTAGTACTCAGAACAATACGCTGGTGTTTTACAAATTCAGGCACATCACATGGGAGTGATGAGTGACGAATCTTATTATATACCTTTTTTCTTCCGATGTTGTCATTCCACCAACACTATGAAGAGGAAACCGATTTTTTAACATATGCTTTTCCAACGATCTCTTCTGCAATTCTAAATATTTGTGCTCTGACCTTTGCATTAGACATGTCAACATCGTCATTTATAAGATGAATATGTTCAGAGCACAGACAACAGTAAAGTGCATAGTTTGCACAAGTTTGAAACATGAAGTATTCGGACCTGAATTTCAGTAAAAACTTGGAAATGGTCACTACCTAAATCATCTTCCTTAAATACATCCCAGTTACATTTGCCGGCTATTGATGATGACATCATTAAGAAATCTAAAGGATAAAATGTCTATTTATGAGATAAACGTACTGTGTTTGGAAATTAGATGAATGTTAGACCGAATTGATAGTCTCTACATTTAATTTGAAGAGGAACGCGTAGCGTGAGGTTTCAAATGATTAATTTAGAAACTATCAATTCGGTCTAACATTCATCTAATTTCCAAACACAGTATGTTTATATCCATTCTACCATAACCGATTTAACATCGAACTTCCTCGTCCTGCAAAAAACACTACGTAATCCGGCATGGGATGAGAGGCGAATTGAACTCGTCTGATAAAGGAGTGGTAGGTTCCGTTCGTATTTTTTCTAACATTGCAACATAAAAAAATATTCTGTCCAAAGAAAACAAACTAGTGTTTATTCAATGCAATACTGTAACACCTAAGAGCTTGGTTTTTATAATCATAACTCCACAAGACCGAAACCAGCCTATTGTTTTGTGTGCCGTGTTACTATACGCCCCTGGCCACACTATAATGGAATCGTCTGACCTACCTATTTTCTTGGAAGTAGACAGTTACGCAACAGTTTGAAATGGCGGACGAGCCAGTGTTTACATTTTGCGAAAGGTTGAAATTCGAAGTGACAGTGGAAAATACTTGACTGACTGTCGAACCTGAACCCTGCAGAATCGAAGAATAGATCCTTTTCTGATCGACCTATGTCCTGTAACCCATCAAAGACTGTTGATTTTTATGACCGGTGAGTGTCGATCATGATTTCACGTACGTGCCTCCACCCCGGCATGCGAGGAAGAGTGACAGTGCTGCTTTGTGTACATGCGACTAACTTGGGATTCCTTGGAACATTGTTCTCATCATTTGGGACTGGATTGTGGCCAAGCTTTTCAAAGTGTACGAACATAGCAGTGACAGCCTCCGGGGAAGGTGGCAGAGACTCGAGAGAGCTGAATTCTCATGGTTCAGTTT